CGAGGTTTTGTTCAGGAGTACTTTGGAAACTAAAGTAGAAGTATGCATACTTGCACTTATCTGACGCCCGACAGAGGTCCTGGATACACTCTATGATGGAGGAGCTGCAAAAATGGCAATCCAAATTAGCAAAGCGATTGTCAGAATCAGTCAAGAGATTCGGAAAGAGCTTGATTACCAGAGAACCGTTTTGCCACCTCCAGCTTCAAACGATCAAGGGGTCAGTCGTCTCTCTTTCAGCGATAGTTCGTGTCATTATCACTCACGGATGCCGTAAAGCCAGATTAATCCGGCAGACTCAACCCACTGAGTGAATTCGTCAGATTGGATGAACCAGTCTCGCGCTCTTTTCTCTCCGTGGCAGCATTATGGCTCCTAGAAGGATCGACTTTGCTTAACCAATCAAGCAGGTTCTTTCGCTCGTCGTCTTGTGTACATTCGTCTTTTCAGTGCTGACCTTGAGTCGAAAATCCCATGAGCAGGGTTTTACTTACCTTGTAGGCTCTTTTTAATGTCTGCCAGCTGGTGTCTCTGGCATTCGATAGAATATTGGACACTAGTATTCAGTCTTTCTATTATTGTAAAGATCTCTGAAACGTTGCGTGAAGAATCGCGTTGTTGTTTGTGAATTTCATCCACCTCCGCACTCGTTTTGGCGAGAAGATCACTGATATGAAGCACTTGAGTGTAAGTGAATTTTTTTCTTCACGTGCCAACAATATAAATCTGCTGCTGGACTCATCTCTCATTCGTAATTGTGCATGATGGAACTTACCACCCTTCCAAGGATACACTGAAATGGAACGTCTGAGTATAGTCTTTGATGCGCCGTTGCACTTGGGCATGCTCCTCCTTTTGAAAAGGCCATGCCAGTCTTCTATACCACTTCTTTTTGTCGTAGAGTTCCCTGAAATCGGCCAGCCTCAACTTAATATATCCCAAGTCACCCTTACAGACCTCTGTGGAGGCCACCAGAGCTGAGGTCCTTGTGAAAGGTATCTGTCGAGCGTTCTGGGAGTCCAGAAACTCCCGAAGGCTTTCTAGACAGGTTTTGAGTGCAGTAAGCTCGTTATGAACTTGCTTAGATTCTTCCGGGGCATTTTTTACGTCGCGAATATAGTTATACGTTATGGTGGTAAGCTCCAAGGCCAGGCTGGTCAAGCCGGCAATTCCAGATGCAAGATCCATTTTAGAAGGCTTGAAGAACTTCAAGCCGAGGCTGAAATGATCAGATGGATAGAGTGAAGGTAATTATGAGGATCATACACTTGAGGCTTATGTAGATCGAGTCTGAAGGCATCCTGAAGGTGTCTCGCGACGCAGTGACACTGCGGGGTCGAAGTCTAGCTTGCTATAATTTGGACAGCAGTGCCGCAAAAGACTCCGACCTTACATAAGCTACATACATGCAGCCTGATATGATACTTGCAAAAGAAGGATCGTAAGCAGCAGGTTGCGAACATAGCTGTTTCCCCCGCCCAATCGTGTTGTGCGCTGCGGTGGGAGTGGCACGGATGCGGTGCGGCCATCCGGTTGGCCATCTCGACTGATTGCACGTGCATGCACGTTGTCCGCCACATTATCTATGGCGTCGCAACAAACGTGATGTTCTGTAGCGAGTATTTGAAGCAAATACGTTCGAAGCTTCCTAGCCAACGGTATGGCTGGCGAGAAGATCAAAAAATCGCTGGCGGGGCGGGCGAGCGCTGAAAGGGATTACAGTAGTGCGGAACAGTAGACGATCAGTGCCGGACAAGGCATTTAGGGCAGCCTGTTTGGCTGCCCTACGATAAATACAAGACCACGGCACTTCGAACCAATTTAAATTGACTGGATTGTCATGAATACTTAGCCTTGTCTGCCCACGAAGCTGCGCCTTCTGAAGTTGATCGGCTGCATGTGCATTGTGGCTGTTCACAAGACCACGCGTGAGCCGGCAAAACAGACCTTCTACATGTGCCACATGTCAAACAGACTTCCCACGCGTCTGGCCCTGATATAAGAAGATATTTGAAAATGAAAGCGGAAGCTTTGAACACTTGTTGAAATTGGTCATGTAATCGATCATAGCCTGAGGTTCTGCTGTGACCCTCCCTTGGCCCTGAAAGTATAGTGTTTCAATAGCTCGTGCCTACATCGCCGCAAAGCCTTTGATGAACTTGACGACCTCAGCAGCCAGTGCTTCTGGCTGACTGACGAAAGGCATGTGGCCCGTCTTGAGCTCGGCTACATCCCAATGGACCCCTGTTCTCTCGCGCCACAGATCTTGAACCGCCACCGGGTTGCAGCAGTCGTCCAAGGTACGAACATATGCTCTTCTTCCATCAAACCCTGTATCTGCCCAGGCTGGTGCTGTGGATTTCGTTCCAAATGCCGAGTATGCATGGGGAACCATGGCGTTACTCAGCTCGGCAGCACGTACTGGATCGCAGTCGTTGTACAAGACTTCCACAGCAGGCTCGATAAGGGCCAGGCCTTTGTTTGGCTGTAATTTTGAACTCAGTCAAGAAATCTTTGATAAGGTTTGGGGGGATTCTTACCTTGTCCAGCTTCATAAAAGGCGGATAGATACCCCCAGATGCCTCACCCAGTGATTCGTCATCCAAGACGATATTGCCGGCTACGTAAATCAGCCCAATCACGCCGCCTACTTGACCATTACTTTCACGGGCTGTTTTGTCAAGGCCCTTTGCGGCACCGCTGGCGACAATTGCCCCGTAGGAGTGCGCAAGAATGACGATGTCCTTCTGCTGCTCATTAATGAGAGGCAGGAGGACACCATCGCGGAGGGAGTCGATATCCTTCGCACAAGTCGCCGTGGATGGATCCAGAGGGTTAGAGCTTGCATAGGGGCCCGGGTGCGTTGCGAATCCGACTTTCTCAAAAGCTGGCAGCAGAGGTTCGAAGCTTTCCGGAGTCCCGAATGCGCCGGGAACAAGGACAATAAGCGGCGAGTTTCCTGAAGGCATTCTAGTAGTGAATGGGGTGGTTCTTTCCAAAACTGCTTGATTTAGAACGCTTTGGCGTACAAATCTGTTCCAGCTATTCGATCTCAGAACGTTTGTTGTTATCGAAAAGACTTTAGAGAGGCCAACTCTAGCGACAGAGAGTTGGGCTTGGTAACTGCCTGAGTCTTGGACGGTCCTTTTCAGTTCCAAGTTTACTATGGGAACAGACGATGCTTCTCTCAACTATTATATATTGACCACATGCGCAGGAAGAATCCGCAAGTGGCGGGAAATCTACGCAAGTGCGATGTGAAAGGAACATCGCGTGTCGTTGGTTGGGAATCATAGCCAATCATCCTCTTCGGCTTATGAACTGTTGGTGATAAGATCCACTGCTTCGTACAGCCAACAGCACCAACATCTGATATTTATCGGATGTTGAATGCGACTCCACAAAACACGTATCCAGTGTTACCAGTAAGGAAGGATTCAGATGGTGGAAGAAAAATCCAGCAACAACAACTGCATCAATATCTTTCAGCCGATCTCATAGGCAACCCAAGCCCCAGCAGACCAAGAGAAGCACCGTCAGCACCAGTAGACGGTCTTGCTGTGGGCACTGCGTGTTAGCTCGGACGGTGTACACCAGTGTGGCCAAAATTCGACATTCCTGACCTGGTCTAGCATTACCATACCACGTGCCAGCGGACTGTGTGTATTGGTGAAGGCTCACATAATTATTGATAATTGCTCATTCTGATTATCTAGTGTCTTGTAGACGCCTTCCACGTGAAACCCGCCTCCCCTCCCCCCCCCCCACTCCCCAAAAAATAGAAGAAAAAAAATACCAAAAATTCGTTCGTTCTGCCGTCAGTCCATCCCAAATGTGGCAAGTCAATGGTTTCAATGCCTCACTATTCCCTCAAGAATTAATGACTGTCGCGTCCGCTGCCACCCTGCTGGCTCGATCCATCTGGGTAGTCTCCGCTCCGTCCACCGCCCGGTTGATTGGAACCGTACCGACTGGGTTGACCAGGGAAGTTCCCACTCCAAGTTGGGCATGGTTCATTGGGAAGCAGCTGATTCCATCCCGGCATGGGTCCGCCTTTGCCGGCTCATTGGTCGTAGTGGCTTGAATGCCGTGACACCAGGATCTAGCAAAGGTTTTGCCTGTCCTTTTATCGAAAATTGAAGAGCTGTTGATTGGGAGGTAAGGGTAGATTGCTGTATCTGCTCCTGCAACAGCGAGTTTCTGGTAATCTATCTGGTCGGCCATGATGGTTCGCAATGTTTGCTAGAAGATTTTCGAGTTCGTATCTGGTATCTCGGTTCTGTGGATTTCGTTTTTTGTTCTTGGATGTAGTTTTGTTAAAATCTCTGCTGCGAGCAGGACTTATGTATCTGGCAGGCTTGCTTGAGTCACTGGCTCTGTCACTCCCTGGAATGAGTGAGCGTAGTGAGTAATTGGCAGAGGTGATGGAGCCAACTGAAACTTCAAAGCCTGTGAATTGCATGTCCTTGGCTGTCCTCGACTGCGATTTAGCAAGCTATCAAAGCCCTCAAGACCTGATGCTGGCCAGTTTTGAAACCTAAGCCAGGACCTGAATTCAATGACCCTGCCCATGCTTGGCAGGGAGATAATTGTGACTTCTACCTCCTGGCTCCCAATGCATCACCTTGTGTTCATGTGACGAGGGATGGCGCACAAGGTACACCAGGCCTGCGAATTGGGTGCAGCAAAGACAAGTGCTATTAGTCAGGGTGGACTTGTGCATGGCCTTGTCTAAAAGGCTTCCTTGGTCAAAATGCCTATGGACACGCAGGCCTAAAGATCTAAATATTTGCAGGATCATATTCATAACACTCTGGGTTGGTGGGTTCGCCATATGGCGACTTGTGGACATCTTGGTAGATCCCGAGACCAAGAAGATCAAATTGGAATTACAGGTCACAATTTTCCATAGATTAAGCTATAAATAGAATTGGTCTGTTCCTGATGCAGTTAACAGGTTTAGAGAGAATTAGTCAGAACCAGACTCAAAAAGATGAGCCTCAACGCCCGGTAATGATATCGTCTGCAATCTTTTCTGCCAGTGCATAAACAGCAGACTGAGGATGTCCAGGCAACGCAAAGGGAAAGGCGCTCGCATCGGCAACCCTCAGCCCCTGGACGCCAAACACGCGCCCGTGGCTGTCGACAACAGCCTTGCCCGCCCCGACGTCCTCTTCCCTGCCCATGGCCACCGTCGACACTGGGTGCCAAATCTGCCCGGCGTTGTCCCTGACGTACTCAGCTATCTCCTCGTCAGTCTGGACGGCGTCGCCGGGGGCCGCCTCGGGGCTGATCTTGAAGCCGGCCGTGTTGGCGAAGGGCGAGGCCCATGCAGCGCGCAGGCGCTTGACGGCAGTAACGGCGACTTCCATGTCCGCGGGGTCTGAGAGCCAGTTCAGGTTGATCAAGGGCGGGTCGTTGACAGAGGTCGAGGAGATGGTGACGTTCCCGCGCGAGAAGACGTGGGATGAGTAGGCAGCGAGACTCCCAAGCGTCTGGCCCGGGCCGCTCGACCACGAACCCGCGACGAAAGAGAGCTGGGGCCAGTCGGACGGCATGGAGGCGAGCTTCTGGCGGGTGTCCTCGCTGAGGGTGGCAAGAGTCGAGTTAGGGAGCCTTTCGTGAGCCAGAAAGCCGGCCGCTGAGCTGTAGGGGCCGGAGCCGGACTTGACGTACTCGTCGATGAAGCCGGGATTGAGAGCCGGGTCGTTTGTTAGCGACTGGGCCGAGGGCGTATTCACGGGGTATGAGACGGAAATAAGGATCGGGTCCTGGAGGTTCTGTCCCACGCCTGGGATATCGGCGACAACTGGGATGGAAAGGGCTTCCAGCTGATCGCGAGCACCGATTCCAGACACCTGGAGCAGCTGTGGAGAATGGAATGTGCCGGCGGTAAGGATGACCTCGTTGGTGGCCGACAGGGTATACTCAACGCCCTGCGTGTTGATGCTCACGCCAACTGCCTGCGTGCCGTTGAATAGTATCCTGGTCGCTAGTGAATGAGTATATACAGTAATGCCGGTGTCCTTGATCGCTTGCTGGAGGAAGCTGCTCTCGCTGGTTGATCGCTGCGCCTTTTCTGGCTCGATTGTCGATGGCACCCAGGCACCGTGGCCCGCGAGCTCGCCACTGCTGAAGCCCTTGGGGCTGATGGTCAACCCGAGACCCAGGAGGACCTCAGCGAGCCAAGTGAGAGTTGGATCGACCCAGTTGTTCCATGATACCTGCAGCGGGCCGCCCTCCTCATCATAGTCGTTGAGGTCGAACAACACGGTGGCGTTGGTGTTGTTGCGCTTCCCTTCGTCTGGGGCCGTGAGGTCGACCGAGCGTTTGAAATACTGCAGCATGCTCTCCCACCGAAACGAGTCGTCATCAACAGTGTCGGCCCAGAGATCGTAAGAGCCCTTGGTGGGACGAATGTATGACAGCGTGTTGATGGCAGAAGACCCGCCGAGCGTCTTGGCCTGGGCGTAGTGGACTTTGCGACCGCCGGCCCCGGGGATCGGCTCGGAGACGAGAGACCAGTCCATCAGGGGCTGTGGCGTGAAGTCTGGCGAAGGGTCGATGAAGGCAATGCCCGTGAGGGAGAGGAGGGGCACGACGCTGTTGTTGCCGTTCTCGACCTCGTAGAACCCGCCCGCCTCAACGACAGCTACCGATGCCGAGGTTGCTGCAAGGCGCGACGCGACCGTGAGTCCCGCGGTGCCTCCACCGATGACAATGTAGTCGTAGCTTGCATTGCGGCCAGGATAGCCGAAAGCAGAGGAAAACAGGCGGTCCTGGGCGGCGGCAAGACCTGCCAGGGACAGGAGGATGGCTTGCGACAGCATCTTGAGATTGGATCCGTCAATTGGGCCTTTGTTCTCGGTGAGTCACACGCGTCTCGTTCTGCGAGAGGAGCGTGAGTTGCCTGGAGAAAGCCATGCTGACGGTGGAGGGCATCACAACACGACACGCGGGGCCGCAGATGAAGACAAATGCAGACATGGGTTGATATTGACGGGCACAATTGCTCTGCGAGCTACTGCTGCACCCCTGACAGGTGGGAACCCCAAGACCGAATGAAAGACTCTCTAAGGTCGGCTCGGATTCCCTAGTTGCATCGAACCGATTCTCAATTTCGATAGCTCTCCGCCACGCCAAGTTGGGCCGTCAGCACGGGGTGGGGACTCAATTCGGATTGAAGCAAGTCCTAGGACAATAAACGAGTCCACATGTATCCATTGAGTAAAAGAAGGGTAATCGATGTCAACCCGCCATGCGAGTTATCACTCTGTAGATCATTTTTACCGAATAAACTATAGCAATACCTCGGTCTAAACTGTTTCAACTTATATAAATAGTTTAAAAATAAAGATAAAAGAGTGGAAAGATATTAATAAAAGTTTTAGTTTACAGGATGGAGGAATAAATGTGTGAGGAAGAAACGATATATCATAGAGAACTTGGATATGAAGTAAGGATGTGCTGGCAACCAGGGCCAGAACCACTGTATGTTGAGGAGTCCTGACACCAGCCGCTATATACTAGTATGAGTTTTGTGGAAACACGGGTGTGCTCTTCCCTCACTACATGTGCCGAATCCGTGGGTAAGGGTTTCCCGTAGATGTTGCTTTCCGTTTGCGCAGACATCAGTTGTCCCACCACCCCAGAGTCCGTTTGTTGACGACCTTCACCCAGTAACACAAGTGCCAATTCAATCTTGCATCTCTTCACTTGCCACCTCGACAGCTTTGGTGCTTGCCCTTTCCCTGGATCCTATCAAGGCAGGGAATTGGAAGAACCATTTATTGATCTCACTCGCAAGCCCTCATCAACATTGAACCGTCCGCCCCATCCACCAAGATGTTACCGGCTCCCCTTGTCAGTGTTTACCAGCAATACAAGGAAGACACCAACGCTGTGGCTTCCTGGCTTGCTTCCACAGCCAAGTCATGCGGCTATTCCGCTGACCTGCTCTCTGGAGGCGATTTCCAGGCCAGCGGCGCTGCGCGGTCCAAACGTCTCAAGGGAAAAGCCAGGAAGCAGGCCACTAAGGCCGCCGCTCCACAGTCGCAGGGATCTCCTTCCAGCCTTTGCCGTCCCGACTACACCATCGCCATCAAGGACTTCATTCCGCTGGCCGAGGTTGTAGCAGCGTCCCAAAAGCCCATCGTCTCAGTTCCACTGGCCTTCACGCACACACTCAACCGTGTCATCTCTACGCGCTCTGGCTTTGGTGGTCGACTGGCTGACCTTGGTAACTCACCCACTGCTTCGGCTGATTCTAAACACTCTTACTTCGTGGGCGTCCTAGAAAAGGTCCGAGACGTCCTCAAGCCACGTGTACCACCTGATTCTGAGGATGCAGCCAGTCCCGGTACTCCGTCAGGTGCCGTGGACGAGGTGGGTGGTAGGTTCGCAGGCCTAAGTGTCTACGAGCCATCCGAAGATTTCCTCAACGCTCCAGATATCGAGAGGCCAGCGCCGGTCAAGGAAGACAACTCCACCTATGTTGCTGAGCCCCTTCAAGATCTGGAAGAGGTTCTGTTCGCATACACCCTTATGATCAACGACTGGATGAAGATACGAGCTCGAGTCGAGTGGATCTGGACCCACTACCGTGATGGCCTTTTCGAGTTGACAGCCGCCGCCATAGCAACAAATACGGCGTGTGACCTTGCTCGGAACCTGATGGAGGACATGGGTCCGATGTTCAAGGCACACGGAGGTGCCATAGAGCTCGCAAAGAAGTTTTATCTCTACCAGTGCATGAACATGGGCTTTTCTCTCGTAAGTTTGCTCTCTCCGTGAAAGCAGACGTGACCCTGAGGCGTCGCCTGTTGTCCGCGTGCTGACCACAGATATTTGCAGGACGACATTACCCACTCTGGCAATGAGTTCAACTACGATACGTACGATGTCGCCACTGATACATACACGATGGCCTTCGTCATGCTCGAGAGCTTCGTGGACGGGTGGGACCCCGGCCACCTGCCCCTCTACAAAGAAGGCATGTACGGCACTTACGATCCGACTCGGGACTGGATTACGATGCCCAAGCGAGAGAAGTTTCAACAGGACAAGATACTAATGGTTGAGTTCTTCTCCGAGCTCGCGACCATTGTCCAATGTGTTCCAAACTACCCTGTCGACGACGAGTTCACGCGCGGCATGAAAGAGCTCCACCGGACCAGACAGATCCCCATGTATCTCGCCTTTGCGACTCAAATGTTCCTCGACATTCACCACATCCTACGTGGCCGGGTCTACTCGGCGCACGAGACATGCATGTCTCACTTGAAGCTCATGGATACAGACCTTGGACTGCACCTAGATTTCCATACCAAGCTCCGTGTCAGCAACTGGCCAGTGTCGAATGACGAGGCGCTAAAGGGGATCCGCCAGAAGATCAAGGTATATCCCATACTTCACTGTTAAATAGCACTTACGCAACAGTTGCCCGATAATGATCGCTAACCCGTCGTATTGCAGTGGGTCCAGGACGATCCAGTGCACAAAGCCAAGACCAAGGTGTTCAGCAAAATGGGTGTACCTTGCGCTTCGCCTCTCCACCGAATCCTGAGATACTCCCCCGTGACCTCCGGACTCATGCTCTACCATTTTCGCGCCCAGACATACAATATCGGCATCACATTCGCTAACACATGGGGTTCGATCGCCTATCCGCTGCACCTCTACACTGCTCTCCAGCAGGAGAAGCTCCTGTCATCGCGCCAGGTGCCCGGAGAAACTTGGGAGGACATGGACGTGGTGCTGGAGCTACTCGGCAAGGACAGCTTCTATGTAGGCGCTGAGCTACCCAAAAACCCTATGGACTACTTCAACAAATTCTCCCTCCAGATGGGCACCACAGCGTCCGCAGTCGCAAACAGCAAGAAGAAGCGCACCCACAACCTCGAGAAGCTCCTCTCCAGAGCTGGCCCCCGCGGCATCAAAGAGGTCTGCGCGCCCGTGTCGGGCATGTTCGTCGACCGCTACGTCCGCAACACGGGACAGGTAGACTGGACACCCGAGCATGTCGACAACATCGTCGCCCGCAGCTTGTACGAGGAGGAAGGCTCCGAGGAGAACGGTACCCTCATTATCGGCCAGATCGAAGATGCGGACAAGCTGCGCGAGCGCAAGAAAGCGGCGAGCAGCAAGAAGACGGCCGCCTCGGGCGCCCGCATGCCCCCGGACCGCCTCATCAGGGCCCTGGTCCTCGCCCTCCAAGCCGAGTCGGTGACGCTGGCGTTTCCGTACCTGGAGCTGCACCGGGCGGCTTGGCGCGTGCTTCGGGCGGTGCGGGAAGCCTGTGAGCCTTTTCTGTTGGAGTTGTATGGCCCTACGTATATGGAGAGAGAGAACCAGCTGCCGTGGGTCGTGGGCTGGATCTTCATGGCGTTGGTGGAGGGGGATGCCAAGCTTTTTGTCAAGGCTGGTGAGGCTGTCAAGGATCAGTGAGTTGTCTCCATGTTTCGTACTTGACCCTTCCCATGTTTTGCTTCTTCTTCTTCTCCTAAAACGAAGATGGAACTTGAATTTGGCAAACATTACTAACCAGAGGGTCCCATAGGCTTGGACGGGGCGAAGGCTTGAAAGCTGTAGAGAAATTGCGAGAGATGGGATTCAACGTGGTGCCGCAATACGTCGCAGGCAACACAATTCCAATGTAGGGTCACACCGCCGCCCAGCAGAGTCGTGGAAAAGCCAACGCAGTTGCATGTGCTTGTGAACGGGAGCGAACTAGCTGCGAATGAGTACTTGTTTCATGCAGGTACTTTCCCACATTTGGCCCGTAAAATGTTTGTACATGTCTTTCACCGGCGATCATTCTTTTGGAGTGCGGTGGAACGGAGGGTGCGGTAATTACCATTTCGACGCCTACCTGGCATGTCTAGCGGCTTTATGCTATTACAAGTAACTTGCCATGTGAATGGGAATTGACTCAATGGTCTGGACTTGTGCCGGTCTTTCATGGTGTATCCCGGGCTCTGTGTCTCCATGGCGGCTGCAATTTCCATGCTTGTAGATACAAGGGCTGAAAGCCCAAGAGAGACGAGCATGCGGCCGCGCGCCAAACGAGATATATGACAGGATCGATGAGGATTTAGGATCACTATGTAAATCGTTCCTCAAGATAGTCGATGACGACATCCAATCAAAACTGCCCAGTTACCGATCTTGAGCCGATGTGGAGGTGAAGAACGCTCACATTTACTGTTACATGTGCAGTCAATCCCCGCTTTCCATCTGACACTTCTCTTCTTCTGAACGAAACATCTAATTAGTTCCTACCCTGCATTATCTAGGCGAAGGTCTATCCTCCTAGTCAAGGCAGAAGAATCTCCTTCAAATTCTGATAGAAATATTGCTTTTATGCGGGCGACCATTTCTTTCGACACAATCCTAGAAAGGACAACATTGCTGAAGTTGTACCGATCAGGTGTCACGGATGTTCATCAGAGTTACAATCACGTGTTATACCTCACACATGGCATGAGTAAGCCGCGCATCAACTGTCTTCCCAGTCCATGGATTCATTCACCGCCCACGGTACCACTAACGGAACGACCTCGGGCAACAAATCCCGCTATGGCAAGCCACTGCCTCCATCATGGATCCCCCTCTACCAGAAGCCCTTAGGCACGCCCACGCGCCGCCTCCGAATCGCCACCATCGGCGGCGCCGTGGCAGGCATGGGATTCGCTTACAAGCTGCAACACGAGCACAAGTTGACCACGGCCGGCTGTGAGGGGAGGGAGGATCCATTAGTGGAGCATACGATCTATGAAGCGAACGCAGACATCGGTGGCACCTGGCTGGTCAACAAATATCCGGGTGTGGCGTGCGATGTGCCGGCGCACTTGTACGCCTTTCCCTTCGAGGTGAGTCTGTTTATCTCCTACCCAGTCTCTCCGTCATTTTCATAGAATACGGCTTACTTCATGCGCAACCAAGTCCGTTCGGAGACTCACAATTTCTCTTTAGCCCAACCCTACGTGGAGCTCGTACTACGCCAGCGGCGCCGAGGTTCTGGCATATTTCAAGCGCACGGTGGCAAAATACAACCTCGACCGGGACGTGAAGCTAAACCACAGGGTCGAGCATGCCGAGTTCAACGAGGCAGAGGGGAAGTGGCACCTCAGGGTCCGGCGCGTGGATACAGACGAGGTCGTCGACGACACATGCGACATCCTCGTCTCCGCCACAGGCTTCCTCTCGCACTGGCGCTGGCCCTCGATACCAGGCCTAGACAAATTCCAAGGCCACCTCGCGCACAGCGCGGACTGGGAGTCGCAGGGCGAGTTCGACTACACGGGCAAGAGGACCGGCATCATCGGGAACGGCAGCTCCGCCATCCAGATCCTGCCGCGGCTCGCCCCGGGCGCGGCGCGCCTGGTCAACTTCGTGCGCCGCCCGACGTGGATCACGGCCGGGCTGGGCTCGGCGGCCATCGACGGCGCCGCCAACTACACGTACACGGAGGACGAGAAGCGCGGGTTCGCCGAGGACCCCGGGAGGCTGAAGCAGTACCGCAAGCGCCTGCAGCAGGCGACCAACACGGGCTTCAACCTGTACGTCAAGGGCAGCGAAGCCCAGGAGGAGGCGTTCCGGACGACGGCGCAGGCCATGCGCGACCGCCTCGGGGGCGACGAGGAGCTGGCGCGCAGGCTGATCCCGGACTGGGAGGTGGGCTGCCGCCGCGCGACGCCGGGGCCGGGATACCTGGAGGCGCTCACGAGGGAGAATGTCTCGCTCGTCACCGACGGCATCGAGAGCGTCACGGCGTCCGGAATTTGCACGCGCGATGGGAGGGTATTCGATCTAGACGCCATCGTGTGTGCAACGGGTTTTGATGTGAGCCACCGACCGCCGTGGCCGCTCATCGGACGGACGGGTTCCAGCTTGGCTGAGCACTGGAAAGAGGAGCCATTTTCGTACTTGAGTTTGATGGCAAGCGGATTCCCAAATTTCTTCATGTTTGGAGGGCCTAACAGTCCAGTGGGCCATGGAAGTCTGATGTGTCAATTGCAATGGAGTGCCGAATGGATATGTAAATGGGTGAGGAAGATGGCGTATGAGGACATCAAGTAAGTACCCAATACTTCGTGCGAAGACGCCTTTTCGATTCCGCGGCAACAGAAGAGGAACCAACTGCTGACTAGTCCGATCCGAAGACTCATCGACCCAAAGCCAGAGGTGGTGGAGGAGTTCAACTCCTACGCTGATGAGATCATGCAGACATTGGTTTGGTCTGGCGGGTGCAGGTCGTGGTATAAGAACCATCGCGTTGATGGGCGGGTCACGGCTGTCTGGGCTGGGAGCGCGATAACGTATCACGAAATGATAAAAGAGCTGCGACCCGAAGACTTCGATATCGTGTACAGATCAAGAAACAGATTCAAGTTCATGGGAAACGGAAGGACTGCTATGGAGAGTACGCCTGGAGCCGATCTGGCATTCTATATTTACAAGTAAAGCAGTTCAAGACGAGACGGGAGCGATAAATTCGATGTTGTGTTATCAAGCTCTGTTCTTGATACCAAAGCCTGCATTCAGTATGTAACGAAGATGAATCTTTGTATTGAATAGGCTGATCATTCCTTGGCAGCAAATAAATTGTACAGGGTCGTGATGGACCTAACTCTGCTCGCTACCTAGGTACGCATGTGCGTATGAATGAAGGCTGCTCTCAACTAAAACTCAACGTGTTTGGTTTCGTTTTATCCACCTAAGACCAATAATCGTGACCGTATGAGCTCCCGAGAAACCCAGCTCATGAGCCAGGTACGAACCGAATCAAATATCGATGAGAAGCTCCTCCTCCTTTTCGTTCTCTGGTGGCTGAACAGGCTTGACCGGGGAATCAGCACCATCGCCGCCGAACGACATCAGGGATTCGGCGTAGGGAGCCACCGGTATTTCCATCCGAAACCGCTCGCGCAGGCTGCTGGCGCCGACAACCTCCTGGTCGGTGCGGTGTCCTCGTCGTATGCCCAGGACTTCCGCCTCGAAGCCGAGGTCAGACTCGCCAATCAAAGAAATAGAGTCGACTGGGGCTTGGCCTCCTCCGGGTGTGAGTGAGGCAAAGATGTCGGTCTGGGGTTGGTTGCTTCCTCCGGTGCTGACCATGGGGTTGTTTCTGGCTGACTCAAATGGTTCCTGGCGTCGCACATTGGCATTGTTCTGGGGCGAAGTCATGCGCACTTGAGCTTGATTGCGCTGATAGTTGGGCCTAGTTCCACTCCTTCGCTGGTTGCGCGGCGCACGCAAAGGCTGGAAAGGGGTCTTGTTATTGGAAGTCTGATTCTGGTTCTGTGTCTCTTGACCCTGTCGCCGCTGCCAACCATTCTTGTGACGACGACCAGTGTTGTGGCTGTGAGTCTTCAAAGTCATAGAGGGACTTTGGACACGAGGGTCAGGCTTCTGCTCAATCACTCGCACTCCGTCTCTGTTCGAAATAGGAATGAATTGCTCCCTGATGTTGCTCTTTTCGGGGCTGTTGACGGATGTCGATGGGGTGTCCAGCTCGATCAAAGGTTGAGACGAGGCTGCTGGAGCTCGACTTTCTTGTGCCTCTTTCATCTGCCGGAGTCGGGCCTCGCGGATCACGTCGTCGTAAACCTGAGGATTTTTGCTAAACTCGACCCATTTCTCCGGGCTGCTGTCACGCTTTTGCTCTGTTGCCGTTTCAGGGCCCGACGTAGAAGATGCAACTTCGAGCTGAAGCTGGGCTATCTGCCGCTCTGCTTGCACGACCTTGTACTGGGTACAATCCTCGCAGCAACGACAGGGGTCGGCGCAGACACCAGAACACTTGTGCCCACAGGGAAGTAACCTGATACAGCTCTTCAGACAGGGCAGCGTCTCGTGAGGGACACTGCTCAAATTGTTAGCATTTAATGTTTTGAGTTATTGTACTTCACAATCTTACGCGTGACAAGTCAGGTTACAGGCGTGGCCGCAGGGCAACATGGAGTCACATTTGATCCAACAGCCGCCTGCATTTCCGATGAAGTCCTCTGGCGTTTTCATCCAGATCTCGTTCGTGCTCTCCTTGTTGTTGTGGTTTTGACAGACCAGAGGCAGCCCCTTGCCCATAGCAACTCGCTGCTGCTCTGCAAACCCATTCCAGACAGGAGCCCACGTGTCGAAGGACCGGTCTGTAGCCCCGAAAAGATTGTTCTTGTTGCCGAACATAAAAAAACCACGACGGGCTCTGCTGATGGCAACGGTTGCACGATTCGGGCTTTCCACGAAACCAACGCGCTTGATATCGTACGGCGTCGGCGGGCTTCTCACGAGGGAGAGGAGGACGATTTCGTTTTCTTCGCCCTGATAAGAATCGACGGTTGCAACATTGAAGTATGCCGTGCCCAGTGTTAGCGAATCTCGACGGAGGAGCTGTGAAATTCTCTTCCGCTGCCCACGGTAGTAAGTTAGCACAGTGATCTGCGATGGCTTGATGCCGTTCTTTATGAGGTATGTCATAAAGCTAACGATCATCTTCGCCTCTTCGAAGTTGACCTTGCTGTTGTCGGCATCCGTCTCTTCTGGCCACTCGTGCGTAAAGAACCAAGTGCGGCGAGAACCCATGCCAGGAATCAGCGGGCGATTGGCGACGTCTTTGACAAGAGGGTGGTCTTTCAAGTCAGGATAGTATTTCTGCACGATATAGCGCAGCTCTGGGGCCATGCGACGCTGTCGGTTCAACATTGTGTAGGGGACTCGATTTCGCACCATGCGCTCGAATAGAGAGACGTTGAGATTGAACGGCTCATTTCCAAGACGGGCAATATCGCACTGGGGCGGAAGCTGCTGGTGATCGCCGACAAGAACCAGCTGATCCAGACTGGGGAAAAGAGCAGAGGTCACATTTGCCTCTCTGGTTTCAGCAGCCTCTTCAATGAGTAGGACGCGTGCTCCGGTGGCTGCGAGAAATCCACGATATTTAGTAAGACCTGTCGTGGTGCAGCCAATGATGTCAATGCAGTGCTTTTCAAGAACGTAGAGGTCTCGAAGCCATCTATTGACTTTTTGCTCCTTGGCGTGGGCGACAGCCTCGTGGAGGATCCCGCGGAACTTGGCCATCGATGCTTCTCGGAGATTGGACTGAAGGATCTGGTAGACGCCACCACGAAGCGGAACTGGGATCTGATAGAGATCATCATTGTGGGTTAGACTGGCAGCACACCTGGCGTGCCAGCTAGGGACATGAGGCGTCTTGCCGGTATAGTAGCTGGTCAATGGAATCCAAACGCCTTGCAGGCGATCGTCCTCGTCAGCTGTCTCGTCTTCAAAGTTGGGATCCAGCTCATATCCTTGCTCGTCAACGCCCTCCTCTTCCTCAAAGCCAAGGTCTTCTGGTGGCTGACGTATGCTCTCAATTCGCTCGTCGCCAAGCCAAGCCTCCATTGCGGGCTCATCATCGTTTCCCTCCCAGTCATCATTGGCCAGGGATTCGAGCTGCGCTTCATTGATTACGCCAGCATCAAGCAGAGCTTGGGCGTCCAACAATTCCTGGTCGCCAAAGACGCCGTCGACGAGGGTCTTGAATTTTTCGATAATCTTTAGCCGCAATCTCTCAAGCGATCTGTACTTGCCGTCTCTGGTTGAATTGCCGACCGACAGACGAAGGTTATATGCGGTACGTTCCTTGATAATCTCGTTCTCCGTACGACCTCCCACGCGCATTATCTTGGCACCAGCATAGTGACAGTATATGAGCAGCTGATCCAGAGCGTGGTTCGTCTGTGCGGCGATGATCACAGGGGCGTCTCCTGGTTGCCGATTTTCAAGCATGATTTTCAGAGCCTGAACAGATGTGTACGTCTTGCCTGTACCTGGTGGACCCTGGACGACAGCCAACTCCTTTGAGACCATGCGCTGCAAAGCGTCAAGCTGGGAGGAATCAAGGCTTGTGTGGCATTGAAGTTCCTGATTGGAGAGAGGACGGGTTATGTCGCATCGTTGGTACTGATCAGCTGTACGCTGGAATACTAGCCGCTCCAGGTCTGTATTGCCCGACGTCTCCCGCTGCTGTTTTGAAGTGAGCTGCGTGACTAGACAGGAGAGGCTGAGAAGAGGGTTCTGTGTGATGGATTGTGATAGGGAATCATGGTCATCTAGGTTTAGGAGATATTTGTCGAAGATAGACTTCTCACCAGCTGCGAGCTGGAATCCAATGAGTGCATGTCGAACCGCCTCGTAAAATCCATTGCGCGATTCGATCATGACCAACTCGTGGTCGGGGTCGATGATGGATTCTTCAGAATCGCGCCAGAATATGTCCACCGTGGGTGGATTCTGATCCAAGCCACCCTCAATGGGGCGTTGGGCGATAATACCCACCCTGCAGTCAGTCTGGAAGTCATCGCCTGAGAGCGCGACAATGCGACCTGGAGTCAGGCGCTTGGCCTGTTTCCAGAGGATCTTTCGGCCGGCTCGGCCGGTCGAAAAGCTGACCCGGCAGACCGGGCCCAGCTTTGTCATCAAGTAGCCCTTGACGAAGACCTACGGTGAGTGTGAGTGTCAGCCAGCTCAAGCAGAAGTAGCTCATGATGGATTATGGATACCTTGGTGTAGATGCACGTGTCTTGATCGTCGTTCATCGTCAAATTGGACTTAAAGTCGTTGATCGAGAACCGAAGTCCTTCGACGGCCTCGAAACGGAGGATCTTGTAGAGAGCTTCAAGATATTGAGCCTTAGAGGAAAAAGAACGATCCACGGGGAAGGTGGGTAGATCGTTTGTGGTGGCGATGGGGTTGAGCAGCTCAGCGACGGTTGGTAGATCTGGGAGCTGCTGCCACGGAGCGGTGGCACCTTGCGCCTGGAGAGGGTCGAAGAGGACGTGGTCACGAATGATCGTGACCGCGTCAGGGTTGGTCGGCATGGTGCTGGTGGTGGTGGTCGTCTGCACCTGAGACCTTGTACTTGGTCAATGTCAGACTGATTCAGGTGTTGGGGGAGAGAAGTTGGTTGAAAGTTGTGTTTGGTGGGAGGGACAAGAGTGCTGATGAAAGAGAGAAAGGGGGAGGGCCACATACAGAGGAAAATGCAGGGAGAGGGAGACAATGTGATCAAGTGAAGGAAGGTGCTGGGCAGGGGGCGCCTGTGTGTCGTGGACAAACCTTTTCAGGGCAGGCAGTCGCGTTGACTGCTGGCGAAGGTCTCGTCTTCGCCCAAACAGGGGGGGGGGGGTTGAAGAATGGACAAAATCTTTAAATATCGTCAGAGAAAGTCGCCAAGGATTTATTGATCAAAATTGACGATACAATGTGTTTGTGCTGATGTGGGACCACCAGCACGCGAAGTTGATTGTTTGCCTCTGGACAATCGACCTCTGAACAGGTAGGGATGGTGATAGGGAATCCACAGCATACCTTCTTGTCCTTGACTAAGAAAAGCCTAATGGCTATTGTGCGAGGGCTGGCCAAGTGAATCCTGACTTCGCGTCGTCTGGGTGTCCAGGAGTAAGTGTGGCTGTCAAGTCTGGATGAAAGCTCTCAATGAGATCTTTTGGACGAGAACGTTTGGATAAAGTTGAGAATGAAAATGTGTGGATGGGAGGTGGCCATACAGAGCTATCTGTAAACAAGATCAGATGGAAAACATTCAATGAAAGTAAACAGAACCAATCTAACGAAGACCCGAGGACCAGGAGCAAGGAGACTAGACGCCCTCCGTTGCACATTCAGCGAAGTCAAGGAGGAAGCTACAGTGGGCGTTGACAGCTTCTTCAGCACATGACGCAGGCAAAAGTGGTGCACCTTGATACTATCAGGGCATGAAGTATTTTTCCTTGTTGCTCTCAATTGTACTTCTTTCTGTCTCTCCTGAAACCTTGCCTCGTTCTTTCAGCCACAATTCGAAAAGATTGTAGGATCTTTTGGTTGATGTTTCCGTCCGCGATGGGTTGCTCTTGACCCAGCGGTTGTGATGAAGAACGCAGCAGTCAAGCACAAACTTTGATCTACTGTCACTTGGCCGGCTCTGCCACTCTCAATTTAACTTCTGATTTGACCAATGACACTTTCTTTACACTATGACACTATTCCTGAATCTGCTTGAAATGGAAAAAGGGAAAGATGAAAGTGAACAGAATCATTGTGGCCCCTGAAACATGTAAGGGTTTATCGAAAGCTTCGGATTTGGGTGTTTGAGCAAACGACGTGAGGCCAAGCCAACTGGATACCAAATGACCATACTCAACCACAAAATAGAGTTCAGGGGAGGCAATTTCACTAGTCAGAAATGTGCTGAAAATGTTTTCATGTTTCGAACTAAAAAGAATCTACCTAGGGATTAAATAAACCTTTGGAACTGACGCTGAAAACATGCTCAGAGAGCACTTGAGGCCCAAAAGGGCAATTTCAAGATATCTAGCAATCAAGAGATCTAATGCGAAGTTCCTGTAAATATTTTGCAAGAGGATTCCAGGTCTGGCCATGATTGCACCAAAAAAGCATAAATTTGTCAACTTCTTTCGGTTTGTATTTCTTTTCTTTCCTTCTGGTATCCAGCAGGTCTTAGCATGGCAAACCTGCTCTTATAAATCAAACCAACTTCAGAAGACACACATGGCAGCGTGGATGTGTTCCCACTCTCATCAACCAATGTTGGCTTGTTCAGAATGTAGAGTGGTTCTTCCTTAAATAGTATTTGAGATTATTAAAGTTCTTCGGTATGGGCCCCCTGGGTTCTGCACCCCAGAAATTGAAAGTAGCTGCAGGATTATCTTTGTAGGGCCGAGTATAGCATGAGAGCTTCTAAGAGAAGCTTTCTCGCATTACACAGTCTCTCACAAGTAAAGAAATTCCCTAGACTATGAAGCGGTATCAGCCCTCAGTACTGGACTGTCGGTTTCAGACCCGAACAGTATATTATGCTGTGTGAATATTTGCATGCTTGTCCGTAACTTCATGTGATGATGTAGATAGATCAATGCGTGCTCGATTCAACAGGTCTGGATGGCCTGCTTCTGGGATCTCATCCGTAATGATGACTGGGGAATAAAAATTTGGCCATACAGTTGTGGAAATGGAAAATAGAGTAGTTTCGATCCAAATTGGTTGCAATAAAAGCCTACTCCATGATCAAGGGCTTGACAAGGAGGCTGGAGTGGCGTAAAGGCCATCGAAAATTTGTCTGCAGCCAATCAACCCTCAAGTGGCGAGGCTGACCAGATGGCAATCCGTTTCCAAGCCCGGGTCATGCACTTCACCAAACTGCAGGAGCACCCTCTTTTTGGAACGATACGTCCAAGCTGCTGACATTTGGTGGATGTGGTGGCGGCTGGGGGCGTTCCTTATGCACTGTCAGCATTTTGAAGAGGTCTGTCAGCCACGTCGCCATCCACGGACGGGATCGAACGTTGCCAAGCTTTTCGCAGCATCACAGCCAAAATTCGTTCGTAGAATTTGCCAAACCACTTCCTCGACGACTAAGATAGGATCTTAATACGTTTGGATATTGGGTGTCAGCATTTTGATTCTCTATGGCTCGGTCGCAGACTGCTTGAGTTGTATGATATCACTTTCATGGTGGCTAGTAGGAAGAAAGCAGATGCAACTACTTAATCGTGTTTTGAGCACCTTCTACTGTAGTGCCATCTCGGTCTTTCTGCATCGGACTCGATATTTGTATTAGTACTCACCTGAGACTGTTTAATCCATCGAAATCAGACCCAAAATCATTTCCGTATTCCAGCAAAAGACAGACCTACAACTTGCGATGGCTGAGACAACAACACAAAGACCCCTTCGGGTCGCCATTGTGGGGGCTGGTATCGCGGGCCTGACAACCGCCAAGTCCCTCCGCCACTTCTACCCAAAGAAGGCAGTTGACATCAAGATCTATGAGAAAGCCACCAAGCTCAGCGAGGTCGGCGCCAGCATCGGTATCCACACCAGCGGGCTCAAGATTCTCGACAAGCTCGGAGTCCATGAGGCGCTGGACGAGTCCATCTGCATCCGCCAGTCCAGCGGCTCGCCCATAGCGTTCCGACACTGGCTTACTGATGAAATCCTTGGAATGCAAGACAGCAAGGTGGAGGGCGGCGTGGAGGAGAAGTACCGACCGGCGAGATTCCACCGTGCTCATCTGCAGCAGGTGCTTATCGACGCTCTTCCAGAGGACGTTGAGTTGCGACTGGCGACCAAGCTCTCTGGGACGAGTGTCACTCCCGGCAGCGACGATCCTGTGACTCTGTCATTTGAAGACGGCAGCAGCGAGGCAGCGGATCTGTTGATTGCGGGAGACGGGGTGTACTCCAAGATCAGGAGCACCTACGCTCCTGATGCCGAAGTGAAGTGGCTGGGCATGATTGCCTTCAGGGCCGCGTTCGAGGCTTCCTTGGTCAAGGACATCGAGGGTCTGCCTGCCGATGCTGTCCGCTGGAGCGGCCCAGATGATAGAAACTTCGTTTCAGGAAGACTAGGTATGCTCACAAGAGAAAACTTTCGAATGAAGGAACCTGCTAATTTCTCTTGTTCAGGCAAGGGCAAGTATGCCATTGTGGCACTGCACAACGTCGACCCCAACGACCCGAGGGACCCCTTCTGCAGCGCGGAGTGGGACCAAACGAGCAACCTGGAGCTCTTCAGTAGCCTTTACGGGGTAAGCTAGGGCCTCTTTGATGCACACGTGAAATTTTGCTAACATCAAACAAGGACTGGAACCCAATCGTCCAAGGCGTAGCAAACGCAGCCCCCTACATCAAGACCTATCCCATGTGCGCCGTCACGCCCCTCGACTCCTTCATCTTCGACGGCCACGTCGCCCTCCTCGGCGACGCAGCCCACGCTCACGGCGGTGGCGTCGCAATCGGCGGCTCCCTTGCCATCAACGACGCCTACGCCTTCGCCCTCGCCCTGACCCACGTCTGGCCTCCTGCTGGAACCACCTCGACCTCGGCCCCGAAGCCCAGCCCAGAGCAGCTGGACAGGGTTCTGAAGCTGTACGACGAGACGAGGAGGCCGCTTGTCAACAGGCTCTTGGGCGGCGTCCACGCACTGGCGCAGAAGAGGCGGTGGATGGCGCAGAAGAAGACGCTGGATGGCAAGGGGGAGACGGACGAGCTGCTGCGGGCTAGGATCGCAAACAGGCCGGACTTGAGCTGGCTGACGGAGCATGACGTCGAGGCGGAGTTTGAGAAGGTCGTCGCCCGCGTTGAAGCCGTTTGAGACTGCTCCCAAACTTGAGTTTTGAGTGACTACTGGCACAAGGCTAGGTAAGATTGATCGCAGTGATACGAATTTGTGTTCTCGGTGACCAGGCGTACGGATGTTTTCCATTTTATCAAGTTTTGTGTGACCGTCTCATACTATAGATTGACAGAAACACTGGATATCTTCGGGCAAGGTTTGCGTCTTGGTTGCACTTCTTTCATCCATGATCATGCCTAAATCACAAGTATTTGCCCGGAAAGGTCCTGCAGGCCGGCGTCGAGGTCGTCGAACTGTTGAGTTCTATAACCGACTCGTCGTATCGTATAGATGTGTGCTCGTATACTTAAGAAGGAATAGCAGATGCCTACAAGCAGCATGCCATAGTGACTACTACGTACCACTAGATCGTGTTGATCCCAAGCGCTTCTAGCCTACAGTTCTATGTTCGACCATACAGACCTGCTTGATGATATAAGCCTATTTTATTTCAAACATGAGGATCAATCAGAGACTGCCGAAGTTTTTTTGTCCGAGGCAGCCGGCCAGAACCTATCCACCCAGCCATTCAGGCGTACCGGTACCCAGTACCACTGGACAAATTGCCGACTGTCAGGATGTGAAGCGACCAGTTGATGTCTGATACGAGGACAAAATGATTCTGCGAAGGATTCCAGCGTCGTATTCAACGACCAGAAGCCGTCTGATGTAATCTTTTTGGCTGGAAAACCAACCCCTCCGTCATGCAATGTGACGTTGACGAGCTCCCGTGCGTGCAGTCTAGACGGGCTCTTATCTCTACTGCCGTCCTGTATGGTGGCACAGATATAACTCGTGCTTACACGCACTCTTAGTCCTGCATAGAACCTTGGCACTTGACCATCGCATACTGCTCGGACTTGGATAGTCAGTTTGAGCGGGGCTCGTTCTCTAAAGCCTAAACCTTTCAGGTAATTCAAGTACTCTTTTGCCTTGAACGAACGACTGCGGGGTTTTTACAACTCTTACTGTGAGAATTATTACTCCACCGTCGCCGTCTCGCCAAAGTAGTTATCATTATTGACGAACCCGGGATGTATCTTTCAGAGGATTTAGGACGCACCTCTTTGCGCTCAAGCCTGGCTTTGGTTGGGTTGCCTGGCATCATCCTATGGGTAAGCCGTGTTTGTATGGTATTGTGAAATTGCGAATGTCTACTTACACTCATAGTTTTGTGGCCTTGTTGCATACCGGCTATATTTCCACCCGCTCGCTAGGATTCCTGGACCATTCCTCCAACGAATTTCGGGTTTACCTAGGATATGGCAGTGCTACGTTGGTAATAGATACCTCTGCGAAGCCGAAGCTCACGAGAAGTATGGTATGTTATGACCATAGCCCCTATCATTATCCAGCCGTCTCTGACATTTCCTACAAGGATCGGTTGTTCGAACGGGTCCGAATTCAGTAGGTGGTTCTCTTCAGGGCCGATACTAGCTGGAAGTCAAGACTGCTTACTGGCATCAGCTCATCTTCAACACACTTTCATCGTTGCAGACGCTCCACGTCAAATCAGCCAACGTGTTCAAGGGCGATGAGTTCTACGGACTCTTGGACAGTGGGCCAGCTGGCGGCAAAAGTGTGCAGATGATTGCTGACAACGAAGCCCATTCCGCGCGACGTAAGCTGCTGGACAAAGCCATCCCCCCGCGAGAGCAAGTGTTCCGCGACATCGATGAGCTGTCCCAGCGCCTTGTATCTATCACGGAGAAAGAAGCAAACGCTCATGGTGGTGTGGTGGATGTTGCAACTGCGACTTCATGGTACAGCTTCGACGTCATTAGCACCATAGCGTTTGGGCAGTCATTCGACATGCTGCGCACCCATGATTGGCGATGGCTGCCTCTTTGTCTTCAGGAGATGAGCGCATTCCTATACGCTGCTGGGTACGCCGGTGGTCAAACCCTGCTTCTGAAGTTCTTCCAGTGGCTTCTACGAACCAACTGGCCTTCCCGCCTCCGGTGGACTACAGCCATCCAAGCTCAGAAGTACGCAGATCTTGCGGCCGATCGTGTTCTCGACCGAGGCAGTCGCATGAAGTCTCAGGGAGATGTGACCGACTCCAGCCGCAAGGACATCTTCGGATACCTTATGCAGGCCAAAGTTCACAACAGTGCAGACTTGACATCAGAGAGCTCTCTGCTGATCGCCGCCGGAAGCGACGCGGTGCGGTTTTCTATTGCAGCGACAGTATTCTACCTGCTGCGAAATTCTGAGGCAAAGGCAAAGGCAGTAGCGGAAGTCCGGTCACTCGATCTGGGCTCCAATGGCCTCAGCGAGTCCAAGGTGGCCTCCCTGAAGTACCTCCGCGCCTGTATTGATGAGGCTATGCGTCTCAGTCCTCCGAAGGCAGGCAGTATCCCCAGGGAAACAGCGGCAGGGGGGATAGTTATCGACGGGTGGGCGGTTCCGGAGGGGATGAGCGTTGCGACGTCGACATACACTCTGCACCGTGATCCAGACATATACAAGCAGCCGTACGAATACAGGCCTGAGCGATGGCTGGAAAGACCCCACGACCCACGACTTTATGCTGCATTCACTCCCTTTATAAAGGGCCCGCGGGCCTGCCCTGGCAAGGCTGTCGCTTATGTTGCCATGCAGACGGCTTTATTGCATCTGTTGCGAGAGTTCGATATCGATGGCGCAGGTGAAATGAGTGAAGAGGTAGCTGGTTCCGAACATGCCGCAGCGTCGCGAGGTCGGCGGAGCGATTACCCTTTCAACGATTGGATCATAGGGTATACGAAGGGACCGTTTGCCAGAGTAACGAGGATTTCGAAATCAGCTTGAGAAAGACTATTGCAGGATTGAAGAGGTCGGATGTGGCGGTGGGACGGAGGACCTAATTGACCACAGTCGTTTTCGTAGTAACAATTGGGACGCGGTAAACGGTATCGTTGGCACACAGTACGGATTTAGCAGCCTGAGATTTATTGTTGTCGAAGTAAATCAGACATAAGAGATATCAAAGACATTTGGACTAAAACTGACAAAGTACTATGTGACATCACTGCGCGTCTTGCCATGCTCACAAACCAGGCAGCAGAGCGACGAGGAGTCAGATTGCTTTTGAGACCTATTCATTTACGGATAGGGCCATTATAAAGACGGTTGGCATCGCACGGGTGTCTACCAAATGACCTAAGTCCATATGCTCCCGGACATAATGCCATTGCTCTCACTTCGAGAGGCCTGAGGCGCTCAAGCGTCTTTCAAGTCTGAGATGTTGGCAAGGACAGATTCCTCCAAGCTAACCCAGCCCGGGCGCCCAAGATCTCGCAGCAACTGCTCAGCCGCGTCACGGGGCTTGATCTCGTTGGGATCTGATCCGGCAGAGAAGTTCTCGGGCAATTCTTTGTTGGGCGCCGCCTTGCGGAGGATGTCTAAAACTTCATCCCAATTAAACCGTCCGGCAAAGGCAAATATCCGTTGATCCTTGACGTTGTCAAGTACGGCGGCTGCGACATGCAGCCTACCGGTATCCTGGACGTCGATGTAGTATTCTGGAGACTGCTTAGCCATAAACTTCCATTTAATAGGGGAAACCAAATGCGTACGTGGCTTTATTAGTTGATGGAAAGGTGTCACCTGTCCTTGCCAGAGTGCGACAGGGAGAGCGGAGCTGCTAGGGTATCCCTGATTGATTGGGTCCAGAGACTTGCCGAAGTTGAAGTTGGGGAGAACTGATAATGTCAGCAGACACACACACACAATCCAAGGAGTTGCCAAAACTCACCTGTGTTAACAACTAAGTCGGGGCGCCTGTTGCGGTTTTCTTTGTGGTACTTCCAAACTGCCTGCTCAGACTCTGTTTTGCTAGCGGCGTAAACAACAGCGCCGCGCTCCTGGGTATAGGGAGGATCGGCCCATGCAGCTTTGATTGCGGTTTCATTCCAAGTGTCCTCGGTCACATCGATACCAGGTGCGGTCGAATCGGACATGGAGAGAACAGCTGCCGATGACGATGAGGTCAAAACGAATCGCTGCACGGAAGCCTCCTTATAAGCTGACTTGAGGGCATTGAGAGCAAATGCAATGGCCTGGGGAATGACAGCATTAGGGTCCGCCGAAAAGCTCACGATGCTGGCAGTATGCGCGACAACGGAGGTGCCTATACAGGGGTCAGTCATTGATTACAAATTCCCCAGTGCTCAGCATACCTTTCACGGCCTCGTCGAACGCGCCCTCGACTGTCAGGTCGGCGACCTTGAAAAGCTCGAAGCTGCCCTTTCCATACTTCTTGTCGAAGACAGCTTGGAGCCATGCATTCTTCTCCGGGTCTCGAACAGTGCCGCGGACTTTGTAGCCATACTCAAGGAACTGATCGGCAATGTGGGAGCCCAACAGACCGTTAGCTCCAGTGACCAGGACAGTGGAGCCCTTGGGTACTGCCGGGTTATCAAGAGGTGCCATCGTGATTGAGGGGTTAGACGTCGAGATGAGATGTTCAGGTGAGCGAAGAAGTAGCGTTGAATGTATGTTCCTAAATGGAGTATTGAACGGCGCCTCCTGGTTAAATAGCCAGGTATGAGAGTGCAATTGTTTCAGCTTCAACAAATAACCTTCGACGTCGGGCCGTTCGCAATCCCGATGCGGCCTGATGAGTGATAGCTTTAACCCACTCTTGGCGTCGCCCACGAGCAGTGCCGCACAGCCGCAGCAATTGGCTAGCCCATATAACCCACTGAAAAGAGTGATCTAGTAAACTCCGTCCCATTGACCGGACGATAATACTATGTACCCCAGTTTTCTGACAACACGCGTATTAATCAGGCCACCTCTAGACACTATAGACCTGTCCCTTGGATTACTAATCTATCTGCCCGTAGGAGGATAACCTGAGCTAAAGCGGAACGGGAACATTAATCCGTCCGAGTTTCCGGAGACATATTTTTTTGGGCAGTTTATACATTTCTCTTCTATGATGAGATCAAAATCGTAGGTAATGAGGCCACTGTCAGTGCGGGTGATTGTCTTGATCCTTGATCTTCCCGGTCTTATACGGCCGGCGTTTTCTCTTCACTCAGCCCTATGCTTCATGTATTATTAATCGTTATTTACATAGACCTATCTATAAAACACACAATAATGCACAACTCAGTCAAGGATCTTCTCATTGTCTTCTTTTCTTATCAGGTCTCTAGGTAGTGATTTTGGACTTCCTGCTCGTGACAGATGCAAAATGGGGAAAAGAATCATTACGGTCGTCGGCATCACCGGAAAGCAGGTAGGAATCCCACCTACTACATCAGTGTCTTGACATGGACTAGTGTGGATGAGTCCTGCTGACATCGATCCGAAAGGGCGCTTCTGTTGCCGACGTGTTCCTCCAGGAGGCAGGTTGGCACGTCCGCGGCGTTACTCGCAATCCAGATAAGCTAGAGAGCCAAGCCTGGGCTGCCAAGGGTGTCGAACTTGTCAAAGCAGACTTGAACGACGCTGCCTCCCTGAAATCGGCCTTGGCAGGATCGACTTTGATATTCGGAGTCACCGACTTCTGGGGAATCGTCAGCGACCCAGAGATCCAGGGACGAGCCCAAACATCCAGTCTCCCAGCTAATGTGCTCGCGTATGAACTTGAAGTACAGCAAGGTCGCAACATTGTCGACGCAGCTTTTGCGACCCTGGACACCCTCGACAGATTTGTGCTCTCAACGCTCTCGCCCACGAAGAAATGGAGCAAGGGAAAGTATACACACAACTTCCATTTCGACGCCAAATGGGAGGCGGTTGAATACCTGAAGGCCACGTATCCGGCTCTGGAGAAGAAGACATCCTATCTTCAAGTAGCGTTGTATCTTTCCAACTGGAAGACTTCCCAAATAGCAAGGCCAAATAAGGTAACTGTGACCCCTCAAAATTCTCTTGTATTAAGCAGCTGGTTCTTGATTGAGATGTGATGGGACGGACACTGATTGGACTGTAGCAACCTGATGGTACATTCCTCCTGAGTCTTCCGGGAAACCCCGACACCCCAGTCGCGCATGTTGATGCGCGCCGCGACACTGGTAAGGTTCCCGCTATACCTTAGAGAAATGCACAGCTAAAAAAGCTTCTTGCAGGCTTGTTCGTCCGGGCTCTTACCCAGGTTGAGCCGGGTAAGCACCTTCTGGGTGCCTCGGGCTTCATGAGTTGGAATGATTTCGCCGCCTTGTGGGGTCGAGTCCACGGTGTGAAATGTCACTTCCAACGCCTAGACCGCAAGGTTCTAGAAAATGCGATTCCCGGAGGTGTCGGGGAGGAGCTAGCCGACATGTTCGAATACATAGGAGACTTCGGATATCACGGCGGTGACCCAAACATTGTCTTCCCTGCGGATGTAAGTACCTCCGACCACGAAGGAAAGCCCCTAACTAATGCAACCAAACAGCTTGGGGTGGAGATTCCAGTAACGAGTATCGAGGATTATATCAAGAAAGAAGATTGGTCAGAGGTCCTTTGAGGCAAGGTTGAAGGTTTCGGCCTCGCGACGCGGACACGACTCAGTAGGCGCATCTCGCGTCGCGCTTCAGTAGATTGAGAGTAGTGTTTTATGAAGTAGAGAAGCTACGTTCAGAGTTGGCTCACTACACTGCAGAAATGCAATTCTCTGGTGTCGTGCACGGTCCACGTTTCCAACCCCTGCCCTTTAGGCAGTCGAAAGGCCGGCCAAATTCCACTTCCATATAAAAGTCTCTCCTCGCTCATCGCACGCTTTAACAGACCACGAAGCGCGCGCTTCACACCATGTTTCCCTTCTGCGCCTCTACCTGGAAACTTTGACAACCAATCTGATGTCAAAGGATAGATATGTCCTGTGAGAAGTCGACCCTTACTGCAAATGCTCTCCCTCTTCGAAACTCACAGACATCCGATACCCAAGTCACTAGGCACCCGGCGACTCAGCTATGAAAGCACCGGCAAACACAGACACATTACTACCTAACCACGCACAAACATTACCTCAAGCCCAGTATCAATGACTACCAAGGATATTTCGAACTTTGAAATAGACGTGGAGTGTTCAGAAGAGGAATTGGACGAGGACAACGAATACATCTGCGAGCTTTGGCAGGAAATAGATGAGGAATGCGAAAAGCTTGAAACATATGCAACAGCCGGCTCTCGTGAATCCCACGCGCCTCTGCTATATCCAATGGCGATCGGTCAACGTCTCGATGGCGGCCGTTACCAAATCCTCCACCGCCTTGGACATGGTGGATTCTCGACTGTTCGGATGGCAAAAGACACCACAGCGGGCGCTAAGGGCGCCGAGGTCGTCGCTCTGAAGTTCATAGCCAACAGTCATGCCTCTGGGACCGAATCCGATGACGGCGAGATGGAGTATCAGATGCACAAGCTGATCCAGAGCAGGAAAATCGACAAATCTCATCTACTGCTTTGCCAGGACACCTTCACTCTTCGAGGACCACATGGAAGCCACCGCGTCCTGGTTTTGCCATTGGCAGGCCCTGGCCTGCAGTCATTGTCATTTACTCCATTGATGCACATCACCGACACACCTATAAAATCCCGAATTTTGCTGCGAAGCAACTCTTGGAGGCTGTGAATTCTTTGCATCAAGCTGGGTTTGTACACTGTGGTACGTCAAACCATACCCCCCTCCACCTTGTCTTCATGAAAGTTGTGCCCAACATTGACGATCTGTAGACATTAGTACGCGGAATGTACTGTGGCAGATCAAACCGGCATTTCATCGGACTCTGGTGCATAACTTAGAGACGATGGGTGAGCCCAGAAAGATAAGCTTCAGCACAAGATGGAAGGGCAAGGATGGAAAAGCGATCACCGCGTCAGGAGATCGGGTGTCGCCAGCCAAATTTCCACAAGAATCCCTGGACGACAACATCTTTTTATCAGATTTCGGAAGCACCATCAAGGCCGGAAATTCGGTCTCAAAGAAGAGCAGGGGAGTCCAGAAATTCGTCTCACCAGAGCGTTTCCACGGCCACAATCCCAGCCCGGGGAGCGATATGTGGAGTTTTATGGTCGTGTTCATCTACCTTGATACAGGACGCTATCCTTTTAACGGCAGACTTTTCTCCGAGACACCGGCGCACCTTATGATGGATATGGTCTCTTCCTTAGGACCGCTTCCGTCAGAATGGGCTGAGAAAAAGCTCAAGTCATTCCAACCCAAGTGGTACACAGGAGCTGGTAGCAGCGAGTTTCCAGAGCCAAACAAGACATTCCAAAGCCGGCTTCGTGATGATTTAGTTGAAGTCGAGAAGCGGGGCGCAGCCAAGGGCAATGATGGCGTAATTGCCGCGGCGGAGGAAATCGAGTTGAAGAGGCGAGCAGAACCACATGTTCTCAAAATTATTGACAAGGTCTTTTGTTTCAAGCCTCAAGAGCGTGTCAAGGCGTCAGATCTCCTCGACGACTTCGACTGGAAGATGCTTATGAAGATCTGCGGCGTTGACGACGAAGGTTCCGGCAAGTAGGGCCTCAATATTCCTTCCTCCAAGGTTGAGCAGTAGCTATAGAACCAACCCAGAGATAGTCACATCGGCAGCGATAGTACAGAGCATCGTCAACATCATATTAATATTCATTCCTGGTGTGCGATCAGCTCCGTGCAAACAGCTCCTGGTGCAATTCAGTCACTTCAATGCAAGACATGACAGATTCCTTAGTGAAAACCCTTTACTTGTGCTAATTTCGGCCATGAAGGAGATCCTGAATAAGGCATGGCGACCCAAAAAGGCAGGCAGTTGACAGATAACTGCCACGACATGACTTCCATTAAAGATTATGTAGTGGGGCCGCATGTTGATATCACAACTTATTCATGACCATCCGTACCCCATTGTAAATGAACAGGAATGATGCTAAATGTTGGTGAAGGTCTTCCGGGCCCCTGGTTTGACATAAAGTCTCCGCGTCAGACATTGGACACGACAATCCTCGATAAACTTACAATTGAGAGTGAGGACAAGCACACTACCGCTAAATGTCTGTTGGCCATCGTAAAAGGCATCTAGGCATGTTTAGGGGCAAGCTTGGGGGGTGGCAAGCAGAATAGCTAAGTGTAGGTTCTACGGGTGGCCTTACGCACAGGCTGGAGTGCTGAAAGGCTTCTGAGCCTCGGTCCGTCGCCTGAGAATCCATTCCAAAAGTAGAGTTTCATTCTCGGCGAGATGGTTGATCCGCAGGTAGCAGAAATGTCACTAGTACGGTAGTGTGTCGGACGGATTACTCAACAGATATCGCCGCAGGCGATCGTATGCCTCATTGACGAAATGTATATCAATAATCTTCGCCTGAGTTTTCTTATATATCCTTAGCGTCTAGTATTCACCTCCTCCATTGCTGCCTCTCTTGACCCCCAATTCAACGCCCAAAATGAAAGCTCTTGTCTCAAACCGAGGCATTTTTACCAGGCTCATCAATATTAGTCGTAGCAAGGCCATCGGCGGCCAAGGCGGCCATGTTCAGGACGACGTGGCCGTTCCGAAGATCTCTCCCAACGAGATACTCATAAAAGTCACGGCCGTCGCTCTCAATCCGACAGATTTCAAGCATCTAGATGCCATCTCTCCCCCGCATTCTATCATTGGATGCGACTACGCGGGCGTGGTCGACCAAGTTGGCAACGCTGTCAAGGACAAATGGAACATCGGCGACCGCGTGGCCGGCGCTGTCCACGGTGGCCTATTCCCTGACAAGGGTGCCTTCGCAGAGTACTTGAAGACCGATGCAGATTTGGCTTGGAAAGTCCCTGATGGCGTTAGCGACACGGATGCGGCCACGTACGGAATCTCCGCCATAACCGCTGTACTCGTCCTGAACGGTCGTCACGGGTTACCCTTGGTCAATGCTACGTCTGCCACTCCCAAGAATGAAGCTATCTTCATCTACGCAGGAGCTACCAGTGCTGGGCTGTATCATATCGAGATCGCAAAGGCCGCCGGTTACACCGTCGTAACAACCGCCTCGCCCCGTTCATTCGACCTGGTCAAGAAGTACGGCGCGGATTCCGTATTTGACTACAAGTCACCCACAGTCGTAGCAGACATAATCAGGGCGTACCCCAGCCTCACAAAGGCGGTGGATTGCTTCTCCGAGGGCAACTCGACGTCCATCTGCGCTGCGGTGCTTAAACCTCAGGGCGGCAAGGTGGTCACCCTACTGCCCAATGGCAAGTCGACCACCCCTGGTGTGTCCTATGATCTCGTCATGTCATACACCGCCTTCGGACACCCATTTCAGTGGCTGGCACCTATTGGGCCCAAGTTCGAGGGTAGACCGGAAGACCGTGCGGCCATTGCTCGCTTCTATGAAACTCTGCCACAACTCGTAAATATCTTGAGGCCCATTCCGACCATTACCCTGAAGGATGGATTTGACGGTATTCTGGAGGGACTAGACAAGTTGCGGCGGGGCCAGGTAGCAGGTGGCAAACAAGTTGTCAAGTTGAATACGACATAGTGACAGAGGCAACACCATTAATGGGTGTTGTCTTATGTCGCGGTTGTTGATAGCGAATTGAGCTGCCATCCTCGGTGGATATCGTTTATCGTAAGAGGGAGTAAATCTTGACTTTTTCCATTGAAAATGGTTGGGTCGACGAGAAAGCAGGAGAGATAAGTTACGGAGGGTGGGATGCCCTTGACGCCTTCGGGATAAAGGTTTGGGTGTGATTATCATAATGAAGCCTGGCGATATTCAATGAGATCAGTTCGAGTCTAAATGTGTACCAGAAAGAGGCCTGGGTGCGAATGGAAGATTCAGGGGGAAGTATGGCCATACGAAGCTCACAAATCGCTCGCGAACGCAATGTCGTGAGTTCTCAGGCGCGAAGAGCCTTGGATCGGAACCGAGTATTTCTAGACATAGAAGAATTCAATCACGACCAGGTTCCAGGACCTCGTCAAAAGACAAAAAGTCGTTGAATCCCGTCCCAAAAGGAGGGCCGAGGCTGACTCTCTGTGTTGAGGTTAAGCTGTACCAGGAGGGGAGGAAACATGGGGACGACACAGAGGTTGGAGGCCCAGAAATGGGAAGAAGCCCAGACACTGGGCGGGTCTTCAATGAAGGGGTGTGCAGAGCTTATGCGAGCTGGTCAGGGGCTCAGGGGGGCTGTTGGACAGCCAAGCCAAAGTTGAGCCAGCGAGCAGAGAGGCCACCAAAGCGGCCATCTGTGCTAGGCCACATGTCGCCTGTGTTTGTCTCATAAGGACGAATCACGGGATGTTTTCTGTTGGAGATTGCCTTCCATTCAAACTTAGAATCATTGTTAAGAACGTCATGGTTTTCAGGACAAAGAGGGGTTCATTCCGGCTCAATTCGGACATCTTGCAAAGACCGGCTGTCGACCATGTGCCACGCGGACAACTCAACTTTGTCTTCCCCAGCAGCAACCTTACCCGAATGCGATGTCAGTCACAATACAACTCCACGTTGCGTAGCCTAGTGAGGCGCAATTCTGTGAGGCCTCTACATGCTGGAAATTTTCGACTGGGTCTCAAACGAACCCTAGACTTGCCTACCCCCCTTATTGCACTTTCTTCCAGACAGTGTTGTAGCACTCGCCTTCTTTTCGATAGTGTAATCAGTACATAGGCGGAGGAGTATCCAGGTCAAGCAATACCGTGATCGTCAGTAGGTTGATAATGAATTTCAAAAAAAAATTTGAGTCTTGGCCTCATGGATAAGGGCGTTAGCCGAAGAGGCTGCCAGTACCCGACGGTTTCCAGCCCATAAAAAGAACGGGAGACTAGAACAGCCCGGGGCAGGGGTGCTGACCGTTGTCGGTCACTTACTGCAATGGCAGCCGGGTTCAATACGGCTTGGCACTGATTTACGTGTAAACGGGTCAGGAGAAGCATGGGCAGTACGCGTACTCATGACTGGGAAGCGTGTGGGGCTGTGGATGTGAACTGATGACGGCTTTCGAACATCCCGAGGCAGATGTCTCGGGAGATTCCGAAAATAAGCAACAAGACGTTAGCCAAGGGGCAGGAATCCGCACACTTGTGTCTGACGAAGTCTTCGTAGGGCTCTTAGCATGCTACGTAGTATCGCCAAATACGGAGCTGGTTGGCGCGATGCATGATCTGTACGTGCTGCCACAGAAAGACCTCCATTCACCGCCAGCGAATGCGAATACCACACACTTCATTGGCCTGACAGGAGAGAAATGCCCTTGTCTCCAATGTCGAGTCGAGGGCACAGGCCTGGCGGCAAACTTTGACGACCACGATCCCAAAAGAGGGTCCAGGATTACGACAGCTAGGCACATTGGCCAAGGGGTTCTACATCTCACAAGATCATGCCTTCGCAACTAGATGAATACGCTTTCCTTGACGACATAGTCCTCAGCATTTGACGTAGACTACGTCCACTGGCCACGACCTCGTTGAGCTGCTCGCTCCGCGGAGGCGGGCTCGACATGTGTTGTGTGCAATTCAACACTCTAAACTTCGTACAGTCTGCACCCATGGCCTCCCGCTCCGATTTGAAAGTACAGGGTGGGGAGCACTCTTGGCACTCCCACATGCCGTTGCTTGTTTACGCGTATCTTTGGAGTACCGCCCACTTCCCTAGTCCCTCCTTGTGTGTAATTCATTCGTTTTCATTGGCAAGGAGTTTCACCCTTGGGAATGGTCCTTGTCACCGCGACTGCGATGGTTAAGTAGTGGATTCGCATTCACAGCCTGACGCGTCAGTCTTTTGCGTGTAAGTGATATCCTACCAGCAATAGGGTTCGATCTGACTGGCTGCCAGCCTCTCGGGTGGTGTTCGATGGATCTTTCCCTCGGTATGTGGGATTGACAACCATCGAGCTCTCAGCCTTTTGCATACACGTTGGCTATGATGATCGTCCTCGCATGCGAATAGCAACAGTGTGGCTGAGAGCTCAGGAGAACAATGACACCTGCAAGGCGATGTCTGTCCGGTGAGGACGGCATGAACATAAAGAGAACTGTTTCGCAGACGTGATATCCATCTTTGACATCCCATCATCATCATCATCGACCTCATTGCCACCGCTGCAGTCTCTCACTTGACATCTTTCAATTCGCTCTTTCGCTTCTAGAACGTTGCCTTCACCCACAATCACTATCAAAATGCGTTACACTGCTATCATCGCCGGTGCTGTGGCTGCTGGAGTCGTCTCTGCCCATGGAAACCTCGAACAGGAAATTGCAGTGCGTCGGGCTATGCTCCAGCACACCTCGCGTAATCTCGAGCACTGCTCAGCGAAGCTCAAGACCCGTGGACTTGAGGACCGCGCTGTTGAGCGCCGTGCCAGGAAGAGGGATGAGTTGATCAAGAAGCGCGACATCAAGGCTCGTGACCTCGCCACTGTCCTTGCCACCGACCACAACGAAACAGACACTGGCTTCACACTCAACACGGCCGAATCGGATGTCTTCGCGTCCTATACTTCTTGCATCTTGACCGCTGAGGGAGAGAGTGGCCCTTACTACGTCGCTGGAGAATACGTCCGCGAGGACCTCGTTGATGACCAGGAGGGCGTCCCTGTCCACTATGACTTCCAGGTCATTGATGTAAACACTTGTGAGCCCATCGTCGGCTCCTACTTCGAGATCTTCAGCTGCAACGCGACTGGAGTGTACTCTGGAACGACCAACACCGGCAATGGCAACACGAATGACACCTCGGTGCTCGACAAGACCTTCCTCCGCGGCCTTCAGCCGACTGACGAGGAGGGCGTCGCCTCGTTCAACACTCTCTTCCCAGGCCACTATGCCGGCCGCGCCATCCACATCCACACCATCCTCCACGAAAATGCCACTGTCCGTGAGAACGGCACTGTTTACGATCTCACCGCCTCGCACATCGGCCAGACCTTCTGGGACCAGTCCGTCCGCGACCAAGTGGAGCTGCTCTACCCCTACAACACCAACACCCAGTCTAATCTCCCCAACTCCGAGGACCGGGTCATCGCCTCCGAGACGGAGACCAACGGAACCACCGACCCCTTCTTCAACTACGTCCAGCTCGGTGACAGCATCCAGGACGGCTTCCTGGCATGGATCGTCCTTGGTGTCAACACTAGCCTCAGCACCTCTACCATCTCTCCTGCTGCTGAGTACTACGCCTCTGGTGGCGTTGAGGTGTCTGTTACCGAGTTCTAAGATCGCGGAATGAACGAGCAAGTGGAAAATGTCCGATGATAACAGCTTGGGCGACGTTGTGCTTGTGATTGGTTTTAGCTGAGGATTATACCTGTTATTTACTGCGTTCTGGTTTTGTATCATTGATATCCGTATTAAAATAAACTGAACATGCCCACCCGGGACATTTGATCAACTCTCGTTCTGCGCAACCATGCACCGCTTTTACTGGTGAAAATGTAGGATTTTGCGTTCCCCTACGATCCGGCAGATCTAGCCAGACCAGTTCATCCCCAACATCTACCAGACCTCGGTCACGGTACCGACGTGATCCAGGACGAGCAACACATCTTGTGTGTTGGAAGATTGGCCAACAATGTCACGCAGCATTGTTAGTCAGATGAGACCTGCCAAAAAAGCCGAAACGCCAAGTTCTTGGGCATGCTCCGGATGAACCGTTGTTGCTTTCGGCCGAGAGTTAAAACTGAGACTTTTGTTGATCCTTTCTGAAAACTTTTTCATCACCCAATGCCTGCTCTACACACGCGAGCCTCATCATACCTCGGTTAACACACCGATTGACGTTTAAATCAAAGAATTTCCCGGCTCACATCGTACTTGCCGCATGCCCAGTAGCACAAGTGTCAGAAGAAGCCCATACCGTCTCCACAAGATCATGCAGAGTCAGACCGACAAGCTCATCCTTCCTGTTACACATGAAAGTTAAACATCGCTGCAGCACCTCCATGAAGCTCACCGGGAACCCATTCTCTTCCCTCCACCTGATGTACCTCTCCTCTTCACCATCCAGCATGAAAATAGAATCAATACCCATCCGCATGCAATTCACGGTCGTGTGGCACGGGAAGTCCGCCAGGAACTGCTCGGGCCCAGCCTCGATGGTCTGCGCCCACAGGCTTCCCACAGGCAGCTCGCGCCAGTTGTATTGTACGTGGATATCCCGCGCCGTATCGGCTGCCTCCACCAGCAGCCGATGTGCGTCGAGGTCCGCCTGCTTAAGCGCAGCCTGATGGCAGTGCAGCCACAGCGAGTGCTGCGCGAGCGCGAGAGTGAAGCGGAACGGCGGGAAGAACATGGCAAAGGCTCGCGATTGGTCGATGTTGGGGATGCGGGTATTGCGAGACGAGGAGCTGTACCCGAAGCAGACGGACTTGGGCAGCGTGCGGGTCCCTTGGTACTCGTAGACCGCCAATGCTAAAGGCATGATAGTTTGGACGACCGTTGGCGCGGTCATTCCCATTGCGACGGTCAGACCTTTGAGATCACCTGTCCAGATGGATTGGTGGAAGGCATTGTCTACAGACCACCGAGACACCCTGCCGCCGACACCTGCTTCCAGTGGGGGAATGTAAGGTGGTCGTTCCGCGGCGCCGTGGCTTATCTCGTCATCCCTCCAGAATTTAGCCTTGCTGGGGTGATTGATTTTTGCTCTCTGGAGAAGATCTTGCACGAGTATTCCGGTTGGCAGGGGCTTTTGTGGCAGGTTGTCTACTGTCGCTTGCCCTAGGTATAGCTTCACGACGTTGTCTCGGAGCCTGGAGCGGGAGGTGTTATCGGTCACGACGTGGCTATCAGCAAAGAATAGTTCTCGACATGTGTTTCCCTGCTCGTTAGGGTAGCTAACGAGTAGATACTTCTGTCATAATGACACATGAGGTTAGCATCCGCCCAGAGACGCCAGAATTGATGCGTGAGTGATGCGGGGAGGTTAGTTACCGATGCGCGACTACCAGGAATGTAACGCAGTGCATCGTGTTCCTGTTGCAGCCTCTCAAGCATAGCTTGTTTGGAGGAAGCGGACCACTCTTCCCAATTCAGTGGTGCGACCCCAGGCTTGGCTATAACTTGCAGCCACTCTTCGGATGCTGGTAGTTGAGCCCAACAAGTTCGTGGAAGCTGTCTCGATGAGAGCAAATTGTCAGTGTATCTTGATCATGCGAGTTTGTTTGAGAGAAACAGTTTTGCAACGCACCGGTTCTACCTTGGCCGCCTCCGTAAATGCCGATTTCAACTTTTCAATATCAACAGAGTCTTGTATCGGAGCCCCTATTGTGACGAATGAAGTTGCTGTGTCCTGAAGGCCCCATTTCGTCGTCAAAGTCCCGCTCTGGAACCACTTCGCCTCAGGAGACAGGGGGAGGACATCCTCTAGCTGATCGACTTGCAGCCCTGTTTGTTTTGTCACGCTGGCTAAGATGGAGTCAAGGGATGGTGCACCTTCCATGCCTTCGATGAACTCGCTGAGAACAGAGAAAGGAGCGGGCGGCTCTCTGTCTTCGGCTAAGTCTGAGTCAAGGGTGTTTGTCTTGTCCTTTCCTCTCAAAGCGCAATACGACTTCATACATATGTCAATGACCTGCTGAACGGTGGGATTGAGCATGAGATCTGACATAGCAATATTGCACCTTATATGACGCATGTCGCTTGTGAGCCTCGTCAAGTTCATCGAGTCAGCGCCCAATTCCAAGAGCGTGACTTCAGGCTGAAGGCTGTCGCCATCGACGCGCAGAGCCCCTGCCATCACTTTGATTATACGGGCGTGAAGATCCACGGGATCCAAGCTGTCGACTTCTAGTTTGGCTTTGCCATCCTGCTTTGAGAGCGTCTTGGACAGTTGAGCACGCTGTATCTTGCCTGTGGGGCCTTTCGGAATTTGGTCCTCGAAAAAATGAATGCGTTTGGGGACCTTGAAGAGGACAAGCCGTTCTCCGAGAAGCCGTTGGATCGTCGTCTCGTCGTGTAGCTCTTTAGGGGCATCTTTCGCCAGGGCCACGGCGGCCTCCACCTCTTGGCCAAAGAACGCGTCAGGAACCGCGAAGCAAGCCGCCTCGCGAACATGCGGCGCAGCACAGAGAATCATGGCCTCGTCAACCTCTGGTGGTGATATTTTCTCGCCTCCGCGGTTGATGATCTCGGACTTCCGTCCCACGATGCGAAGATGGCCCCCGGCTTGACTGTCTTGAATGCCAAGGTCGCCCGTACGGAACCAGCGTGTCCCGCCCGAGTCTGTGAAGAAGGCCTTGGCGTTGGCTTCAGGATTTTCGAGATAGCCCCTCGTAACTGAGGGCCCAGTGATGCAGACCTCGCCCTCAACATCTTTCGCAAGCGGACCAGCGGCAGTATCATCGTTGAAAATGCAGAGGGACACCGCGCCTAATGGTTTGCCGACGTACCCTGGTTTGGCTTGACTCGACATGTTGGTAGTAATTTGATGAGCATTTTCGGTCATGGCATACGCCTCCAGAACTGGGCAGTCGAAGACCCTCTGCAGCTCTTTGAAGGTCGAAGGGAGCAATGGCGCAGAACAACTGCGTAGGAACTTGATATGCAAGCCAGGGCCGGCGTGTGGCGCGTGGAGGAGGATCTGCAGCGCCGAAGGGGTACCCGAGAGCCAGGAGCAGCCTGATGCGACGAAATCCTGCCATGCCGTATTGGCATCAAATCTGCTTGGGACCACGACACTGCCGCCAGATGCCAGAGGGGCGAGCAGTCCGGCGACAATGCCATGGATGTGGAAAAGAACTTGGATGAGGTAGCTCCGATCGCTCGGGTCAAGATTGTATGACTGCGCCACGTTCCGCGCGCTGTGGCAGAGGTTGGCGTGGGACAAAGGAACAGCTTTGGGCTTGCCTGTCGTCCCTGATGTGTGCAAGACGAGGGCGATCGAATCGGGATTGGGAGAAGCGAGGAGAGGCATCGCGCCGCTCGATTTGACTCTATCTTTGTCTGATTCCTCCGATCGCTCTTGACGATAAAGCACTTCCACATCCAACTGGAGGGCTGCTAGCTCATCTTGTTCTATATGGATCGAGCAGACTGGAATACAAAGTTTGCGAGCGGCCACGATCCCAGGATGTGCTTCACCCGCAAAAGCTGCTTCGACAACCAGCACACTCGCTTTTGAGTCACTCAGGTAGAACTGTCGACAATGGTCAACATAATGACTAATCACCATATATCCAGGCCAGTCCATGCTGTCTACCCACCTCGTATTCCGGGACGGTATATGCTGGGTTCAACGGAGCTGCGATGGCACCGCGGCTTACTAATCCCAGGAAAGTGACAACAAAGCCAACGCCGTTGGGAAGGGCCATGGCAATCACCGGCTGCCCGTTTATACCGACTTCGCTGCCATTGGCGTTACTCTTCGAAAGGATTAAGTCGGCCACCTGCTGGCTGGCCTGTTGGAGATGTTGTCGTGTCAGTGTCATACCGTTCCGAGCAGCCGCGAAGACCGCGTGCGCGGACGACTCAGCATTCTCCGTCCCAAAAACTAGATCGGAGAGAGTGTTAATGGTCATGGTTGTAGTAAGAAAGAGATTCCGAACGGTTCGTTCAGCATGGGCGCCTGGGGCTTCAAGGGCATAGACACAAAGGCACAGGCGAAGATGCAATTTGTTAAAAAGGCCATAGAACTTCCCCTCAAGTTGCCTGTCATCCACCTGATCGATTTATCCAACGAGAATTGCAGTCGTCACGTGGTGAATAAGCACAGATTTGCGATCTCTAAAGATAACGAAGGCAGTTTCGCGACCCACATATAAGGCCAATAATCCACGGGAACCACCACCCCGGAATTGCAGATTGACAGTGAGATGCATCCAGTTGGACAATCAGTCCATACCGGATTCCACTCCGGCGACGATCGTGCTACGGAACGGGAATACTGCTCGTCTGGGCAGTGTGTGTTATGTAGTGCTGGTTGGCTCACACTATAGGACTAGTCCCCGAATATCATCTGCTTACACGTTCGTAGCACCAAGGTGCATAAATGGTGCATACGGTCCGCAAAGAGTGAATCGGTGGCGAGGCTTTTGGGCATTTCAGAGATGCAGTCAGTGACGCAGCTGTCCATTGGCTCTCAATTAGATAGGTCAGTTGTATAACGTAGGACAAAACGACAGCACGTATGACAAGACTTCATCGCGAGTCTCATCTTGTCAGCTCAGCACCTATTGAATAGTTGGCTTCGACTGCAGCTTCGCTACGCGAGCCCCTGTTTTCCAATAGGCAACCCTCTATTCAAGTCAACAACCTTCTACAACGTAGTGGTGCCTTCGACCACATCCACAACAATTTAGGGACCGTCTCATTAGCTGCCACCTACTCACATGCTCCACAACGCTACAGAATTCTCCATTACTTCTTATCGAGCTTGATTCCTTCGTCGGTGAGCGGACATATGGCGCCAATATGTCCCGTAACGCCTATAGAATGCGCTCATTCCACATGAGATATGTGTCGTACTTCAATATAACACATCAACAGAGGATTCAAACTTGGTCAACTTTTACTTCTGCGTAAAGCTATTGTTCGCTGTTCCTGGCCCTTGCGAATGCACACACATGTTAAAATTGCTCTGTACGTGGATTTCCTCTGCAGGGAAGTTGAGACCCTGTTAGCATTGTGAGCGGTCAAATCCCACGAAGGGTCTGACAAACCACCACTGTCAGCAGCTCCCTCAGCTGATGTAGAAGCGCGGCGGCTCAAGGCCTCATCAACGTTGTACGTGATGTCGTCCAGAAATACTTACCATAATTTCATGTCAAAGAAGAACCCACAGTATCTCCCAGCTATGCAGCCCACTCAGTCTTGTTCTTCGTTTCGACCTGTCTAACGGCTGTGCTGCGGTTCTGTCTAGTGCGTGAAAAGAGAAACACGATAGAGGCGGCGAACGAGACATATTTACTGGTAACTATGGTGTGAATGATGAGACTAAGGGTCAAAATCAGATTGCTCACGCCAATACCTGGGGTTTGCTTGGGTTCACATTCGAGTTATGGTACGTGCCGTAAGGCTGAGGAGTACTGTTGGCTGTATTTTCTGTCCTTTACTGTAAGGAATTTGCGATCCTGATACTTAGAATAGAACCAGTAAGCGTCAACAGGGGAAAGTGTTTTGTAGTATTTCACAAATATTCTCCTCTCACTCTTTTCTCCGTCACACTTCCGACTTGCTCATTGGTTGTAGAAAATAGAATTAAAATTGCCCTTACCATCGCCTTCTCAATTCTGGAATGTGCTACTTGACGGTCGTAAAGTCCCTCACTTTCGGGACTCGGGGTTATACGTTGCAGGATTGATCAACAGCCGGAAGTCGGGGGTATCTATTGCCTTGCGTCAGCGTTTGCACACTATGGGGGAAATCTGACGCTTTTAGGTAACTGAATGAGGACTAATGACCAGTCAATGTTACACTCGACCACGGTTATCGGCAAATACTACACAAAAGGACGAGATGATTCCTCATGGCTAAGGCTTCCCTGTGCCCCGGACCGCCTTACTGCGAGTCTAAATCTTCGGTACTGTACTCAGCTGACTGAGACCCGAGAGCCGAATATGCATATTAAAACCTTAATATACCACACCTTGTACGCTAAATAATCATAAATCACCAGTAGGTTTACCTACACGACGAGACGCGGTTCCGAATGTATGATGCTGACCATGCCTTGTGCGTCTGATGCATTTGAGGAAAGGTTGAAGTTAGGACCCATATAAGCTGACCAAGTCTTTTGGATTTCAAATATCATTTGACCTGAAGAGAGCAGTTCGTGCTGACGCCGTTGTGGATGAGAGACCAGCTCCTGGGGTAGCCTCGTCTATAAAGAGGCCAGAGGGCGTCCCTGCTTGACACAAAACTGCAATTCATCGAAGACAGCACCCACTCCCACATCCAACACGACAACATATCACTGCTCATTCAATATGAAATTCTTCATCCCGATTGTGTCTCTGCTGGCCGGATTGGCCATGGCAAGCCCTGCGAATGTCGTTGACTTGGAAGCACGGGTCGATTGCTCGACTTGTGGATGCTCATCTGCAGAGTCTTGCACTGTAAGTACTCCATCAATGTCAATCATATAATTAGTGATGGGTTTACTGAAAGCTCTGTTATAGTTTGACGTAAGTCCACATATCATTATTGGTTACAGTAACTGTCAGCAGAAAATTAATCTGAGTGAGGGCTACAGTGTTGCCAAGTAAGTCCGTCCCAAAACTAATGTATATAACATATCTTGCTATATATACTGACATATCGCGTCTTACCTTCTTAAAAGTAAATACATGACATCTGCGGACTCTCAGGATTATCAAGAATGGTCGTTGTATGGAGTTCTCCAATGGAGTTTAAGCTCGGCCGACCAAGAGCACGTTCACATCGGCACAGGTCACTCACTGTACGAGACAATATCTGAAGACCAATTACTTAAGAATAAATTCATATGAAGATGTGCTATGTGATAATAACTCTTAACTTTGTGCATCAACACTACTCGTGATTGGCCATTCACTTGGAAGAGTCGGGGACAAGGCGTACTTTGCTCATTTGTCACGATGGCGGTGGAGTCTGCAAGTCGAGATCACTGGCAGGTGAATTTTAAACTACCTAATGAACTGCTATTTCGCCGAGCGGCCAGGAAGCATTGGAGTATACCACGGGATTAGGCATCTGCTCTGGAACACGCAGTAAACAAGTAAAAGGCTTTAGTGAGCATAGCGTGTGGTACCCACTAGTCTACTATAGGATGAGCCCTATATCGTTCCTCATACTATTTTACCAATGTTGAATCAATCAAATTTGTCGCCACTTCGATGGCGTATTGAAAAATGAGGCTGTGATTCTTCCGGGTCCTTTTGCTCTGTGGATCCTGGAGGTTTTCTGAGCGAGATTTCCAATGCTGGAAACCATGTAATTATTGGTCATTATAAATTGTATCGGTGTCAATATTACTTCGTACCTCTTTCCGCTCATTTGAATGGGTCTCGGATGCTTCAAGCGGGCTAGAAGCTCGGCATGGAGCATTGCAGCTGAGAAGGCTCAAGATTCCCATTCCACTAGTACCCCTATCAAGGTGCTGGTGAACAAATGGCGGCCTGGATCGGGGGCGATTTCGTTCCAAGGATCTGCGGCTTTCGTCTCGGCCACTTTATTTGTACTCAATGGAAAGTATGCACTCACTGCTGCCGCAGAGCAGTCCAGAAGCGCGAGCACGTCGGTGCCCGGGTTCCATCTTTCGAGCCGAGTTTTTATTCAAGATCAACTGTTTGGGTCACGTAAGTTTCAAGATTAAACAATAATTTGAAACGGACAATATGTGATAAAGCTCACTGCAGCAAGAGGCACCCCTTCCCTTGTTCTCTAATGAGACATATCTCTTCATTGGCTGTCCTGCTTGTACGAATACCATTATTGGTACAAATTTCGATGGACTTACGCCATTTATAACGACTGTTTGGTCTCAGCCATTTTGGCATATTCTCCGTAGGAGATCTTGAATAACTGATTGTCACTTTCGTGTTCTTTGATCATGCTTCCAATTTTAGAAATGAATTGTTGACCACTCCTGTAGGAAGCGCAGAAATGTTTGCGCAACAGCTACACCATCGTGCTTGTCCGCCATTCTCAGTCTTGCGTCCTGAAATGGACCGTCGGGTATTGTGCCGGCTTGATGGCGAACTCGTAGGAGCTCGCCCATCATAAACTCGGAAAACTCTGGGTGGCCTTGTACCGTGATGAGTCGATGAGGGATGTACATGGCCTGTGTTGGGCACTGCTTGGTGTAGGCTAGGGGAATGATACCAGCTGGATATTCGATCACAGCATCCCGGTGCGTCTGATAGATCCTCTACACAAGGTCACGATTATGACATTAGTAAGTCGGTTGATAAACTTAAGGAGACAACAGTACACTTTCTCTTTTCTGGCGTACATCCTATGCTTCTCCCCTTTCCGTCTTGTAGGGCGGGAAACCGACGACTTACCAGACTTTCAGCCCTGAACACCCTCTTACCCTCCTCAGTGAGCTCCACACGCGTCACGGAAAGTTCCCATCCCAACGGCGAGCGAGCAACACGTGCGCCAAGTGCGCGCGCGACAATCTGATGACCAAAACAGACACCGATGACTCGGACCCGGCCTTCATCCAGTAGGCGGCGCGTGTATTCTGTCAGGCGGACAATCCAGTCGTCATCCGCGTAGGCCGAGTATTTGGATCCCGTTATGAGCACTGCGTCGATGGTTTGAGGTTCTGGATAGGTCGTTTCCGAGTCACCGGCCACAACATCGTGCGCACTGATGTCCAGTTCAGACTCTAAGGTGCGCGGCGGGTCCAGGCTTTCGCAAGCGGCTCGTAGAAGTGAAGTGAAGATATTGTCGAATCGACCTAGTTTTGCTACTACACTGGGCAGTGGCTCATCTGTCACGAGCATGGCCAAGCGGACGGGGTCTGATAGCGGTACGGAACCCATGTTGGGCTTGTGAAATGTCGGATGGATTTTCTCCTGATGAGGATAAGTTGATACGAGTGAGGTGATGTGAAAGAGCATTGTCTCGGAAGACGCACTTTCCTATATATATATTGATAGTAAGCTGTGAAGGATCTCGGTTCGAGCAGTGTTTCACGGATCCTCGTATTACCCAATGCGCCACCAGCCGGAAGGCTGGCTCTCTGACTGGGATGTGTCATTGCCTTGGACCTCGGGACTCTTCGGGCTGAGACCATAGACACAGTCATCCTTCAGCCCCGTCTAGTTTCAGCTCAGCGGCAGCAACCCATGTGGTACTGCTGATTCTTCACTACGGATAAAAATAGGCAGAGTACATTGCTATCGTCAATTTAGGTTTGGTGAGGTAAATGTGTTGTGCCAGGGTTGAACTGAATTAGCTTGTACTTACTCAACAGGTTTCATTAAATTTGATAAATTTCATTCTCATCCGCCCTCTGAGGATTTATTCAACCATCCATTGGTTGTCTTTGCTAAAGATTTCCCAAAGTATCTACTTGTCATGACCTGCTAATACTTGTTCTGAATCCAGCGCAACATTGTTTCTATTTAGATACCTTAGCCTGTCCACCAGGGTGATAAATTCAACTAAAATCGGAAGAGGAACAAAAGTTTATTGTGATCGAATAACGATAACCGTCGTGGACCATAATTGAAAATTTGAAATCTATAAAAACTCGCGTGCGTGAGGCTACCAACACAGCCCCGTTGCAGTCTAATTCTATTGATCTTCTTCGCTCGGCCATTGGTGTGCCGAGATGAAGCTTTTTTCAGTCTCATCTGAGCCTCCGCGGCTTACTCGTATCCTCATCTAGTTATTACAGGCTCCTTGATCGTTATGTACTGACTGTGCGCCCTTATTCTATGCCCATATTTATACAGAACCCATGGCACGGGCACCAAAGCGATGGACACGAAACCCAGCAAGCTACTTGCCCAACCGATTCCCATGGACGAGAACATCTGAACCGTAAACAGAGGGAAGGCACCTCCACCCGCATACCTCAAGAGACTGTTGGCACTGAGGGCGCTGGCGCCGTGTAGCGACCCATAAGAGTTCATGATATACAGCGCACCACTGCTGTACACCATGATGTTTCCAACCGCGAACGGGATGGCCGCAATCACAGGACTGACCCAGTGCACGCCGGCGTCTGCAGTCCACCCGAACCAGAAGAGGCTGACCGGGTTGAGGGCACATCCGACCATGGCGCCGTAGAGACGGTACTCGGGAGGCACTGCCCCGATGCCGTATTTCTCTTCCAACGCTGGGTAAGTTCGGCGGTCTATATAAACCACAGCAAGGAAGCCAATGATGCAGCCCAGCGCAATGGGAATGAATGTCAGACCCTGCTGACCGAGCGTAAAATTGTACTGACCACCGAAGATGTACGGGAAGGCAGCAAAGAAGCTGTAGAACACGGCGAAGTTGAAAGCCATGTAGATAGTCATAAACAGCACGATTGACTCTACGAAGAGCATTTTGAAGGGCTTGAAGACGATGCGCTGGACGACGGCGCTTGAAGGGAGAGTGACTTTGCGTGAATGTGACCGAGGCTCTTCGGATTTCTGCTTTTCGTCACACATGCGCTTTTGGAGGATCGTTTTCTTGTAGGTTTCGAACTGAGGCAAGGAATAAAGGTAGTTGAAGGCGACCATGAACAGGATGACCCATTCCAGCCATCGAAAATCTTTTGCCTCGCTGACAAAACCGCCGATAACAGGCCCTGAGAATGTCAGCATACAGAATTATAGAGCTCTGGGAGAATCAAGTTTCACGTACCAAAGGCCGGTCCGAGGAAAGGAGACACGAAGTAGAAAGGATAGACAAGTCCCGCTAGGGCAGGCGGCCAAAGATCCGCATTTGTGCCACCCCCAACTGAGACGACTGCGCTGCCAAAGAAGCCAGCAAAGAAGCGACAGACGGCTAACGTCGCAAAGTTGTGCGCAAGTCCTGAACCTAGGACGAAAAGGCCGAAGATTGGAAAAGTTGTAAGGTAAACAATCCTGCGGCCGTAATGTTCACTGAGAGGTGCGGCAATAACGGCTCCCATGCCAAGGGCCCAAAGGAAGAGGGAAAGTCCAAGCAGAGAAGTCGTGTGGGAAACCCCGAATTTTTCTGATATATCTTGGGCTCCAGAAGTGTAGATAGAGGAGGCAAAAGACCTGTACGAATCAGAATCGTGCGACTTTGTGAGTCAAGAGAACATGAAGAGTACTAACACGTTGACACAAAGAAGTGCTGGAATGCTGGTCATGTAGATGCGCTTCCACATCGGCCAGTTGTAGGGACAATCAGGATCATCTGGTCCCCTCCAATGGGTCAAGTTGGTGGAGTCGTTTGAGTCGCTGGAATCGCTAAACTCGCTCATTTGCGATTCCTGTTGCATGGCGTTGTGTCAACAGGTGAAGGTCTGGCAGAATGGAGTTTGTGCTCAAAATCCATCACAAGAGCACAAACGAGGCTGAGATCAATGGCGTTTGTTTTTAAAAAACAAATTGAGAGAGAGTGCAGGATCTATCTGAGGACATGCAGTTGGTCCGGTCGACACATTGAGACTCGTGCAGAGGCGCCGCCGCATGCTCCAGGCGAGGGCGCCAAGACCGTCCACGGGGGATTCTCACCCAGGCACTGGCTTCTCTGGCTTTGTGCCGTGCTTCCGAGAACGGCCTTTATTCCTCATGCTACTAGAACGCCTGTCAGCTTAGAATGAATCTGTTAGTCATAATAACCTATTTACTTGGCATAAGGGGGGCCAGTGTGATGCGAGTAGCCGCAACGTACAGTAAGCTGAGACGAGGCACTAGGCCAGGGCGCAATTGACTCATCACATCTGTGATGGTGCAAGATCTTACTTTGCCCGCCTTTCTTTCAATTACTGTGAATCCTAATACTAAGAAATCACTCCTTCAATTGGGATTTCTATAACATTACGAGAGGCAAGTACGTTCTAAAGCAAAAATTGGTGAACATATACTATAGTAACCAAAGAAAAGAGAGAGAGACCCAGCAAACCCCCCCCCCCCCAAGGCCATGTAATTGCTGTCTTATATGGAATGGATATTCAGTTCTATTGGCCCGCTCCCAGGTTCAAACTCATGTGCAAATTTGCAGGTGGTACAACGCGATTTTGTGTGGTACGAGCCGGATGCAACGGCTGAAGGATTCCACATCGCGGAACCAGAGATGACCGAGAATAATGATGCAATCTAGAGCCCCGTCCACATCTGCGGGCACTTGCGACGAGCCTCGTGGCCGGATCCGAGGTTTTCTAGCTGCTGCATGGGTGGAACCGAGACAGGCGGCAGCGGCCTGAATGACTTGAGCCAATTTTTGCACATTCAAGTCACACAGAGGCTGATCACATTGCCAAACTCATATTTTCTGTACCAGGGTTTTGGCCAGATATTCGTAGACCAGTCGGCGTCGTCTTTGCCTAGCCTTTGCAGTGATGTCCAGCCGCCTCTGCTCACAAAGAGGCAGAGGACAAGCTTGCTGGGCAGAGTAGGTATGGGGTAGCTTGCCCGGCAATCCACGGACTTAGTATATAGGTCAATAGATCAACCACCAAATCTCTGGTATTAACAAGTTGATTGCATTCCATGCTCTTCTCTTACTTTACAATCGACGTTGGGAAACTGAACTATCCCTTTAGCAACCATGAAGTTTCTCGTCACTGCTGGTCTCACGTCGTTCCGGCCTGGGAAAGTCCAGCCAACATACATCTCTTTCAGTGATGCCAGCTCCGATATTTCTGCCTCGTTGACAAGTCCAGATACAGTGGATGTGTGGATATGTGACGGAGAAGAATCGACTGGTGAACTGATGGACCAGTGGCTTGGCCAAGCTTGTCATGTACCCAAGTCAATGCTGGTGCGAGATGCTGCCATGATACCTCGCCTACAGCAATATGCCAAGGGCCGCGTGTTTGATATAGCCACGTTTCCAGAACGATCTTCCAACACTTCCACGAGAGATTGGGATGAGGCCATATTACATGACGCGGAACTCCTCTACGCTCGAGCCCGCGCCGAAGCTGGAACGCAGCGGGTGAGACTCAACAGAATAAACGGAGATGTCCGCAAGACGACTGTTCTTCTAGTTGGTGCGGGCATCATGAATCTAATCACTGCACGACTTCTGGCCAAGAATGGCTACCAGGTACGCGTTGTAGACCAAGGTCCAGACCCACGATGCTGCGGACCGAAAGACTGGACTAGCTTGGGCGTCACCAGCGGCGGTCACAACGCTCGCATGTTCACTCACACGGAGGCGGACAATTACAATGAGCAAGGCAGCCAGATATACCAGGATATGCAGTCAATCTTCCGCAAGACTGTGAGCAACGGCGGATGGAGCGTCAAGTTGCCCAAGGACTTCTCTGCCGCCGAACATGCCTGGGTGGACGCTTTCCAACGCGTGCCAAGCTGGATGGCGGCGACATTCAAGAAGAACATACACGGGGTGAACTGTGAGTCGGGAAGGATCTGGAAGGAACTCATGGCAACCGATCCTCAACTGTTCGAAGACGTGGGACTTCATCGGGACATAGTACGTATGTACGTGGAGCCAATCGCGTTGGACGCATCAGTCAAGCTCAACCGAAGGCTTGATGCACTTCTCCAAGCTCCTCCTCTTGAAGAGTTTCTGAGATCATACCCGGAATTTCGATCAGCTGCCGAGTCGGATCATCTCGCAGGAGGCATCACGGTGGACGGGTTTACTTTGAACATTCACCTTTTCGTCGCCAAGTTAATAGATCAAATAACTACCCTGGGCGGGCAGTTTGTCTGGAACAACGAAGTGAAGAGCATTCAGTGCAACTCGAAAGGCGAAGTGACCGCACTTCTGTCGCTTAAAGGGGATTTGAAAGCGGACCACTTCGTCGTGAGCCCCGGGACGACTGGAAACGCACTGCTTAACGGAACTCTCAGCGAGAACCTGGTCCACGGTGTGCTGGGGATATGGCTGCAGATTCCCAACGTGGAACCGCAATTGCAGAATTCTATGAAGATTCACCGACGAGGCCACAAGGTAGAAGACATCAACATAACCGTGGCCAAGGACCGGGAAACCGGTGAGAATATCCTCATCTTCGGAGGTGGGTACGGTTATGTGGGTTTGGACCGTCCGGCGCCAAGTTCGACGGAACTCAACGCGCTCTACGACGAGTTGGAAGAGGTAGCGCGCATCTATTTCCCGCGGGGGTATGCCGCAGCAAGAAAGCTGGGACCCAAGGCAATGTACCCGGACGGAAACCGCAAGTACTGCGTCCGGCCTTTCACACCCACGGGCCTTGGACTGTTTGAGAAGATCCCCACCGCCAACGGTGGTCAGCTGATCATCACTGGCGGCAACAACACAGGCGGATTCGCACAGGCACCAGCTGTAGCGCGTGCTGTATTGCGATCCTTCATGGGCGAGCCTGATCCCATCCACGTGCTCTTCCATCCTGACCGCGGCAAGCTGCCCTCAATCATTGCCAGTGTGGCCCGAGTCCCTGACCCCAAGTCCCTTCTTGGGGTCATGGATAACGCCGTAGCTCGGCGACCGATTAAGCTGCTCCTGCTCTGCTCAGACGGGCCCCAGCACCGTTATCTACGCTATCGTCTGGACCAGGAATTCCCCGGATACCGCTGCATCCAAGAGACAAGCGATGGGCAGGTCCGCCAGCTGATGGACAAGGGCCGCATCATCGACGCAGGCTGGCAGAAATATCATGAGCTTCGCCGCAGCTTTTTCGGCTACGGCCATCAGCGCAACGCGCACTTTGACCGTCTGATACCCCAAGGCCACGTCTTACCTGAGCCGGACCTTATCGTCGACAGCGTCAACTGTCGCAAGGTGTGGGATGCAGTAGAGGAGTGGAAGCCGGAGCTGACCATTGTTTCGGGCACGAAGTTCATTGGCAAGAAGTTGATCGCGCGCGGGGGGCTCATGATCAACATACACACTGGTCATCTGCCCGAGTACAAGGGTAACCACTGCATTTTCTTCGCCCTTTACGACGGAGCAGTGGATAAGGTCGCTTCGACGCTGCACCAGTTGACGTCCAGCCTGGACGGAGGCGATGTGTTGGATCGGGTTTTCCCGCCGGTTCTCCCGGCCGATAACGAAGAGACTTTATATACCAGGTGTCTGGAGATGTCGATTGATCGATGCGTGGACCATGTCGTACGGTTTTCCCGCGGCGAAAAGCTGGATTTCCTGCCGCAGAAGGCAGATGGGAACATGTTTCGACATCGAGACCGTACGCCAGGGAAGGAACTGTACGTGTGGTGGAGGCTAAATGCCGGTGGGCTTCTGAGGACGCAGGATAAAACTGATTGATTGGTTTAAACAAATCTGTCTCCTTGGTGAGCATTTTACGTGTGGAAAAGACGCGAAGATGGAAGGACAGCTACTAGCCTCCTCGGAGAAAGGGACGAACCAAATATCATACACGAGCAGCACTAGAATCTACACATCTAATTATAAGGATTAAATTGAATATATATTTTGCTCAGTCTTCTTATAAATGAAATACCCGACTTCCAAACCAAGCAGTCTGAGGCCCCGGACTTTAGCGTGGTGCCACTTGGGGTTATCACTCTCAGAGCGATCAACTTGTCGATTCGAGCCGGTCAGTTGAATTGGCAGGAGACTTATTCTAACACTGCCATGCCCTGAGCATTTTTGTCCAGACCGAGCGTACTCATATCAAGATGCTGGACTTGCTCCTTGGACTGGGCGCCCAGTACCGTCACGGCAGCGTTGGTAGTTCCGTTGCCGGGGCTCAGCGCATAAACCATGCTGCCAGCTGCCTTGAGGTCGATCAGGCCGGGATCGCCGTTGGCACTAAGATCCGTTTGCGACTGAATGCTAGCATCCTCCAGAGACATCTCAACCAGGTGGTTTACGCCTACGTCCGTCACAAAGGCAGTCTTTGTAGCCGGGCTGATCGCGGCCCAACAGGTCGCCTTTTGGTTGTCGATGACTCCTTTGCCCGCGACTTCAGCAACCATCGAGCCCGGTGCAGAACCATTAGCTGCTTGCTGCATGCTCAACACAGCAGCGCCGAATGACGCGTCCGTGACGAAGAGGTTAGAAGATCCGGCAATAGGCGATGAGCCGAACAGAACTGCAGTACCACTCGGCGAGGTCTGGGCGCCCTCGGCAGCGACTGATGCAGCTTGGCCTTGACAGGCAGCGTTGACTGGAAATGAGGCCAGAAAGCCAGTGTTATTCTTGGTTGGATCTCCTTTGACTGTTGAAAATACCATCGACTGATCATCGGAGAAGAACACCTGCGAGACCGTGTTGGTTGGGCCGACGGGTGGTGTAGTCTGGCCGAGATCGAAAGGTCGGAGGTCGTCCATCTCCCCGAGCCCTTGCGCGGCATCAAATGAAGCACACGCCATGCCAGCCGTGCTCCCTGTCATGCCCACGCATGCGAGATTGTGCTTCGCAGAGGCTCCCACAGTGACGGGAAATTCGCCCGGAACATCAACGGGATTGCCGACCATGGTGAGTTTCGTGGGGTCCTGGGCGTCGATAGCGAACATCGAGAGAGTGTTGGAGCCGGCATTGACTGCGAACAGGTTCTGCCCAGAGTATTAGCTTTAGTAGGGAGATCCCAAAGCAACCATATCTACAATCTCTCGACTTACGTTTCCGGCCACAGTCAGGGCGGACTGACTGAACAGCGCGTCCGGGGCAGCAGGCTGATTTGTTTCGCCGTCAACGCCGTTCGCGCCACAACCACCGGTGCTTGTCGATGAGCTACCTGCTGCATCCAGAGACCCGTCATTTGCGATGGGCACGGCAACCACAGAATTGGATGCCTGGTTGCTCAGCATGTAGATAGCCTTGCCATTGGCGGGTTGTGCCTGGCCACCCATCGACTTCCCGCAGGACCTTGCCGGCCGCGCCGACACCTGGATCGTCGAAGGCGCAAGCATCATGATAGAGGCGAAAGTGGAGATATGCATGTTTAACAATGGATCGGAGGAATCTATCCAGTAGATTGCCAAAAGAGCGACTTGTAGACTTATGAAGTGAATGTAAGGTCCAGACCGTGTATTGATGGGCTATTGTATGTCCAGGATGGTGAGTAGAGACCAACATCGTGGAAAGACCAGCTTGCTTGCATTGTCTTTATACAAAAGCCGACTGCAGTTGTTGATATTCCTATCGCTGCCTTTCCAGACAGAGGCCCGGGCACCGGCCTATGGTATTAAACGCCACAGTCTTGCTACTTCGTTGTTCCATAATCCTTTTCCCCCTTTGCGGATATGAGAAATAGTAGAATGGGCCTACTTGAGAATTTTTGATCACATATCTTTCACATTTCATAGCGGGCTGTGGGCCAATCTAGGCGTCAGGCGTTTCGTCGAGCGAGCCCGACATTACGGAGTCTGCTAGCGTGGGCAGCACATTACTTGGAGCTGCGAGAATAATCAGGATTTCCTAATTCGGACGGCCTCTTGGACGTGACCGTGGGCGGCGGCGACCGCGGGTGGGAAGGATCAGGGGGTTTCAGGCTGACCCCAAAAGTTCCATCAACGGCTCAAGCCCTGACGTAGCTGATGAGTTGATCATGGAGGGCCAGCCATTTGGCCCCCATTGGCAGGACCTTCCGAAACGTCAACGTTGAAGATCAGACAAGCTTTGCAGTCTTGAACTTGTACGCTGCCGTAGCAGATCATAGGGGCTTAGCTGACTTTGTCGCATTGCTCCACACCACTTGATCGACAATTAGTTTCCGATTAACCTTAACTGCCAGGCGTGCTCCACTTCATGGTTCCGCCTTTCCACATCCTTCCATACTTTCTATACTAGCAGCAAAGCCAGCGTGTAACCCGAAGCGTCCATAGGATCGAATTTGTGACAGGTTGAGCGAGCCACAATGACGAACAACATCTTCCGCATATTTAACCCAGAAGGTATGTGACTAATATACAACTTCATGCGCGTAGTCAGCTCTCGTAAATCTCATATGCTGATATATAATGGTGTGACAGCTCCCAAGGAGGACCGTGTACAGAAGCGCCGCGCGCAGGTCAGGCAAGCACAACAGTAAGAGGTCACTCAATGGAGACTATTCTCTGCTAGAGGCTTACGTGTTTTGGCGATAGAACCTATCGTGAACGAAAAGAGGCGTACACCAAAGCTCTTGAAAGGGAAGTTGCACGGGGTAAAGCTCGGGAAGCTGACCTACTTCGTGAGAATGAGCGACTCCGGGAAAGAGTTGAAAGATTGGTCGGGAAGCTTGGCCAGCACGGTATCGAGGACTCGGATGAGGTGGCTGATCCACCTCTGACGGAACACGGGATCATCACCAAGTCCAAGAACCCACTAGCTCCAGAATCATCTGCCAGTCATCTGGGCGATGTTGATCCCGTTGCCTTAGGCATGGATTTCGTGTTGGCGTAAGTTCCTACACATACTCAACACACGAATACGTTGAACACTAGTCTTAACATTGTTTACCTCCTCACAGACTCGAAAGGCCCTGTCTCGAACACCTTCACGGGGACCCGGAGAAGCCAGAAGATCCCTCTGGGCACACTCTGACCCTGTCATCTCAGGTCTGTGCTGTATCAAGCCCATCCGACTCCACGTCTCCAGTTTCGCCAGAATCGATAAACCAAAATGTTGTGCCCGCGGCCATGCTAGAGAACCTCCTAGCGCTATCATCGCAAGTGGGTGTTTCAGACGACCAAATCACCCCGGTGCAAGCCTGGAACCTGATCCGATATCAACCGCATTTCGGGGGATTTGAGATCAGTGCCTTGAGGACCCTAGCAGAGACTTTGAGAGATACGATTAAATGCCATGGGTACGTGATTCGCTCGGTCTGTGAGGATAGGTAGTGTTGTGCTAACATCGGTGGTACGGCAGGTTCGGTGCTGTGGTCCCCCTCAGCGTCTTCAGGCGTCTGACATTTGAGCTCTTGCTCCAGGACAAACCGTTCTGATACACAAGGCTATCATGCATTGAACCTTAGCGATAGCCAAAGAATCCTTTTTAATTGTTACGAAGGCCAAGCATTGCACATAGTTTGCATCTTAACGGACACGGCCCTGACCAGCGGGGGTACTCAGCACGACAGACATCATCGACCCTAAAGAACATACAGCTCGTCATAGGTATAACAAACGATCCCATCGCTGGCGCCACTTTTGATGTCCATGACATCTCCAACCGTCACGTTGGGAGCGCTCACTCCGACAGTCATGTCAAAGTCCAGGGTGACGTTGCCTCCCTGGACGTTGTCATAGTCCATGAGGAAGATCGGCCCTGAGATATCTTGGAGGCGACTCTCTAGATCATAGCTCTGCCATGACCACCACACGCGGTCGAGATTGGCATGGTGTACTTGTGCGGTCAGCTTAATTCACACATGCATCCCTTGTGGTGTTTTCAAGATCGACGAAGGAAAGTGAGACTTACAATAGAATATGGAATCCGCTGGTGAAGCGTAGAGGTCTCCCATCTGCCCTGGAAACACGAATTAGAAGTCAATTCAAATTTGGGCCGAGAATGAGCATCCTCACCATAAGTTCCGCCAACACCATAATCCACCCCCATGGATTCCAGAAGCATCAAAACTCGGGCCTCCTTCGACGACTCTGTCGAACCAGCCATAATCAGTCTGATTGAGCGTCAAAACAGTCTGGTTCATGCCGAGGTACCGTCTCGCAAAGCTAGGACTCAGATCTCTCTTCAAGCATTGCGGGTTGTAGACGACGCTGCTTGCTGGACCAAGGTGGACAATGTCGTCCTTGCCCGAGAACGGTCCATCAGAGACACACCCACCGCCTGTCCGGCCGGGAACAGCAAATGGGTCCGAAGAGCTTCCTTCGACATAGGGACCATTCCCGCCGAAGCCGAGTTCTGCACTGAACACCGGAGAGTTGACAAAGGCCTCGTCACTGCCCACATCCAGCGTCCAGTCCCAGTACGGCTGAGCGCCATCGTATCCGCACTCGGTCCGTAGCATGTGCTCGTATGTCGCGACGAAGTAGCGGTGCCACGGGAGGAAGTGACCGACATAGTGGATGGAAAAGGTCTGCTGAATGTGGGTGTAGAGAAGGTCATCGTAGCGGGACTTGACGCCTGAGCCATTGAACGGAGGAGTGAGGGATGGCTTGTTGAGGATGCAATCCACCGCGTCGAGGTACGACATCTGGTCCGAAGGTGAGAGACTGCGCCATTCCTTGCGAACAATGGGGTCCTGGCAACTTGGTATAAGCGACACGATGGGAGATGCGAACGCCAAGAGGACCAAAAGCAGTTGAAGAGCCATTTTCATAATTTAGGTAGCTCTGAGAGAGAGGAGATGGTAAGATCAGGGCTAGAACAAAGACGAGATTTAATGAAGGACCTTCAGCAGATGCTGGTTCATACTCTCTTGTTGTGCTAAACAACACCTTTTGTTGTCGTTGGCCAGATTCAGCTGGAAGGATGCGAGCCATTGGACGAGCGAGCCATTCCTAATAGAGCCAGTGTACGTCGACGACGATATGCAGGTCCTCTTAGTATATCAGAAGTTTTGCCATTCATTGGGCGATGACCCCAGGACGTCCCGATATCCCGGATTGTCCAGTCGATAAGCAGCAAGTTGAGGACGAAATTGTGTCTTAGCAACTCATAGCTCCTATAGCAGGAACCTTTTTGCCGCAGCCATTGAGGTTTGTATGAACATTAAATTGTAGTTTTTCTTATTTTATTTTACGGATTTGACTTTTCGTCTACTCTAACCGATCATCGCAGATCAGCCTCACATCTCCTCTCGCATCGCCCTTCCACACAGTTCCCGATGCATTACAGCTCGCAACCACCTTCCTCAGGTCCCCAATCATGCCGCCAGGCCCGCTCGCATACACCGTTGTCGAACCACGGGCCACGGACCCGACGAAGTCCCTCACAATCTCGTCCAGATGAGGCCGCCTCGCCTCGGGTATCTCTGTATTATCGGGGTGGTGATGGTTCACATCATTGCAGTCGCAACCCCCAGCATCAGACGAAGAAGACGACCCAGCCGGCTCGACCTTCTCCTGCGCCCCGTCGTCCTTCTTGGCCCCGGCCTCGGCCCCGGCGGCGCCCCGCCGCACAGAGGCGTGGTGCTCCTTCTCCCGCGTCACGTAGACGTTGATGTCCAGGCTGTGCGAGCAGCCCGCCTCCTGGACGTACTCGAGCTCCTCCGCCACCCACCTGGCGTCGACGTCGCGCCTCACCGCCCACACGAGCGCGATCCTGCGGCCTGCCACCGGCCTGTCGCGCACGAGCTTCAGCAGCACCGGCAGCACGAAGGTGATGCCCGTGCCGCCCGCGACGCAGAGGACGTTCGTCTCGGGCGTCACGCTCGAGAGCATGTCCACGCCGTAGGGCCCCGTGAGCACGACGGACGTGGTCGCTCCTCCTGCTGCTGCTGCGGGCCCTGCGGCGGCGGCGAGTTTCTTGGCCGCGATGTCGGCGAGCTTCTTGGTCTCGCCCTTCTTTGCGCGGATCACGTACGAGTGCCTCACCGAGCCCGCCTTGTCGGCCAGGGGCAAGCTGAGCGGCGTCATCGGGTGGGACTGCCAGACCGAGGACTCGGTGAAGCAGAGGTAGAAGTGCTGGCCGACGTGCCACGGCTGCTGGATATGATCAAAGTCCAGGCGGACCACGTCGCCGTTGTCGGCATCCTCGAATCGCGTGATCGTTGCCTTGGCGGACTCGAAGCCCCATTTGTTCTTTGCGGGCACCCAGCGATAGTGTAGCAGTCCAGTGCGGACTGCCCTGCCGACGCGGTCGAAGAACCACAGCAGGATTCCTGGGATGAGGAAGCACTGCAGGTTCATCCAGTGGCCGATGATGGCACCAATGTACACCATAGCCAAGACGTAGTGCGCCTTGCGGAAGACCTCGTAACCTGTCAATCGAATGCCCCAGGGTGTGGCGAAGATCCATAGCAACACGAGCAGTCCCAGTGCGACAAAACCCCACTGAATGTACAACTCCCCGGCGACCCTGTTCCACTCCGAAGGCTGCGGCTGGTACAGAGCACCCTCGACGATGATCCAGCCGAGGGTGTGCACGGTCGACTGAATGAGAATGATATAACCGACCCAACGATGCAGGAACATAAAGCTCTGGTAAGGGACGCCGGTGATGACGCTGAGGAGCGACTCGCGACTGGCCAGCAGGACCGAGAGTGGCGTGAGCGCATAAGCCAGCACGCCGATGCGGTCGGCGAACGGCCCCAGCGACGTGCGCGTGTTGTTCAGGCCGGGCGAGCTCTTGACCGGCGTGATCCAGGTCTGGTAGGTCATGCCGACGAATGAAAAGACGGTTAGGTAGCCCCCGAGGATGAACAGAATCAGCACCTGGAGTCGGGTGACATGTCCCAGGATCCGGGGTGCGAAGTCAGGTAGGAGGTAGGTCCGGCGGAAACTTGATATCGATCGCTTCAGCTTCTCTAGGCCGCCGATGGTTTTGGAACCCTGCGATTCAGCCTTTGCGCCCGAGGTGATGGCCTCGTCTGCCGTTGGTGGTGGAAATATTCGTCGTCCAAGGCCCCATAATAATAATATCCCGGCGATCGAGGCCCAGAAGATGCCTGTGTATAGCATAGACAGGTCGTGTGAGTGGTAGACGAGGTCGAGGTAGGCGCATGAGCCGGCATCATTTGTGCAGGGCAGGATCCGGTCTGCGTAGCCCCAGTGAGGCTCGAGTGTTGAGCCGTCGGCATCGGAGAAGTTCTGGATATGCCTCGCAGCGAGGAGAACCCCTTGCGAAGTGGCCATCCTGGATGTGAGTATGTCCGTCTAGCACCTCGAAGGCGCTTGACAGGATCGACGAGTATCCAACAGCTGTGTGGTGTTGGAGTAATGTCTCCCTCGTCTGGATGGATGCTGAAGCAACCTTACCGATGCTCAGTAAAGTTTTGGGTGGGATCAGCAATAACGAATGACACAGACAAAACACCAGAAGACGGAGGTGGTATCAGGACATGGAGGATGGTATAGAAATGGTGACATGGGCGCAGGCATATTATTCGAAACGGACCCCCTTCCCGAAGATTCGGATCCAGATCTGCTCCACCGGCCGCCCAGCCCCCGGGATCACGCCGCCAATGTTTGGATAAATCCCAAGCTGAGCACGTTTCCACGTTTCCTGACGGGCTCTTACGAGATGGAAAGGACGACAAATCCGGAGCAGGTCGTTGGTGGCAAGCGGTGGTCCGCCAAGGCCCACTATGGGAACACCTCTGCAGCAAGTGGCAGCGGTGGTTTGAGCAAGTTTCCGGAGCCCGCAGGCTCGTGCGCGACTCATCACAACACGGAGATGAGGAAACCTTCTCCGGCAGATTTGGATTGCCTGTTTCTGCCTTGGTGCTCCTCCTGCTTCCCAAGCAGCATAGTCAAAATCATCACAAGCATCTTGCTTGGCCTGACCTGCTTGTCCACATTACTTTGATGGCTCTTGGTCATGAGAAAGAGCCCAAAGCCTCATAGGGAAGAAAGACAGGAAGCTCCTCGCATGCGTAGTAGAGGCCACGACAGCCGGCCGAGGCCAGGTGGGAATCCCGGGCGCCACTCCCGAGGCCGGGATGAAGGAGCGAGAGGAGCAGTGAGTGAAACATGAGCAATACAATAGTGAATAAGTGAGTGAGTAAGTGTAGCACCGTGGCAGCTAGTCTGAGGGAGCTGCAGGAGGCGAGCCAGTGGGTCCAACGTGAGGCTTAAGTTTGAGCAAGTTTCTCGTTACGGCACATCCCGCCCCCGATTAGGAGCCGTCTCATTCGTGAGAAGTCCCCGGGGGTCCCACACACAGCCCATTCGAGGTTGGGCAGACAGGGCAAAGCAAGGGCAAAAGTCGACTGAAATCCCCACGTCTACGCCCCCACCACCCACTGCTATTAGCTCAGGGGTGGCCGCGGCCACGGTTGAGCTTGGGTTGAGCACGTTTCTTGCTTGGCATCAGCTTCTGTGCTCACCGAGTACCGACACGACAGCATGTTTAGATCCCGGCAGAAGGGGAAAATATGTGGTGGCAAGCCGACCATACCATTAGTTTACTCCATTAACGGACTCATGCCCGCCGATTCTGCTGATTCCTGGAAAACTTCTCACGAGGCTTGAATGCTGCCATCCGTCGTCGTCGTCGTCGTGCTGTAAACTTGCTCAATAATCACTCCATCAACTTGCGCAGAATTGAGGGGGCTCCAGAGAGGGGAACACGCACGGCCATAATAAAGTCAGATAGACAGACGCAGGCACAGCTTCACAAACAAAAAAAAGACGCCGGGCTCAACTCCGCTCCCTCGGATTTTATATGACCTGACCTGCGATCCGACGTGCCGGGCCAGTCTTTCATCTATTCAGAATTCATCCGTTTTATCCACACACGGCACGACAACACGGGACAAGCCATCAAAGCCGCCCGAATCGAGACATCCGCCCACCCCCCTCTGCAGGTTCCGACTGCTCACTGCAGGGCTCGCCGACAACCGAACCTGTCAATCTCTGGCCTCGCAGCAACAGCGAGACCACCACTAACAAGATGGATATGGATATGACCATGTCGATGGGGACGTGCAACTCGTCGGTAAGCAGCCCCATTCGCGACCCGCGACATTGCAACCACTGCCGCCGGCCGCGCCGCACCGCACCGCACCCAGGTGCTCCGAGCATCAAATCAGAGCCCACTCAAGTAAATTGATCAAACTGACTAACTAACACGCCTGCGCTGCAACAGATGTTATGGAACTGGTACACAATAGACTCGTGCTTCCTAGCCGAGTCATGGCACGTAACCAGCAACGGCGCCTTCGCGGCCTCGTGCATCGGCACCATCCTCCTCGTCATCGTCCTCGAGGCGCTGCGCCGCGTCGGCAAGGAGTACGACGACTGGATCCTGCGCGGGTTCCAGGCGCGCGCCGCCATGGCCCGGCTCGAGCAGCATGTGCCCGCGGCCGCCGCCTCGTCATCCTCCTCCTCGGCATCCGCGAGCACCGGCCCTGCCAAGGGCGCCGCCACGGCAAAGGTCACCCCGGCCTCCGCGGCCTGGAAGCGCCTGGGTGGCGGCGGCGGCGGTGTCGCGAACGGTGTGGGTGGTGTCGGTGGCAGGGCGGTCGTGTTCCGCGTCAGCCCGCTGCAGCAGCTCTTCCGGGCTGTGATCCACGCCGCTGCCCTGGGGCTGGCGTATATTGTTATGTTGTTGGTTATGTCGTACAACGGGTACATCATTATCTGCGTCATCATCGGCGGCGGCCTGGGCAAGTTCTTCTGCGACTGGATGACGCGCCAGTATGTTATCGACGGGGACGGGTCGGGCGAGGAGGAGGGTGCAGCTGGGATTGAGGAGCCTAGTGTGTGCTGCAGCTGAGGAACGTTTCTTCGCTGGGGTGAAATAAGAGAGATTGATGAGCGATTATTTCTTGATAGGCTAATATTTAAAATACGTGATTCCCCTCGACATTGAGCAGGTACTATCTTCGCCCCTCCTCACAGCTTTATATTCTTGCCCACGAGGCCCACGTTCTGCATCTGCTCGGCCAGCGACACGCTACTATGGAAATATCTCACGCCTGCCTTCCCATCTGCTACAAGCGCTGCCTCCTTCGCATGCTCCTCCTGCTCCTGGTTCCAGTCCACGAGCTCTTGGCACATACCCTCGAGCGTCGTTAGCACGCCCCGGTAGGCCAGCCCGCCGTCGCCAACAGGCTTCCCGGCATCTGCATTGTCCGCAACCAGGTGCGTGCAGATGGAGAACAGGCCGGGCTGCAGGTGTTTGACGTCCCCAGACAGCGGAGGGACGAATCGCGCCAGGCTACTGGGCAGCCGGTAGGGCAGGAGCGTGTAGAACTCGATCAGGTACGAGAGTAATACGAACGGCATCGGAGGGATGGCGACTAGCTTGAAGGGCGTGATGGCCAGCTTGGACAGCAAGGCATACAGATCGCCGTAGTAGATGGGCGGGTTGGGATCTGTGATGCAGAATGGGCGGCCGGCCTGGAGTGCCGTGTGAGAGCCCAATTCGGCGAGGATGGACTCAAATTGCAGGTGTGCCAATGCGCAGTTGATGCCATGGACGAAGCTCTGGACGACGTGTTTGGCCCAGCTATGTATCCGTCAGTCAACATTGAGCTACCGTGGCCAATTTTGGTCTCAAATTGGAGCAGGACGGACTCACGTCGGAGTGATCTGGCTATTCAACGGACCGCCGACAGTATTGTCGGTCGGGTGACCATAGACTCCATTGGCCGGGCGGATGCAGCCTGTCCTCAACTCGCTGCTATTTGCACCGCACACAATCCTCTCCGCCCTGGCCTTGGAAGCAGGGTAGTTGCCAAAGAATTCCTCGTGCCTGCGAAGAGGCTGGAAGAAGTCAGACTCCTCCAGGACCTGGCAGTAACCACGTGGGCAGCTGTTCCACCGCCACGGCTTCACCCACAGCTCCACGGGCCGGATGCTGATGGACGCGCTCGAGGTGCTAACGAGCACATCGGCCCCAGCGCGACGGGCAGCAGCGATAACATTCTCGGTGCCGCCGACGTTCACGGCCTCGCAGAATCCGTTGACGAGCTTTGACCGGGCAGATGGGATGATGACGGCCGCGGTGTGGAAGACTGTCAGGGGCAGCTTGGACACGGACGGGTCCCAAGGTCTGCTGAAGGCAGCATCGGTGGACTCGACAGATGAGATGTCTGTCTTCTGGAAGTCAACCTTTTCGAAGAGCGGGTGGTCGAGCTGGTCCCTCCGATGTGGTTGCTGGAAGTCGACGATGCGGATGGTGTTGGGCTGCTGACCGCGCTCAAGTAGCTGCAGGACAATGTAGCCTCCCACCAAGCCTGAGCCGCCGGTGACAATGTAGCGCCTGTCCAGCTTTGGTGGCAGCTGCGAAGCGTAGGATGCCGTGGTGATCGGGTTGTGGTGCAGACGCTCGTAGGTCTGCTTGACCTGTTGGTCTGTCCATCGGTTGCTTACCAGCTTCTTGACCTCATCCGGGGTGATGCTGAGGAGGCGGTTGAGGTTCAGGAGATACAACAGTGCCAAGCCCAGCAGGGTGCATGTGGCGGCCGCAAGGAGGCCAGGGAAGGTCTGCACGATGTTGATCATGATGCTTCTTTTTGGGCGGCAACATATGAGGGCACATGGCGATGGCTTCAATGCAGCAGGGTGCAGACGTGTTCTGCTGATTCGGGTGTTTCGATTTCAAAAAGCCGTGCAAGGAGGGTCGCAGTCAACAACGTCAACCATGCCAACCTTGGAAGTGCTGTCCAGTGCCGTTCAGTTCATCCAATGTCATGGGCCAGGGGCTCGGATCCCGCGGCTTCTCGGCCTTGTTTTTATTGAGTGCTCACATGTTGGCCGTACATGCCCTGCCAACCATTCACGGCGCCGAATGGAAGTAACAATGGTGGTTCAATGTCCAGTAGCAGGGGACCTATACACCCTTAGGAGGCACCTGAAGAGCAAGTGTACCGGATTCTTGGGCCCAGTGCCACCACCACCAAATCAGCGCAGTGGCTGCATGCTCCCCTACGCACTCTGGAGCATGCAGCCACTGCGCACTTGATCAAGCTTTGCGGGGAGGACAGCACGCCGTCCACATCTGGAGTCTAAACATGTTGCCAGGGTCGTACTGGTGTGATGAGTGAAGCAGACTACCTGATCCGTTGCCCGGCTCCGACCAGGTGTGGGGTTCCGTCGGCTCCGAACACTATCTGCCATTGTGTATGCGTCTCCTCGAGGGGCCTGAAGCTAGGTATCATCATCTCAATGAGGCGACTATGGAGTCAACTCGGCTTAAGCAGGGTTTGTCTGCAAGACTGGGGCTTCCTCGGACTGTTGACGCTGAAGAAGTGGAATCGGGAACCAAAGTGATGTCAAAGGAGCATCGATCTGCGAGGAGTCAGCATCTGATCTGAGGGGCCAAATGAGGGGCATCGTGGAGCTCACCCAGGAACAACACCATGGGCACAGGCTGCTGATGCCCCAGCATGAACTAATGCGTGCATCAACATTTTCAAGAGCTGGTTTCGACACGCTGATGGGGTTTGAGTTCGCTCAGCTCTGCCCAGCTGAAACTTGCTCGAGCAGTGTTTTGCGATGTTGAACGGAAGGAAGCGGCCTTTGTGCAAATGATATGCAAATGCCATAACACACACGTCATGTCGACGTGCAGGTGGTGATACCGAATCACTCAATCAGAACGTCAATATTTTGATCAACCACAGTGACAAACAAAAGGCCCGCTGATCCCGTCCTCGCCTCTCTCCTCATACAAGCCTCGTAATTGAACCCTCGTAAGGCTCTTCGCGACATCATCACATTGCACCCAATATTGGGACCTAAAACAAACCCTTCTCTTTCAGCTTAACCTAGTCACACAATCATAACCACAACACTCGAAACGTGCAGCAACAACGCTCTCAACCCCCGAAAGATGTCATCCACACGTGCTCTGAGACTCACCTCCCTCGCCTCACGCCCCAGCCTGTCCACAGCCTACCGAGCCCAGGCCCAGCCTGCACGGTCTGCAGCGCCAGCTCTCTTCCAGACCCGCCACTACGCCGCCAAAGGCGACGGCGAGAAGGACGACCTCGGCGGTCCAGGCGGACAGGAGCCCCCAGACCCCGTGGCGCGCGCACAGCAAAACAGGTAAGTCACTACGGCTTGTTGTCATCGTCATTTACTGGAGTCAATACTTGCTGACCACTTACTTCATGCACAGGAGCCTGCGCAACAAGACCATCGCCGGAATGCTTGTCGCCATCAGCATCCCCCTCTTTTACATGGTTGGCCAGCCCCGCAAGATCGCTGAGGCCGAGGTTGACAACAACTCGGCCGGCCCTTTTGCCAAGAACAACCCGGGTGAAAAGCTGGCCAACGTCCAGGGAGGACTGCCGGGTGGCCGCCAGGAGCAGCGGAATCAGTGGGAGGGGAATGGTGGTCAGGACACGAAGGCTGTGAGGTAGACCTGCTGGAGATGGTGGACGTGCAGTCTTACTGTGGTGGCACTGGAGGGGCCGCATATCGCGGGTAGACTACAAGTCCACATATCGTGAGACCCTTCCATTAAATCAGCGCTGAATCCAGATTAATGTATACAGGACGAATCGTCCTGCTGCCTCAGACTCCCTATATTTATCTGAGAATGAGATTGTTCGTCACCTTCAGAAATTGTGGGTTTGCAAGAAGACCCAGGCGAAACTGCGTGTTCAGTGTTGAAGACAGTGGTATGGTCTTCTGCGAGATCATTCGAATGGTGGAAAGCCGTCGTATCTTGTATGCCGCATCTGTGGTAAATCTCACAGTCGTCCGATATCGATATATCATGGGCATGGATACCGGTGACGGTGAATCACGATCAACGGGCTTCTGTTTCCAGTGTCCTGCTTTCCCAAGGTTCAATCAGGTCGAAGTTGTGTATCTGCTTTTTCCACACCAGCCTCCATTCCTACTGGAAGGGGCATGATGTGGCCGCCAAGAGGAAATGACAAACAATGCAGACGAAAAGAGAACTATGGAGGGGTCGATCATTGCTTCTTTCCTCGCCCAGAGGAGAGGTGACAGCCGCCATCGCCTCATGTCTGAACATTTCATTTGGTCTTAGCCCGTCCATTCTTCTTTACATTGATTCGAATATGAGAATGAAATTTCGATAATGGAGATGCTGTACACTGCAGCGCAAACATCAAACTGAAACATCATAACGAGTCATTCGTGTTGCTAATCAGTTACAAGAAGTGGCTTGCAATCTGAACATTACTGCTGTCCAATCCATCTAAATCCTACCTAGCAGCCTTCAGAGTCTCTACTGTTGGAAAGGTGTTTCGCACAGAGTGAGAAGGGTGGATCCGTTCAACTAGGCCAGATCAACCGAATTATATACCAGCTTTTTGACAATTATATATAGCGCAACATTCCCGATTTAGATATTGTCCAATTTTACTGTACACATGAAAGAAAAATTTTATCTATGGTTTAATACTGTATTTTGTTTTTAAACAAATAATAGGATTAAGATAGCTTTAACCGGTTGATGATTAGCAAACTGGGATGTTATCTAAATATACAAAGACTTCAAGCACTAAAAGTCTTAAGATTAAAAAGCTATACTGAACAGTCAAATTAGTTTCCAGAAAAAGTGGCATAACTAGAGTAATTTCCGAGCAAGAGATACTAGAACCTGGAAAAGGATATCATCATCTAACAGCTTGAGGTGGACATATAAAAGCAAGTATTAAAATAAATACTATAAGAATAAGTATATAAATAGAGGCTTTCATATATAAGCAAAATAGTTTTATAATACTTGCTAATATTCAAGCTAATATTAATATCTTGGATAATAATATGCTTACTTCCTAATCTAAACCATACAATAGTTAGAATTAGATTTAAAGCTTATAAACTATTTCATATTATATTTTCAAACAAGCATTCAAAGTACAGGTTATATACCCATTTGCTTATTTCAATATCAATTTTATCAAATAAAGTATTCATTTTAAACTATTATCTGCCTAACTTGGAGAAAACTCGTTGACAACTCGGCGATCGTAGATACTAAAATACGTCTATCTCCTGTGTCGAGGCAATTATACTATATCAAAGCCTCTAAATTTTACACCTACTGAGGATCAACTAGTTTCAACGGCCGCTTGGTCTCCTCAGATAGCCTAAGGAGCTACGTGGTATCTATTTTCTTAACTTAAAAGAAATTTATAGGCGAAGCCTCAAGCTTTAGACGTATACTCTCTCGCTTTATCAACCTTCACACCCTGCTTATGTACATTTCCGGGCGCAGTAGGTCTATTAGCGCTCCAGAAATAGCGAAATAGGATGTGCAGCTGAACAAATGTGGCTCGGTTTTAGAGTTTGGCCAGGATCTTATCTAGCTGACCTTAAACACTAATACGTATGATAATCAGTTGCGAATGCAAAGGCTACCCCGGCTCTCTTGGTGAGCTATGAACCTTCAAATACCTCACTGTCGTCTTCTCCAACTTTATGAACATTTCTCATTGACTAATCAGCCACATCCTGAAATTGCCTGGGGTTTTGCCGCCCTTGCTTTAGACAATACAATATAACAGCAAAGACCATTACAAACAGCGTTGCAGGCATATTAGCCAGGCAGTAGCGAAATGGCTTGAGGACGGCCAAATGCCAAACCTTAGATAACACTGAAACCATGGAACGCGAGTTCAAAGCGCCGATGCATCGATAGAACGGTCGAAATAGGTTCTATTTGGGAGAGCTAAGACCATGGCTCGGATAGGCGAATCAATATTATACTCACCGACAGTCACTCTATTGAAAGAGTACGCACAAGAGCTGCGTTGAGAATCAGACATAGAGGCGGAGGTGGGAACCCAAAGAGCGCGCGGGAGAAATATGAGGGCTGGTTGACCACGGGGACTACAAATGCCATTGCCATGAGAATGACAAGCGCTCAGAACCAATTTCACAGAAATATGATGATCGATCGGCTAGCAGCGAATAAATCAATACCCAAACGTCTTTCCTTCCATCTCTGCGAGTGTATGTGTCACAAGGCGCGTACATATAAAGGGGAAAGGTCGCTTACTTTTGCAAACCCGCGTGGTTTCTCAAACTCAGCACTGTATTCTTTCTGGCTTCAACCCCAGCTTTTGGAAACTGGAAGCCAATCTTCAACTAAGAAACACTACCAACATGGCATCCAAAATGCGACTCTACACGCAGACTCCGAAATCAGGCTCTGGGTCTGTCTACAACAAAACAGCCTCGAGCACTGAGCCGGCTCCGGATACTGGGCCCGACTTAAGCACCAGCCCAGCCTCCACTTCAACCGTCTCAATGCTCACATTTACCGTTTGTCCTGAAAGGCGCCAAGCATGACTGAACGCCCAGGACACCCCAGAAATAGCATCGGGCGTGAGACACCAAATAATACACTACATCTGATATATCCTTCCCCTTCACGTTCGCACGCATTATTCTGTCCATAGTTTCGTACTTCGTCCTCAGATCAGAAGTACACGATATTTTCAGGCTTTTAGTCCTGAGCCCGTCAGGACCTGGCCGAGCCGTCTCATACTGTGTAATGATATGACTAGTAGTCGTGCCAGTGAGGCCGGCGAGCTCGAAAATATGACTAAACTAGGATTGGGCCCTATTATCAACATTGTGCCGTGATATAATACTTTGAGATTATGAATTTTTTAGATCTTCTTTAAAAACGAGCAATGTGACTGAGAACCTGAGCTGGTAATATAATCATAATGTGATCTATCGCCATGGCTGTTTCCACAAGAATACTATTTCAATTTTACCAATAGAAATGTATCAGGAATATTATCTATTTAATAATCGAAGATCACATCGACCTCGTTAAAGAATATTTCGCCCTCAGTCATACTTATTTCGTCTTGTTTGAATAATAGTAAAATCAATTCTAACGATAATTTTTAACTAATAATCATTACCTTTTTTTCTATCCTATGGCATACGCAGCCCATAATATTTTCAGATATCAAGAGCTCAGAAACTCGAGAAGCTAAGAAATCTATGACAGACCTATCGATGTTCTCCGTTAAGGGTTATGTTGATTATTGTAACGAAAAGGTCTTGGGGCTTCAATGGTTACACTCTAAAGAGCATCCATTGGAGCATGAGGACTGTCTCGGCCATGTCTGAAACGTCCTTACTCAAAGCGGTGCAAGTTACCCTCTCAAGGTCGTCCGGAATGTCCTGCAGAGGCTGGAAGGCAAGGTGGGCCTCCCGCATCCTCAGATGTATGTTTCAAATGCATGAGGCCTTCCAGAGAATGAGACAGGTTTCGACCAGTTACTTCACTGTCATTGTACCAATCAGTTCGTCGGTCTCCCTAGGTTCCAATATTTCATCTCAACATTCCCTCATCTAACGTTGTCTGCAGGCAATCACAGGCCCACTTCGCCTAGGTACTTTCAATGGCGGTGAACTGTTTCACCAGCACTTGTTTTGTAAACGAAGGAAGACAACGAAAATCCATAAAGTCATGCCTTCTCCACAGCGGGTTCCCTTCATTTCCTCGACATTAGCTTACTTTGTTCATACAACTCTGGATCAAAACTTTCTATCTCGCGCTGAGTCCTCAAGCACCCAACATCATGGTGGCAGCGCTTGCCAGCGTGGACGAAGTCCATCGCATCGTGCACCACATCTTCTTGCCGCCCAAGCTACCACAGCGGGCGGATGAGGACAGCGAAATCGCCCTCGTCAACACCAGCTTGCAGGCACTCGTTGCCTTACGGGATCTGCTTCTGCCAGATGCTCCGCCAGCAGCCCTCGACAATGCTATTGCGCTTGTCCAAAACATCAAAGCAGTCAACGGTCTGCCTGGTGGGAAAATTGACGAAGTGCGCCTTCAACAGATCTTGACATCTCTTCCCATTTGTGGTACCCTAGTCGCCAATGTCAGCTCTCAAAATGCTGCGGTCCTCATCACTCGACGGCCAGAAGAGCTAGTGTTTGAGGAGTTCGAGCTGTCGCCTCTTGATGCTGACGTTGTCAAGACGGAAGGCAGACTCATTCGCACCTTCCCTGGATTGGCCGTTGCAGTGCCCGCCAACATTCTCAGCGAAACCGACTTTCCAACAATGATAGCAAGCACCCTCTCGACCATGTGCCATCAGCCAGCACCAGGTATGCAGTGAGTAGTCCCGCACAGCCGCACCCCTTATTGTTCCCATGACTGTCGCTGACGAGATATTGTAGACCTCAATCACTGAAAAATGGCGTCCTACATGACGAGCTTCGCGACACTACCAACCCAACAATGGTCTCTGAGCTGTTTATGGGAGTCCTCACGGGCATTGGATCGCCCGTTTCTGCCTCGTCCATCTCGAAGAATACCCGAGACGAGGTGCTCTGGAAGCAAGCTGCGGCTCCATGGAGGCGGTCACCAATGTGGTTGTTGATTCGAGTCTCCATACAACTAGTGGTCTGTCGATCATCGGATGGCTCGCACGCTCTCTACAAAGAGATCATGGTCTTCATTATGGGCCGCATCTTGAATTCGGCCAAAGCCCATCACCTTCCTCCGGACGTGGTCTACACCATGATGGCAAAGATTGACCGGCGGCTGCGAAAGATCTCTGGCGCTGGACCTCCGATCCTTCCCAATTCAGTCAAGGCGAGCATCGACCACGTCCTTCACCAGTGCTGGGAATCTCTGGTTAAGACCTGGGCCTTGTCTCAGCAGCTCGACTCGCGAGACCTGCAATTGCCCACACTCTCAACACTGGACTTCGAGCGAGATACCTTAGTGGCGCTTCCCGCGCTCGACGACTACATCGAAGCCACACACAACCGCCGTCGTGAGAGTATCTCAGATCGCTTCATGCCTTCTTCGCAACTCATAGAGCTCAAGCCCGGCTGTCTTCCAAATCTACCCAGCAGCCACTTCAATGACTCTTACGCCGCTACCAACCTCAGTCTGTTCGAGCAGTGGGTGTCACGGCACATCGACAATTGGGTGGCCGCCAATGAACAAGACAATGCGTGTGAGGAGTTGCACGATCTCATGGTCCAATACCACCGCCTTGCGGGGTTTCGCTATTCCGGCAATCCCGAGGCAACATCTGCAATGGTACTGACCATCTTTGAACTGTGGGTAGCATGTGACAAAGCTGCACTTCGAAAATGTCCATGGTTGAACAAATACGACCCTGGCATCCCGACTGATGCACTCCACAACCTGCTACTGCCGTTCCTTGATCAGATGAAGAGGCTCTTCGATTTGGAGGACTACATCGACAGACGGAAAACAAGAAGCAGGAAGCAAACAGATCTCTTGTTTGCTTCGGACAGTAGCGAAAGCTTCGCGAGCCAGTACTTTGACAAGTCACATACTCACCAGGCACTACTTTCGGAAATTGTTTCCGACGCCAAAAGGGCTCGCCAAGCGAAGTTGGAGGAATTCAAGCAGGTAAAAGCCGAGTATCGTCGCCTTGACGCACTTTACAGTGGGATGGACCACGAGTACACTACCAAGGTCATCGACAACTGGTGTAACCCACCAGAGACAGAAGAAGTCCACTATCCACAAAGCTGCCAGAAGTGCTGTTATGCCTCTCAGCGTAATCAATTGTCAATCGAGGTTCATGAGTGGCCACTTCCAAATAGTCCTTACAGAGTCAAGGCCGTTGTATTTGAGCTGGACATACCGTCGTGGTTCGGAAATTGGAGGAATGCACGATTAGTGCTTCTCCAGGATGTGCTCAAAGGCACGCGTACGAAAGTTAAACCTTCAACAGCATACCTTCTATCATCCAAGGATCCGCACCTTACGCGAAGGCATTCCCAACGATTGGCTCATCCGCGTATCGACCTCTTGTCCCAGACTGAGCCGGTACTCAAGACACACTATAGCAGCAAGAAGATCACGACACTTAGGGAATCTGAAATATGTGTTCCTAGCGGTCTGCGTTACAAGTACTACGATGCTCAAAGCGACGAGTACCCGGGCGAGTTCATGTTCAAGGACATCGTTCCTCGGGCCTGCACATATACATTGCCGTGTCGGGCTCTGCAACGCTTCCTCTTCCGCCCGGCCTCTGCTCCTGATGGCTTAGAGCCGAATACCGTCATTGCCAGTCAAGATGCTTGTCCCGAGAATACAACGCTCGAGGAATACAAGGAATTGGGCACACTCCCACTTGGTCATCATATCCAGTGGGCTAATATCCTGCTTCAACTTGCCATGCCAACTCTGGATTTCAAGAAGCCAGAAACGACTCTGCTCCTCCTTCAGTGTGCCTACCAAGCTGGTCCAAGGTGGAGCATCTCGAACAATCTCTCTAGCAGCCCAGACGGGCGCATGACCTTACGCAGCTCCCATGACTTCTTCAGCAGTGAAGAGAAAGCTCAATCTCTCCTCCAGCGTCTTACAGAAGCGTTGCAGCGCGTCAAAAGCAACTGGGAATCTTCTCAAGCTCTATTCATATTTGTGGCCATCGCAGCTCGCGCACTCTCCCTCAGCGCTTTCTCTAGTGTGCACAAAGCCTGCTTCGCATTTTTGGCCACCTCCCGCGATATCGCTATGGGCTGGGTCATCAGCCTGAGAGATAAAGCGTATGCAGCAGTAGATTACAATGACAAGACTGCATTCATCACCAAAAGCGTCGAACTGGCGCTGATCTGCATAACGACTTTCGATATCGACAGCCAATATCTTGAAGTGGTCCTGGCCGCAGAGAACAGTGCCTCCATACTTGTGCAAGCCTCCATTGTTGTTCAAGAAGGAGAACATAGTCAAGCTTCTGAACGGGAGCCACTCCTTGCTATCCTGGAAATGCGACGCAAGCGGCTTATGCCTCGCGTTTATAAGATCCTCGCACAACATCCCACTGAGCTTGACACTGCCATAAAAAAAGCCTGGTCGGCGTATGTACCAGGCTCGACCTGGCGGGTAGCGTCCGAAATTGCAGATGAATGGGTGATCACGCATACGCTTGCTACGATGCGAGCCGACAGCATGAGCGTACAATACAACCTAATCAGCGGTGAGCTGCTCGTGAATGGTTTGCCGCTGGATCAACCTCCGCAGGCATATCGTGTTCACCCCCTATACTCTGCGCTCTTCGGCAAAACTGTCGTCGAAATCATGCCGTCCACAACTCCCGGTTTCCAGTTCTCCACCAAGCGCGAATTTGGAGGATTTTCTGTCCAGCTGGGCATGTTCTCAAAGGGTGATCTTATCGTTAGGGCTACAAAGGGCGACATCACATATGAGACGATACCAAGCCGCCTTGTTGAAAAGGCATATCCAATTTCGTTTATGCAGGATTACGTACACTGGTTTAATGTCGCAACGAATACTGTACAGTTCCGACCAGTCCATGAGCCATGGAATCCATCTTCACCCGCAGTGTGGACGTTGTCGCAACGGCATATCCAGTGGCGCTTGTCGAGATCCGAACGTTCTGTAGTTGGCACCGGCAGTTTGACGTCGCAGAGAGTATCTCATGTGCTCGACCCTTTAGCCGACGCAAACCGGATTCACAGTATTCTGCAGCCGTCTGTCAATACCAAAACACTCCTTGTCAGCATTCCAACACTACGCCTTAGCTTCAAACTTGCCCAGGGTAGTGCTTTGCTAGAGTGCAAGGAGTTTCGCTCTATGGTAGTCGATGCCGACCAATCTCTGGGCACTCTTGTAGGCCTACGCAGCAAGATTGTGCTGAGGCATCTGACCAGGGACGACCGCATCGTACTCGTGCCGGAATCGAAAGTGGTCGGTTACCAACAACAAAACAACCATACCTCCGTTACCGTGTCCAAAGAGTCAATTCACAGAGTTCACGCTCTGAGTGTGGACCCCAAGCTTGGCCGCCTGCTTGACAACAGCGAGTTGGGCTGCAAGCTCTTCCTGGCTTATCTCCACGCACTCACTTCATTTTGCCTGGTTGACCCTCTCACGCACAAAACCGGCACTGAACAAGCGCTTACAATTTTGAAATCTGCAGCTGTTCGCTCCTTCGATCAGCTTTCGCAAGAGCACACAGACATGCTGGTTAAGATAGCCGATCTGAGCCCAGGCCGCTGCTATTATCCAACCCACTTGCGCGTCATGCAGACAGTTCACTGGGACAAAAACATTAGTTTCCTGCCTCAACATGGTTCTTTCATTACCACGGTGAAATCTTTGTTGAAACAGGCGGAGCAGGCCATGATATTCTTCCCAGATGCTCAGCTCTCATTCCCTCGCCTGGAGAGGATCGACGAACATCTTCTCCAGCGGGATAATATCCGGTCTGCTACATTCAGAGTATCGGGCTTTGGGGCAGAAAACCATACCACTCAGAGCGATCAACGGTACACCGCCCGCGATCGCCATCGGGCTTCGCAGCTCGCCATTCGTGCTTCTACTATGTCCCATCTCATCTTTCGAGACGGTGTTGGACGATCTTATCCAGCGCCGGCTGCGGGTAGTCTTTGGCAGAAGATGTGCGCCGTTGAAATCGTCCATGGACCTCAGCCACCAGTCGACTTGTCGAGCTTGAAATATGATGCCAGTTTTATCAAGGACGGGTACAGTTACGTTTTGCAGAGACTGCCAGGTTTGCATCGGTGCCTTGGAACTTGCATTGATTCGCAACGATCCAAGTTCTCAATCATGATGTGGCTTTCGACAATGGCCTGTGAACCAGATGCAGATTTGTCAATGTTGCAGTCAGTCGCCATGTTCTTCAAGTCCGCTGCTTTGGCACAAATTCGTGCACCAGAGAGAGTATCGTTTAGAGTACAAGCCGGCAATACTTGCTCGGAAAGCGCGCTTTCGCGTGTTGTTGAGCAGTCTCTTCGGCCTCTTAGATCGTGCCCGGAACATGATCTAACCAGGCAAAGGAATGAGAAGAAGCACGTCTATCACAGTCGACGCGACATGGCATGGCAGAGTGCACGCAGGTCTGCAGTCGCGACGTTTGTGAATAGACTCGCTACCCAATGGCCGTGTGAGGTCCCCGACACTCCTGATGTTCCGTCAACTTATATCAGAGTCAATGAAGCAATGAAAGATGTCAGACCCTTGTTCGAGAGGTGGTATGGCAACAGACTGCTTCATCAGTACTTAGCATGCATTGAGCAGACCATGTCTAGCTTCGTCTATGAGCGCATAGAACCTGTCTATTTAACCATGAGCGCGCCCCAAACGAGACCCAGCGTTTCTGGGTACGTGTCTGAGCGCAGCATCTTCCTGCTTCCAGCACCGGAGCTACAGGGGTACTGCCACACTGTCGGCCACACTCTTGACTGTTCGAGTCAGAAACATGGACTCGGTCGGCCGCCGCTTCTCAGTTCTATTGTTGAGAGTTTGGGGGTCTTAGCGGGTCGATCAAAGTATGAGACTCAGTATATAGCGGATCTTCGCGAGAGCCTGTGCGCACTTGTGTCGCGAGACAATGGTGGACCTTTATCAGTCAACGTGACCGCTGAGGCACTGTCATCCTACTTAAGGTCATGCACCGAACATGCGTATGAGGTGTATGGTGTTCTCGAGGCTGCTGTGACCGCGTCAGCAAGCTCAAGTGGTACTCGACTCACATATCAGCGACCTAGGGTGTCACCAACATTCTTCCTACAACAGCTGTCTCGCAGCAGATGGCACTACCTGGCCGATGGGTGGAAAGAGTGCATAGTGAAGTATGCACTCGCGCTCGCTGCGATGCAGCGAGCTGAGCGACTTATCAAACTAACCGAAAATCAGGATCTCGTCAACGAGTTGCAAAATCCAGGTCACCAAAACTGGGATCCTGCTAAGCATCCGGAATCATTGCTGATGGAAGTCGAGAGCGGTTTCCTTGTTCGACCTGTTCAAGCACAGATCGCCGCGCAAATGCAAAACCCGCCAGATGGCAACAACGCAGTAATGCAGCTCAATATGGGCGAAGGCAAATCCAGTGTCATTGTTCCTATCGTCGCAGCTGCTCTTGCTGATGGAGAACAGCTGGTCAGAGTCGTCGTAGCCAAGCCGCAGTTTAAGCAGATGACGCAGATGCTGATCTCGAAGCTGGGTGGACTGCTGGACCGACGAGTCTACTACATGCCCATCTCACGATCGCTCAAGCTGGACAACACTGCTGCTCTCCATATATCCGCCATGTTGAATGACTGTATGTTGTCAGGCGGCATTCTCCTGATACAGCCCGAGCACATTTTGTCCTTTCAGCTCATGACACCTGAATGCTACATCCTAGGCAGGGAAGACGTCGGGCGGCAGCTCATGTCAACCCTGGACTTTCTTGAGCAAAATGCACGCGACATTGTGGACGAAAGTGATGAGAACTTCAGCGTACGATTTGAGCTCATTTACACAATGGGTACGCAGCGCCCTATTGAACTCAGTCCGGATCGCTGGCTCGTGCTGCAGCAAGTGCTCGACGCGGTGGGACTCCTGGCGCCTGGAGTAGCAAAGGACCTTCCACTTTCATTAGACTATCATCCAGGTGTGTCGGGCAGCTTTCCTCGAATTCGCATCCTCCGCCCAGATGCCGGAGCTCTGCTCCTTCAACGTCTTGCCGACCACATCTGCAACAATGGCCTTGACGGATTACAGGTCTCTCGGCAACCAGAGGAAATCCGTGGGGCTATTCACTCGTATATCTCCAAAGTCGAGCTTAGTGCGGCAGAGATCAGTCTCGTCGAAAATTCACTATTCTGGACCGAGACGACGAAACCGCCTCTCCTCCTGATTCGAGGCATTATCGCGTGTGGTGTCCTGGAATTTGTGCTAACCCAGAAGCGATGGCGTGTGGACTACGGTCTTGCCTCTCGCACACCGCCTACCCAACTCGCTGTGCCATACCGCGCAAAAGACAACCCGTCTCTTCGATCCGAGTTCAGTCACCCAGATGTAGTCATTGCCCTGACTTCGCTCTCCTATTATTACGGCGGACTCTCTGACGACGATCTTTTCACCGCGATGGGACATCTTATGGAAATCGATCAGTCTGACGTAGAGTATCAGGCCTGGGTCCGAGATGCTAACGACCTGCCTGCTTCATTCAAGCAGCTTCAGGGCATCAATCTGAAGGATCGTCCGCTGTGTACATCGGAGGTATTTCCGGCACTTCGCTTGGCCAAAAGTGTGATAGACTTTTTCCTCTCACACATCGTGTTTCCGAAGCAGATGAAGGAATTTCCACACAAGCTCTCGGCGTCCGGTTGGGATATTGGGAAGCGCAAGAGCCGGCCGGTGACGGGGTTCTCTGGCACAAACGACTCTCGCTGCGTGCTGCCGATTAGTGTTCATCATGTTGACCACCCCGATCAAAAACACACGAACGCGCTAGTACTCGAGTACCTCTTGCAGCCTGACAACGGGGTTGTGCTGATGGAGCCGGTGATGCAACACACATCGGATGCTGAGCATCTATTGGGCACTATTGTGCACCTCACTCCGCCCATCCAGGTCATTCTGGATGTAGGTGCTCAGATACTCGAGCTCAACAATATCGAAGTGGCCAAGACTTGGTTGAAGAAGCACGACGCGACGATGGAGGCCGCCGTTTTTGTCAACGACGACGACGAGCTATGCGTTGTCGACCGTGAGAATAGAGTCGATCTGCTGCGTGCCTCGTCCTTCTTCACCAGGCTGGATTCTTGCCTTATCTTCCTTGACGAAGCGCACACTCGCGGAACTGATCTGCGATTACCGTCACACTACAGGGCAGCGGTGACTCTGGGTGCGGGCTTGACGAAGGACCGACTAGTCCAAGCTTGCATGCGAATGCGTAAGCTTGGCAAAGGGCAGACCGTTGTATTTTTTATTTCCCAAGAGATTCAAGCCAAAATCATGGAACGTACAGCGGCAACTAGGACATCAGATATCACGGTCGCAGATGTGATCTTTTGGTCCATTTCCGAGACGCACCTGGAAATCCGCCGCAGTATGCCACTCTGGGCTGTCCAAGGCGAGCGGTTTTGTCTTCAGGATAAGCTGTGGCAGCAGATTCGCCGAAATGGGCGCACCCTGCTGTCCAAGGAGCATGCTGAGACGTTTCAAGAAAAAGAAGCTCAGTCTCTCGATGATCGCTTCCGCCCGCGCCAGGCCCATGGTCAGCCTCTCCATGTGGCTAACGCTTCAGATGCAGATCTGCGTCTCATCGCCGAACGCTGTCGGCAGTTTGACGAACTGAACTTCAATTCCAGCACGCTCCAGGAGGAACAAGAGCGCGAGCTGTCACCAGAGATAGAACAGGAGCGGCAGATACAGCGGGCACCAGCGGCAGAGCCAAAACCACATAGGCTACATAAGGACGTCTGGAAATTCGCCATCGATGGCGTGTTCATCAGAGGCTCTACGGCATACATGCCTGCCTTTGAGGCATTAGAAAATTCTAGCGCAGCAAGTGACTTCCCAGTCCGGCAGATGGCCGGCGAGGGCAGCTTGCTTGTTACCGCGGATTTCGCCAAGACGATCAAACCATCTAATCGTTCTTCATATCTTTCTGATGCTTTCCAGCGGCCTGTCCAATGGGTACTCACAAGCCGTGCAAAGGGGACCGCCACCGTTGATCGAATCATCATCATCAGTCCGTATGAAGCGAACCTGCTCTACAAGCCTATGGAAGGTTCCACTGCCGCCACTCTGCATGTATTTAAGCCCCGTTGCAATTCGGGATACGCTCCCATGGATCGACTAGACTTCCACACCATTACCGCCCAGCTCGGATCTTCCATTGTTCCGCGCGGACTTGCCATACAGCTGTGCCTTTTCTCAGGACAGCTTTATATAAGCTCTTACGAGGATTACAACGAGATCTGTAGCTTCCTGGGGCTCTCCAAAGAGGCTCTCACACAAGAGATGGGCGAGCACGGGTGGAAGGTCGCCGCTGATGGCTTCATTCTGAGCGACGAGCAGGGCCGAGCAGGCGGCGGATCAGGACCATACGAGAGCCCTGTGGGTTTCTTCAAAATTCTGATGTCAAAGATTAGGAGGAATGGAGATGGCATCATGAAGACGCACATGGGCAGTTTGCTGGATGGTAAAATCTTTCAAGCATCTGAGTTCGAGGAATAATGTGGTTGTTTAGGCAGCTAGTAGGGGAGCTACGGTCAGATTCAGAGAAATACGGTCAGAAATAAAACATTCACGACTCACAGACGCGGATTGGGAGTGCGGGCGCAAATAGCGAAGTACAATTGCGTTGGATTTCAATAGCAGATACGGCTCAGGAACAAGGAGTTTATTTTTCTTAAGAGGAAACGATAGCAAGATGTCCTATCGAAATGTAAACAGGCGTCAGATGGCCTATAGTGGGTTCTACTGGACCATTGGCGGGTGATCAGCAGAACTTGAAGTCAGGATCGACTCTATATTGATTAGAGCGAAACAGGTGAATCCTGCTGGCTCCATCTCCCTTGAAAGAAAGCCCCGTCCACGGACTTTGGCCTTAAGGCGTACTTTAAAGTATCTCCTGAACACTTTGTTCCCAAGATTGGCTCAATTTCTTCCCGAATTGATTAGTCTGGGGCTTTCAGTTGCTGAAGAGTGGCTCCAAAGTGTTATCCAACCCGTACTCAACCGAGAGCTAATTACTATTGTGCAGAAAGCTAGCGAGCGGACTTAAATTTCTAAACTAGGTCTTCAATCAATGTCATTATTAGAAAGGTTGAGACGAAGAACATTGATCAATGAGACTGCGTCGCAGAGGTCGTCAGGTAAAGAGACTGATCATGCTGGTGGAATTGAGGCTTGCCGCGCGTAAGTAGGCTAGCCATGAGCAGCCTAGTCATCGCCCAGGACTGGTTCAAATTCATCCGACGTGACGCGGTAGATATAGCCAACCACAAAAGCAGGTGCACAAACCACACCAAACTACATTATAACCTACGGAACTTTCCCCAATCATGTGGGAACCAATGCTTCTTTGTATGATGTTAATTTACTCCCGCTCTTACGAGGGGGTACACGACCACGCATTGCGCTTATGGAGTCTGTTCGTACGCACTCCGTTCAAATAAGCACTTTGGGGAGAGTGGAAAGACCGGGGATCACCCCGGAGTGATTTCACGTGTCTCGCGTGTCTCACTCCTCCTCTCCTGACGCTAAACCTAAACCCAATCGTTACTCCATAACCCCCAATGCCCAGTTGGGGTTAGCTGTGGATTTGTTCCGACCAACGTTGCACTGCTGAAGCCATCTGCACCCGTGTCTGGCTCGGGCTCCGCTGATAACGAGGATAAACGAGAACCGGCATACAGAGGCGTGCCGGGCTCCCCACCCATAGGCCGCATGCATTGATAAACATGGCACGAGACCCGGGTCATGGCTGCAGTGAGAATCTCACCTCACGAGCAGTGTCTGCCGACGACAACCACGAGAGGAGACCATTGCTGTGGGAGGCGAGAGACGGAGCAGCACATAGCGACGCAGCCAATCTCTCCGCGAATCAGCAACAAAGCCAGCCGCAGGGCAGCTATAGCACATTTATCTCGTCGTCGTCGAAACGCAGGCCGTCAGCATCGTCGCCCACCATGGCAGCCGACGATCTCACCAAGCATCCCACCGCCGATGATGCGGAAGACAACATCACAAAGCCCGTCATCGGGCAGACAATAACGACAGCCCACGCCATCCAGGCTGAGCACGAGCTCACCTTCACCCAGGCATGTCACCTTTACCCGAAGGCCATCTTCTGGAGCGCCTTCGTCTCGCTGGGCGTCATCATGCTGGCCTTTGACCCCCAGCTCCTCGGCAACCTGTACGCCACGCCGCAGTTCCAGCGCGACTTTGGCTACCCCTACGAAGACGGCTACATCATCTCGGCGGCCTGGCAGACGGGGCTGTCGATGGGCAACCCGGTGGGCCAGGTGGTCGGCGCCCTATTCGCCGCGTACCCGATGGACCTGTTCGGGCGCAAGTGGACCTTCGCCGCCTGCGTCGCCCTGACGGGCGCGCTCGTCTTCATCCAGTTCTTCGCCCGCAGCCTGGCCGTGCTGCTGGTCGGCGAGCTGCTGGGCGGCCTGGTGCTGGGGTGCTACGTGGTCATCGCGCCCGCGTACGCCAGCGAGGTGTGCCCCGTCGCGCTGCGGGGCCACCTCACCAGCTACGTCAACCTGTGCTTCGTCATGGGCCAGCTCATCGCCAACGGCGTCACGGCCGGCACGCAGACCATGGACGACCACTGGGCCTACAGCCTGCCCTTCGCGCTGCAGTGGTTCTGGGTCGCCGTCATCCTGCCGGGCCTGTTCTTCGTGCCTGAGAGCCCGTGGTGGCTGGTGCGCCAGGGCCGGAGGGAGGAGGCGGAGATCTCGCTGCGGAGGCTGGCGAGCGACAAGGTCGATGTCGCGGCCACGCTGGCCATGATCGAGGAGACGGACCGGCTCGAGATGGAGATCGAGGCGGGCAGCACCTACTGGGACTGCTTCCGTGGCGTGAACTTAAGGCGGACTGAGATCAGCTGTGGTGTTTATTGCACTCAGGTTCTGAGTGGTATTTATCTCATCAACTATGGCACTTACTTCTTCCAGCTCGCTGGCTTACCCACCAGCATGGCTTTTGGGATGGGTATCGTGTTCTTGGGTAAGTCGCTGTACTCTTTTGCCACTAGTTTTCTCCAAGTCGAGGTCTTTCCTCTCTCGTCTTGTTCCGTTCTCGTCTTCTTCGGACTCCCAACAATCTACCGTACTGACCAAACTCCTACAGCTGTCGGCTTCGTCGGAACAATCCTCTCCTGGTTCCTCATTGTCCGCATAGGCCGCCGCGCCATCTACCTGGTTGGTCTCGGCGCCCTTGTGTTCCTCATGCTCCTGATTGGCATCCTCGACTGCGTCCCCGGCCGCCCCAGTGGCGTTGCTTGGGCCGAGTCCTCGCTCATGATCGTCTGGAACTTTGCCTTCGACCTCTCCGTCGGCCCCATCTGCTTCATCATCATCTCAGAGGCATCGGCCACCCGCGTGCGGTCCAAGTCCATCGCGGTGGCCACTGCTGCCCAGGCCATTGTTGGAATCATCATGACTGTGGGCATCCCATACATGATCAACCCAGACGAGGCCAACATGCAGGGAAAGCTTGGATTCTTCTTCGGAGGGTTAGCGGCATTATGTTTCGTCTGGGCATATTATCGTATCCCTGAGACCATGGGCCGGACATTTGAGGAGCTGGATCTGTTGTTTGACCGCAAGGTGCCTGCCAGGCAATTCAAGAACTACCAGATTGACTTGGTAGAGACATGAACGTAGGTCGGACCAATTGGCGGCCGGGGCACGAAATGCATCGAGGAGAGGATGCATATTTAGCACAGTAGTAAAAATAGCATGTAGCATACCCGTGGGATGTCACAAATTTACTCCAGCTCACTCTCATACTGCCATAGTGAGCGCTTAAATGCCACTACGCACCTTTTCACCCCACACTGTTCAGATCTTTTCCCACCAAAAATGGCCAAATCCGCTCTGGCTCATCCCTGCTGGATTTTGGTGGCCGAATACCCAGAAGATACAGAATACTAAGGCCGTAGTGCTGTTCAACCGCCCCCCCCCCCGTATTATGATTGAACCGCAGCGAAGCAGATCCAGCCCAAGGGCATCCATTCCAGGAAACGTCTCTCAAACAGCAGCCATACAAGGCGTTCAACCTTTCTTGAACTCCTCCCATGCTGACAGTAGCGAGGTAGTTGTTGAACGTGAAGTGGCCAGCTCTCTTAGATATTGGCACTAGCCCTCTCCGCGATGCAATAAACGGCACAAACATTTGACTGCTATAATCACCGCAATAAATCAATAATGATTTCAGTAGTAAAATTGCACAGCAAGGTCCACAAACACCGAGTGAGAATAATAACATGAGGAAGGTAGTGGCTGCCTCCCTACCATTCATGCCTTCCAACCTAGGCTGTCCCAAGGTATTAGTATATTGGACCTTCTCAGATGCCTTGGGTTCTCTGAGTCCAGGCCCTTGTAAATTTAAGAGGGCTCCTTCCAGTGAACCTCAAGTAAAAATATGTGAAGCTCAACGCCTAGGCCAAAACTTTCAACCTTTGAGCGTCGATACATTGCTCACCGTCCAGTCTCACATCATTTTCTGTCTCGAATCACTTTACCACACCACCATACCCAGTATGTCTAATTACGGCTTGAAGGCCCTGGTACATGCTTTCAGGTTCTGCCCTGACCATACAAGTGACTGTGATTGCCAGTCCGAAAGGGAATGCTTACTGGGGGAGGTCAACGATTATCTTGACCAGTCACACCAGATTGGGGAATTAGCTCTCGAAGAAATCTGTCTCGAACTTGATCAGCACGGCATCTGTGATTGCCCACCACTCGGCCCGTCTGGAGAGAAGCAGCGCGATGATTCCAACTTCGAGCGTCTGTTGGAGGAAGCCTTCAAAGTCAGCTTTGCCCTAATTCTCCGCCACCTCTTGTTTCTACCTGTAGTGTGAATTTCAGGCAGACACGTGAAGTCATCTGTCTAGACTGACTGTGATGCAGGCTTTCCGCGAGCAGGAGCGGGAAATCCTGCTCGGTGTGCCAACGGGCTTGCGCCGCCACGGCAAAATCACCAGCGACAAGTGGTGGTGGGCTGCAGCACATATGCGGCACCACTTGGAGTTTTTCTTTGTCCTGAGGGGCATTAAGCCTTGTTTGCTATTCCAGGATTACTCTACAAAGTACACCCCAATCTTCAGCACTATCATCATTGACTGCTTAGTCCCCATCATGGACCGCCTAGACCTGTGGTCCTACGGCTTCAACCTAAGCTTCTATTCTTTCGAATGGGTTTTCTACGACGCCCGCTGCAACAAACTACCTCAGATTACCAAGATCTTCCTGACCCACGCCTTTATTGTGCGTCGCGACGACACGGGCGCCTACCCCTATAAGGAGAACCCCTTTGGAGTCCCAGACCTAGAGGTCGCCCAGGCACTCGGCTACCCCATCCGCGCTGACAGCCTTGAAGGCAGCCGCATGGTCGCCATCCGAGACGTAACAGAGATCGATGCCCTTGCGGCCATGGGCAGGCCCGAGCCGCATTGCTGCGTCGTGGGCATGGGTTTCGAGTGCGCTGAGGGTGATCGCATCGAATGGATGAGGGTGGTGCTCCACTTCCTTGTATGCCAGCAGGCAGCCCGCAGTGTGGGCACCGAGCTCATCCTCTCCACCTATGAGCACCCTGAGATGAGCGCTTGGCTGAACCTCAACCTAGGCGTGCTGGGTGGACAGGTGGAAACTGTTGACACCATTGGACATGTGTCTGACGAGGACATAGAAACGTCAGAGGATAAACATGGCGATTCTCAGCAGTAGGATTCGGATGTGGAGGATAGCTATCCTCAGCAACAGGATTCGGATGTGGAGGATGGAAGTGAGCCTGTTTGAGTTGGGCTGCGCTTGAAGTTGAAGTCCCTTGTAGAAGCCTGACCGAGGACAATTCAGCACAGGTATGGAACGAAGCGGACTAGGGGACAGAACCTTTGCATTCGAGCTGTGGGCGAGCCTGCAGATGGTTCTAGCATCATCGAAAAGCGAAAGACTTTGTGACTTGCGCAGTTGTAACATCAGAACTGAGCTCATTCTCTAACTGTATTAGTACAGCGGCTGGCATCAACTAACACCAATCACATCTGACCTCAGGCATAATCACTTCTGTAAGCGTGATCTTATGTCAAGAAGTCAATACGTATTCAAGTATGGCTTCATTATGCAGGTCGTGGGGACGTCTCAGATTTGCCACGTATCTAGCCGTCATGATGAACCATAAAAAGACTGTAGGAAGGGAACACGTGGGGCCATCTAACTAATGTTTTACTAAATTGCATGGAAAAATCTGACCTATGATTGCTGACTTTGCAAAGCACAATCCTACAATTGGAAAACCCACAAGCTCCGGGTAACCAAATAGATTAACTGTTATGTTTTGATCAAATAGTCGACCTGCGTAGGTATATGTGACGGATGGATGACTAGAAGAACAGGAACAGAGATACCATGCTCACCACTAGAGCAACAAATGACCCCTGAGAACCGCCAAACTTGCCTGATTTTGTTGTGATCCACCGTTGCCACTGCCGCCTCCATTGCCACCTGTCGAGTTCCCAGTGTCACCACCCTCCACAATCACAGCGAACTCCGCCACCGTAGCACCAACGCCGTCGTCACCCGTAGCCTGGTTTCCCCAGATGCTCAGCGTCGCGTACCGGCCGCTGTACACCTCACCGTCCACTGTCACATTGGTTGTGTTGCTCGAGTAGGGAGTGATAAGAGAAATACTTTCAGCGTTGTAAGTGCTGCTTATCTCCACATTGTTGTTCTCTGTAACGTTGGATGCGCCCTCACTGATACCTGCGCCCCCAGCGGTGCCGCTGGTATTGGAGAACGTCACGGCGTACCCTCGAGGCGGCGCCTGCGCCCAGTCGAACCTGAAACCCGCGACGCGCTCTCCCGCTGTGTCCTCGCCGAGGTCGATCGTCACGCTGCTCGTCACGTTGGCGGCGATAGGCTGCCACTTGGTTGAGACTGCGCCATCGTTGGCGGCGAAGGGAAACTGCCCTGGCTCGAAGTCCTCCGCGCTCGCTGCTGGGAGGCATTGTGCTAGATTGCCTGCCCAGGTCTTGATGGTGCCGATGTCTCGATTTGGGACAATTACGGCATCACCTGAGGCTGACAGCTGGTAGGCTGTGTCTGTTGTGTTGCTGCCAATTGTGATCGGGATGGACGAACTAGCATAGGCCTGGTTGGCGTTGGGCAGGCTGTTTCCCGGACTTCTGCTGAGAGTAGTGTGTGTCCTATTTGATGTCGCGTTGATCGCGTGGCCCTGCCAATAAAATGTTCTGTAGTCCAAGTACGGTATTTGTGGTGGGAGTGACGGATCAATGTTGATGGATTCCAGCTGTAAATGAAGGCCCAGGTAGCCAAATATGGCCACTCGGTTTGCGCCTCCCGAGCCCGTCAAAAATGGATACGCAGGGTGAGTTCCACCATTATCGGTATAGTCGTCTAGGAGCTGCTCCGAATACTGAAACCATGGCGCCCGAACGTAGGGGTGGGATGCGTATACATCGTAGGTGTATGACGAACAGCCGGAAGGGGAGTACGCGTTTGCGACGATACTGAACACGCCATACGTCATCCCTGGTCCATTCGGGGACTGCTTGCCGGCGTAGTAGTCTAGATCAGACAGAGAGTATGGATTTGGGTATGAGAGGAAGTCGTCGACGAGTACGACATCGGCCTGCTTGACGGAGATGGAGCCATTCATAGTGGCGTATTCGAGGATCAAGCTCGCCTCTTCCAACACAGGCAGCTCAACTTTCGCGCTCTGATTGGCTGCTGCAGCATTCAGCTCCAAGCTGAAGTTCGAGCGGAACGCGTTTGTCCTGTTCAGATGAGTTTCTATCAAGGCCATGGTGAACCCAGGGTTGTCAACATGGTTCGCGTATTCATCCTAGAAATGTTGATTAGTGAAAACTGCATGATTTTTGTGAGCTACATGGACACTTACTGGGTCGGTGGCATTTGTGAGCTCCCATTGTCCTGTTGACTCATTCAAGGTGAGCAGATCGGAATAGAAGGTGGCGATGGCATCATAAACGGGGAACATTTCATTCCTGAATGTGCCTTCATCGCCAGTGACTGCGTAGTAATTGTACAGACCGAGACCAATGTCTCCATTGATATGGTATTCATAGTCAAAACATGGCCCGGTCCCTATGCAGAAGATCAGTTCCATCCCCCTTTGAACTGAGGATCACAGCCGATTGGGAGCTCACCTGTGCAATTTCCGAAACGTCCACTTGTCCAGGGGTAGACTGCACCTCCGTCCGAAAACTTTCCTGTGGCATTCTGTGAAGAAATAAAAGCCATGTCGATATTCTTCTGCGCCTGTGGAAATAGCCTCGTTCTGTAATTATCAATGGCCCTGGCAGCCTCAGGGAAGGTTACGACCAGTCCAGACCCCATCCAGATATCGGCGTCCCAGAAGATAAGTCCTGCGTAGCTATCGGACCCAAGCCCACCGACGCTGATACTATTCACATTCAGCATCGAGTTGTTCCCAGCGGCAGAGATAGCATTGGGGCCGACGGTACTTTGGAGCATCTGGAATGGGTTGGTCACGGATGTGATTTGTTGCTCGATGATGTATGGGTCACTCGGAAGACTGTTGTTGTCTGGAAAGGAGTAGTCATCGACAGAATCCGTCGTCAGGATGCTCGCCCATTCGGCTTTGTGTGACTCTAGAAGACTGCTGAAGCCTGCCGCCGCCGCGGAGGACGATGCATCTCGAGCAACGGACTGCGGGTCTGGGAAGGCATCTGTCGAGGCGCCTCCGATGTACTTAGTTATCGTCGTAACACTGCCACCTCGGACATTGACCTCCGCAGACTGTGCTATGCTGGACTGATTTGCCCCTATAGTCGGGCTGTCTGTGATCGGACGTGTTGTTGAGAAGCCGTCTCCTGAGAGTCTCGAATAGATGTACGCCGTCACGTTGTTGATGCCATTTGGTCGCACAGCCGTCCAGATTGTGCTGTTCCCTGACCCTTTGTCGGCAAAGTCCGTCCGCACAGCACAGTCACCGTCGATGACATCGGTGACCGTGACATTGAGGTCAGAATTTGCTGCAATGGTCAACTGAACGGCGGCCTGGTTGACGTTCAGCTTGTGGACGAAGATGGTGTATCCGATCCCCAAGGACGTGCCATTTTCAGGTGTCCAGGTATAGTTCCATGTCATAACGCCAGCTTTGAAGTCCACGGCCGAGCTGAAGTCTGAGATTTGGGCGGCATCTACTGATGCATTAAGTGTCTGCCCTCCGACATCGAGGGTGAGGCCAGCCCAATGCGGCACACCGCTAATGACGCTCTCGCCGCCATACTCTTGCAGCCACTCGAAGTTGGTTCCATTGGTGGTGGGTTGCAGGTCCCAGAAGCCGCTGATGGTCGCAAATGTCTGTCTCCGGCCGAAGAGTGGCCAGCCGTTGATTATATCTCCATTGACGGGAGTGTCCACCTCGAAGAAGGGTCCGACGGCAGCGAGGTTGATTCCTAGATAGCCATTGGCCAGGGACATACGCGATTGGTAGTGGCCTTGGTCGAGCTGCGTCGTCTTGAGAATCCAGTTGTCATTGTCCCATGTCACGCCATCGAAACGGGTGTTGTACGTCTCAGCCACCACGGCTGCCACGGCTGTGGTGAGAAGGAGGAGCGATCTCCTCGTGATGAGAGGCACCGTTGCCATAATCTCGCCCTGTGCGTTTGTTGCGTACGTGTTGCTTGAGGGTCAAAAGTCGGACACGCTCAGCATCGAAGACATCAAACGGGGCAGAAGAAGTAGACGATGGACTTATGCCGTGAAAGTCGCACCGGAGTAAGACATGAGGGGTAGAACAGACGATAAACAAAGCAAGGCAGACCGTCGTTCAGTCAGTCACGCAGTCACGCACGTACTCGGTGGATAGCAAAGCAGCCAGAACCAACGCCAGAATCTTCGATGGCTTCAGGTGGCTTTTGGCTGCAGGTCTTGGCCCTGGGGTTAGCCTCAGTCCAACGTGCAAACACCACGTAAAAAGCCTCAAGGATCGTCCCCCTCACGCCGGGAACGGCAAGGGGCCCAGGTCGATTTCACGTCATAGTGGGAAGGCCCGTCGTCCTTGCCCCACGAACCGGACAAAAAGCTGGGCGAAAAAGCCATAGCAAACAGGAGAGAGGGAGGGGGGGGGCTAAAACTTAAACCTAAAGGAGATTTTGGCTGACCGTCCGTATATGCAGGGTTTAGATGTGGGGTAATTAGGACCTGACCTCAGCTGCGGACCAGCAGGAATTATGGCCGAAACGCCAACAAGAGCTTGTTCTGCACTCTGTCCCCATAAAGGAGCTTGGACGAGATAATGGGACGTTACCATTCTCTGCGGCACGGCCTGTCAGTATATGGATAGTCTTCAATAATCGTGACATGCTCAGTCCTTTCAGTGTCAAGATCCAACCTTACCAACAGCATGCGTCGGCACATCCGCCCACCATTCACTTGTGCCATGCCAAGCGACAACACATGCATCAACTGGACGCGTGTGCTTAATTTCCATCATTAAACTTTCTCATATTGAGAGCCGACAATAAGCCGGACGGCGATTCGACGCGTCTGAGACAAAATCTCGAAACTGAGCGTTCCTCCCCTACCAGCCGAAGACAAGAGATTGCGCATCAGTGTGTTCTAGCAGCCTCTCATCTGCCTACGCCATCTTTAAGGCCACGCTGACGTCCTGAGGCTGGCATCCTGAGGCTGTTTAGACAACACGGAGTCAGTCCTTTCCTAGCGTGGAAGGGTAAACCCCAAGTCTGACTAAAGACAGCAAAAGCGAAAGGACATGGACATGTGATGGACGTTGTGCGTAGCTGGATAAAAAGAAGAAGGCAAAAGCAAGCAGTGGTTGGGCCGGAAGACGATCGAGATAACCATTCTTGGCCATGTCGCGGTCCATATGGTCTCGAGTGAGTGCGGCTACGTCGAAAAGCATTTGACAAATTGCACAGGGCGTCCTTCTAAGTTCCGGCCCATACCCTCATTCAGCTATAAAGGCCATGGGACTGTAGCGCATGATTTGCTGCGAGCGAAACTCGGTTCCGAGACATCCGGAATGTCTATGCTTCTTTACTCTGGTCCAATCATCTACATGAACAAGTGATGGTACCGAGTGAACAATGAATGGAATTTGGAGCCATTTAAAAGAAAGAAGACAGAGCAAAGAGTTGTCACTAGATATCTAAGTTGCCAGGATAAAAATTGCACCGAAGCCGTTTGAAAGTGGACTCACTGAGAGCGGGGAATCTGTTGGAATATTCTAAAATGAATATTATTACTAATACGGATGATCTTAATTCTTATGGTTACACACCCTGAGGGGTGACACCTGCTTATAGGGGAGCTATCGCCCACCTACTCAGCGCAAGGCTTGGAAATGTTTCAACGAGTTGCACTTCTAGCGAGGTTCTTCCAAGCCCGAGAGATTGAGAATCACTATGGATGGACTTGCACCGTACGCTAACGACCATAAAAGCCCAAATGGCCCAGGAGATGCAAGACCTAATGCATTGAAAATCATCCGAGACCAGGGGCTAGATGGGAATCTCGAGGGGAAAGTTGTTCTCATCACAGGCTGCACTTCTGGGATCGGCGTGCAGACGGCAAGGGCAATCCATGTGACTGGAGCTGATGTGTACTTCACGGGACGAGACCAAACAAGAGGCCAGCAACTGGTTGAGCAGCTCTCAAAGGATGGCAAGCCTGGCAAAGTGGTGTTTCTGAAGACCGAAATGGACTGTATTGCGGATATCAAAGAGACTATCTCAAAGTTCGAGGAGAAAAGCAGCGTTCTAAACATCCTGATCTGCAATGCCGGTGGGCAACTTGAACTGTCAGAACCAAATCAAATCCACTGACTGTATCTAGGCGTGGCTTTTATGCCGGAAGGGACAACGAAAGACGGATTTGAGAGCCATTTTGGGATCAACCACATAGCCCACTTTTACATCTTCCAGAAACTGAAGAAGATGCTCTTGCAGTCTGCGACGCCGGAGTTTCCATCGCGTGTGGTGATGGTGTCATCTGCCGGACACCGCTGGTCTTCTGTAAACGTGGACGATCCGAATTTCAGGGAAACCCCCTACGACACCTCAAAGGCTTATGGAGCTTCAAAGACGGCAAATATATGGATGGCCAACGAGATTGAGAGGCGATATAACTCGCGCAACTTGCACGCCACATCAGTACATCCGGGGATGATTCTCACCTCCCTGGGTCGGAACCTGGAGGGTGGAGGTGCTAGCATGTTCGAAGCGCCGAACATCGCACCGCGAGCCAAAAGTCTCGAGCAAGGCGCAGCCACGACGGTCTGGGCGGCTGTAGGGGAGGAATGGGCACATCGGGGTGGTCACTACTTGGCTGATGTACAGAAGGCAGACTTGGTAACGCCGGAGGCCGTTGACCCAGGCAGTTGTTATTCACCCCATGCGTTTGACGAGACGGGTGAGCAAAGGTTGTGGGACAAAAGCCTTGAGCTTGTCCAGGGAATAGATCCGGTCAGCATGGGAGACTCGTAGTTAGTTTGCAATAGGAACTCATCGCTACCCTTTCCATGTCAAAGATAGGATGGGAAACATAACGAAATGTACAAGGCGAAATTGTGCCAAGATACCCTAATTAGAAGCACAAGTGCGATGGCCGTGGTTGTGGATACTGGAACGGGAAACGGTTGAGCTAGAACTTGAGGCGTGGGGTATTTCACCTCCGACGATTGGTAAGTATCCGACAGCTGCAGCAGAGCAAGACATCGACAATCTGACGATCCTGACGTGACGAGAATCGACAGTGGACCCCAGGAAGGGACACAACGGGCTCGTCGTGCTGCCAAGCGAATGCTGGCCTCCCCTCAGCCAAGGGATCACGGCGATTAGCTAAACTCCGTCCCTACGGCCGTCCTGGCAACGTAGGTCGGTTTAAGACGGGGCGCTCCAAGGCCCCGCGCCGGACTTGTCTGTCCGAAGATTTGGTGATTGCAGAGTCGCTGCTACTAGTTATATACGCAGAATTGGTATGTCTCGACTCTCGAGATTTAAGTGTTGAGACTTGATTTACCCTAGCCACCAACCAGTGATCTTGCTACTGGACACCTCCGCCTTGACATCCCACTCGGCCATCTGCCCCGCCTCTGATAATATCATGCCGCCTGTGAACCTCCCTAAACGAAAGTTGGGCAAGAATGGCCCTGAAATTGTAGCTCTTGGGCTTGGTCTAATGGGCCTCAGTGTTGCCTACGGTAGTAAAGCGTGCGTTATACACCGCCAACAATGTTGCTGGAAGCTCGCATGTCGATATAATTAGGCTGACATGACCCCCTCCCGGAAACAGTTCTGACGAAGAACGATTGAAGTTCCTCGATCGCGCGTGGGAGTTGGGCGCCACCAACTGGGACACCTCGGACGTGTATGGTGATAACGAAGACTTACTGGGCAAATGGTTCACACTTCATCCTGAGCGACGCAAGGATATCTTCTTGGCCACGAAGTTCGCTGGCAAAATAGCGACTGACTGGAAGGGATCCCCTTCCTTTGTCATCGATTCCTCTCCAGAATATACCCGCGCTGCCTGTGAGCGGAGCCTCGAGAGATTAAAGGTCGAATCCATCGACCTATACTACATTCATCGCCTGGACGAAAAGACACCCGTTGAGAAGACCGTAGAAGAAATGGTCAAGCTGAAAAAGTAAGGAGCTAGTCTACTTTCGAGATTGATCCCTGAGCGCTAGAAGTTTGCTAACGGGTTAATCAGCGAGGGCAAGATCAAGTACTTGGGCATCTCGGAATGCTCATCGACAAGCCTTCGACGCGCCTACGACGTGCACCCTATTCATGCGTTACAGGTCGAGTACAGCCCGTGGACGCTCGATATTGAAGGACCGGTGGGAACACACCTGCTGCAAACAGCGCGTGAGCTGGACGTCTCTATCGTCGCGTACTCCCCGCTTGGCCGTGGCATCTTGACAGGACGGTACAGCTCGCTGGACGATTTCGAGGAAGGAGACTACAGGCGTGTGGTCAGCAGATATCAGGGCGACAACCTCGAGCACAACCTAGCCACTGTCAAGAAGTATGAGGAGCTTGCCACGCGGAAGGGATGTACCGTGAGCCAGTTGGTGCTGGCCTGGATTCTGGCCCAAGGACCGGATTTTATCCCCATCCCAGGCACTAAAAAGATTAAGTACTTGGAGGAAAACTTGGGTGCTTTGAATGTAGCCTTGACCGAGGAGGAAGTAGCTACTATGAGGTCTTTGGTGAAGGCTGGAGATGTTGCGGGGGACAGAGGCATCAGTGTAAACGAGTATGCCGATACGCCGAGTCTGTAAATCCTACAACAGAATTCCCAGCTTGAACTATTTACAGTATCCAAACATGCCCCTGAAACTTCAAATCAAGTATTGCTAGAGTTCACATAATCTCAATTCGGGATAAAGATACATCTGGTCAGTATTAAGGCTGCTTCATTGGTGGTGCTAGCTGTATAACTGCGCACCGCCTTCTTGCACAACGGGTGCCTCCGGCTTGACACTAATGAAAGAGCCATTAGGCAGCAGCCAGCGGAATCCAGTCCAGCAGAATGATATCATAGAACGCAACAATAATTGGGTGGATTTGAGGGATGCTACTGAAATATCAAAGTCATGACAGGCACACTTTTCGAATTATAGCTGGAGTCCAACCCAAGATTCCTTGGCCAACAACGCAGGAACAGTCATGTGTGGCCTACAGTGCTGTCAGGAATTGTTTGCTCCATATCACACTTAGGTAATTTCAATACTTGTAACGAAATGAGACAGGGAAATATTCCATTTACGCTCTATCTACTGACACGGACCATCGAACCCGTAATCAGCCAGTCTCTCACAAATAAAGCAATCATGGCTTGTATGCGGGGCAGCAAGCCAGGTCAACTCCTCAGAGCTGATGCGGGAGCCTTTCTCACGAAGCTCCGCCACAAGTTAATCCATTCTCGCATAGAACTCGCATCATCACCAGTATGCGAGATAGCGAATTAATCCCGATTTTCAAGACCAATCAAAGAGACCTCTTTGTTCTCATGCTCGTCTCTGTTCTGGCCTCCTTCCTGGGAAACGTTCCGGCCCTGCTCTTCCTCCTCAAGAGCCAGAAGCTGGTCCTGGAGTGCAAGTTTGTTAGCTTGACGGCGCTCCTTGGCGAAAATCGCACCAAGGAAATTGTCGTCGTCCTTGTCTAAGCCCCACTGCCAAGCACGAGCCTCGATTCCGTACTGCTTGCGGTTACGGTCCTCGATAGTGTGCGCTCCAATCGCCTTGTACTTCTCCACCACCTCACGACGACCAGTGGGCTTGCCACGCTTGGTCTTACCGCCACCTTTCTTCCAATTCTCATTCGAAGACAACGTATCCTGCTTAGCAGAAGACATGATCGCAGTTCTGCTGAAATGCGCTGCAACAGATAGAAGTGGTGGATTTCAAGAGTCGAGATTGAAAGTCCTGGCTCTTGATGATAGTGTTGAATGTGGAAGTTGTGGATGTGTTGAGATATGTGTGGCTCAACTAAGAAAGTGTCATGATTTATACACCCGTGCTTTCTGGAAACAAGCTGCTAGCACGCAGTTGATACACATCACAAGCACCAATCGACACAATGTCCTGATTCCAGGCCACAAAGATTTTCCCTTATACAACACTTTTCACATCACTTGGAGGGGGCACATTCGTCCCGTACAGCCGCTATATTGTCAGTATAACATAGCCATTGTCCAGTTCTCTAAGCGGGATGCCGTGCCGTGGGTGATGATCTTCTCTTACAATAGGCTGGCTCGAGACTCTTTGTGTTCGAAGCCGCTGCTGCCAGGCATCCAAGCACTTCATTATTCATCCTTTTCTTTAATCTGACAGCTGCCTATGCTTCTCAACTCCAACTGTTTGAGGCTCAAGCGGCCCAACGTTGCTAAATTGCTAGTCTACTTGCTGCGTAGTTGAGGCACAATGCCGTTGCCTTGGAAGCTCAATGCGGCTAGGTGAGACTCAATTGTGTGATCAATCTGATTCGTGGAGAGGACCATCGTTCGTAGCAGAACATCGAGAATGACCCTGTGTGGGCCACTGTCGTTGGACACGTACACACTGTGCTGAGGAACTTCACCAACGACGAGAAGACTGGCCCCCGTTGGGAATCCGTGAGCTTGTCAAACGAGAATCTCAAGGTTGGCTTTGTCGACGATGCGTGCGTTGCCAGGTTGTTCCCCCAGGTCTGTTACCCAGGCTGTGAAGCAATCCCAAATGTTCAGTCAGATGATGGCGTTGAGCAGGCATACTAGTTTGTGCCTTATTCTCGACCTTGCAAGGCCTTAGTAAATTTAACAGGCGTTGTGGGAGGATATAGGAAGACTGAGTCTTTGTTCAGAGTAATAGTCATGAAAAGCACATGATTTAGGCATGTAATACAAGTGTAAATTTCATAGGTGCTGGAATCTTGGGGAGTCGATCCCCTTTGCGGGGAAGGACGGGAGACAAGTGTTTCTCGTCTCGATCTGGTGACGATGGTAATGGTTGTTGAGATTTACCTATAAGCATGTTGGGCCCTACACTCTGCCATGTTGCGTGACATTCGCAACGGCGATCGACACACAACAGACTTGAAGTAGCAAGTAGTCCTGTTGCATTTCATCCTGTCATTTCTCCTGGTTGGGGCTCCAGAGCAGCGGGCATTTTCTTATCTTTGGAGAATGTGCCGTCGTCCGATGTATCGTCACATCGCTGTCAATCTAGCGGCTCCACAATCAATGGAATGGCTCCCTGGCCGAATTAGGCAGGAAAACCACACTGACTCGCCTCCTGAATGGAGGCATTTCGCGGCATCCCCTGCAGGTCCCGAAGCTTGGCCAAGCTTGTTTCGTGGGGCTCCATACGCACCTTGTATAAGGGTGACCGATAATGAGATGGGTGGCTCGTGCGGCCAGGGTACGATAGGAGAAGATTGCGCAAGTCACACTCCATGATGCCATGAGGCATGTTGTTCTCGCAAATAAAAGCGACGGTGGGGACGTACAGGAAGAGCTCCGTGATCTTGTCAGTTTTCCAGACTTCGAGCCTGATTGCTCTTCTCGAATTGTCAATCTCAAGACAACAATTTGGCCGTACACCACCTGGTCTGTCCACTTGGCCCATATCAAGATGACTAGACTCTCAGGAACCATCCTCGCTGTCACGGCCATGGCCTACCCGGCGCTCGCTGCTCGCCAGCCCAGCATCCGAGCCTACACGCCGGCAGCCCAGCAAGCCAGCAGCGGCAATAGCGTGACATCCAATGTGCTGAGTCTGAAGAAAGGCAAAAAGGCAGCCAAGTCAGCAGGCCATCTGGGGACATTACGGTCCAATGTCAGTTCCTCGTCAAAGCACAGGTATGGCGCGGAGCCAGTCGACAACCTCGATTCCGTGGAGTACGTCGCCGAGATCGAATGGGACGGGACACCAGTTGAGGTCATTGTCGACACCGGATCGAGTGACACGTGGCTGGTGCAGGCCGGATTCACATGTGTTGACGTGGACGGTAACGTCCAGCCGGTATGTGCACCCCCCCCCCTCCCTCCTGGTGGGCAGTACACAAGTAGGCGTTGCGCAGCACACTGATGCCTTACTTACAGGAGGCCGACTGCTATTTTGGTCCGGTGTTTAATGGCACTTTCGATGAGGGGTCAATCAAAGATGAGAACTTCAATATTGAGTATGGCGATGGCGAGTTTCTGACGGGCGTTTTGGGCTACGAGAACGTCACCGTTGCCGGACTCACAGTCGATCATCAGGAGGTGGCTCTGGTCAACTACTCCTACTGGTTTGGCGATTCCGTGACAAGCGGTCTTATGGGACTTGCATATCCCCTGCTCACAAGCGCATACCAGGGTACAAATACCTCCGCAGACTCTTTGTCCACGCAGGTTGAGTATGACCCAATTATCACCACCCTGATCAAGGAGAAAATAATCGACCCTGTCTTCAGTCTCGCTCTTGACAGGAACTCCGACAGCGGATATCTGGCCCTGGGTGGCCTGCCCCCTGTGAGCCATACAGGATCCTTTGCAACCACTCCTGTCTTAATGGTAAGTTCTTCTTTGCATCACATCGTACGTATAGTCGGTATGAAAGATCTGACCGTCTCATTAGCTCGAGATCTACGACGAACCCAAGATGGCAACTCAATACAGCTTCTACACTATCATCGCAGATGCATACATCTACGATGGATCGGAGAAACGAACTCAAGTCAACACTGACTCGTGGAGCAAGTTGGCCGCACCCGCAACCGTCAATACCACGCAATTTCCTGTTATCGTAGACAGCGGCACTACACTGCTGTATCTTCCGACGGGTAAGGCTACTCTCTCACCACTACGTTGGAATATGAACAAAAACTCACATCGCTACTCGATAGATCTGTACGATGATATCGCCGCTCTCTACGATCCGCCGGCAGTATACATTGAGGACGAGGGCGCATCGTTCGCACCTTGCAACGCGAGTGTACCCTATGTCGGCGTCAAGATTGGCGGCACAGTCTTTAATATCAGTGATGCCGACCTGCTGATGCAAGAAATCGTCGACCCGACTACTGGATACTGCTTGATCGGACCACAGGATGGCGGCTCGGGCCCGTACATTCTTGGGGACACATTTATGAACAATGTCATCTCTGTCTTCGACATCGGCGCCAGCGAAATCAGATTCGCAGCTCACGACTACTAATAACCTGTGTTCTCTTCTTATTGTACCTATATATCCTATGTATCCTGCAACGGCAGAACAGACACACATGAGGTTCTGATACATTCTTGTCTTTCTCATCAGAAATCGACCTTGTTCGCAATCTTTCTAAAGCCGCCGCAATTGCGGGCATGTCACAGCCAACTCCACTTGCAATGGTGACAGAAGAAGTCAAACGCGTCCTAAGCGGGCTTGCCAAGCCTGCAAGTTATTGCACCTTGGATTTGATAGGTGTTGGGCAACATGCCTCAGAGTAGTGACAGATACACAAAACCACTAGACTGACAAGCACGTAAGACATGTTTTGAGTTCTATGAAGTCTCGGTAAAACTCTCGCTGTTCTAACTCTCCGCACCCAATTGACGTTGGGACTTGGTTCCCAGGGACTGCTTTCAGAATAGATGGCCAAACCAATTTCAAAGTTGATCACCTCTTCCACCTTGATCAAGACTCAAACTAGGATCTAATCACTCAGACTACTTCGGCTCAATTAAATTTGTATAGACTGATTACATCAATTACCCTCTTGCCTGGATCTTTCCGGCAAAATTATGAAGTCAACCTGTATCTATATGCTTGTAAGGTATTCGACCGTGTGTCGACTTCTGAAACGAGCTGATCGTTTCGAGCATGGAAAGGAGACAGATTTCTGCTCTCCTTACGAGCGAGGAATCTACAACAAGTCGAAAGCTGATGATCACCAGTTTCCCACCCGGCTTTCGTCCGGTCTTTGCAGCACAAGCTGCACGGACTCGTCATCCGTCTTGGAAGCCGGCCCAAATTTCCAGTCCTCCGCATTACGTTCACACCCCGGACAATAATTCCATTGCTGGGATTGCGTGCTCAGCCACTTTGTGGCCGCCCAGTTCAGGCACTGCCAGAAAGCTGACAACAGCACCAAATCGGCGATGATGATTGATACCACCATTGAGGCTCTGTCCTTCTGCTTCGGGACAGAGCACACATACTGCAGAGACAATTGTGCTGCTGTTGAGTTCAGAGGTGCCATCTCATCTTTGAGGGTATTCACGGCTTTTGCACTCGGGATGCCGAGTACACCAACGTTCCTCTGCGATAAAAGATAGGTGATGGAATTCCCATCCGTAAGTGGGCTGGCGCTGCCCAGATCCAGTAAAACCGACGAGTAGAAGGCCTTTGCGAAACCATCAACCGCAGTGGCGAGACCTGTGTCGTTCATCTGCGATACAAGAATTGGGTCCCAATTATTCTCGTTGACTGCCATGTATACTAACGAATCTTCGGCGTAGAACTTTCCGGTAATGTAGAAGAAATCATCGGAGCTGACGTTCGAAGCGTTCGTCTCGTTATGAAACAGAGCTGAGAGAGTTAGTTGTCGCTGTCCAGGGGTGAATTAATGGATGGTCAAGACTGACTGAAATCCCCACTGTCATATCGAATGGCGGGCTGATCATCATGTTCCGGTACATATTCCGTGCCCAAGAACTCTGCAAGTGAATACCAGGTACGATCTCTGACGTCCGCGGGTCAGTCCTGATTATTGAGTTGTTGCCTGAATATGGTACTCACATGATCATTGCCCCCCACCACTGACTAGAATCAGTGCGGTTGTCGAGACTCAAGAAGTTCCTAACAATGCCAGAAGGCCGGACATATTGAACTTGGAACGAGGCTGTCACTGGAGCATTGGGACCAGGGATGATGCAAGAAACATTGGCCTGGGGGCGAACATATCAGTCACGGTAGGTACCAAACCTAGCCAGGCAACAATACTTACCGCGGCATAAGTGTCGCCCCATGTCCATGAGTTGGCCGATGTTAGAGACGTGTCTTTCCTAGTAGGATAGACCTGTATCGATCCCACCCCACATTCTCGCAGGGTGCTGTTCAGGTAAGGGGCCCCTGGTGATTGAATGGTCTTGTTGTTCGAGTCCTGTTGAGAAAGGGATACTAAGTTGTACGAGAAGCCCAGGTGCGTCGTCATGTAGTTCGAGCCTAACATCAACGCCTGAGACTGACAAGATGCCTGAAGGTTGCCTATCCACGAAAAAGGCGGCTTTTGGAACCAGAGTTCGTGCTCAGCTGTGCCAGTTGTCCCGTTCGGATTCGTCGTGTAGACAGCTCTTTGAGCCTGTTAGCAGGAATCAGATGCTGTGTCCAAGACATGTCTTACTCGAGGGAGTAGCCACTTGTGCCAAGATTAAGTACGGTGAACAAAACGGATGCACATATGCATCCGATCACCGCAGCCCACGTGAACCATCGGAATGGATAAGGGCGCGTGAGTCCATACTCAAAGAAAGATTCGTGACGTAACGGCATTGTTCCACATCTCCTTCACTGCTTTTCCAAGAACTCCAGATTTCAAAAAATGTAGGAATGAAAATGAATCAAAAGATAACCGTTCCTCTCTAAGTATAGGTAGTGCTCTCACGCACGTGCAGGCACATCTTTCCCACTGTCCTTATCTTTTAAGCTTTGGATGTCTCAAGTCATGGTGGGAGGCTGAGCACTATGATCCTGATGCTGCAGTGCTGTAGCGCCACACATCCGGGCCCGAAATAGTGGCCAATGGATGGCAATGTGGGATGGGTTAGGTAGTATAGCATGGGTCTTTAGCTTCCGGCTACAAGTTGCCGCGACGCAGACTACCAATCTGCTTCAAGAGCATTTGGGCCCCGCCAAGGATTCCAGAGCCCTGGTTGGTGATATGCTAGGCTCCAGCATAAGATGCGTCTGACATGCAGTAGATCGATCTTAGGTGCTGGCGGCATCTGCCCACCATGTAACATGGGCCTCGGAGACGGCTAGTTCCTGAATCTCAAACCCTGAGGTAGGCAGCAAATGGCAAGCAGAAAGCCCTATCAACCCCGGATGATTGGATTTCGGATCACTGAGTGCTCGGAAAAACAAGCTCATGTATATGAGACGCATCAATCCTTGCTGACACCACCCATTGTGGCGCGCGCCTCATGAGGCTGAAAACGAGGGACCACGCACTTTCATAATGCCTCCGAAAGCGCGCAGGCACCGATATCTCCATAGGCGACTGGCAGGGGAGGTTTTGTGGGGTTGCATAGGATCGCAGAACAAACTGCCCAGAAATTACATCCCATATGCGAAGATTCGGGTCGGGTCATCGTTTCCACCTGCATGTTCCGAAGATTCCCTCAAGGTGAGACCGATCGCCATCCTTAGGGGCAAGCCGGCTCGGCTTGCCTTGTGGAGCGGCCTGGCTCCATCATGATCTCTGCTGTTGACGAACTCTATACCACGGTCAGATTTCAGAAGAAGGGCAATGGCGGGCGTATTGCTGTTTGTCGAAGCAATGTGCAGGGCAGATCCAGAGTAGTATTTCCAAGGGTGTCCTTGAATTACTTCCTAGCTCACTTCTCTTCACTAAAAAAAGAGCATCTTTTGATTCATTAGTAATTGGCCGGTGCGACTCCTGAGGGGTCAATTCATGGTCTTTCCAAGGCTACCTAGGTATGTAGATTGTTTAACAGTCGAAGCCCGCCCCTGTATGCGCATACCAAACTGTGTATCCCGCATCCCGCTGCGACAATACAGGTACTCATTCTTACACCAACTCTCACATGTAGATCGATGCTTCCAAGCTAAAGCATAGCGAGTACACGTCTTTTCCGATTTGATTTATTACCAGTGTCTTAAGGTTATATTTGCAGTAACAATACCAGCCAGTAGTCAACTTCTAAAACGTCGCAAGTAACTAGCTAAAGTCTGGTCACAAACACGATAAATTGCAATAGGTACTCAAAAATGCAGCCATAAGTGGCCCACCCAGCTGTTTCATTCGGCCCACCCAGCTCTTTCGTTTGGCCCACCCAGTACATATTTTTACTAAGAAATTCTTAAGGTATAGAAGTACTACCCTAACCCTCTGAATTTTACAGTACTTTCAAGATACTTAGAGCTTAAGCCCTCTAGCTGGGAAGCCTTTTGGCTGGATTTGAGCTCTTTAGCTAGGAAGCCTTCTGGCTGGGAAGCCATCTGGCTAGATTTAAGCCCTCTAGCTAGGAAGCCTTCTGGCTAAAAAGCCTTCTAGTTAGGAAGCCTTTTACCTAGGAAGCCCTTTAGATTTAAGCCCTCTGGCTGGATTTAAGCCCTCTGGCTAGGAAAGCCCTCTGGCTGGGAAAGCTGGAAGTATTCTTAAAGTATTGTTTAAAAAAGGAATAGTTTAAATATTTTTCTAATGCGGGGTAGCTTTTTTTTGCTTAGTCAGAAATTGGAGAAAAGATACTTAGTTTAATATATATTTTGTTAGGAAATTCTTGTACTGGGTGGGCCAAACGAAAGAGCTGGGTGGGCCGTCGTGAAAAACTGGGTGAGCCACTTATGGCTGTCAAAAATGCAACCGCTATTCTCTGAATATGAGCAGTTCAATGTCCAGCTGACCATGAGCCCCTCTGCCGTTTGATATCACTCTCACGTATTACCAAGACGGCGCGGCATGGACTTGTCTCAACCCCCTCGAACTCTGGCCAATCTCCGAAGAACGTCTATAATCTCGCGCCGCAAATTTCAACGGCCATCACCATCACCTCCTCCACCTCCTCCACCTCCACCTCCACCTTCTCCGCCCTACTATCTGTTAATCACCTGCTATAGAACCCAAAGCGATGCTGGAACATTTCAAAACACAACGGACGAGGGACTGTAGAAGGAGAAGAGTTGTACTTACACCGCCTCCTCCCCCTCCCGGAGCAGCAGGAGCAGCCTGGTCGGGGAACACATTCGCAAGCGGATTCGGCCCAAGAGGAGGACCTAAATTGTGTAACGGTATTTCATCCTGACGCTGACTTCTAACATGCCAGGCAATTTCGCCGCCCATCCCCACCAACCACGCCACGGTGAATACCGCCTCCGGCACGGTAAGCATCAGGGCGTTGGCGAAGTTGAGATAGCTCATGTTGGTCAGGGGCCTGCACTGCGCAAACCAGGTCCAGGAGCCCCAGACCAGGTACCAGCCGAGAAAGATCACGGCCGCGAAGGCGGGCGTGGCGAGCCTGTTGGCCGTCAGGTGCAGGACGGTCCTGATGGCGGCCCCCTCCTGCCGCCGCCGGCCGCCCAGCCGGACGACCTTGGCGAAGATGTACGCGCACCACAGGAGCAGGAGGAGGCACATGACCCCATAGAAGCCCGAGATGACAATCATGGCCAGCGGGTCGCCATCCCAGCCGTCGTCTTCGCATAACCCGTGCTGCCTGTGCCTCCCCCCCTTCCTTCCGCCTCCGAGTCCGCCCTTCCTCCTGGGGACTAGATCACCGCACAGCGAAGGTAAGTTATCTAAAGCATCGCCGATGGTATTATTGACGGCGTCGTCTATCTTATCCCCGATCGGGTCCCATGGCTGATGGGCGCTCATAAAGGGCCACATTTTGCCCACAATAAAATAGATCACCCATATTGAGATGCTGAACTGTGACAGGAAGTGGAAGATGAGAGCCCCAGACAGGAGGATACCAAGAGCGTAGAATAGGCTCTCCATGGAACTGAATGTCAAAATAGCGAGGATGAGTATCTGCAAAGGATTTCACTGGAGCTTGGCAACTTGCAAATCGAAAGATGATGTATGTGCCGTGGGTTATTTTCTGAGACACTTAGAGGCATCACTATGTGAACATTGCTCACACAAGCGGTGAATAAGACATTGAAATACATTTATAACAATCCTGTGTCTTTGAATGGGACTCTTCTAGGAGCGAATGGTACTCTTCCAATTCTTTTGCTTTGTGTCGTTTGAATGAGCCGCAAACGGAATGTGATAGCCGAAAACAGTTTTCCAGGGTTGGTTCATAAAGTACTCGTCTTGTTTGAACGGCGATTTTGATTCCACTCTTTGTTTAATTGTTTATACGACTACTTAAAATTATTTAATCGCACTTTCTATAGCCTGTGAGTATTAAAGATAGAAGCGAACTATAATTTCGAGATATCCTTTGAACAATTAGCCCACTAGGGCTATGATATGAGCCACCTTGGGTGCGAAGTCAACCCACACACGTAATCTTCAGCCACACCACACATCATCACACACTGAAATGGCGAGTGCCGGTGGCCCAGCTGGTGGCGGGGCGCTGGCTCCGGCTCCAGCTCCGGCTCCGGCTCCGGCTCCACCAGGTCCGCCCGGTGGTCGCGCGGGCCTCACCAGGCTATGTCCGAGGTGCGGAGTAAGGAGGCCAACATACCACTTCATTAGGCGCAACGCCAGAAGCACAAGGAATCTCGTCATAAACTGTGCCACGTGCCGTGGGTTCCGACCAGCCGACCCGAGCAGGCCAGACGGCTACGCGGGGGGTGGGGGTGCTGCTAACGGTGGTAAGCAGCTTCCGGATACGATTTCAGCTCTCGTGACAGCAGGAATCCTCCATCTGTGGCCTTTGCCTTGAAGACATCATCAGGCTGCAGGTTTTGAGACAGAGCTATGAACATACTATGTCCTGATCCTCCTCATGTTCGATAGAGACTTCTTCCTCGGTGATTTGATAGCTGACTTGTATTGTTGCAGTCGACCCCAACAGTGGAGACGAGGATGACGATGACGATGATGATGACGACGACGACGACGACGACTATGATGGCGATCGGATCGGGCAGCACAGGGGATCGCGGCGGGGATCGCGGCGCGGGTCGAGACACGGCGCGAGCAGCGGGGACCCCCACGACTCGGATTCCTCAGACTCGGATTCCCCAGACTCGGATCACTCCCATGGCAGCGACGATGACCGGAGGCCTCATTTTGGTGACATGTCGTTGGGCAGGCACAGGCACCACAGGAGGGACAGGCACGCCGACGGCGGCGATGCGGCTCAGCTGCGGGATGAGTCGGAGTGGGTATTGACGGGGCTGGGGATCGTGCTGTATTTCTTTGGCTGGTTCTCTATTGTGGCTTTGTTCGTTGTGATTGTAGCATTTTAGATTTCAGCCCAGCGTCTGGGAATGAATATGGATGAACTTTGCCTTTGTAAGACCAGGCGCAATTGATTCTAACGTGTGACGTCGAATTTCCGGAATTCACCTAAATATAATTACATAACAGACCCAGTATGTCGATCCTTTGATTGATATTCTTACTTTAATAGGATCAACCTCATGTATTTACTCAAAGTCTGCCATGTATTTGTGTAATGCAAGCAAGCATGCCTTGATGGGAGCATCATTGGGCTGGAGCCCATTGTAAGCAGATTAAGTCTTGGCTGATATATACTTGCCCGTGATGCGTACAGCGACTGTTCGTCCCTGGTCAACCTTTGGCTAAGATCTGCCCCCATCCTCCCGCCGCAGTCTATTACTCCACTCACCCGCTGGACAGTGTCCGCGGGCTCGGCCCAGCAGATCGATACTGCGGTAGTGGTCCCATACCCGGTCGTCCACTTACGGCACGGTAAAGCGCCGCAGATGCCTGACCACTGGGAGAAAATTAGTCAATTATACGTCAACTAAATTCAACAAGGCCGGTACGCTGTAGTGCAGTAGCCTTCCTCTCTGCAATATAAATAACCCAGTTACAATCTTGTTAGGAAGAGCGTCACTCACTGCGAGGCCAGCAACGGGGTTTGCTTATAGCGCTGTTCCAACTAGCTGTCCTAGGCTGGTGATGAAATTCACCGTTTGACCGACTCCTTCATGGGGCTTTGCGTGCTCTGTGGCCTTTTCTATCGTCTTCTGAGTAACTCGCTTCATCTGAGCGATTTTGACTGTAACAGTTGCACCAGCAAAGATATTCATAGCTGCCGTTGTGATCTCTCCGAGCACAGCTGTTAAGATTAGTGTCATAGCTTGCTGTCCATCAACTGTAAATGGCCTGTCATACATTCCAATAGTTGTTGGCCTAAGATTGTCTCGTAGACCTCCACCAGCTGGGCCTCTTCTTCCTGAAGTTCCGAGTATGCACCACACCAGATCTCAATGGCAACATCGTTCTTTTCAGCCAGACTGGATGTGGCACCTAATTCTGGATCAGCTGAGTCTGTAGGTGGTTGAGTTAGAGCCTGTGCATTTCTGGTCTCTCTCTGGCTACCGTCACCGTCGAGCTCAACCGGTTGAGGATGACGATTGTCCGATAGCTCCGCTCCCGGTTTCGGTGCTGCCTTCGGTCGACAGAGACCGCAGAATCTCACCATCTCTCACTGCTGTATGTGATGAAGTATGGTAAAGTAGCTATATTTGCCTTGGCACAATGATAAGTAGGCCGCCGGGGGGGGGGGGGTCCATTCTACCTGGCTTGGTAAAAATGCATCTGAGGGGACCGAGACCGAGTGGGGAAGACGATTATCCTCATGCAGGTAGGTTACTCGAAGTTTCATGAACTAGTTTGAGCTTTCAGCTCATCACTCTCTCGTTCTGAGCTGACTTGCATCCTTCAGAACGGGCGAGCCAATCAGGATGGTGCAAGGATGATATAGAGCCATGTTGCAACGGGAAATATCGGCGTCTACAGTTCCCTCTGCATCCTCTTGGTTTTCAACTACTTCTGCCAACTTACTCCCTATCTGGCTGCTGCTGTCCGCCCAGCTTTTTCAACCTCACGTGTGGAGATTGATTCCTATAATATTAAACACACTATTTACTTATAATACTTTGTTATTACTGTTGATTACAAGCACCCACATACTAGTACACAATGGATAAATCGAGTGATGCGGGGTCAGGGAAGCCATTCGATCAAACCAAAGCAATCGAACTGATTCGAATCCTGTCTCTACGCGGCCGAAGACTCTCGCTCCATGGCTTGGCCAAGCAGCTTGGTCAGCTCAGCCGCAGCCCTCCGCATCACCCGACATACGATCCCATCAGTCCAAAAGGGCACATTCGAATTCTTTTGCTCCACCAAGGAAAATTCCATGATCCAATCCGTGCCGACCTCACGGTCGTCAACCTCTCTGACAACCCATCATTCGACGCAGTATCATATTGCTGGGCTGATGAGTTTCGCAACGCTACAAAACGCTGCGAGGCTTTCATTAATGGAAGTATTATTCCGTTTCCTATCACACGCAATTGCCAGGCGGCCTTACGTCGGATTCGCAAAACGGACCAAGTAACAAGATTATGGATTGATGCTATTTGTATCAACCAAGACAATAGCAAAGAGAAGGGCCATCAAGTGGATCTCATGCCTCAGATCTACAGCAGCGCCAGAAGGACCTACGTGTTTCTCGGTGAGGGCGAAGCAGGGGCAGAGGGACTTGATAAGCTATCAAAGGGCAGAGATCGAAGAGAATGGGATTTCTACGAATTGCCCTACTTCTCGAGAATTTGGATTTTGCAAGAAATCGCGTTATCTAAAGATCTCCGAGCTATCTTTGGGGCAACAGAAGTACCTTATTCGTCAACCTTCACCCGAGATCGTATGTTGACGATGTTCGGATCCCCGATTACCGTCGCACTTCTTCCTTCAGCTATCTTGCTCCACGAAGACGATCGATTTCGTGGGTCGGCGAGCTTGCTACAGGGGCTCCAACTTGGCCGTCCATGCAAAGCCACCAAAGCCGAGGATAAAGTTTTCGGGGTCCTGGGGATGGTGCATCCACAGCAGAGACATGGCTTGTATGCCGATTACGAATCTGGGGTTACTGATGTATACGTTCGAGCTGCTAAACAGCTTATCGAAAACGACGGGGGCTCTCTGCGATCGGTGCTTGGCTCCATTATTTGCAACATGACCATCGCGGGCACGTTTGGCAAAGAGACCCCCGGGCCATACGACCTGCCCTCATGGGTTCCAGACTGGCGACAGCAACGGGAACTTACCAGAATGTGTGGGTGGACTTTCGAAGAGAGACTCATTAACTGGTACCCTGGAAGCAAGAAGGAGCCCAACAGGACTTACGAGCCAATGTTGGACATCCCTGCGAGATTCTCAATTCACCCTTATTTCTTGCAGTTAGACGGGCAGTTTCTGGGAGCGCTCACTGAGCTCCGCCGCTGGTTTGAATACCGAGTATGGTTCTTTGACGAGAGACATTTCAAGCCATTTGACACCTCGCCTCCACACAACTCTGAAATCATAGGAGAGCCGAATGGGAGCATCGTAGCATTCAAAGTACAAAATCATCAGAAACCTATCGAGGACAGGGTGATGATTGAAAATAAACACTCGTTGTCTGTCGTCGACACTTATGCTCTTCTTCTTTATGGCAACTTTGAAGACTTTTGGCTCAAGACACAACTATTAGGAAATACGGGAAAGGAGTCCGACGGTTGTTCAAGGGAAGCTATGATTTCAGTCGAATGGATTCGAGGTAGGCCCCCGGCTGCTACAGACTCCTCTGGATCACAGCCAATCGACAGGCAGGATCAAAGTTCCGGAGTTGACACGACGGATGAGAGAAACTCGATTAGATGGTTCAAGTTACTCGGGTTGATGTGCCTCAGTGGTCCTGCCATCAATATCACAGGGAAAGGAGGAGATTTACAAGAGATTTCAATTTCGTAGATAGGATTTGACAACGTGGACCGCCTAAGTGCAGTATGTCCCGGAGGTCAAAGTATTTGGAAATCTTCAAGTATTTGAAAGTCTTCCTACAGTTCCAATATAAGATTCTAAACATGTTGTAATAGACTGCGGTATTAGATGATTAAAATTCGATTTGACGTGGGGAATTGCGGCTGTTCAGCTTCTCACGGAGACCCTTGGCTCTTGCTTAGATACCATTCACTGTATTGAATAACCTGCCACTCTACCTCTCACTTTGATTATTTGCCTCCCGCTTTTGGTTCTATGCCATTCATTCTCTTAGGCACTATCTAATTCCTGAGCATCTAAATCATCCGAAAAGAATCCTAAAAAAAGAGTAGTCCTACAATAAATAATGGATTTGATGCAACGCGATCCCTGCCGCCTCGTCAAGCCATATTGTACACTGGCACTCAATTAAGATACCCCCCAGTGTCTTCCACATGATGGTTAGCTACGCAAATACCTACTTATTCCCCAAGCATCTGCATCTCAGCTCACGACGGGGCTCATTTTGACGGCAAAGAAACGCGCAGAAAAGTGACCTGCCCTGAGGAGCTGTTTACGCAGGCTATACCCCATGGTATAAACAAGCAACATGGCATTTCTCTGGCCGAGTACCCGCGACCAAGAGCGGTTGTCATAAGAATGCGGCACACTTTCACCTGCTGTCTTGGATTTCTTATGATAAGTCATCAGTCTCCGCAAAGAGGTCGCCCAATGGCTCGTCGCTCTAATCATCAGCAGTCAGAACAAAAATACCCTGGATCTTGCTCACGACGACCGTATTGGAGTTTTGCAGTCGATGCGGGACGTCTTGCTAACGCTTTCCCCAGAAGCCAAGGCTACGCCTGCACCGCCCCAGCCTTCTCCGACTGGCAACGACGTTATCACAAAATTCGGCCCTGACAGTTTCGGCAGATTCGGGCTTGTGAGAGTCCCCAGCAGACACTGCCTCAGCACCATTGAAGATTCGGTGTGAGGAATCAAGTCCTTGCTGCGGCGTCTCAGCCCTTTGGGAGGTCGTGCATTGTCGGCAGCATCGTCGCCGCTGTGCTTTGACTTCTCATTTGCTTTCATACAGGCGATTGGTCTTTAGATGACTGTATCCCAGAGTGATTCTCCCGGAGATGACTATCCCTAGAAAAGCTACAGTATTCTCGATTCGAGCTCGGCTTAGAATTTGGCGTCTTTTAGTTAAAAATTCTTTCCTACATGATCATTACAGTCAGGTCCGGGCGAAGTAAGCGCTTACGCCAATACGCGAATACGCCCATACGCCGATGCGCTATGCACGCACAATGGCTGTCAATCAGCGGGGAGCAAATTCTTGCTTACTTTTCACTGCCTCAGATATGGCTGAAGGAAAAGACGGAGCAGTCCGAGAAACACCTGTTGCACCGCCACCTATTAAAGCAGCATGATGTGAAATCTTCACCAGAGTGGTGGTCTTTCTATAAAGATGCGGGATGCGCGCTCTCTGGTCAAACCTGTCTACCATCTCATCCGGTAACAGGAATTTTGAACAGTTTGCAACCAATTTGGATAAGTCTGGCAAACATGATCCTCGTTTCAGCTTCCGCGCTTGCTTTCAGCCTTGCCTTCTGCGCGAGGCAGGCCTACGCAACGCCACTGGCAAATACTTTCCCGCCATATAACCCTCCTAGTCATGGCGACGGTATGTCTTTGACGTTATCATCCTATTGACACCAATCATACGACTTTTGGTGTCTTTGCGCTGTCTCGCAGAAGCATTGCTAATTACCCTTCAGCCCGCTCCGCCTGCCCAGGCATCAACGCTCTTGCGAACCACGGCTGGCTTCCACACAACGGCCGCAACATCACCTATGACATGCTTATCGAAGCCGTGCGCGACGGATTCGCCTTTGACCTGCCGCCGTCGATACCAGCGTTTGCCAATACAACCTTCCACTCCGCGATCAGTGACCCCGCGAACATAGCCATTCACCCGGAAAATATAACTTTCGATATGGACACGGTCAACACGCACAACGGGCCGATCGAGTTCGACGGCAGCCTGTCCCGCAAGGACGCCTTCTTCGGCAGCCCCGTGGCCTTCGACCGCCCCACGTGGGACACGCAGTGGCGCCTGATGGAGGAGGAACATGAGGCGTCTAACAGCACTGGGGATTACTTCGATCTGGCGGTCGCCGCGAGGGCGCGTGCGAGGCATGTGCTGCTCAAGAGCCAAGCGGGCAACAAGGACTTCCTCTTCACCAATGGAACACTCAATAACAGCGCGGGCACGACCGCGTTGTATATGATGGTGCTTGGTGGGATGACAAAGGTCGTGAAAAAGGACTGGCTGTGGGCGTTCTTCGGTATGTTCCAAGCACGCACAAATTCTGACTGCTTATTCGGAGAGCACTGTACTAACGACGCGCCACGAACTCAAGTCGAAGAACGCATTCCTTACAAGGAGGGCTTCCAGCCGCAACAGAACGTCGAGAGTTCCAATCTGGGCGATCTGGTCACTGAAATTATAGCCGCGGCTCCAAGAGACATCCCGTGCTCTTTTACTCCGGAGGCTCTTTGTCCTTGACCAGGTACATCTCCACTTGGGGACTCATGTGTCAGCTGGAAAACTGCATTAACCACAGTGATGTTGCTTAGACCGAACCCATACAATCAAGCTCAGAGGCGGAAATTGCATACGTGACCGTTGTCATAGATAGCTTTGATATTTAAATATAAACTCGACATTCGCATCCGGATTATCTCTGATACCTCCTGCTTCAAGTCTAATGTGTATACAGGTGCCCCTTGAAGATACATGCAATGACATCCTCAATGCAGGAGGATGCGCGAAGTGAATGCGCTGGAGATACAAGAGCACATTGGATACGGTCATGTGACCCTTGATGACTCTGCGTGTCAAACAATTGTTCCGATATTTGAATTCAGTATGGGGATCTTATCATTTTGGATAAGCTTCGACTGTGCAACCGCAAAGCCGTGAATGATGTTGTTTCTGAATTGCGTCAAATGCTAGCGCAATGCTGCAACCCAAGACATCTGGTTGATGAGCTCACTGGAAGGCTGCACCGTGCCAAGGATGATCAGCGGGAGACTTGAAGCCGTGTAGCGCCAGGCCGCGATGGCGTGGGTGGGGGGCGGAAAACGGCATGCCGGCATCCAATGCGGAACAGAAATGGGAATTCAGCACAAATACGAACTCGAACACTAGTGATCATTGAGCTCTTGCTCTTGAGGCTTATTGCCATGCACTAAAACTACCCATGCGCATTGTTCCCTGGATACATGTTATCGACAGAGAAACACGCATTGTACCGATGTCCAGTAGTAGGACCCCTCAACCCCTGGAAACGCCCGCGAGCCGTTCAAAGTCCGTCCAATGCAAAGGGGGATTATGACCCCCGAAGTGACTCGGCGTGATCGATCACGGCGAGCACTTAAGTGTCCTCTCCATGGCCATCCTCTATCCTCGCGACCTCGTAGGAAGACCTAGAGCAGGATTCAGCAGGATCTTCCTCCTCTTGCCACCGTCTAGCGGCACTGAACGAACGTCCAGTCTGGCGGGTCTGCCGTCTAATATGCTAGCAAGACCCTCAGATCGATCCCATCCAGATGCCAGAGCCTATGGCATTACTCAGCCCATCTACCCGTTTCCGGGCCCGTTCTCTATTGCACACAACCTCTCACGATAGTATCCTTGAAATCAGTTGCCGCGTGGCCGCCATTTGCTCGGCCTGCGCCTTGCCATTAACGCGGTCTTTGGCATTCCCAGCCTTTTCGGTCGGTATGTAGAAGTCGTACCGGTCCGGGAACAAAATAATATTCGCCAGGCGGACCACCTCGGCCTCGCCCTCCGTGCTGCGCTTCTTGGCAGCGATGGCCCCGGCGCTGTTGTCGACGTCCATCTTGTCCGCCTCTCCCGGCGCGGCCTCAGCCGGCTCCGGGGTGACGGCCCGAGTGCCGGGCCGCGTCATAACCTTGGACCCGTCGCTGGATAGCTCCCAAGGCGCCAGCCCCATGGCCCTCAGCCCACGGTCGCCCCCGACCGCGGCGATTTCTTCCTTGCCCGGGCGTCCTTCGTGCGGTGCCTCGCTGCCCATTGAGCTGCCGCCCGCTGTGTCAAAGTCTGGCCCCGGCTGTCCCAGCATGAAGGCCTTGCGCTGCCTTGCGAGGAAGAGCGCATTGGTCTGGGTAAGTGGACAAGCGGGCGTGTACATCAGTATCGAAGGAGCTGGCGTCTCTGGACCGGGCGTCCCTGGCTTCGACGCCGCAGTGGTTATAATGCTATATGCCTGGTCGCAATGCCAAATAACGTAGTCGCCAGCTTGCAAGGTGGGAATCTCGACGAGGGATCGGCGGAGGCGGAGATGCGGATGCCATAGCTCCGTAATGCGCTGGGCGTGGCCCGGCACAGCGCCGTGGATAATTGTGCTCTGCTCGCTGTCCAGTGTCCAGTTGTCTGCGTCCAGGAAAGCATCCCACTCAGCGATGACCTCGGGCGAGGACCCTTCCTCGTCGTAGCCGCTCGCGGGCGGTTTTGTCTTGGAGCTGAAGAACGGCCGCAGTAGAAGGTAGGCCATGACGAGCTTGGGGGAGGGCAGGACGCGGATGCTGGCCGGCTCGCCGGAGGTGAGGGCGAGGATGCCCTGAAACATGCGGAAGATTGAACAGACGCCGGCGCCGTTGTACAGATCTTGGGTGATATTGATGCGGCCCGAGGGGTCCCAGGGGTCGAAAGACTCCCAGTCGCCGCGGAAGACTGCCTCGTAAGCACCGCCCCGGCCATAACCATCCGGTTCCCACCGCTCTAGGCTACCGTTATCGACCTGGGCGATGAGGGTAGACGCAGCGCTGGCTGTTAGGCTGTCGGCGGCCGAGTTTCCGTTGACTTGCGGGAGAGTCGCGTTGGAGCCCATGATGGTGCCGTCGTGGATCCGGAGACGATCGGCGTAGGAGATGGGGAAGCGGGTTGCGATACGTGACACGTCGGCATCGATGCCTTTCGTTTCCCAGAAGGTCATGGACCATTGCTGCACGCGGAGGACGGACGGGTGGGCGCGGATGGCGCACTGGGCGGGAGTCCAGAAGAGGTCAAAACAGGTGGGATCCTGCGGGATGGTGGGCTTGATGTGGTCTCTATTGCGGGTAATGTAGTCCCTGGTCTGCTTGATCCAGGTCTCGGTTTGCGTCTGACTTACAACGCCCCTGACTACGGCCACGCCGTACCGTTTGAGGTCGCGCTCGAAAGACGTGACGGTGGCGGCATCGTCGATATCAGCAAAGTCAATGGTGGGGATGAGATCTGTGCCGCGGGACTGGATATGCGCGATCTCGTCGCGCAGTGCGGCAAGGAGACGGCGCCAGGAGGCCTCAATAGCCTGCTCCTTGCCCTGGATGAGCCTGCGCTTGATATTCGCGAAGCGATTGGGCAAGGGAATTGGCTCGGCGCCGTAAAAGGACTGCACGGGCGGCTCCATGCTGGCAACTCTTGCAAAAGCCTTGCGGCTGCCAATGCTGCCGGATGGTTTTGAGATGCGGTGCTGCGAGTGTGATTTATGGTGGGATGTCCCGGGAGGAGGCGTGCTGGACGCTGAGGGGGCATTAGACGAAACGGTTGGTTTTGGCCCGGATTCCGAGGGGGCGGTCTTGGCCGAGACCATTTTGACGGCCGCGGTCAGGTTTTTTGTGCTGAAGACAGTGGTGGTATTGCCACTACTGCGGCTGCTCCTGCGAATGGGAGCCCTGGGCCCGGATATCCTCACGGTTGTGGTGATGCGCGCTGTTCGGCCACCTGTCGATGAGGAGGACGATGAGCCTGTGGAATTTGCAAGTACATGTGGTGCCTGGCCTGCGCCTGAACTTGATGTTGTTGTTGATGTTGTTGTTGTTGCTGCTGCTGCTGCTGCTGCGCCGGCTGGACTTGGGCCTGATACTGAACAAGCACCTCCAACTGTGTCGGCTGCCTGCGCAGCAAAATGAGTGACATGCATCGTGGAGGATAGCAGTCGGGGAATTATTGGGGAACCAGGAACCTAATAAGCAAAGCCGGGGACGGGGCTGGAGTACAGCTGCAGCCGGAGCTGGGGACTAGTACTGGAGAGCTCTGGGAGCTGGAGGCGGAGCTGGAGCTCTGGTGGGCGTAGGTATCTGCGTGTAGTGGATGCGGATGCGTGTGGCTTGCCGTTCGTCCCATCAGCCCATCCCAGGGCGGGCTGGCTAAGTTGCGTTGCGTCGCTTGTGCTGCAGAGGAGCCGTCGATGCTGCCGAGGTGGTGCTCCACACACCCCGAGATATAACCCCCTCCTTTCCTGTAATCCACCAAGGAGGCCCTATAGACTGTCGCCCTGCTTCTCTGCTTCCGCACACGCGAGCAGATAGATCCCTTTCTCTCCAAGACTTTTCGCCTCACACACCGAAGATACTCAGTCTTTCCACCCGGCTTTCACTCGGAGTCGTTTGCCACTCGGATCTGCTTCTTTTTCGTGATCGTCTCCCCACAAGAGAAACCCCTCTGTCCCTGAAACAAAATTGCACCAGCACCTGAAATAACGCGGGGTAAGAAATCCGGGGTTGGCCCTGGGGTCGGTTCTCCTCCGTGTACTATCCTCGTGACTTTTATTTCACGGCGCTGCCAGAATTGGCAACTCGATCCCGGTGGAGTGATGGCGTTGCCGGGATGTGCTGCAATACGGGGGCAGGAAGCATGAGATTGGGCCCAGTTGTCTCCGTCCTTGGTAAAGTGCCGAGACTTCTGTTCCTGTCTCCGTGGTCGGGCCAGGTTAGACGCTTCGGAGCTGGGTCGCCGATGTTTCGTGGCTTTCCTAATCGGGCCACTCGTGATCGTTGCGTGATGCTCCTGAAATGTAATGATGCCGGTGCTAAAAGGATAGGGCTGTGTAGTTCTGTTGGATGCCTTGCTGGCGTTGACCATGGGGGCGAAAGATGATCCTTGGGTTGCAGAGTCGTGGCTGCTGGGACTGCAAGATGAATGGTGGTGAGCCGCCTCAGGGTGGTGACAGACAGACAGACAGACAGACAGACAGACAGGCGGATGGACAGGATGCTTGTTGTGATGGCTCCGGTCCTTGTTCACCCCAGGGGCCACGCGCTTCAAGGTTGGCTGTTGGCTTGGAGGACAACGTGGATGTCCCGGCGTGGGGGTAAAAGACCATCAACCATCACCAGCTGACGATGATCCCACAGCAAGGAGGGCATCACCTCTATTTAAGCGTTCCAACAGGATCGGGAGTGGGACCTGTCATGATGCGCTCTGCATCTTATCCAAGATCACAGCACCGATCTGGAGGGGACCACGACGGCCTGCTACTACATTGCGGAAAGGGTCCTCTGAGGTTGCCCCTGATATTGACTGTTTTCCGGGACGCGCATCCGTCCAGCACCAGGCGGCCAGTGTCTCTATCACAAGCTACCATTTCCAAGCATGTCCGTTGTGTAGCACCTCCTGTCCCGGGGACAGCATCCCACGATGCCGTCGTCCCGGCTGCGAGCGAGCAACATAGGACGACGGTTTGACGGGCCCGACATGTGGTTTCAGGGGCCACCACAGCGCTTTAGCCCCACCACCCTACGGCCCGCCAGCCCGTGAAACCGGGGCAGCCTGCGCTTTGGAGAGAGCTTGGCTCTCTCGCTCCGTCTTCCCATAGGCCCGTCGAGGACGGGGTGGGGGGTCGGCTGCCCTGGGTGGCATGCCCATTGGTTGTACTAAAGTCACTGTATATGTACTTAGATAAATGTTACGCTTTACTGTCTAATCTTCTGGCCGAGCCTGTCAGTTGCAACCAAGATGGGGCGGGTACTGCCTGTGTCGTCTCCTGTCAACGAGCAATCTAACTTCAGATCACATGTACATCGATACTTATTGCCATGTGGGCATGGCAGCCTTCGGATTATCGTCCAGCCTGTTGCTGGCTGCTGTTGTCGTCCGACACGCCCAATCAGCTCGGTCCCAGATATTTCCAAACGTACGGAAGCGGGCACCCCGTTCGCCGTTACTGTGGTTCGTCCTCTCGGGATAGATAGTTTGCGCCGGCAGAATTCATGGAAAAACATGTCAGAGATTAAGTTCCTCCAATCCGGTTCCGGGCTCGATATTGCTTCACATGCACCATGCGCAATCGACAGTCGATTTGAATCTGTGGACAAGCTGTATCATCTTTGGTTTTGGGCGCAGAACCGCGTTGTTGACTCGAACAGGACAAGCAGCCATTGGAAACGAGCAGAGGCCGCCAGGGTCAGCCGGTTTCTCGCAGGGGGCGAGTGGGCACTAAGAAGAAATCAGCGGCCCAGACGGGCCCCCTCCCACTGTCCATCCCATCATCTCGTCGGAGAGAGCCGTCGGATCTTCAGCAGTTCAGACGCTGACCACACTACACTAGTCTACACACTGACAAGCCTGCCATGCAGCCCTGGCCCGGGAAAATAGCGGCTAAAGTCTATGCATGTGTCTCCCCACGGTCCCACCATCCGGCCCAAAATTCCCGATCCTCAATGCTCATGTTCAATATTCATGCTCGCTCGCCCTCTTTGAGCCAGCATCCAACCCCATCCACACACAAGTATATGTGTATACACACACACACACACGCGTCAGACTTGAAGCCATTCGCACGGCCTACCCTGCAGTGTCCCGGATCTCGTCCACAATCTTCCGACTGACACTCAAAATGCGGCTCACTGCGACCCCAATGGCATCTCCCTGGGCGCCGGTAAGCTTCTGCAGCCCATCGGCACCGTCCTGGCCTATCTGGCATACCTCAACCAAACTTTCGAAGCCGACCATCGAGCAGCCTAAAAGCAAGCCGCGTGGTGCCAAATCCCCGATTGGGCGTTCGTGACTACGTAGACAACGTGTGGCGGCCTTGCTTTTCCGACTGCACACACAGCTGCAGATGTGGGTGACTTATTAGATAGAGATACGGGCCAGCATAGATTGGTTGTCTGTCTGGCCATTCTTCTAGAAAACTAGAGAAGCTCTGGTGTTGTGTATGTATGTGTCTGTCTCATCACGCCTTATCACCCCATCAATTAATTATCTGCACCACCCCTCCTCTCGTCGGGACAGTCAGCAGCGCGCCAACGTCTGCCGGCTTCTAACGGTCACTATAATCTATGTACGAGTCGTGTATGTGTCAGACAAGATCGACATTGCCACTCCCGTCTATGCCGCTACAAATATTAAAGTTGACCTTTGCGGCTCACTGGCCCGCAGACAGAGAGTTCTGGACCTCATTCGACCGCGGGCTGAAAAAGGCAGAAAGGATCGCCCTCTCCAACGCCGGCCTAGTACCAATAACGCATCGCGTCTTGCTTTTCGGCACTCCGCGCCGCTATCTGGCTCTTGGCGCATTTCCGCGCAGGATCTGGATCTTCTGCCGCTGTGCCGGCAGCCTTTTCCCTTGCTGCCTGTCTGTCGTGCATGCTGTAAGGCGACGTTAGCCCGCTCAGCCATGCCCGCTTCCATGGGAATTGTTCCAGGGCGCCAGGGCTGATGAGCCATTCAAATCAGGAATAGATTGGACTTTATTATCAGATGAATGTAGCATGCCACAAAACGCCCTCGCAGACCAGGTTTCATATTGACTGCCTCACCGACGGAAAAGTTCGTCTGAATTCCGTGGGATATCCACCATCGCGACATTGTGATCGGGGACGTTGCTTTTCTTCCTCCAGACCAGTGTTCCTCCGCCGCAGATCCGACCTTGGACTGGTGATCTGCTTTGAGCCGAAACAAGCACACCTAGTAGATGTAAGGCCTGCAATTACACACCAGGCGCAGCTGGCGACAAGCCAGGACACATTGACTTGGCAAGGTCGACGGCAGATCTGTCGGACAGAAGCCGAGGCTGGTCGCGTGTCCTCATGGCGCAACGAGTCTCTGCCGTGCTACTTCGTATAGACCATCGTCCGCTAATTATTGCTGATAAGTGGCATGGTCATGTGCACGAAATGCCCCAGAATTGAAAGTAGGGAGGCCTCGAGTCACTTGGTTCATTGTGCGATGGGCGGACCATCTTTGAAGGTGCATTCCCTTGAAGCTGATAATCTGACATTGGGACATACAGGAAAATTTCGCCTTTCTTTCATTCAGTTCTCTGCCTGTCGCGAGGTTCTAGTTCCTTATCAGGCAAGGCAGATGGGGTTTTCGCGGATGACCACTCGGTCCCCCGATGTGAATGTAAACCTCCCCGACGATAGAAATATGTCCTTTTCTTTTCACATTCATCATTCTAAAAAGGCTGTTCTTCTCATTCGAATGGTCATATCTCAACTAATTTCGTCCCGCTTATCTTTTTGAGTATGAATGTACAGGTCTTGATCAAGTCTTTTAGTCCAGACGTTCCAGCCTGCCGCTGTGGTCTTTGATTACCGTTGGCCGAGACATAAAAGACACGGACGTTATGGACGGGCACACAACGACTTGGACGGTAAGGTCAAAGCATTAGAACAAAGCATTGTGATAAGTCTACCAAAGAATAATGAGAAAATCTTAGACGTTACGGTGGTTTCCACGTTTTGTTTGTGCTATTTCTAGACGTGCTTTTCGTTGCCGCTCTTTTAAACACCGTCGATACCTACCGCAGTAATTCTGGGTTCCACATCTCCTCAGTTCTCACGAACACCACATCATCTTCCACCGTTTTTCCAGAATGTTGTCGCGACTTCGGCGATACAGCACCTCATCTTCCTGGGCCATTTCTGCAGAGCATCATGGTAGTCCCGATGGGGATAATGTACAGCATTCCAGACACGTTCGGAAACTTCTAGAAGGTGTCTCACGTTTGGAAATCCCAGCCCTCTCACATAAGGCTAGCACGAGAAGCAACGTCGCCGCACCGTGTGACTCTCAAAAGCCGAAGGCTGGGCCCAAAAAAGAAAGTCAAGCCACCATGCGTCTCTTCAACTTGAAACACTTACCTGCTCTGTCACCGACAGGCCGCCAGTTCGCGCTCAACGTAGAGGAAGGAGATTTCACCCATGGAGATATCGTCGGAGAGGGCCTTTCACAATGGCTGCATGACGACCTTCCACATTTTGAAGAAATTGCAGGGGAGCCGAGGGCGGCCACATTAAAAGCCAACGTCGCGGTAATGCGCCGCAAGAACATGAAAGAGATCAGGGCCTTGGTGATCGCGGGCGCTGCTTTTGAGAGAGCAGAGCACTGGAGCAGAGACGAGACAAGAAGAGTTTCGAAGTATCCCAAAGCCGTCTGCACAACCGGTGTGATGGGAGTCATAAAAACTAATCATGATGCCATTGCTGACAGCTTTCCGGGAAGTTGTTAATCAAAGCGGGTGAGCAAGACACCGATGAGTCTGTCTGGAACTGAGCCATGACGAAAAAGAGCCGTCTCTGTTTTTGATACTCAATGGAAAACTCCCTATTCTTCGCTCACCATTGAGTTACCTCACGAAAACTGGGCAACTGAGATTCTGTCCAAATGGGAGGATCCCCAAACACACATTCTTGCGTCGGTTAAGCAGCCGAATCCGAGAGTATCATCCCAAGCTGCAGATTCATGGGACATGAGGCCTTCTCATGCCTCGGATTGCGATCTCGATGGAAAGTAATAAAATTCAGAATGTAGGTGGCGGCTCGAGATGTGGTTTCAGGATATGTGTTCCGACTCGAGCTCAAACTGAGACGGCTCTAAACTCCTCATTTCTATTACAAACTGCAATCGGCCGTTCCTGGAGGAGAGATAGGAGAGCCTGCAAGTTACTGGGCATGGCGCGAATGGATATCATCACGCTTGGCTCTCAAACAGCTGCTTGTGCTGCTAACACGCTCATCCACCAGCAAGAACAAGACATTGGCCACCAGTTAGCAAGTGCTACCTTCGTACCTGACTCTTCTTTGTCCTTTGACAGCAGACTCTTAGCCCCAGGTACTCTACCACATTGAACAGCGTAGTTTAATGAATATACACTGAGACATCTTACCACTTTCTATCCATTCATGAGGTCCTGGTACTGTGTTGCAAAAACTAATAGATGCACTATTTCACAGCCTCGTAGAGGAATGTAGCATTTGGTGATACTTATTCGGTGTGTCTTAGAGTTCATAGGTGCTGAGTGGATTCTAAGCGATCCTGGCAAAAATAAGAGAATTTGGGACCTAAGAGAGAGCTTGACAATACAGGCTGGTCTTTGAGACAATTTTGAAGAACACACAGCGATGACCACGTAAGAGAAACTATTCAGGACTTTGAAGTGAACTAGCAAAGAACTCTCGGTGGTCAAATTTTGTCCTTCGACTCGAGAACTGCTTTAAGGAGACGGCAGACAAATGAGAGGTCTACAATGGGAGGCACAAGTAGCAGGCTTCAGTCAATCAAGTCCAACTCCCCGATCTTTTAGGTACGATGTTGCATGAATCTAAAATCTTTGCGGCTCATATTTTGTGTGCACACGGAAATTTGCGGTCTGTAATTGGGCGAAACTTCGCGCCTAGCAGCACCAAGCTGTCGGATCTGAACCAGGGATGAACCGGGTATGTTCCCCGCGTATTTCCCCGCAAACAACTGCCGTGGCTTTGTCATGTAGGAGTGAAGATGCCCTCGCATTAACCGGGTTGGGTATGGTGGAGTCCACGCTCGTGTGTTCAGTCTTCAGTGAGCGTGAGCAGCGTTATGAAACAGCGTTGCGTGATATTTCCGTGGCTCTAGATGTCATTGCGTCACAGGATGATTTCCCCCTCATGAAAGAAGGTATAGATCAGTTTCTACTCAGGCGATATCGGTCCTCCATTCTATAACCGTTTGAATTCAATGTTACACTGATATCGGAACCTTCCCTCTGCCTGCATTTCGCGTGTCGGCTCGCCCACGATGGACCCCGAGAAAGATCAAACCCCAGAAGTAGGCTCAGAGAATGACACCTATAAGCCTCAAGATACACATGTTGAGAATTTGAGGCGGGAACAAACCCACATCGACATCGACCAGGCCATCCACAGGAAATTGAACCGGAAGTTCGACCTCCACGTGATCCCGTTCTTGTTTGGCATATGGTACGACATCCGTCCACTACATGGAGGCTGAGCTGCATCATTTGTTTAACTGACAGTCAGCACAGGCTCCTGGCCTTCATTGATAGATCCAACATCGGCAATGCCAAGATCGATGGGCTGACGCAGGACCTGGGGTTGGAGACGGGCACCAAATTCAACATTGCTCTCCTTGTCTTCTATATTCCGTACATACTCGTCGACGTGCCTAGCAACTGGATTATCAAGCGCGTGCGGGCCGGCATTTACTTGCCCGCCCTGATCACGGCATGGGGGCTTGTGAGCACCTTTTTAGGGTTCACCAAGTCGTTTGGGGGCCTCGTTGCTGCGCGATTGTTCCTTGGCGCTTTCGAGGGCGGCTTGCTGGGTGGCATTATTGTCTACCTCGCAATGTTCTATCGCCGACATGAAATGCTCTGGAGGATGGGCATGTTTTACTGTGCGGCTCCGCTATCTGGCGCATTCGGCGGTCTCTTAGCGACGGGGTTAGCGACTATTCGTTACAATGGATATAACCGGTGGCCGTGGATCTTCTTCAGTACGTCCATTCCATTTCTTTGATTGCAGTTGATGCAACACTCAGTTATAGGCATTATACTAATAAGAAATCTTATGCCTAATCAGTCGAGGGCATCATAACAACAGTTTTTGGAATCATTTGTTTCTTTTTCATGCCACACACACCGGCTGATGCCAAGTTCCTCACCGAAGAGGAACGGCTTGCCGCCATGGCACGCTTAAAAGAGGACGCACACGGCGCTACAAGCGTCGCTGATGTGAATGAAGAAAGATTTGATTGGCATTGGGTCAAGATGGCGTTCAAAGCTCCGCAGACATGGTTGTCATCTCTGATCTGGTTCTTTCTCCTGGTCCCGCTCTATGTAAGTCCGCCGCAGCCAACTATGAGCGTCTTCGTCGGGTTTCGGGGGCTACCTATATGCTATACTAGCTGTGTCATTGCTGATCAACCGAGCAGAGCTTTTCTCTTTTCCTACCCACCATCATCACCGGGCTCGGATATACCAACCCTACGACCGCTCAGCTCTTTACCGTACCGCCGAACTTGGCAGCATTTTTCTCTGTCTTGTTAACATCACTGCTCTCGGACAGGATCAGGGCGAGGGGACCGATAATGGCTGCGGGAACCATATTAGCCATTGCAGGCTATATCATGCTGCTAGTAGCCAAACGTGCCCAAGTTCGATACGGAGGAACATTCCTAGTCGCCGTGGGGGTGTATCCTTGCAGTGCAATGATAATGGTCAGTTGCTGCTCGTCAGACTGGGACAAGGCTCATCTCCTTGTTCATCTACCTCCACACTGCTGGCCAAGAGTGCTGATTTCTATTTGTCTTAATCCAACAGGGCTGGCTGTCCAACAATCTCGCACCTCACTACGTCCGTGCGACTGGAGTAGGCTTCATGATCGCTTTTGCCAACTGCGCTGCGTTTCCAGCAACTTTCATCTACCTTGCTAAGGATGCTCCTGACTACACACTGGGACATTCCGTGTCGCTGGGAGCGCTTGTTCTTTGCCTGATCACTGTCTGTGTGCAGATGGCTTACTGCCGTTGGGAGAATCGCAAGAGGGAAAGTGGCGATAGAGATATCAGGATCAACGGCGGAGAGGATTCTTACTTATTGGGACATAGACACCCTGCGTTCAAGTATACTCTGTGAAAAGGGCTGGACCTTCTCTGAATTCAGTCCGTCGTCTACCAGGTAGGAATACAGGAAGACGCATACACGACGCAGCCACATGAACAAGAGCAGGTCCTGTTTTGTAGTTCAATAGGTTATGAGCACGGCTTTGTTGTCCTCCAAGCCTGCGCGTATGAAGTCATTACCTGCGATTTTTGCTGTGAAGTTCAGGAACGTGCTCAAGTGCGCGATTGATCAATGCAGTCGGATGGCAACCTCATCAGTGATCACATACCAACGCTGTGTAGCAACTTATTCTCTGACACGCCCATAAACTTTCTCTCAATACCTACCTCCATGGGACTTTACATCCCGAAATCCCGCCACAAGCGTAAAAAAACCTTGTTCACTGTTTCAAAGTAACACGGCTGTTGACAAAAGAGCGAGACTGAATACTGAAATAGTGTAACTTTTTACTTGCATTTCCGTCCACACGTAACACTAAGAAAGCCTGACCCAAGAAAGTGACCGTAAGGAAAAGCATTAGGAGCAGGTCGTGTATAATCAATTCCCTTGACGTGCATCTGAGTCGGACTGTGGGGCGCTTGGCTTCTTCCCCTCTTGGATGATTTTGGGTGCACTTGTGCTGGTTGTCCGAGTATACGAATACCACCCTGACGAACGGCTGGTCGTTCGGCTGACGCTATCCCGAAGCTAGATTGCGGGTAGAATCCCACATAAAAATGTACATGCAGATCCACCCGCGCGAAACCATTTCTGGCGCTCTTGGCATCACCACCATCACGCTCTGTGGGTACAGTCTTGCGTGCCGAGAAGATAGCGGGACTTGGACCGGAAATTCGATGGCGACATGGCATCGCAATACTTCATACCGAGGCCTGGCTGGCCGGTAGAGATGCAGGTACAAAATGCTCCGCAGATGCTCCATGAATGTACGCCCTTTATGATGGGCGTTATCACACTCTCTTCAACATGTTGAAACCTATGCTTGGCCTGTACGGGCTGCTCAGTATGGCAGCTGCCCTCTCAGATTCAGTCAAGGTCAGGTGGCTTGAGGAAACTCCAAACTACCTTGGAGGAGTGACCTTTGGTTTGCCATGGCCTCGTGGGCAGCACTTGGCGGATGCCACGACCTTCAGCGCTTCAGGCGATGCTCAACTGCAATCGTGGGTCACAGCCGTTTGGCCAGATGGCTCACTCAAGTGGACTGGACACGCACTCGGTGCGACCGACTCACCCGCCGACGAGTACACTATCACTGCTTCTGGCCCAGGAAACACAACTTCCTCTCCCGTAAGACGACAGAGCAGCAACAGCACCTCCGGCGTGCAAGTCACCGACGCTGAAGGCGAGATTATTGTGAACACCGGCAAGGTCACTGCAACGTTTCCCAAGTCGGGCGATGTTTTGGTATCATCCATCGAGGCAGGCGGGAAAGTTGTCGGAAACAACGGTCGTCTTGTCTTGAGGTCTCAGACTGGAACTCCTGACGATGACGAGAACGGCAAACCAGCTGGTATCGAGTATTTCAGCTTTGCTAGCAAGATCTACAACGCGACTGTCTCGGAGGACAATACTGCGCGTGCACTCGTGACTGTGCAAGGCATCCATGCAACTGATGGGGACGGCGCACATGATGACTGGCTTCCTTTCACTGTGCGGTTCTACCTTTACGCCAACTCTGAAGCCATTCGCATCATTCACACCATCGTCTATGACGGCGAAGCCAGCACAGACTTTATATCAGGACTTGGTGTTCGATTCGACGTGCCTCTTGCCGAAGAGGAGCAGTACAACCGTCATGTCCGCATTGCAGGTATCGACGGTGGACTGTTGCACGAGGCGGTTCAGGGAATCACTGGTCTCCGCCGTGACCCGGGTGCCGAGGCAAGGTCTGCTCAATTCAATGGTACTGAGACGCCTGACAAAACGACTTGGGACCAGAGAGTTACCACTCGCCTGCAATGGATTCCCACCTGGAGCGACTACAGACTTACCCAGCTTTCACCGGATGGCTTTAACCTAAAGAAGCGCACCAAGGCTGGGCAGAGTTGGGTGAAAATCCCTGGAGGGACCCGCTCTGGAGGTCTTGCTTATCTGGGTGGCTCATCTGTCGGAGGTCTGGCTCTTGGGCTGCGTGACTTCTGGAAGAAGTACCCTACCAGCTTGGATATCTCCAACGCTGCTACAGATACTGGTTCTATAACAATATGGCTTTACAGCCCTCAAGCTGGGCCCCTCGACCTGAGACCGTACCATGACGGGCTGGGCGAGGACACATATGCGAAACAGCTGGATGCCCTTGAGATTACGTACGAAGACTATGAGGGCGGGTATAATACGCCGTACGGCGTGGGTCGTACCAACGAGTTGTTCCTGTATGCCTTTGCCAGCACTCCATCAGCTGATACCCTTTCGGCTCTCACCAACCACACAAATAACCCTCCTGTCTTAATTCCCGAGCCGGAGTATATCCGCGACACCAAAGCCATCGGGAGCTACTGGGATGTACCAGGCGCACCGGTTGACTCTGCAGAAGCGCAGACGATTGAAAAGAATATGGACTTCCTCATCAAATTCTACGAAGGTCAAGTGGAGCAGCGCCGGTGGTACGGGTTCTGGGACCACGGCGACATTATCCACACCTACGATGATGACCGTCACCAGTGGCGGTACGATGTTGGTGGCTACGGCTGGGATAATTCGGAGCTTTCACCTGATTTGTTCTTCTGGGGCCACTTCCTCCGCACTGGCCGCGCAGACGCATACCGGCTGGCCCATGACCAAGCACGCCACGGCGGAGAGGTCGATTCCTACCATCTCGGCAACTTCACCGGCCTTGGAACGAGGCACGGCGTCCAGCACTGGGGTGATAGCGCAAAGCAAGCCCGCATATCTACGCCAGTTTACAGAAAGACCTTCTTCTACATCTCTGGCGGTGACGAGCGCACTGGCGATCTTGTGCGCGAGGTTCAAGAGGCTGCCAAGGCCTTTGTCCTGGTCGACGCTCGTCGCAAGGTTCGGGATCCTGATGTCGTCTACAAACCTGACCCAGAAGCGCTATATCTCAACTTCGGTACCGACTGGGCCGGCCTCGCGCAGGCTTACCTCATTGAGTGGGAACGGCGCGGGCCGGGCTGGGAGGAGGCTCGAGACAAGATCATCGAGTCGCTGAAGACGTACCCGAAGCTGAAGAACGGATTCGTCACTGGTGAGGCTTTGTATAACTCGTATACCGGCTCTTGGGCACCACCGCCTACCGACCCCTCCAACACCGGCAACATCACGGTTTCCCATCTTTCCGGTGTGTTCGGTGTCCTCGAGACGATTGACCAAATCATTGAGCACTTCGGCCCCGAGGCACGCAATATCACGCAGCCATTCTACGATGCTTTCCTTGACTACTGCTACTACTACGGTGCTCCCAAGGCCGAGCAGGCAGCCAGATACGGCAAGGACTTTGGCAATCTCAACCTCAAGCAAGGCCACTCCCGTTTCACCGCCTACGTCGCCAACAAGCGCCAGAACGCAACTTTGGTCCCACGAGTCTGGTCTGAATACCTGGGTGACGGCAGCAAAGACGGCCTCGCGCCCACTGCACCATGGAAGACGGAACGTTTTGACGGGAGCGATGTCCTTGTGCCCATCGACGAGGCCAAGTGGGTGAGCACAAATGCCGCTGCCCTCTACGGTGTGGCCGGGATTGAGAACCTGGCTTTGGTGGGTGCGCCGGATGTGTCGGCCATTGGGAACTCCACTGCTAAATTGAGGGTTTGAAATCTTACCGAGACTCAGAACTGCAAATCGACGTGAAAGACCATCTGTACATAAAAACTAAGAATTTATTGTATATGTTATAATTAAATTGATCACACTTTACCAAATTTTCCATCCTTCAGCTCAAATTGAGCTTGTCGGCTTGAACTGCGGTGCGGCATGCAAGCTGGTACGCGTCGGAGTCCATGAAGGCCGCGAGCTTTGCTGCTTTTTCTCTCAAAATATTGGCCTCTTCGGTCATGGTGAGGGCTGGGCCGTCGGCCTCTTCAGTGCTGTCGGGCGGAGGCATGGTTGATAGAAGGACTGTGACCAGCAGTAGCGAAAGTGGTCCTGGTTGTTATTGCTGTTGTGGAGTTCGGTTGCTAGGCTGCATCAAATCTGCTCGTAGTTTTCAAAGGGCGCAGCTGGGGGGGGGGGGGGTTGTAATGTCCGAGCTGCCTGCCAATTATCTACTGGTCTCAAGATTCACATAAAAAGTCCAAACTTTCAGGCCGTTTGGAGTAGCTAGATTCAATGTATAACTGTAGGAAGTTACTTCAGACGGACAATTCAGGCTTGACTGCCACCAGTCACTATTAAGCGCCTTAACGGGCTCATCGCACTGATTCATATGGCTGGATGGGAAAACAATCAACCTTTGCTGCGGTCAGTAGCAAGAGAGAAGATGAAATCCAACGAGTCGTCCCCAAGCCACTGAAAACCATTCGAAGCATCGAGCCCGAACGGCACCATCGATGGATCCAAGGGCAGGGCGAGCCAGCTTTCATCCATGTCCTCCCCGTTTGCCACACCGCCGATGGCATCAAGTTCCAGCCCAGGCAGCTGACCCAACTCATTCTGAAAGTCCAAGCTGTTTGGGTCTGCCTCTCTCTCCGCAGACGGCGGACGCGTGGCAAAGCTCGTGGGCCGCGACGAAGGCACGAAGCAGTCCTGGAGACGGCTTAGGCTCGTCTCCATGAGCGTTGCGTAGCGTCCGCAGAGATGAAGATCATCCGGTGCGCTGCTACGCAGTGCCCATATCGCCTGCTTCAGCGTGTCCAATGAGCGGCGGAGCTTTGTCGCGCTGACGCCGACCGAAGCTGTGGTTATCCGCAGGAACATTCCCACTGGGGCGAACTTCAGTGTTTTTCTCTGGGCGAGCGAGAATGTTACCTTTAGTGTTTCGAGACAGCCGTCGACGACTGCCTGGATGAAGCTGTAGTCTGTCGGGCTGAAGTCGATCTGACCCGCGGTCGAGCCGTTATCCGAGCCGGCTAGGGTACGCTGTATTACAGCTTGTAAACCCAGAGAGTTGGCATATATTTGTGTGTTCTGGTACTCAACGATTAGGATATCATAGAAATGTTTCTTGGTACCTTTTAATAAGCTTGGTCAGTCTTGCTCGAGTCGACTCTCTGAATGAAGACACATGCGCAGTATTAGAATGTACCTACCAGATTTTTTAAGATGTTTCTCTTCCCAGCTGGACAGCAATAGCCTGAAATGCTCGATTATGCTTATGTAGCGGCCGCTGCGGAGCAGCTGGCTCGTGATGGTCTGGGACGGGAACAGCACGTCAGAAATGGACCGCACCGTCTTGGTGAGTTCCGTCCAAGCAATGATGAATGCATTCCAGTCCTCCCCATGCTTTGAAAACGACAAATTCGACATGCTAGAGGACATTATTCCATGGGTCACACTCTCGGGCATCAGCGACTTGCAGCCAAGCCTCGACGATAGCTGTTCCTGGTACAGAAACAACAGCTTCGCCAGGGCTCTGCGCCGGTAGTACTGCCGGATGTCGTATTGAGACGAGTTCTCGGAGACAGAGTCTTCGTGCTGGTCAAACACGCCTAATTCATTGGCGAGCGACATTGCCATGCCAAGTACTGTCCGGGACATCCTGTCAGACCGCTGCGCAGGTTGGATCACGTCCTCGAGCCACCTGTCTCGGGTTGGGTTGTCGACAGCCGCACCGTTCTGATCGCGAGCATCCGGAAGTGTCATGATCATGTCAGAATCCCAGCCATCAGAGACCGGAGGCACCTGTAAAGCCCGTGGGTGCCATTCGGTCAGGAGTATCAACGCCTCGATGGAGCCCAATGTCCGCGTCTTGGCCTTAGAAAGTTTCTCCTGCCCTAGCAGGATCCGCACCAGGATATGCTGGCAGTGATCCCAGAGCCGCTGATGGATCAGGTATCCTCTTGACTGACCAACAGTCGTCGACACGCTGTGATATCGAGATGAGATGGTCAGTATCATGCATCCGAGTAGCGGCTCGCGAGTGACCAGGTCGAAGTGGTTCGCATGGTCGGCGTAGAAGTCATCCAAGATAGGCGATAGAGGGGACATGTTCTGGAAAAATCTACAAACATAGATGATTTAGCTATATGCTGAGCAACAGGCCGAAAAGAATTGAAAACTTACAGGTCAACAAGCGCAAGTGCCTCTTGTGCGGACAGCCATCCCATCCTCACGAATCGGAATGCACTCCAGACCTCCAATACGTCCGTGTTATTACTTGACACCATGACGCCGGACGCCAGGTACGTGCTGACGGGTATCGAGCTGGCAGGACTGGTTGTGCAGGCAGCCGCAGAGAAGTTTCCAGTACCGGAGTGTGGCGTGTGGCCATGTAGATCCCTTGAGCTTGGACTCTGAATTTCGGGCTGGCTGCTCTGATTTGCCGCTTCAAAGAGAAGGTTTAGAGCATCGTGTCCATTCGAAACCACCGTCCGCATCACGGAGTCAGCCACCAGAAGATCGGAGGATGCTGGTTGCAGCCCCCTGTATGGTCCATCAGGGCATGTCCCCTTGCCCTGCTGGTTGGCGGCAGATGATACTGACAGGCGTGTCGTGGCAGGCGGCGATGCATATTCCTCACGAGAGACTTGTTCACTGGCATCTGGCATGAGATGCTGGCTGAATTCCGCGCTTGACCGTCGAAGGGCTTCTCTGGCTGCACGAGATCACGGAAGGAATATCAGAGATGGTCAGTCCTAGTATTCATTTTGAGATGGAGAGATTGTATGCACTCACTTTTGTTTCCTCCAAAAGACTGTCTCGTGCCATGACGCTGGGCAGGGAAGACACACTCCCGCATCTCACGGCGGCAGCGGGCACAGGGAGAGCCGGACGAGTACTCTTCCACAGTGATATTGCATTTTGTCTTGCGCTTTCTGCAGGGAATGCAAGCTTTTCGACGTGTGTCAGTCACATATCAATCATGCCAATCATCTTAAATCATCAATCGCTGCAAGTGAAATAGGGCTTGAAGGCAGACCTGCCTTTGTAGGCCCGTTGGAAGGCCGATGCGGACGCGGGCGCGTCACTCGACCGTGTAGAGGCGACGCTATCCGTTCGTGGCATTATCGACAATCCTGGCCGCGTATCGATCTTGAAGCTGCGTGGTAGCAGAGGGGCAGTATAAGTCGTATATTTGCCAGCTTGGAGCACAGGAGAGACTTATCGATTGCCAGTCCCTTCATGCTTCCTCAATGTCGCTTCGTTGACTACGCCAGATGTCGCCAGCGCCATTTGCCTACCTACTGTAGTTGCTCACCACCGTCCACAGGTGGTAGAGTCGCGCATACGACCCATCAAGTTTCGGACGGCGGGGATGTACCGTGCGGATGTAACCGCCGGCAATTGTCGGAAACCTACGGACAACCGACTCCAGCAGAGATCTTCGATGGTTTCCCCACAGCCGCAACTTGTGTCCGAGGCTCTGTTCGATCAGTCTACTCTGTTCTAGGCTGGCTCTTTTTGCAAATTTGGCTGTCTAATAAGAGCTATGTGCCGTAGAACTACCAATGTCGTGGCTTTGAAGTAATCATGCCACTTTGCCTTTTGCGAGCCCAAGCTCGGATGTCCACTTCGCGGCCACAATATCTCCTGAATCAATAAGTACCTAGGCAGATAGAAAAGGGAAGAAATACAGGATCACCAAATATGGGCATCACCGGCTATGAGATGACCAACTATGATAACTAGCTACGAGATAACCTCCTGTGGGATAATCTCCTCTGAGAACTCTCCTTTGGGATCACCTCCGATATGATGACCTCGTGTAGGATATTCTCTTCCGGGATAACCTGTTATAGGATAGATAAATATGTACAGAGACGTGAGCCACATGAGGCTCCGCAAAAACGTTTTTGTATGTATTCAAATGTGGCTGTATTGCTCCAATAAAGTATATGAAGAATCCTCCACCTCTCAACCAGCATATCTAGGTACTCAGATGGCTATGTGAAATAGCGAAACGATGTGTTGTTGTCTCCTCCCCTGGTGACATCTACACGTGTATTTTCATCAACAGGTCCATGTATTCGATCACGTTTTCTGTTCTCGTGTTCCAGTCTGAAGTGCAGACCAACAGCGAGAAGTGTGATCATGCCGCTCAGGCCACATCCCGTTGCGGTACCGTGGACGTAGAATGGTCTTCTCATTGTCAGTTTCGGTCAGTCCGCCACGCAAGATGAGGAAAATATCAGGCTCCAAAATAAAAAAGAAAGAAAACGTCTTCAGAACTCACCCGTCGCTGCTGGGGAATAGAGCGCTGCTCACGAAGGAAGAAGTCTGACCAAAAGTGGCCAAGATTCCCAGGCCTGCGCCCCTTTTGGAGTCACCCCCCTGATTATTGAGAAGCCAGGTCATATTAATGCAGAGTGCGGGAAATATGCCACAAGCTGCCAACCAAAGCCCAGTGTAGCGCGCACCAGTCTTAGTCCCGTCCTGGATAGCAGCGAGTAGTAGATAACCCACGGCGCCGATGGAGGAGAACCCAGCGACTACCCAACCTCTCCTGCTGTACCTGTCCGACAGCCAGGCAGCGAGCATACAGCAGAGGAAGGATGCGAAATAAGCAGGAGCAACCAGCCCTTGTGCCGAAATATGGTCGTAGCCCATATCCTTCACGATCGTAGGGGCGAAGTTTGAGAGGCCAGCGAATGAGTAGTTACAACTGAAGTGAATCAGAGCATGGACGTAATTCTGGTAGTCTGTGAGGCCAGCAGCAATCTGATCCCAGTTCACTTTTGCTTTAGCGGTCCGATCCCTAGTCTCAAGCCTGGTAAGAGAATCGGTCCTCTCGTCTGCGGACAGGAACTTGGCTGTGTCGGGGGAATCGCACAGGAATAGATAGACCACGACCGAGAACGCAATAGTAGGTGCTCCCTCTTTAAGGAGGCAAGCAGTCAGCTGGGACGGAACTCAACTTCGCGAGCAGCAGTGGACTAACCGATGATGAAAAGTAATCTCCAGGGTGACACCGAGCTGCGTATTTGGATTATGCCGTATGCAAGAGCGGACGCAAAGCAATTTGCCAGTGGCGACATCCCGAGGAGAAACGAGACACGCTTTCCCAGCTCCTGTCTCTGGTAGAAGAGCGACAAGAAGTAAGGAGCGCCAGCACCGAATGAAGCCTCAAATATGCCCAGCAGAACGCGGACAGCCACCAGGCTGGCTAAGTTGTGAGTGGCGCCGGAGACCATCGCAGCTACGCCCCAGCTGTGCGATCGTATATCAGTCAGCTTGAGATCAAAGAAGCGAATTAATGATAACCAGCCCAAGCTCTTTTGTCTGCTTTGTGGCAACAGTCCTTTGGGATAGTTTCAAAGGGAAAAATAGGATAACCTCCTACAAGATAACTCTGGTGGGATACTTCCGGAGGATATCCTTGTTTGGAATAAGCTGTATAGGGATAAATCCACAGGAGGCTCCACAACGATGAATCGTCAGTTGTTGAGAGCGTGGCCATCTTATTCCAATGTTGTATGTGATAGAAAGAGCAGAGGGGACAATCGGACAACTCAAAGGTCGCAACTAACAGGAAACATAGTACTGCAACATAAATGTGGGCCGGAATAGCTTCCAGAAGAGTTGGGTCCACTCAAAGAGGACATAAGAGATATAGAAGCCCTGCAGGACCCAAGTCCAATCCTGGTCATCAAGATTCAACTCTTCCTGAATACCAGCAGTTTTTGCATTCCCGATATTACCGCGGTCAAGGTACGAGAGGACATAGAGGATACAAACAATCGGGAGCATATGTCTATCGAACTGTATATCGATCATGTTAATGCATAGGAATCATTCCGGGTCTCAGAAAAGGGGCAAAATCGGACGCTGACCTTTTTGACAATACCTCTCTGGCGCTGCGCATGGACAAATGTTGGTGACTGAGTCTCCCCGGTGTCATCGGCTGTGCGAGCGACGTCCAGCGTCGGCATTGTCCTGAGTTCCAACTCCTCAGCCGTTGGCTTCATATCAGGAGTATTGCTCATTTTGCTCGCAGGGTGGCGACAGGAACTTCAAAATGTTAAATTCCAATAAACCTGCTAGACTCCAGACCGGCTTGTTCGCGTCAGGCTTTTATTAGCAGGTGACACACGCAGAGCGTCAAGAAGCACCTCCAGCGAACTGGCTGGCTTCACTCAGAGATCTACCAGCGCACGCGCACATCGAAACGTAGCCGGACCCAATCTTTATACCTTTTCTGGGAAGTGAGCAACAAATGAGGCTCGTCCGTAACCCCGCGTTGATGCTGTACCCCGGATTTTGAGGACTCGGGCACACTTTCACGACTAATCCTGATGCAGCTCGTCGATCGATGTCAGATCTTTCCGCGACGTTCCTGAGATATCCGAGCCGCCTGTCAGGGTAGAACGGAACCGACTCCGTGCAAGATTTGGCGAATTGGAGGATATTGGGTAACATCAGCATTCTTACTGCGATTATTAAAAAGCGCGGGGTTTCGTCTATACAGCTTCACTTGGTTATGATACCTTCCAACTGGTTCAAAACAATACAGAACAGCCGATCATACAAACATAATCTCATCCTAAAGTTTCATCAAGATCATTCTCAGCGTTTCAGCCATGTCTGAGTCCATTGTCAACAGCGTCCCGTACCCCTTCAAATTCGAACCCCCTCAGAGCATCAAGTCCGGGAAACCAGGCCAGCTCGAGGAAGTGACCTTGTCATTGAGCGTGCGAGGCAAGATCCCATCCATCCAGGCCTCCCGACTCCGATCCATGATGCTTGAGGCCTCGAAAGACCCGAGCAAGATTATCGCCCACGCCTGTTCGTACGACGGTCTTTCGTCCCGGCTGGTAGAAGAGGCCGGCTTCCCGGTCGTCTTCCTGGCCGGGTACGCCATGGCCAGCTCCTTCGGCCTCCCGGACACCGGATATATCGCGCTACAGGAGGTGTGCGATAAGATCCAGCAGACGGTGCGGCAGGTTAGTGTCCCCATCTTCGCGGACGGGGACACCGGCTACGGCAGCCCCATGAACGTCAAGCGGACCGTGCAGAGCTTCGCTGAGGCCGGCGCGGCCGGCGTCATGATCGAGGACCAGACATGGCCGAAAAGTACGGACATCCCTTCCATCTCCCTTAACATGATAATTGGTACCAGTCGTCCTGACTCACACGCTCACAACAAACAGGATGCGGCCACACCAAGGGCAAAGCAGTCGTTTCGAGGGGCGAGGCGTATGCTCGCATCCAGGCAGCCGTCGACGCCCGGAACGAGGGCAAGGACATCTTCATCCTGGCGCGCACTGACGCCCTCATCCACGGATGGGACGAGGCCCTGGCGCGGGGGCTGGAGTTCAAGCGCATCGGGGTCGACGCCGTGTTTGTCGAGGCGCTGCCGGATCGAGAGTCCATGCAGCGTTGCGTGCGGGAGCTGGACATGCCGGTTTTCGCAAATAGTAAGTTGCCCGAATTTTCCCCCAGTCACTTTTCCCACCGACGCTGAGACGACCTGCTAGTCATTGAGGGCGGGAAGACGGAGAATCTGTCTGCCAAGGATTTGGCCGAGTTGGGCTTCTGCGCAGTCGCTTATCCGTGGACCTTGGTGGCTGCAAAGTTGAAGAGCATCCGTGAGGCTCTCGAAGGTCTGAAGAAGAGTATGACAGTGGGGCCACCGCCGATGATCTTGTCTTATGATGAAGTATGCAAGGGTGTCGGCTTTAACAAGTATTGGGTGTGTACTCATTCCCTCAGTGGATCGAGAGATATCGATTAGCTAACTTTTGTATAGGATGAGGAAGAGCGCTACAAATTTACAGAGTCTGGGTTGGTGAATTCGAAAGACGGTGCTGAATAGAGGACTGATCATGCTTTGTGGCACAGGTCATGGCCTATGGAAGAATTTCTTAGCTTATTAGTCACGATGGAATCGCAAGCCGGAAGCTAGTTTGAAAATTGCATATCACCAGGGTAAGCACGTAGCATTAGGATGCAGATGTGTATATTTTTGTTCTGAAAAAGAAATTGAAAGCAGAAGGTTGAGAATACGTGGTTTCACAAAAGTACGAGCATGCAGATCTAATATTTCTTTATGGCCAAAGTATCATTTACTTATTCTACAAAAGGGCACCTATTACTCCCGCACTAAAAAGACCTACCTTTCGAAAAGACCAGACTCAGCTAATCAATTATCTCGCCGTCAGGACCCTCTGTGCACGAGTACACATATTTGATTTCGCCACCTTGCCCATGAGTCTGCTGAGCTTGAGCGTCTGATGAATGAGGACGATATCCTTCACTGCGAGACTGTCGAGCTCCAGCATACGATGAATGATGTGCCTGAGGACCGTCTTGATATGTCCCATCATAAGGAGGATAACCAGGCTGTCTATCCGAGGTGGTATACTCATATCGATCAGCATGAGGGTGACCTCGGCGCCTGGCATACCTGAAAGTCTCATAGTCCCGCTCGTCACGTCCCATGTACCGACTAGCTTCCCGATATGACTCCTCCCAAGAGTTCCCGTAGTCTGTACCGTAGTAGGATGAGTCACGGCTGGAAGAAGAGTACTCACCGCGGCGATCGGACGAAGAGTACTTGCGCCTGAGCTCCATGTGCCTTGAATTAGAAGGCCGGGAGCGTGTATCGGTAATGACTTCGATTCGGTCGCCCGACTCTCCCACGTAAACAGTTCTTTCGGCGGAAGAGGACGAACGGCAGTCGGAGCAGACCCTGTGGCGGCCCGACATGCCACGTCTGCAGCTAGGGCATCGGATATTGAGACTCATTTTCTAAGTTTAAGTGATGAAACTTTTGAAAAGTGGTGTGTGGTTTCGATTGTTTCAGTTGGGCTGTTTTCTCAAGTGTTGGTAATACTGTTCGGAAGAAAGTGTGGTAGAAGACGGGGGATCATGGACTATTTGAACTGTTGGGATGGCTTATTGATAGTCTTGATTCGGCTGTACAGACGTCTTTCAAAGAATGGAGTTTGTTGCGGTTGATTGTCATGACGGCGGAACGGCAAGCTAAAACAAAGCAACACGCGATTTCTCCAGTCGAGGTGCCGCCGGATTGTGCCAGCAAGACTCCCTATTGTTCGGAAGAAAGACATTGATTGAGTATTTCTACGCATGAACAAAGTCCATCAACAGTCGACAATGCGTGGAAGTCATCAAGTATATTTGAGCTCAACATATATACGCATGCAGGTTCACTCGCCTCGAGTGAAGCGAGTCTTCACACCACACCTCACCAAACCAAGTCGCCAGCCTCAGTTATCCCTGCCGTCCAGCTTTAGCGTAAGATCATGTGTTTGCTCATCATCACCAGTAACAGCCGTTGCGGGCACAACACGTACCGCCATGGCTCGTGCCCAGGGAGTCCACATCATCAATGCCCTCGGAGCTGGACAGAGCTATACACTGTCGATGATTTTTGCTCAGCTTGTAAGAGATGGGCTGGTCTGGCATTGCGTAACCGTGAGGAACGCAGTGCTTGGGCTTACGAGAAGCAGATGGCGGGACAGGCCGAGAGGGTGCGGCAACGAAGTGTCGCGTGGCAGGGCCAACACCCTCTGGGTGAGAGGACTCAGCCTGCGTCGAACCGCCAATCTTGGAGGCCGAGTTGGCATATGCAGTAATGTGTGCTCCGCAACCAAGCTTTTGATTTACTAGTAATATAGAGATTTCGAATTTCTCCAGTCTCGCGTAGTTCACTGCCGTTTTGCGCGCAGCTATGCAAATTTGCTGCTTTATCCTTGTTCTGCATGATCTGAGGCATGATGTTCGCGAGTGGGGGGTGACAAGAGAGAGGGCTGCCAGGTGCATTTACCATTAATTTATTCTAACTGACCTGCTGCCGCTACCTGAGTAGTAAATCAATTCCTGCCCTTACCCTTCCGTCTCTTTGCACCAGTGGTTTCCCCCTCCTCCTTCGTAGACACAGTATCTTCTTCCGAAGCCTCGTCACCCCGTACTTCAACCAGGTCGCTCTCGTTTCCATCGTCCGTCCTCTCTACGGACTCACTTCTCCCACCCAAAACTTCCTTGACAATCCGCTTGCCTTCGTTCTCTTCTCCGTTGTTGGCTCCGCATCCCATGCACTTCCACAAGCCCACCTCGGCCAGGCTGTTCGTTCCCGGGGGCGCCTGGCCATTGACGAGCCGGCACTGCTTGCAAATCAGGACGATACGGTTCTTGGCTGCCGTCTCATCTTCGCCGAGCAGAGTGTCCATGATCCTGTCATACCAGTGGGTCTGGAGTCCCGCGGGGTTCATCTCGTACTGGGCCCCAGCAACATGCGCAGAAGCCGGCCTCGGTGCTTCGAATGCGTTGGGCGCAAATTCGGCCGAGAGATCTGTATGCTGATGCGCTGGGCTCGGGCGTTGCTGCTGCTGCTGCATGAGTTCCTGTGGTCCAGTGCCTGGTGGCTGAGGTGTTCCTGGATGCGAGAGGGCGGGAGGGTCGCGGCGGATGTTGGCAGTAGCGGGTGGGGGCATGTTTGTGCGCTGCGCGGGACCCGAGTTTTGTCGTCGTGAACGCGCCGGGCTCTTGGATTCGGCGTCGCCATCCTCAGTGGGTTTTCTCTTGGGTTTAGGGCTCCCATCGCTGCCACCATACTTCTCCAGGAGCTTCAGCGTAGAATCGTATTTGGTGGCATCCTTCAACTTCTGTATGGTGGTGGCTCTCTCCCCCTGAAGACCCTTGAGCTTTGAGCTCAGGCTATCGATACGAATGTCGTAGACGGCGGAGGTGGCAGTGCGAACAAGGTAGATGACGACGGGGCCGCCAGCCATGCCGGACCATTCGTACGCGCCTATGTTCTTCCATCCGATCACGACCAGCACGACGATGGCGTAGATGAGGTAGGCGATGGAGAGGTACAGGGTGCAGAGAAGGCGGACACGACGGCTAGACGCGCGGGCCTTTTCGAGGCGAGCTTGCGTTGTGGCGATATTGGTGGACAGGACAGACAGAATCTTTTCGAAGGAGGCGGTCGACGAGTCGTCCTTCTGTGGGAGGTCGGGCAAGGTCAGCAAGTGCCAAATACCATAAACTGAGTGAGGGCAGAGAAGCGCCCGCGACAAACAAACAGGCAACTTACCTTCCATGGCCATAGCGAGACCATCTTCGCTGGTGCCCCTGGATGTCGACCAACTTGGTCTGGGGTGTTTGCAGAGACTGTTGTCCCTGCTCAGGGCAGCCTCTACTCGGTGGCAAGCGTTGACGAGAATGAAGGCGAGGAAGCTGCTAAGCAAAAGGGCGCATGAAGCTGTGTCGAAGGCTGACGGGTGATGTGATTGTCGTAGCGAGCGGTGATCAGGAGGTGATGTGTGGCGGCCGTTGAGGGTAGTGTTCTTTGTTACGGTAGGGAGTCGAGAGAGTTTGTCCGTTCACGGCTCGTGGGTGTCAGCCTCGCAGGCAGACAGGCAGCCCAGAGCTCAATCTCGCCTGGGACATTTGGGAGATGGAGCTCTGCTATGAGTGACCTCACAGCTCCCTTCACGGTCGATCAGGGCTGCCAGGGGGGCGAAGTGGGGTCCCTGTGTCCCAGGTGCCAATCCATGCATATGAAACGGAGGTACCAATGTACTTACGCTCCTAGGTCCGTATCTAGACGGCCAGAAAGACAGGCACCCTTACCCCCTGGAAGGGCCCGAGCTGTCGGGGCCGAGCTCGCCTGGGGAAGGGCCGCGCAATTGGTTGCTCTGGCCAGCTCACAGTTTAGACCACCGCTGGGTGAACCGTACCTACCGTCTTGGCTTGTCAGAGCACAAGGCCGAGCCAAAAGCAAGGCTGGACTTTTTCGAAACACATCGTCAGAAGGGAGAAGTGAGCGAGCAAGCGACTTGTTCTCCCCATTGTTCTTTTTGTTCTTTCCCCTTGGGCAGACCAGCCCTGCACGCTATTATGCCCTGCCCATCGTGGTAGACCTGCTAGATACAGCTTGGACGACTCGACCCGTTCAACCTGCCCTTTTGCTTTGCTTTGCCTTGCTCTGCTTTGCTTCGCATGCATTGCCCTGCCTTGTCGCATTGAATTGGTTCGACCGCATTCCTTTGTGAGCCCTCTCCGCCGTATCCGTCATGTTTCAACGCCTCAAGGGCTCTATCGACAGGGTCATCGCCGAGGAGCAGGCCCGTCAGAAAGCTGTCAACGACCAAGCAGCATCCGGCTCTGCCACCGGCAGCCCCAGGCAGTCCTCGTCCGTCTCGAGGAGCAACAGCGCCGCATCCACTGCCAGGAAGCCAAGGCCCAAGAAGCAGAGTCAGGATGTCTCCAAGAACGACGATGGCGCCGCGAATCTGGACCCTGCCGTCTTCGAGGCGGCCTTTGTTATAGACGACGACGAACCTAGCCGCGCAACCACTCCCAAACCGCCGACCGATGACCAGACACCGCAGAATGGAGATGCCAACGATGCTGGGTCTGCGAGTGGCGAGGCTGGTGCTGCGACGGGCGCTGGAGATACCGCCCAACCTGCAAAGGATGCAAAAGACGACGAACAAAAGCCTGCGCCGCCGCCCAAGAATGACACACCCGAGCTACCTCCAGATGTGCGCACCAAACTCAGGAAATTGGAAAAGCTGGAGGCGACCTATCCAGGTAGGCTGAATATCTCGACGCGAGGTCGTGTCTCAGACCTCAGACATGGCATTTCCAGCTGACATCCTCAACAGAACTGCTCCGCTCCTACCGGATTGCCCACAGCCGAGCTACCTCCATCGAGCCTTTCGAACGCGCCCTTCGCGAGAACACTCCTCTGACATCCATCAAGGACCCAGCCGCCTTTCTCGAATATCTCAACCAGCTGAACCTCAAGGGCGACATGGTCATGGACGAGTTCAAGCGTGTCTCTGCTGAGAAGGACAATTTTAAGAAGAAATACGATGCCGCTGACAAGGAGATTGTCGAGCTGAAGGAGAAGGTGGCTGCTCTAGAGGCTGCTAAAACTGCTGAAGGCGCAACAGCAGCAGCAGCTTCCGAGAACGAGGCGAGCACTGCCGAGCCTGAGAAGGCTCAGGTCGCGACCCAGACCTCGCCACGCCCATCAGACGTTCGGTCCCCTGTGCAATCGGTCCTAGGAATGTTCTCGCCTAAGCAGAAGCCAGCAGAGCCTGCTGAGTCTAAGAGTGATGTCGAGGCGACTGGCGATGATTTCTTCTCCTATGACAATGAGATCCCAGAGCTGCAAGCCGAGGTGGAGTCGAAGAACGGGGAAATCGAGAAGCTCAAGGTCCTTGTCGACGACCTCAAGACGGAGCTTGCAACTGCCAAGGAAAACAGCGCTGGTCTTGTCGAGAACCTCGAGAAGGCGAGCCGAGAGCTGAGCGAGTCGCGGGACAGCGTGGCCATGGCCGAATCTTTGCAGTCGCAGGTTGATGCACGGAATATCGAGATCAAGACCCTGACAGAACGCATTGAAAAATCGGAGGCACAGCTGAAGGACCTGCAGGCGCAGCTGCAGCAGGAGAAGGCAGCCACAGCAACGGCCATCAAGGAAAAGGAAGAAAGGCTCGCCGAAACAAGCGCCCTGCACTCAGAACTTGAGAGTGGCCTGAAGAAGGTCACTGAGGCCAAGGCCGCCCTGGACACGCGCATTGTCGACTTGACGACCGAGATCAAGAGCCTGCGGCAGTCAAAGCTTGAGAACGAGCGAAAGATCGAAGAGCTTAATACGCAGCTCCAGGTCAATCAGGCGCCGCCTACGCCGTCAACAACCGCCCCCTCTGAGTCTCTTGAGCTTCCCGCAGCCACCTCGCAGCCACCCTCGTCCAACAACAAGAAGAAGAACAAGAAGAAGAAGAAAGGCGGCGCGGGTGGAGCCACGGCCCCCGCAGAGACGACGAACACTGCTGGCGGCGACACCACGCCGCAACCCCCAGCGACCCCGATCGATGGTCCGTCGCTTGCGGAGCTGCAGGTCGAAATCTCAACCCTGAAGTCAGATGTGTTGCAGAAGGACGAGCAGATCGAAAGGCTATCCAAACAGCGTAAGACAGAGGAGGATTTACGGGAAGAAATTGAGACTCTACGGGAGAACTTATTGGACATTGGCGATGAGCATGTTCAAGCCAAGGACAAGATCAAGGGGTTGGAGGCCGAGAGGAAGCAGCTTCAAGAGCGCATTGCTGAGCTCGAAAAGGAGCTTGAATCATCCTCCTCGTCGGCGCAGACTAACGACAAGCTACAGGGTGAATTTGAAACGATGAGACAGGAATTCGAGGATCTGAAGACAAAATCGTCGACACTACAATCCGACCTAGGCGCGGCACAGCAGCTTGCACAGAGCAGATACAAAGACCTCACCGAGCTTCGCGAGGTCCTGCAAAAGGCCCAGCCGGAGCTCAAGAGTCTCAGACAGGAGGCAGCTACCCTGAAATCTACTAGAGAGGAGTTGGCCGCGAAGGCTGCCGAGCTACGTGCGATGGAGAAACGCGAAAAGGAGCTGAAGACCGAGGTCTCTCGCGCGCAGCGCCTGGCAATTGACCGCGAAACCGAGACCAAGACACTCCGCGAGAAGCTCACGGCCGAGACAAACGCTAAATTGAGCCTGGAAAACGCACAGCGCATCTCGGGCCGTGATCTGCGCAAGGCAGAGAACGAGAAGATCGAACTCAGCGCCAAGGAGGAGAAGGCCACGCGAGAGTTGCAGAGGCTACAAGAGGAGATGTTCAAATTGCGCCCGCGGGTGAAGGAGCTTGAGGACGAGTGTGCCAAGCTGCGCAAGGAGGCGGAGATCGCCAAGGAGGACTCGGAACTCAAGACGAGCCAGTATACCAACGCTCAGAACTTGCTCGGCAGCATGCGCGATCAGACACACGAGCTCAGCATCCAGCTCAAGGAGTCCCAGGGCCAGGCAGAGAGCCTTGAGGAGGAGATTGCAGAGTGTCGTAAGCTGCTCGGCGAGCGCACAAGAGAAGCAGAAACCATGCGTCGCCTCCTCGCCGAGGCTGACGAGCGCGCCAATTCCAAGTCGAGAGAGATGCACGAGCGCATCGAAGAGGCCGAAAAGGAGCGTGACCGCTTCGAGCACGAGATGCTGTCCTCTTCGCGGCGGGCGAACCGCCAGACCGAAGAGCTCAAGCAGCGCATCAAGGAGCTCGAGAAAGAGAGCAAGACGCTCGCCGAGGAGAAGGACGAGCTCGAGCACAAGGAGCGCGAGTGGCGGCGCAGGAGGGAGGAGCTCGAGGCGGTGGAGGCCAAGGCAGATGACGAGGTCAACGAGATGCGGCGCACGGTGAACGACCTCCGCGCCACACTCGATGCATCAGAGCAGCAGGTGCGTGATGCGGAGAAGGCAAGGAACGAGCTCCGTCGAAGCCTAGACGATTACAGGATACGCCATGACAAGCTCGCCAAAGAGTTGAAAATCGTACAGGGTAAGCTTGCCACCACGAGCGTGAACAGCCCAGCGGCCGGCAGCAGGGGCAGCATGGAGAGTCAACGGAGCGGCGGCAACGGCGCTGCGGCTGGAGGAAGTGGGGGTGGTGTGGATGCGGTCTATCTCAAGACGATCATGCTGCAGTTCCTGGAGCAGAAGGACAACAGGCTCAGGGCGCAGCTTGTGCCCGTGTTGGGCAAGCTGTTGAAGTTTGACAAGTGAGTTATTCCCGGCCCTCCTTTGCTCGCGATCCCCTCTTCCCCTACAGCCCGATCATCATTGCCGTGTCGAACATGGGAGAGCACGAGAGGAATGTTGCCTAGATGAGAACGTGGAGGGTGGCAGACAGCGCGGCATCGAACAAGGCTCCCCCTTGGAACCTGTAATGAGGTCGGTTGGGCCATCTCGCGTTGTACGACCGTCGTGGTGCATGCATCGGGTATGCTGTGTGACGGGTCGACTGCCAGCCGGAATAGGGGCCCGTTCGACTTCATTTTATGATACACACACTCTTGCGAATTACATGCCTATCCCGTATTGGAACATGGGCTAACACACATGCTTTTTTTGTTTTATTTTAGGGCCGATGAGCAGAAGTGGATGGCAGCAGTCCAGCAGATTGGGGCGCGATGATCACAGATATCGGGGGGTGGCGAGGAGGTGTTCTTTACGACTTAGGCAAGCAGGTGGAAAATGCGACAGCCGAATGAATGTAAAAATTTCAATGCCCCTTGCCCATGCCGTGCATATCAGGCTGCATGTGGTTTTCATCATCAGCAATATCAAGTCGACAGCTGCTGATAGCCGGCGGCATTGTCTAACACTGATGAAAGTGGTTAAGCTATTGCAGATCCTCGAACGACGCTCTGGACTTGTTGTCGGCAACCATCCAACGCAAGACATACAGAGCTACGGGGCGTCATCGACGACGAGTCTCGAGCCAAGAATGACGAGGTGTTCACACCGAGATGGTGTCGTGGTCGAGTGAGAATCCCCGGTGGAGAGCCCAATTACGACGTAGGATGATTCGCTCTGGCCGTTGGACAACAGCCGAGCACAAGACACTATCCACGCCCGATCTGCAGCTCGTCGACTGCAGCACACAGTGCTGACGGCTGGATCGCGATAGCCGTGCCCATTGTTGGGACATGTGTGGCCATCATCATGGTCGGAAGTCGCGAAGGGGTGTGTGTGAGTTGTGATGTGTTGTGTTGTGTTGTGGTGTACGCGGCCCCCTTATTCCGAGCATGGGAACGCCTTGGCGACCGAGGAAGGTAAGCAAATTCATCCGCATAAAGTCCGTGGCTGCACTTCGGACTTGATGCGGTGTGGCCTCCTTGCTCGGCGATTGTGATATGAGGGGACGTGCTTCTACTCTCCCCCACCCCCTCCGGGCCCCTTGTGGGTGGCGGACAAGTGGGTGCTGGACAAGAGGGTGTTGGACAGGAGGGTGTTGGACCAGAGGGTGTTGGACAAGAGGGTGTTGGACGAATAGATGGCGGACGAAGAGACGCTGGACGAGAGCATCCGTCGCCCGGCGCCTCCTCAGCGTGAGCTCGCCCGCTGTCTGGGTGGGAAAACTTCGGCATGCCGGCAGGACGTGCGATGCACGAATAACCTTAACTCGAACCCGGTTCTCCCAGGCACGTTCATGGCAGGCACAGGGGAGGAGGCGATCAGCCCAAGGTTACTCTTCGGTCGGCGCGCCAAAGTTGTATCGCATGGGGAAAGTAATGTCGAGAGTTTAGGTGGGTTTCACAAAGACTTGCGCGTACTTTGTGCAGTTTGCTGCTCACACACTCTCCCAGCCACAGACCGGGCTCCAACATTTCATGTTCAAGTTCACGGGCGTCTCGGTTGAGGATCTAGATGCCCATGGGCATGATACCCACAGTACGAATTCCCGCCTTGGGCAGGTCCAGGCGAAGCGAGATGTGTATGTGTCCGTGCTGTTTATCTGATTGCGAAACCCAAAATCCAAATTGGATACCCGGCCGGATGGGTCTATTGTTGGGATATCCATCATCCGATATGCTTTTGTGTCAAAAATAAACGTGGCGGTGGACGGACAAGAAACATACTATGGTACGTGACATAGTTCTCGCTTGTGGGGTTCGTCGGCGGAGATCGCTTAGAAGCGAGAACGAGGTGGGCCTGGATAGGTGCCTGACATGCGGGCGATGAAGATGTTCGCCACTGGTAACGTGGAGGAGGAGGAGGGAAGATGTCGTTGAATCCGAAAGGATATTTTGTCCGGCAGGCATGTGGGCAGGCATCCTGTCGGTAGGGTGGTTGGTTGGTCACTTGCAAATCAGGGCGGGACGTAGCTGTGATGTTTGCTCAGCCCTCCTGGGCGGCTCCACAGGGGCCTGATCTGGGGATCGTGGGCGAGTCTTCGTGCCTGCGGCTACTGTAGTAATATACTTAGTTCTTACAAGATGCGTACAAGAGACGACCATGCAGCCAATCTGGCTTTCTGATATAGGCGTTTGTTCCGGTTAAGACCTCTATAGGCTATTGAGGCTCGGCAATGGTACTCCCCGAGGCCAAAACTCGAGCTTGAACGTGGTATGAGGTAGACTAGAGTGCCGTACATGTGCGTGACAAGTGTCTTGGGGTGTTCGTTGGTGAATTGTCCGTAAAATGTCCGCCGGGTGTTTGCGGCGGTAACAAGGCTGGGCGGTGATGGGGTTTCAAGTCATATGGTAAAGTTTATTTACCGCGTACTGTGCTTATCTAGTTTGCTGGATGCCTTTCCCAGCTGTTTCTTTTTTCCGAATATCTCGGTCGCATGTCAATTAAGGTTTGTAAGGGTGGATCTCGATGGCCTGCCCACGCTCTGGGTCCAAACAGTTCTTCCCAACCCTGCCAGAGCTTTCGGGCAGGCACATTCTGTTGCGGGATTGGCGTGACAGCAAGGCGCAGGTCATAGTAAATAGTCTAGTCTATAGAAATTAGGGCTGTGTGCGGACATATCTGTAGGCACAGTTGCCGAGGCACGTTAGCGGTTGGACGAGATGTGCGTGTCAACACACACTTGAGCTGCATCATTCAGGGCGGTGGCAGCCGCCAAACCTTGTATGGGTCGACTACCTGCATGGCAATTTTTAAATTGTAACCAATACTTCTTGGTAACAGCCACGGGCGCGCGCTTCCTGGGGGAAATATAACAAATCTGAGGAAGCTTTCCCAACCCTTGCATGTCTAGTCTACATGTACACTACAGCAGAACTAGACTAGACTAGACTACGCACAGCCAGCCCGAGTGTGGTCGATAGCCTGCCGGGCTCATCTCTGGTTGTTGAGGTTGCATTCGCGATCGGCTGTCATCCTGGGGCAGGGGGTTGTGTGGGCCGTCGGCCGCCGGAGGACTTCCGCGTAGTCCGTGAAGGGCATATAGATCGCGAATCCTCCAGAGCTCTCAGAGCTCCCCTTGTTGGTCCCCTGCCGCGTGAGGTGCCTGCGGTCCTGGCTGGCTGGCTGCCGGTTCTGCAGGGCCAGGCAGGGTCTCCGCTGCTTGTCACGGCCTGCCTGCGTAGGAAGGGCGCATCGGCCTCTGGATGTGGGAAACCCGAGCCTGTTCGTGGGCGGAATCAAGGTTTGGGCAACGGGATAAGCAGTGGTCTTTGCACACCGCCATCACGATCTCCTCCTCGCTACGATGCTGCAATGCTGCACAGTCTGAACTCTGGACGGCGACTTCGGACTGGAGCGCATCAGAGCTCAGTCTCGTGAAAGAGCAGTATAGTATAGTATAGTCCACCGTCTGCCGTACAGTATATCCGGGCTCCTCATGCCATGTTTGAGCGTCGTCTTCCGCTTGCTCGGGTGTGCGGCCCCACAGACACCGACCACGCCGTAAGTATGAGAAGTGCCATACTGTAGTCTACTTACAGGACCAGGCCAGGCCAGACCGGACCAGGACAGCCACCCCGGGTAGAGGCTGCAAGCGAGACAATGGCGAGACCGACTTATCCATCCCAGTACCACCATGATCAACGCCTGCAGAGTTCAGCCTGCCTGCCGGACGGGGGAGGACAGGCAAGCTGGAGCTGGTGTGACGGCCGCCGCCCCACCGCTTCAATCATCTTTCGTTCATTGTGTTCAGACATCTTCTCGCGCGCCACTGGGCGTCTTCTTCCCCCGCCCACCATACCAACCCAATCCATGGCACCAACCTTGACACATTACTGCTCACCACCCGATTGATATATGTTTGTGATTTCTATTCCTCCGCTAAGCTTGGCCCTCGACATCCAGGGATTGCTGTCCACCGGCCCAGCAGTCTGGTTGGTACTGTGTAGATCGCCGAGCATGGCACAGACCTCCATCTGGACCTGCCGTGGTTTGGAACACAGTACTCCTCCCCCCATCTTGCCCATCCCAGCCGCATGTGGGTGACACCCTCTTCGGAGGCGGCCAGTCTGCCAGGAGCATCGGGCAGCGATGGACCGGCGGTGGATAGCAGTGGATGACGACGGCCTTCGTGCGGTGTTTGATCTGATCTGATATGATTCGATGCCATGCGATGCGGATAGCGGATGGATGTGATGCGATGCGCTTGCCTGTCCACCGTTGCCTCAGACTGAATGACTGCATGGACCTGCACATGCATGCGCGAAGTCGACATGAGCACGCCCAGAATGCCCGCTCGCTGGTTCTTCGGAGGACTGAGTGAGTGAACCCCATCCCATCCCATTCATCACCGCATGCATGCATCATCGGACGGGATAGACTCCCTATGGACGCCAAGTGACGTCCGCGCCACAAAGTAGATCCCGGATCAAGCGGTATGTATGTGTATCTGCTGTGCTGAACGGTATGGCTTGGGTCTTACACCTTCCTTCGCGGTCCCGGGTTCTGCCTCCTTGCCGCGTACCATGTGAGTGCAGCATAGCATGGCATGCTTCCACTCAACTCACCGACCCTCGACCAGTCGACAGTGCCACCGGAGAAGTGACGGACTGGAGGACCAGATCCTGTTGGCCGCTCTACGAACTCAAAATCACACAGCCGGCCCGCTCCCGGCCCTGACCGTTTGCGCCTCCTCACGATGCCTGATCGTTGACTTCACAAATACCCCCCTGGTGCCCACTTTGTTTGGAATGCCGTTGTCGCATGTTGCCTCTCTCATATACACTTTCCCCTGGTAGACATACACCATCGGCACGGCACACCACAAGACAACTCGTCGACTCCTGATTTCATTCCACCCATCTCTGCACTCTCTTGTCTCCCTCAAGCATGGGCAGTCTGTTCATCAACGACGAAGGCCTCCACCACACGGCCGTGTTGGGACATATATCACAGCCTACGCCTCATGATCCCTTTCGATACCAACACGGCTTCGGCAACCATCATGCATCAGAGGCAATTGCTGGTGCCCTGCCAAGGAACGGCACAAACCTGCCGCAGAAGCACCCATATGGCCTCTATGCCGAGCACCTGAACGGCACGTCATTCATCTCGTCACGCGAGTCCGTACTCAATTCGTAAGTCGTCACTCCTGGTCATAAAACTACTTAGCATTTACAAGCTGCGCGCCTCAGCCCTACTCACACAGTGCTGACGTGCATATTTTTGAATCCAAATAGGTGGATGTACCGAGTCAGGCCCTCTGTGGCCCATCGCCCGCTGCGACCTTGCAAGATCTCCGCAGAGGTAAATGTGCTTCTTTTGCAACCGGGTTCCGAATCTGTCGAGCTTTAGCCGCTTACCAGTTCCTGCAAAGGTCGAGTCGTGCTTCCTACCCCTGAATCCCAACGTCGACTTCACACCACTCACGCACACATGGGGCCCTCCAACACTGCAGCCCGTCCCGACAGACGGCAGCGGCAACGCGCCAAGGCCTGTGACTTTTGTTGAAAGTCTTCGCACCCTTTGCGGCCATGGCGACTCCACCCTCAAGGAAGGTCTCGCCGTCCACACCTACGCCTTCGATGCCGACATGAACCGGCAAGCGTTCGTGAGCAACGACGGAGAGTTTCTTCTTGTCCCTACCCGTGGCATCCTCGACATCCAGACGGAGCTTGGCCACCTCCGCGTACCGCCTGGCTCCATAGCCGTCATCCCACCCGGCTTCCGGTTCTCCGTCAACATTGCGAGTTTCCCGGAGAGGGCTGGTGCGTCCGGCTATATCCTCGAGGCCTTCGGGGCTCACTTCAAGCTCCCTGAACTGGGGCCTTTGGGTGCAAATGGGCTAGCTCACGTCCGAGACTTCCAGTATCCCGTGGCGAGCTTCGACGTTGACTTTGACCCGCTGCCAATAACACCGGCCGACAGCCAATCATTCCCCACTACAACATCCCCATCCGACTGGCGCATCATCACTAAGCTTGCTGGCAAGTTTTATCAGTACACCCAAAAACACACCCCCTTTGACGTGGTTGCCTGGCACGGCCGGTATAGCCCTTACAAGTACGACCTGTCTCACTTCACCCACCTCACCGCCAATACGGACCAGCTTGACCCTACGGCTTACACCGTCCTCACCGCGCCCTCCAAATGGCCGGGCGTGAGCCTCGCCGAGTTTTGCGTCTTTGGTGAAAAGTACGCTGTCGCGAAGGACACGCTCCGGATACCGTACCACCACCGCACCATGGCCACGGAGCTGGTGGGCATCATCAAGGGCAAGTACGGCGGCAGTGTGAGGAGGCTGGAGGCGGGAGGATTGAGCTTCGAGCAGGGCTACATGCCGCACGGTGAGAGCTACGAGTGCTGGAGGCGTGAGTCTGAGAGGGACTTGAAGGCGGATGTTGTAGGGAGAGACTTCTTGGGGTTCATGTTCCATGCGTCTTCGCATGTCGGGCTTACCAAGTGGGCCACAGAAAGGCATCCTGATATTCGCTGTGAGTCTTCAATTTGTGCACGGTCTTTTCCCCTTGTCCAGGCAAAGACTTGGTTTCGGTCTCCTGAACTCATCGCTGACAACCATATTTTAGTGGAAGAACCCAACTTCTGGGACAACCTCCGGGCGCCCTTTGCCGACAGGCTGAGCCAGGCGAGCCAGGCGCTGGAGAACATGAAGGTGGCAAACGACGCTGCGATTCATGCTGAGCTGACAGCCCTGGCATTCGAGGTCATGGCGAACCGGAGGAGGCTCAGTGTCAGGAGTGTCACGGATGACGAAGATGATCACATTCACCCTAATACTTTTTGACGGGCTTACTTGATGTTTCTAATGGTCTATGCCGCTGATAGAATGAGCAGATGGCATTGCTTGTGTTGTTCATTGCAAGGCGCCAGATTGTGCTTGATATCTTTCTGGGCTTAGTTTGAAGAAACCTTAATATCTATACTGATACTTCAAGACCTTAAAATTTGTATTTTTTAATCTGCCGATATGTCAAGATGAAACTTTGGAAATTTATGCAGATGATTTGATCCTTGCCTAGTCCCACACAACTCAACTTTGTGGCTCTCTTCACTCAGCGTTCTCTTTCTTATCGACAATTTCATCGTCTTCACCAGTTTCCACTGCAGGAGCTTACGGCCACTGCCAGAGTGATTGTGATGCCGACCATTTTAGCTCACAAAGCACGAGTGTGTACTAGTGGTGCACAACTTAGGTTGTGGTCCTGAAAGATGTGAGATAGAAGAGATAGCAATACTATCTGCGCATTCGACCTTATCTAAGAAGACGGGCAGCAGGGTACCCCTCATAAGTGTTCTAGTAAGTGATAGTCTATGTATTCAATTCAATGTAAGATTCCGAATAATTCACATAAGACCAGTGATCTATCTCTATTTAATCGTTCCTCTAATTAATGCAACCTCAGCAACCCACGAGAACCACACATTCCGCTCTCCCGGCCAAATTTACGCCTTGGAGACCTCTCTCCATGTCTTTCCCTGCTCCAGCGCAACCAAGCTCAGGGCAGTGTCCCGGATACACTGGTCCAGAGGCGTGAAGCTCATGCCCAGCTCCTTGCCCGTCTTGGAGTTGTCCAGCTTGTAGAACTCGGCCCGGCCCGTGAGCTGCGGGTCGGGGATCTTGTCCTTGCGGTCGGGCAGCGTCTCCCTCAGCACCCTGCACACGTCGATGTTCTCAAAGTTCCCGCTCGTGATAAAATACCGCCCCGGCTCGGCCCGCTCGTATGCTCGGAAGTGCGCCTCGCCCACGTCGCGCACGTCGGCAAACGCGGGGAACGAGGTCGCGCCTGGCTCCTTCTGACTGCCGTCCATGAAGCGGTAGATGTCCGCGATGCTGGTGTTGAGGTTTTTGATGTCCGTGTCGTGCTCGACGGGCCCGTAGACCATGGGCGGGCACACGGTTGAGACGGTGAAGTTGGGCTTCTTCTCCTCGACAAAGTCCCATGCTGCCTTCTCGGCAAACTTCTTTGATCCGCAGTACGCGATTGGGCCTGGGCCGGCCTTGGCCTCTTCGTAAGTCACCGGGTTCCAGTCCTTCTCGGTGTAGGTGTAACCTGGCCGGTAGCCCTGCGTGGGATCGATAATGGAGGCGAATGATGAAGTGATGACCACACGCTTGACCTGGGGTGCGTGGGCAGCAACAGCTTCGAGAACACGAGTGGTGCCCTTGACAGCAGGGTCGAGAAGGTCCTTTTCGTTGTCTTTGACGTCAAAGACAAATGGCGAAGCAGTGTGTATTACTCCAGCAACATCCTTGACAGCCTCGTCAAATGCATTCGCAGCGGTGATATCCGGCACAATCACTGTGGTAAGTGAGTCGCCAGCATCTGGGAAGGCCTTGTAGATCTTCTTCGCTGAACTTTCGCTTCGTGCCTGGCCCCGGACATGGTATCCATTTTGGAGGAAGAGCTTAATGACATGTGTCCCAACAAAGGAGGTTGCGCCAGTGACAAGGACGACTCCTTTTTGCGCGCCGTTGGTTTGACCAGCCATTTTTTCGATAATTTTCGGGTATAAACAGTATAATCTTAAGATTTGACGTTCACATTCGCTACATACTTATCACCCGAGTGGCTAAAGGGAGTCTTTACTATATATCATATTCGTGATCTGTGGGCGACTTCTTTATGCCTCATCGGATGATACTGGCGCCGGTGGACCTTTAACGTCACACCGTGACCATTTGTCAGCTGTAAGCGTGAAAAAGATTGCCTCATTCAGCATGGTTTTGTATGTAGAGGTGGTCTATGAACCCATCTTTTCAGGGTGTGGTGGGTCAGGGGGCGGACTTTCGGCGATAGCGTCATGATTTCTAAGTCATGATTTTGAAACTTGTACAGATAAGCTGGTCATGAAGTCCACATGCACCGCGAAATTATTTTATCCGCCTCGATCGGAACTCGAACGATTGGGACCAGGAACTTGGTTCATTGGATCGGCGCGAAAGGATTAATGATCGAGCCGCAATCTTAACACGTGCGTACAGGGATCCCAAAAGGTCCACATACCGCGAGAAAGGAACGACGCTAGTTGTACGCCAACACAGTTATGAAGATTACAGGTGGACATGTAATACCTCACTATATGATGTTATCCTACTGCAGAGGCTCGTTTTTAATCACAGGTAGACCTTTGGAATCTTCAGAGCTATATAATAGACATACTTTTCCTACTTGATATCAAGGATCCACAGCGGCTCGTTCCTCCGGGATAGAGTGGAAGGAAGCTAGAACATATCGCGAGAACCAGCAAGGAAATCAGATGTCAGCAATTGTGCGCATCCATCATTCTGTTATGCTTGTGCAGCGCCCGATGCTTAGTCCTTCTTTTTCTCAGCGAGCCGGTCAGCATCAGGGGAAGCAAACAACCATTCGTTCCCGCCATGGTAATCAGCAATCTTACGCAATGTCGGCCGACGGCCTTGATTAGTATTACTACAGAAGCCCATGAAAAACCAAGTAATCGTCCGCTGAAAAGATTCGCCGTTGGCTGATTAACCAAGCCATCGCTCAACCATGCCCCGGAAACTCCTTGAAAATGCATTTCCCTCCCTCTCCTCCAACATCCTCACAGCCGTGAAGGTTTTCTGCCCGTTGATCTCTTCCTCGGGGAACCAGGACCCATGAAGTCCATATGGCACGCGCTGCGGCAGTCTCACTCTCGCCACAACATCCTTCATATTCCTCGCATCGATGATCCAAAGTTCACTAATCGCATCCTCGTCGCATTCGCCATCCGCAGTCAGCTGACTCTCGTCAAACACGTACGTCAACAGCCACCCGTCATCCTCGCTTTGCCGCTCGCTTTCCTTGCGAGGGACGAAGCGCGGCTCCTGCGCGAACCACCCATCGGGCATCTTGAAGAGCTTGATGGGATCGTCGGGGTCGCGACTGGCCCTGATTTCAGCGACGGTGCGAGTATCCACACAACCCCTTATAGGTTGCGGAGGATGCTGAACACCACGTGCAATGAGCGTTTTTACGTCGATTTTTGCGAGGTAGTCGATCTTGGCTGCTTTACCCAAGGCAACGGTGTAGGATGCATAACCTGTTGAGCATCCATAGACATAACGTGCCTCGCTCATGGAGTGATTTGGCGACAGCGTAGGGAATTCGAATGAAATGGCTGACAATGCCCACTGGTGCCTGATTCGATGGCCAGGCGTGTCAGTTCCATCATTCGCGGATAGAGGAAAGTTGTAGTAGTAGAGCCTGCACTGCTCCTCCTCCGCATACTCTGGTGGAACAGGTTTGACAGCAGGTGTGGGCAGGTTTCCAGCGCTGAAAACCAGCGACGCTGATGTCAACCTGCTCGCAAGCAAATTGACGGAGGTCTCTTGTAATTCAGCGCCATTTATGCTGCCCGTGTGGGTGATGGTGTCCCAGCAGTTGGCTGTGTGGAAGATGACGCACGGATTCGTCTCATACCATTGTACAAGATCGGGTCGATATCGTGGGAATACGCCATAGCGCGCTTTTCCTCGTGAATCATATGACAACACAGGAACGCCTCGGGCAAGGTTCCGCGGATCGAGTGTCAGAGGCAGGTCGAGGATGACCGTGTGGTTTCGGGAGGCGCCGAAGTCATGCATCATCTTCGGTGCTTTGACACCGGGAACAGGCATCGAGAATCGAGGGGCAGGTAATTGTGGCTGCAACGTCGACAGCTTGGGATCTGAAGGCGGGACGATGGAGTAGTAGCAAAATGGCTTGATGAATACGGCGTGGAATGCGATGAGCTCCTTCGTTACGGGGTCGACGCGTGGGTGAGCTGTAGTCCATTCCTTCATGAAAGACAGCGCACTGTTGCCCCCGAAACCCCCTCTCTTTTTGCTGTCTTGATGCCTGGGTTCGTTCTCAGCGCTGCGGCCGTTGAACCATCCGATAGTCTCCAACCCTGGCAAGGCAAATCTCAGTGGCGGGCCACTCTCACACAATGCCAGTGCGCGGCCGTCGTGGTAGAGGACTGAGGTGTTGGCGACGCTAATCTTTTTGACAGGATATTTGACTCTCGACAGATGCGACATGAGGACCAGAATGACTGTCCTAAGAATGGCCCACACGATGGTGAAGATCCCCAAGGTCGGGTTCACCAGCGTTGCGATGCTGGGAAGAACAGGTCGTCTCAGACTCTGATCATCCTCGCCAGCGGATCCACCCCTTCGCTTTGCGTAGGCGTACACATCTGTGAGCAAGAACTGATTCACAAACTCGGGCTGGACCGTGGTTCCTTTCTCCCCAGTCCTTCGGAACAGCACGCCGCTTAGCATCCCATCGCCGTCGAACCAGTGAGCATCCCGGCCGAGATCATCGTTTGTGACGGGGTTCCCGCCATTGCGGACGTACTGCCCGCCGCAGAGGTCGAGGGGAATGGAGCCCGAGTAGGGGCATGGCGTCAGCGGAGTTGTCTTCTTGATCGGTGCAAAATTGCCTGATAAGTATCTGTGGCACCTCAGTCAGTGCTGAACAACGCTCATTATGGACAGGACTGCTCAGCAATATGGAGTCTCGCCACGTCGTGAGGGCATGGCAGTATAGCTGATATGTGGATCTGCTTACGGGTGTTGCCGGTTATCTTGGCTCGTGAGTATGAGATTCTCTGCTTCTGAATCCATGTTTCCTCCTAGGCCCATTCATGGAAATCGTCCTTGCCAAAGGCCTCACGACGTCGGCATGCTGCGCGTGACGCTGTTGGAAGTCTAGTGCAAATTCACTCTTGTCCCAACCGACCACTGTTAGCAACGATGGCGATTTCGGGAGAGTACTCGCTTATGATGGAGCACTCTGGTCACAACGACTGGAAACAAGTGGCCAGATCTGGTTCGTGAGGGGGGTAACTCTGGATCTGGGAACTCAATTCATTACAACGACACCACGGCATTCGCGGGTTGTTTCCACGATGCGCCCTGACATAATGTAGGACAACCAATGACCTCATGCCGGTGTGTGCCGTTGGCTAGACATTTCTGCTAGGCCAGTTGCACGACGAATGCTGCGTAAGTAGCTTTCGTAGTGGATACCAACAAGTCTCGGCAGTCGGGGCTAGTCTGTTTCTTATTGCAGCGTATTATACCGACCGGTGTGCGCGTCGTGCATACGTCTCGGCATCAGGCGTCCGGCTCCGACCAAGACCCATGTTCAATTATTTGATATGATTGATTCGATTATCAATCTGTAGTGCGATATTCTGAATCTGCACGAATCTAGTCGCGCACTCATAAATCAATCTGGCAACGAACCAACGGCAAGTTGCCGGTGAGGTCTTGATGCGAAAAGTGGTGGTGACGATGCAAGCCGTACGCTACGTATTAATGAAACCCCAATCCCCCAGACTTGCGAAATTCAGATGTAGATGTGATGGATGCGATCAGACAACCAGAATGCTCAGGTGTTGAAACCTGGGAAGCAAGGGATTCCCCTCGGGTTTCATCTCTTCGGTCAAGAGTTGAACTTGAGTCTACTGTTTAGGTGATGGAACGACAGTCAGGTGAGTTTGTAGATTGGATGACGCACAAGACAATCCCTAATATGTGCGGAGACATGTAGGTCTTGGTGTCGGGGAGTAGCAGCAGTGGTCTCCTGTTCCAGGGGTCAGGGCCCGAGAAGCTCAAATTCCCCTTCTGCGACCAGGATCCAAGCTCGAGCGAGGACGGCCTATATGGTGCGCGACAGGGGCGACTTTCTAAAAACCCCTTACACACCTATTTTCCGTTTATTCGTATACACCCCCTATTGCTAATCTAAAGCACTAACTAGGGCTAATCAGCAGTATATATTCTAATAAGCTATTATATTAAAACAAATTTTATTATATATAAAAGTTTACTAATCTATATAGCCCTATATAAATCCTACTTCTCCTTTTTTACTTTTTACTTATTTATTTACCTTTATATAAATTTATAAAGGAATTTATTATTTTATATTTATATAATATAATATTACTTATACCCCTTTTAAAATTTATAATTAAATATTCAACTATATACAAATTTTATATTAAAATTAAAGCTATATATTTATATTAACGTTTTTATTTAAATTATAACCTTTTCTTACTAAACGTTATTAATCTTATTATATCTTTATATTTTTAATAAAACTTTACTATATTTATTTAAATAAATATAATATTAATTTATAATATTTAATAATATATATTAAATAATATAACTAAATATTTTTATACTACTTTTAATTTTATTATTTTAAGCTTTAACTTTATTAAATTACTTATTTTTTATTCTAATAAATATACTATTAAATTTATTAAAAAATTAATTATTTATAATTATATTTAAATTATTAAATATAGTAAATATTAAATATAATTACTTAAACTTACTTAATAATATTTATTATATAAAAAATTTATTTACAAAACTCTTAAATATTTTTATATTAAATATAATTTTTTATTTAAAAAATAGTATATTATTTAATTAATTATTTTTAATAATAATATAAAAGTAATTAAAATTATTATAAATATAAAATTATTAATTAATATTTATACAATTATTATTATACTTTATATAAAAAAGGTTAAAAATAATTATAAGAATAAATATAATTTTATACTTTTATAAAATTAAAAAGTTAAATTAAAAAAGTAATTAAATATAAATAAAAAGGAAAAAAAAAAGTATTATTAAAACTTAACCTATATAATAAAGTTATAAAATATTAAAAAAATAATTAAAATTAATTAAAATTAATTAAAACTAAAAAGCTAATTAACTTAAATAATTAAAAAAATATATTAATTAAATAAAAAAATACTTTTATAAATAATATAATTATTATAATTATTAATATATATTAATAAAAATATATAAGTAAAATTAAAAAATATAAATATATATAATTTTTAATAACTTTATAAATTTTATTTATAATAAATATATATAAAGTTATTTAAATAAAAAGTTTAGTACTTAATAATTTAAATAATTAATAAAATTAAAAAAAATTATATAATTTAACTAATATAAACTAGTATATATTTTTAATTATTTAATTTTAATATTTATTTTGTTATTCAATTTTATATTAAATTAATTTATATTAATTTCTTTTTTATAAAGCTATATATAGAGATAAATAAGGCTGTTAGTTTATAATTTATATAAATTGATTTTTAGTTTTAACTATTTATTAATATACTATTAAAGCTTATACTTTAATATTTTATATTAATATAAAAATAAAGTTTTCTAAGTTTTATTTATTAATTATATAAGTATACTTTTAAATAAATATATAATATTATTATAAACTTTTATTATTTTTAAATTTAAATACTTATTTAAATTAATACTATTTTAATTAATAATATTTAATAACTTTTTAAATATAAAATTAAATATAAAATATTTATAATCCTTAATTATATTTATATTTAAAAGATAATAAAAAACTTATAGCTTTTTAGGTATAATATATAAATAATTCTTTTATTTATAAATATAATAAGTATTCTAAAATTGTATAAATTGTATAAACTTGTATTAAGTTTAAAATAAATAAATATATAGTAAAGTAATATAATATATAAAATTATATTTTTTTTAAAAACTTAATTCTTTTAAATATTAAAAATATTTTTATAATTATTTATTAATTAAAAATATTTAAGTTTATATATATATAAACTTATTCTTTAAAACCTTATATAATCTTTATATAAACTTTTCTATTAATATTTAATTTTAATATTTACTATACTTTTACTATATAACTAATATTTATAAAAAAATAAATTTAATTTTTAACTTTTAACTTATATTATTTTTTAAATATTATTATTTAAACTAAATAATATTTAAATAAATTTAATAGGAATTATAAGAATTTAATAATTATTAAAAAGTATTACTTAATAATAATATAAATATAATATTATATAAGATTATTAAAGTTTTTATATAAGGTTAGAGTTTTATAATAAATAATAATAAGCTTTAGTAATAAGTATAGTTTTTTTTTTATAGTTTGTATATATTAATAAGAGTATATACTTATATTATTAAACTATTTAAATATACTATATAAATATAACTTAAGCTATAGTTGCTAAAATCCTATAATAAAACTATATAATAAACCTTAAATAAGCATTAATATTAATATAATACTTAATATTATATATAAATAATGTTATATATTTATTAATTAACTATATAAAATTAAAGCTAAAATATATTTATTTACTTTAATATTTATATACTTTTAAACAGCATTATTTAAAACTATTTAAATAAAATAAAAAATAAATATTAAAAAGTATATCTTTTAAAAAATTAACTAAATATTATTAAAAATATATATATAATATATTCCTCCCTATCCCACCTACAAAATTCTTATTATATTATTTATTTTTAAAAAAACATTATAAATAATTATACATATTTTTAATTTATTTTAAATTATATCGTTTAAAAATATTTAATTATTATTAAATCTATTTAATACTATATAAAATAATAAATTAATATTCTCTTATAATTAAAGCTTAAAAAAGCTATATATTTAATAACTTTTATTTAAAATAAAAAATAATAATTTAAATTTATAAAATAATATTATTAATTATATAACTTTATAAAGGCTTAATAAAATATCTTTTTAAATAATTATATAATATAAATTTATAAATAAAATTTTTATAAATTTATTTAAATTTAATAAAGATTATAATAATAAGTTTTTTAATATATATTTATTTTTTAATTTATATTTAGTAATAATTAAAATTAATAAAAGGTTAAATTATAATAATTAAATATATTTATTATTAATTAAAAAAAGAAAAGGTTAAAAAAAATAGAGTAAAAAACTAATTAAATCTATATAAATTTTATTAGCATTTTTTTAATAATTATATATTATTATATAAAGCTATAAAGATATAATTTATCATTTAAATATATAATAAATTACTTTATAAAAACTTATATATTTATAATAGCAATTATAATTATTTATTATTATAAGTATTTAATAGTTTAAAAGTATTATATAAAAAAAATGTTTTAAATATTAAATATACTTATATAGGCCTTTTTATATATATTTAACCCTATTAAAACCTGTTTATATATAACTAAAACTATATTTTTTTATAAACCTTTAATAACTATTAGGGTATTATATAAAAATGCTATATTAATACTAAATATACCTATTTATACTTATTTATAAATACAAATTCCCTATATTAAAATAAAAACTTAATTTAAATTAAACATAAAACTAATTAAAATAGATTAAACCTTAAAGCTAAAATCCTTAATTTAGCTATTTATATATAATTAATAAAAAGCATTATATATAGTATAACAACCTATCTCTTTATTAATTATATATATAAGCTTTTATAAATAATTGTTTAAAGCAGATTATATTTACTTATTATTAATTAAAATTAGCTAAAATTATATAAAAATATATATTTAATAATAAAATAGATTAATAAAAATAGTATTAAATATTTAAGTATATAGTTAAGGGAAGTTATTTAGAAGTAGAATGTTAGAATTATTATTATATTAATATTAATTAGTTTTAAATAAATTTTAATTAACCTATTTAGCTTTAAAACACTTTTAATTAACTATTTAATACTTTTAATTAATTGTTTAATATTTAATAGGTTTAAAATTAAAAATTTTAATATTTAAAATAGTTAAATTAGGAATATTTTTTTTTTAACTATTTTTAATTATATTAGCATTAGTTTTTAAATTGCTTATAAATAAATTAGTAAACTATTATATATTATTATATAAATATATACTTTTTATAAAATAAGCTTTAATATTTAATTTAGCTTAATAATTAATATATATATTACTAAAAACCTTATTAATATTATATATATAATTTATAAATAGTTTAATAAAGCCTAAAGCTTTATAAGTTTTATATTTAAAGAATTTTAAGCTATTATTATTACCTATATTTATAAACAAATGTGTAGTAATAGCAGAGAATTATCACTAATAAATAAGTTTAAATAAGGAATTCTAAATCTAATTAGTTTTAATTATAGCTTTTAGCTAAATAAAATATGTAATTTTCTGTAATTATATTAAAATAATATTATATATAATATTATATAAAGAATATATATTATAATACTATAATATTTAATAATAATATAATTAATATTATTAAACTTACTTTTAAAAACTTATTTAAAGTAATATAAAATAATTTTAGTTACTAGTATATCCTAATTAATACTATTTAAAGCTTAAAGAAAATAATAACCCTTATATATTTAGTATTAAGGTTAAAAATAGTAAGTTTTATAAAATATAAAGTTATTAAGCTTTTTTTATTACTGTTTATTTTTCTTTTAGTATTATTACTTATTGTATATAATTATATTAGCCTTAATTAGCTTTAAAGTAGTTTTAGCTTACTTTTAAATAAACTTAATTGCTTTCTAATTAAATCCGCTTTTACCTAAACTAAACTTATTCTTACCCTAATTAACCTTTTTCTCCTTTAGCTTAGGCTTATTTTTATCCTAATTAACCTTATTCTTATCCTAATTAACTTTATTTTTATCTTAATTAGCCTTATTATTAATAAAACGCTTCTTAAAAATCTATTTCTAACTAATTAAAAAATTAAAAACCTCTTTAACCTTATAATTATTATTAATAATATATATTTTATTTTAATTATTAATTACAATATTATAATTATAAAATATTTAAAATAGAAAAGGAATTATTAAAATTTATAGATATTTAATTAAGTAAAGCTTTAATAAAGCTTTTATTTTTTTTAATGCTTTTACCTATTTTAACTATATAAGCATATATAGCGATTTACATAATAGTAAAGGGGTATAAAAATCTATAAAAGTATTAGCTATTATAAATTATTAGTTTCCTTTATAAAGGTATATAAATCTAAAAAAGTTACTAATATTAATAATTATTAATAAAATCTACTAAAATTAATTAAATTTTAATAAAAAAAGTTAATTACTTTATTATTTTAAATATATAAAATTAATTAAAAAAGAGTACAAGGGTTATAAAGGGCTATATATAGGTATTTAAGTATATACTATTTAAAGTATTAAGGGAAAAAAGGAAAGGAAAGGATAGTAGGGTATTTAGTAGTAATTTTTGTTAGTAATAAGTTGGGCGATTAGCAATTCCTGCACTCTAATTAGCCAATTAATTTATAGCAGTTTATAAAGGGCTATATACTGCTATATAAGCCTATATTAAATTATAGGGGCATTACTATTAATTAAACGTATATTATACCTATATTAAATATGTAAAGGTATAATTTAGGCTTTATGTGTGGGGTGGATTTAGGTGTGCAAGGGGTTTTTGGAAAGTCGCCTCTGTCGCACACCATAGCCTAGGCCTGTAAGCTCGATGGCTCGACGGTCGGGGCTGCTTGTTGATCAGTCCAGGGATCGATGTGTTGACTTTGGCTCGCAGACTGCAGTTGGAATAAGCTTCTGAATCTCCAACGGGGTCTCTTGGCTGTGGCCCGTCTCCACAGACCCGCTGTGAGATTCCAGCAGCGGATACTGCAGCAGGTGACTCCTGTGCAGATCTGATTTGCTTCGGGGGATCTGGTCAAGGCTCTACCTAATGTTACATACTCCGCAAACGCCGTGGTATTACTCACACGTTCGCGACTAACCATCATCTTATTATATCACGGGCCCACACACGTTCCACGCGCGTAGACCGCCAGCCGTCGTCGTCTCACGAATTTGAGATCTCGCTGCGCGTCGAAAGCCGACCGGAAGTGCTAACGATCGAGAAATTCTCCGGTACCAGCCATGCCGGCGTTCGGAAGAGGATTAGAGTAGCGGGTCGCGGCCGTTTTGCCCCCAAGAGCCGCGCTATGCTAGGTCCAAAAAGTCATGATATCATGATTAGCACAACCGTTGCTCATCCGTAGACCATTATCTCTGCTCACGTTTTACTCACGCGAGGGATAATTAGTAGCCGGTGTGTGCGATGACCCTTGGTAATTTTGGTAGAATGGTAATTACAACGAAAACTCTGCCACGCTATATCCGGGGGTTTCTGTCCGATGACCCTCGAGTCTCTCAGGTATCCAGGTGCCAGGTTTGAGCACTTGCGCAGCCCCTGTGTGTGTGAGAGGGTCGCACTCAAGCTGAGGTGCTTCAGTAGTAGAGTACTGCAGAATACCTCTGTTGGTGCCAAATCTGTCTCGCCTGGCAACATCCGGTGAAGTTTCCGTGAAAGTTTCCTCCACCCTATACATCGTCCCTCGCAACCTTGGCGTGTTTGGACGCCATATCAGTACGACCCCCTCATATAATAAACTCGAAGCCACACGCATGGCAGGCCGCAGACGAATCACAGCCGCGGCCTTGAAGTGCTCCATCCTGGAGAACGTTGCTGATCTGTCTGTTGCTGTTTCAAGACCACCAGTTGAGGAGGTGAGAATATGCACATATTGGACATCAAATGCAACATAGACTAGGAACGCAGCAAATACACTCGAGTCACGACGACTCAGGACACCGATCCAGAGCTACCGGGCCAAATGATTGGGCAATTAGCCCTCGCGGCTTCGGCTTCAGTGCCACATCAACATTTGATGTAGTGGTCCACGTCTTGTGGGCTGGCTAGTGCGGTCAACGTTTGCTAGGAATCGGCATCTGGCAAGATGCTAGATACATTTCGGTCACTCGTTCATCACTTCAAAATACCTGCCAAGACGTCATGGAGCATCCGAGCGACCCGCCCGTCGTGCGCCTTGTGCCAGCACGAGCGGTAATTGCCCTGTCACATCCAATGTACTCGATAGGTCATGGAGAGATCATCTCCCCGGAAGTCAATGAATGATCTCATCACACTTTGCGACCCAGCCCTGAATCCCCTCGAAGCTTCAAATACCCCTCCTATTCCCCCGAACTTTCGATCGTGTTTTAACATCAAGCCGGCTCTTACCTTGATACCCCATACTTAGACCGATATCTGTGATATCAGAGCGTTGTTGCTGCCTCATTTTACCCCAAGTCTTCTACACAAGCATTACCATATCAACATATACAGCGTTTAGTTACGCTCACGTCCTCCCACATCCACCATGGCTGGGAACCAAGCCCTCAACGTTAACAGCGCTGTTGCGCAACATGCCAACCTCGAGATCACTGTCCACGGTTCAGACTGGTACTTCACCGTCTGCGCGGTTATGGGTGTTTCTACCCTGGCTTTCATGGGTCTAGCCTTCACCAAGCCTCAGACTCACCGGATTTTCCACTACATCACCGCTGGAATCACCGCCGTCGCCTGCATTGCCTATTGGTCCATGGCTTCTGATCTAGGTCAGACCCCTATCCAGGCCGAGTTCGTCAGGCCAGGCCGCGCCGTCGTTGCTGCCGCCGGAACTCGAGAGATGTTCTACGTGCGGTACATCGATTGGTTCGTCACAACACCGCTCCTCCTCACGGATCTGCTCTTGACCGCTGGGCTCCCATGGCCTACCATCTTGATTACTTTGCTCGCGGATGAGATCATGATCGTCTGCGGACTCGTCGGCGCCCTCACTCAGACGAGCTACAAGTGGGGATACTTTGCCTTTGGCACGGCGGCCCTATTCTTCGTCGCCTACGAGCTTGCCATTGACGGACGTCGCCATGCCACCGCCCTGGGAGGTTCTGTCAAGAGCACCTTTATGAACTGCGGTGTGCTGACCCTGTTCCTGTGGTTCTTGTACCCCATCGCCTGGGGCTTGTCCGAGGGCGGCAACGTTATCCACCCCGACTCCGAGGCCATTTTCTATGGTATTCTGGACATCTTTGCAAAGCCCGTCTTTGGCTTCTTGCTCATCTTTGGCCACAACAAGATTGATCCTGCCGTGCTCGGTCTTACCATGCACGAGCCTGGTCAGCACAGAAATGAGAAGGGTATTGTGCACCCTGAGGGTCCCGCTGCGACTGGCAACAATGGTACTACTGCCAACGTTTAAGCAGCATGTGTCAATTGTATAATAATGGTGCTTGTGTCAGTTTCCAGACTGGCACTATGGTTGATGTGCATCGCATGTCCAGATTGAAGGCAATAATCTTGGACAATTGATCAGATCGATTACCGCGGATGAAGGTGGTGTAAAGGTGGATAATGTTAATCGAAGTCGCTTTCCTTAGTCTTAATACCATGGTGTGCTACCTGTTGGTGCGTGGGCGAGATACCCAATACTTTCATTTATAGTTACAAAAACCACAAAAAACTAAGTCCATTTATTTATTTTTCTTATAACATTATATGCTGATACGTCCCAACTGGCCTGTAGACTTGCGTTACTGAGTTTGAATTACTTGCTACGTGATGTTGATCATTGCGAATGTTTCACGCGTACAAGGGTAGGTACAATATGGAGTCGACTGATCCTCAAAGGACTTCACGAGAAGTTCCCGAAGGCCCTAGCGACGCGTTACTCTTCTGATAGGATCCTTGTCATGAAACATTATTAATTATTGCTACGTCCTAAGATGTGCATCAGGCGGGGTTTATAAGTTTGCAAGCTGGTCCTCAATCCTGCCCCATTGACCTTTCTTCAAATACCCCGAGAGCCAATAGTTACCACTTCTATCCTTTCCTATGATTGGGAACGCGTTTGGGAGTTTCAGACCAAACTGGTTGTTTTGCACATATACCGGTCTCACCGGCCGCTGCTTCTCTCCGGCTCCGAGAACAGCGGCTGAGAAGTCAAAGTCGAACAGGTTGGCCCGCGTCCAGTTGGAGTATGTAATCAGATCCATCTTCCAATTCCCAAAGATAGGCGGTATCTTACCCCACGACCTTCGCCACGTAGATAAGAATGCCTCCGCTTGCGGTCTGGTACGTTGCATATCGAGCGCATCCCGGAAGGCGATTGCTGTGCGATGCAACGGCTGTTGGAGGATTTCACCGGCTGTGAGAACCACACTGAAGAAGGCAGTGACATTCGACACATAAAAGCTGTCCTGGTCTGTCGCTGTCTCAGTGTCTTGGACTTTTTCTGAATTTCTTTGTGAGTCCAGGAGGATTTTCCGCAGTGAATAGGCGTTGTTGAGCACGATGGTCTTGTTCGAGTTGTGCGACACGCCTGCGCTAGTGAGCACTATCCTTGTCCACCAGGAACATAATATATCGCCGTCGGATAGGAAAGGCGGGCCCCCCTCAGCCTTGCAGTGGGCCGCCGAGGCGATAATAGCTTCTTGACGGAGTCTGGCCACCACTGATGCTGGCACACAAACCATTCTATTCTCAAGATCATCGAAAAAGCTCCTAATGTTACGCAGCGCCCATCCCGTAAGTCCGACGATCGACATTTGGTGGTTTTCCAGCACATGCTTGGCCGTGGGCTTCACGCCGAATGCAGCGAGTGGGTCGTTAGAAAGCTCATGTGTGCAGTCTTCAGCTCCGATTGGACATTTTATTTCTGAGGCACGGCCTTGAAGAGCCAGGATCCACGCTTCCAGAAATGGGGCCATGCTCATTCCATCCATCAGCGTATGCGGGAAGTACACGGTGACGAGGGTCTTGTCAAGGAAAGAGACGACGTGTAGACCCATTTGTGGTATGTCCTTGTTCAGGTAATCGGTTATCTTGGTCGGAGCCCCATCCGGGCGAAAGAGGCCCTCAAGTCTGTCTGGGTCAGCAACAACGGACGGTCTTCCTATGGCTTGGTTCGGAATGTGGCAGGCGATTGGATGCTCCGCTGTTGCAGTAGAGTGCGTGACATGAGTATAAGAAACTACCCGGGGGCTCTTCTCGGTGTCTGTGGTCTCGGGAAAGTGATATTCGAGATTTCCATTTGCCTGTTTTCTTCTTAGCATTCTGTTGAATGTTTGAAGCACGGAAAGCCTTACATTCTTTCGAAGGCGCGCTCCGAATTTCTTCCACCCGTCACGTCGGGCCAGCAGCTCAAGACTATTTTTGAGGTGTTCCGGGTCCAGAACGCTGTCGAATACGAAAACATAGTAGAGTATGAATGCCTTCCAGAGAGGCGTGTCGTCGAAATTATGCAAGGGAGCAACAGCTGGCGTTGCCATCTTTGCCATCTTTGCCATTACAATGAGTTTCTTACCAATTGCATTGAGAAAGATCAACCTCTCTTTGTCTATTAATTTATATTACGAATCGGGATGACTCCCACTGAAAGGCGCGGCACAGCTTTGGTTGCCTGTCAGATGATGACCCATTGTGGCTATGATACTGATACAGTCAGCAACATAGAGGCACAGGATCTAACGTGGGCAACCCTTTCGTACGTCTGGCCAATGATCGAAGTTTTTATGAAGGCTTCAACACATTTTCATACCACGAAATCCGTTGGCCAAATGTCCATTGGTCCTGCTGACTGAGTCAGACTGGATGCCTGGGTGAGATGATGAGGCTTACCAGGCAACGGGAGCCCGTCAGTTGAGTTCATGACATATCTTAGGCCGCAGATGTGCTGTAAGATTTTGTCATAAGTGTAAATTATCAGCTATTCAAACAGGGAAGGTATCTGTTCATTGGGCAGCTGTGCCACAAAGTTCCAGGTACATCCAGGAACAGCACGACCCCTTGACCTCAGCAAGTGTGTCGATTCCAGCACTTGTCCATGCTCTTAGTACTTAGCTCCGAGCTGTTTCTCCTTTTTAATCTGCTCCTCGTCGATGACAATCACTGCTTTCCCCTGTATCTTGCCGCTGTGGACCAATTTGAGTAAGTCCTCAATTTCGTCCATGCCGTGAAAAGCTTTGGTCTTGACTTCGATGCCATTATCTGCAATGAAGCGAACCTAGGACTTTGTCAGAAAAAAAAAACCTCTAAGTTTCGAGGATAGACGAAGAGGAATTCTCCACTCGGATACCATCGAAGTCAATCAGGAGACAGAAGTGAACTTTCAAAGCACTCACCATATCGTTGCTCTCCTCCGGCGAGCTTACGACGCTTCCAATGACCCTGACATCCCGGAAGACAAATTCTTGGAAAGGTATGACAACATCCTTTGGCTGAGCGATCTGGACCATTTTTGCGTGCTTTTTGGTGATTGCACAACCTAGCGCTGCTGCAGTCGGCGCATCGGACAGAGTGACAGTGGCGTCTACACCTGGGTTGCCTGGGTTTGCATCTTGCGTAGCTTCCTGGACCTCCTTTACTACTGCCTCATGCCCTTTTCTTGCGTCTATGACGATGTCTGCGCCGAGAGCCTTGGAGACTTGCAGCCCATCGTCTCTGGCGTCAATGCCTATCACTTTCAATCCTTTTTTCTTGGCAAATTGCAATCCCAAATGACCCAGTCCTCCTCCACTGCCCACAATCGCCAGCCACTGTCCCTCCTTGAGACCTGCTTGTTCAACCCCTCTCCATACCGTCCGTCCGGCGCAGGCCAGTGGAGCAGCACTCAACAGAGAGATCTCATCCGGCAATTTGGTGCTAGTTCGCGCGTCGCATACAGCGTACTCGGCAAAGAATCCATCACGATGGACACCGCAGTGTCCCTCCACATTGCTGCAGTACTGCCTCCAGCCCTCGTTCGGGCCAGTGCAGTCGGGGCATTTGCCGCATGGATGGAAGGGCAGGCCACACATGACGCGGTCGCCGGACTTCAGGCCCGCTGAAGAGCCAGCGGCCACCACGGTGCCCGCGCCTTCGTGTGAAGCGGTCACTGGGAGGGCAGTACCGAAGATCCCGGATTGGATCATGCTGTCGGTATGGCAGTACGAGGCAACCCCAACCTTGACGAGGAGATCATATGGGCCGAGGCTTGCAGTGTCTGGGACTTGGACTTTGTTGATCTGGTAGGGCTTGTTATATTCAACGGCCTTGTGTGGAGAGTTAGTGCTTTGAGTCGTCATGTTCTGGATTCGGATCAATCTTTTGACTTGCCTGGATGGCCCTCATTTCTTTCGGAACGCCGGCCTCCATTGTGTCTGTGGATCGTAACGTCTCAAGGTATTGTCACTGTGTCTCAAGTTCACTGTTGACGGCGAAGATATGTCAATGGGGAGAAACAACCATTCAACTCCCGTATTATATGCTGCTCCGGCGGAGAGGCCTGCTCATCGGCGATAGACTAAATGTGGGGAGGGGCCTAGTATATCCCGCCGTATCTGAGACAGGGTTGAAATGCCGTCTCTTGCGCCTGTCATTCAATGTTCGTTTGGTGAGGGGATGTTCATGACGTAGTTGGTCACATCGGCGATAAGGAAAATGGAAAGTAAACTCCTATTCAAGATCCCACGGGGATGGAGGGGAAGTTGCCAGTGACCCAGTGAAACGACGAAGTCTGGCAAAATACCAGGCCACAATTAAACATACACAACATGTTGCGACCCTTGAATGCGACTCTGCAATGACCGATTTCCTGCTTCGGAGTTTGGCATTGCTCGCCCGATGTCGACTACGAATCGAGATTTAGCACTAATGCATCCGCCGCAGATCCGTGCATGTAGTACGTAGGGCCAAAGGGAATATCACACGTTCGCGTCTAAGACGATAGACGTTAGATTGGCATTGTGTCCCAGAAAATTGATATTACCAATTCGGTGGAGCTTTGGTGGAACCAGGGCTCAATCTCATCGCCGTCCACATCGAGGCACAAGGCAGGACACTCGAACAGAGCAGGTATTGATACAGCATGGAATCACTAGCAGGACTTAAAAACATGGCAAGAGTTCCTCTCAGATAGTCTTAGACCAAAGCGGGCCGTCCCCGTCCACGTTCACATATATGTCTCGACGAACAGCAAGGTCTTCCTCTCGTCCTAATGAGTCCGCGGCACCTGTTTGACGACATGTTGGTGGTGGGGTCAAAGGGAATGTCAGGATGCAGACTCTCAGCGTCATTTGTCCCAGGTTACGATAGTGCCTTTCATTCCCGTTAGCAAAGACATTCCGTTTGACAATATGTCGAATTAAAGGCTGAACGTCTTCATAACATTCCGAGGAGCAAGAAGCTGCGAGACCCAAAAACACCAGTGCTCCCTTGAGAATCGTAATGCGGAACAAAAGTGTCCTGCCCGATGACCTGTCCCCTTCTTCCTTTGTTTTTATTTTATTTTTATATTGTGGAATATTCTCGCTGCATGAATACATAAGCCTGTCTGAGTCAAGGTCATGCACGTGGTTTTGTGCTAGATATTTGGAGGCCAAGGGTATGGTCGCATTTGTAAGTGTTGGAGGTTCGACAAATGCTGATGCATGTAAGAGTACACATTTGCAAAGTCTGCAATTGGAGTAGTTCGGACTATTTATAAAGTAACGAGATAGCAGGAGCCCTTCTCAAGTCGGTAAAACATTCACAGCCTCCCATGGTGGGCAGTCGCTGACAAGTGGATTAAGCGAATTTCAGTCCAACCAAAATAGAGCTTGGGCATGCGACTTCTACAGTGTGTACAGAGCGTTGTTTTTATTTTCCGTCCCAGAGCTCAAGGCAGTTGTGCTTATAGGGTCTTTGTCACTTCTGAGCAGCTTTGTTGAAGCTAGATGTCCCAGTTGAATGTTGAAAACCCTTAAGTCTTGTCGTCGATCGCAGCTTTATGATTGCGCAATGAACTTGAACGGAACCTCGGCATACTGTGCCACGAGACATATTGTGGGACACTGCTTCCCTGACGAGTCAGCCAGTCGTGATTGGAGCCTCACCGGTGCACTAATCGTACCCACAAGAGTGGGTGGAGTGCTACCGATTGCGCATTTCGTCTTGTGTCCGATGCACCCGGAGATTGAGAACCGATAGATTGGAATGTGACATCCCAGATCCAGAAGCAGTCCCGCGGGGGCCCCTTGCTTTATCTCACGATATCTGGGCCAACTCAATTCAGCTGTCTTCCACTCCACCTGCAACGCTGGATGGCCGTATATGTGACGCGTTTTACGGAATGCTCCGTATCGATGGCAAGACAGGCATCCATATAACAAGTGAAGGAGTTCCCGAATTACACGATTAATTACCTTCGGTCTTTACTTTCAGGCCTCAACCCATCCCCTCTGGCCAGACACATGGTCATGTCCAATCCTTCACTGTCGGTCGTTCTCAGCAATTGATTCTTCACGTCACTCTTTCAGACCCTTTTGTTTTACATAGACCAATACTGATATCATAATGTTTCAACCTCTCCTCTTTGCACTCGCCCCTGTCGGTGCTCTGGCGGCTTCTGCATACGCCCCTGTATCCAGCAGCTGTCCCACCGGAAGTCTCGTGCGGTCAGCCGATGGCATCTCAGACTCCGAAGCAGCGTGGGTCACCAATCGCAAGGCTGTGTCCGACAAAGCCCTCGAGTCCTGGCTTGCGTCCGCACTCCCAGGTGTAGGTGCTTCGAGTTTGCCGACACTCGCCCTTTCGATATCCGGCGGCGGCTTTCGATCTCTCCTCAGTGGCGCCGGTGTGATCCAGGCCTTGGACGGCAGAGATAGCAACTCGAGCACGACTGGTCTGTACCAAGCTCTTACGTATCATGCCGGTCTTTCAGGTGGTGCCTGGTTGCTGAGTGCTCTCGCTGCGGGCAACTGGCCAACTATTTCCGACCTCCGCGACAATGTGTGGGAGACACAGTTCGCGGGAGGCATTTTGAACGCAAGCAGCGCGACCACCGTGGGCGACTACCAACAGATCGCTGCGGATATCATCGCTAAGGGTTCCGCTGGCTTTCCAGTGTCTCTAACCGACCCCTGGGGACGGATGCTCTCTTATCAGATCATGTCTGGTAGCGAGGGCGGCGTTGACACGACAATGTCCGATATCAGCTCCCTGTCCACCTTCACCTCGTTTGACGCCCCATTCCCAATTATCACTGCCTCCAAGATCACACCCGCCAGCGGAGAATGTGAGCCACCTGCGGATGGTGCCATCTACGAGTTCAATCCATTTGAGTTTGGGTCATGGTCTGACGATATTTCCGCGTTTGCTCTGTCCGAATACCTGGGAAGCAACATCACCGCTGGCTCCTCATCTCAATGCGTCACAGGATTTGACAATATCGACTGGGTCCTAGGAACTTCTTCCATGCTCTTGAATGAGTACATCTGCAACTCGAGCCTTGGAGTAGATGTCACTGCTCTGTTCCCCAGCAGCATGATTACCGTGGTCGAGAAGTTCACTTCTGCGGATGAGTATGGCTACTCATTGCTGCCCAATCCTTTCAAGGGATTTAACTCGACGACCGCCACTAAGCCCAGCACCATATCCAGCTCGGAGGAGTTGTATATGGTCGACGGCGGCGAAGCTGATCACAACGTATGTATACACTTGACGCGCAGCGTTCTACGTAGTCGGAGAAGCGGCGATACTGACATGAAACACCTTTAGATCCCTTTACTGCCACTTCTCGAGCCAACGCGCAACGTGAGCGTCGTTATTGTGAACGACAACTCCAACGACGAGAATGGCTTCCCTGACGGAACCCAACTTGTTGCTGCGTACGAAGCCACACAAGTCGGCCGTTTGGCTGGCCGCTTCCCCACTGTCCCCGCCACAGGCGATTCCAGCTTCTCTCAGGCACAATTCTTCGGCTGCGACGAGCCAGACGCTGTTACCGTCGTCTACTTGCCAAACTCGAACTGGACCTATGCCTCAAACACTGCTACATTGCAACTTACGTACACTTCGGCTGCAACGAATGCCATGATTTCAAACGGCAACCAAATTGCGACACAGGGCGAGGACGCTTCATGGGGAACCTGCCTAGCTTGTGGGATCATGCTCAAGGAGGCTGGGAGGGCAAACCTGCCCAGCGAATGTGAGGCTTGCTTGACGCAATATTGCTGGTCTGCATAGTTTAATGATACTTTAACCGTTCCTCATCATTAATATCGGAGAGAATTGTGTACAACGATCGCTACGAGCTGTTGTAATTAATGAACAAGTTCCTTGCATGAATGCAGGTCGAAACACATTGAACAGATTATCATAATGCCATCGGGACTCGCAGATTGAGGGTTCAATAGCGAAACAAAGCAATATTGTAGAGGAAAAGAGTGAATCCGGGACGCACATCTCCAAGTGCTAAGCTTTCGGCTTGTGCGTAATGCTTGTCTTTGTTTATTATTCTAGCCTTTTATCCACAGTTTGATGGTCGGACGAAATGTGGAGGCAGCAAAGAGGACTTGCTCGTCGGGTAGTCTCTCGGCAGTTCAGCGATGAGCTCGGAGCGCTCGGATTTACAAACCCTAACTGACCCTCACTCAGGTTGAGGCTCAATCATAAATTCCGCTCCATGAGTCCGGCTCGACTACAATCACATTAACCATCTCGCACATTCGGAAATCCGACACATGTCCCACAGACCGAGATAGTGACCACCTCAGACTTTTCACCTGCACAATATGGACGGCAGCTCCGACTTCATGAGGAGTTTCAAACCTCCCCCTTTCGTCCCGCCAGAGGATGCAGAGACATTCAAAGACATCCAATACTCCTCCCATGGCCATGTCCGTCAGAAATTAGATCTCTATCTCCCCAAGCCCGGAACTCGGGGCCAAAGCCTCCTGCCCCTCATTGTTTACATGCATGGTGTGTTGGCTCCCGTGCCCTGACACCTCTGGCAAACTTACGATGTGCTTAAACGCTCACTGATACCTGTAGGTGGCGCATTCATGTTTGGTTCGAAAGAGTCACCTTGGATGCCGTCCCGCCTCATCTCCAAGGGTTACGCTATCGCCAGCCTCGACTATCGCCTCAGCGGAGACGCCATCTTCCCCGCCGCTGTGGAGGACTGCAAAGCGGCTGTCAGGTGGCTGCGCGCCCACGCGACGGAGTACCAACTCAACCCTGACCGTTTCATCGCCTTTGGAGAATCCGCGGGTGCGCACCATGCCTCGTTTCTCGGGGTCACCTCGCCCACTGGCGTGGGCGACGAGTTCGATATTGGTGATTACTTGGACAAGTCGAGTGCTGTTCAAGGCGTTGTTGATTATTATGGCCCTTCAGACTTCCTGCAGATGGATGCACATGCCCCGAAAGATGGTGTTAACTGCCAGAAACATGACCCACCTGGAAGTCCGGAATCCAGATACGTTGGTGCACCAGAAGGGCTTCAGTTGGTCCCGGAGAAGTCGGTGCGGGCAAATCCTATTACTTATCTTTCAACAGGCAAGGTCGTGCCACCTTTTTTTATTTCGCACGGCGTCAATGATCACGTCGTTCCATTCCATCAGTCAGTCTTGCTTGATGAGGCTTTGAGGAATGCGAGTGTGCGGGTGACTTTTCATCCCGTGGAAGGCGTGGATCACGTGTTTCATGGAATCTCTCCAGAGCAAACCGGCGAGTTGGACAAGAAAACGGACGAGTTCCTTGCTTCTATTCCGTAATTACTGACGCAAGCCGACCAGGCATATGCGATAAATATAAAAGAAAATGACCATGCTCACAGAGCTCACGACTTACGCACAGCTTGAAGAGCAATTCTCTGATGTCTTCCAGACCGCTTCTCCGCTGAATATAGACACAGGAGTGGCACCTAGTAAGTCGCTGGTAATCGGGTCAATCGGAAAAGGTGCCTGCACCACGTCTACCGTGTCATCCCCAGTCAGCAAACGAAGGCCGTTGTGCCGGCCGATTCAATTTTTTTCTTCTTTTTTCTTCTTTTTCTTCTTTTTCTTCGAGATACCATCATGTATTGGGCAACGCAACGCAGCGCTAGTATCGTGCGTCCTCCTGCCGATGTAGGGTTGGAGTCAAAGTCGGACTTTGGCTGTCCCATTCATATCCCAGTTGACGCTACGTATGATCAGCACGATATGTTCATCGTTGAATAACACTGGTTCTTCTCGAAGACGTGGGGTTGGCCCAAAAAGCATTTAGTCTTTTTCGGATGGTGCAACATGAGACGAGAAAGCCGGCTTGGCTAGGAATTTAACTTTCCTGACTAGCAGTTGTGAGCCGCATTGAGAGCCCCTGAAATATGAGACAGAGCTTTCCCGTGATGGTTGCGGAGGTGGCTCAGCAACCTTCAAAACATGCTACAATGTCAAACAGTTCCTACTCAAGCTTTTTGAAGGGTTGGATTTTGTCGAGCATGCAGCTCGTCCCAACTGCTCTGCCGCCGACGGCACAGCGCGCGGTGTTCTCGAACGACCCGGTGCCACTCAATCCCTGCCGAGCCACGCCCCTGGATTCAGGTTGCAGTGGTCACGGGCAGACAGCCGTGATACGCACAATGCACAGTGGGTTCTCAAGTGCTATCGCACTAAGCATATGATGCCGCTGTGTCTCACTCTCTCTTTCATGTCCTCGCGGTAGTCTTTGAATCTCCTCACTGCCTCCAAACAGTGCTGTGTGACTTGATCGGGTCGTATTTCTTTCTCTTGCCCAGGCGGCGTGTTATTCACTCGTTCACAATAGGGCAGAGCCCTGACCCTCCATTCGTTAATAACTAACAGTCTTTGTACTTCGCCGACATGCATTTTACCAACATACTACGCCTGGTGGCGACCGTCGGCGCTGTTGAAACTCTGGGTGAGCTCCCCATGTAATCCCGTCAACAGCACCCTTCCCGTACTGACATAGAGTAGTCGACCTTGGCTATGCCAAATATCAAGGAGCAACAGTAGGGGCCGGAGTCAATCAATGGCTCGGTCTGCGCTTCGCGGCACCATCAGTCCCACCTTTACGATTCTCGGCACCCCAACCGCCACTTAATGAGACTGAGGTCCAGGACGCCACCAAAGAAGGCGCCTTGTGTGTTTCGGCCAACAACCAGGAGGGCTTGCAATTCGACTCTGCACGACAGCCTATGGCGGAGGACTGTCTTTTCGCCGGTGTGTATGCACCAGCCAATGCTACCGAACAGAGCATGTTGCCCATCCTTATGTTCATCTCCGGGGGAGGCTTTACTTCCAACTCGAACGGCAACTTTAACGGCACAGGCCTGGTGGAGGCCAGCGGGGGAAACATGATTGTGATGAGGGCCAATTATCGGGTGGGCATATTGGGCTTCATTGGAGGGACACTAATCGAGGCTGATACTAAGGGCGCGGTAGCGAACAATGGTCTCAACGACAGTACGTCTACGTCCTCCAACTCTTAGTTCGCATATGCTGAAACCTATCATAGTGATCGCGGCTGCCCGTTGGATGCAGCAACATGCCACGAAATTCGGCGGCAACCCGAACCACATCGTTGTGTCCGGGGCATCATCCGGTGGCAACGCGATCGACGAGCTCCTCGCCGCCAACAATGGCACTGGGTTCCCGGATCTTTTCGTAGGTGCCATCGCGGAGAGCCCTGGCTGGGGCAGCGAAGGCTTTTCGGCGGACCGCGACCAAGCGCTCATGAACAATCTCAACTCCACCGGCTGTCTCAACGCAACAGATCCTATCGATTGCATGCGCGTAATGCCCATTGCCGAGTTCCAGAACAAAACGACCAAGGATGGTTGGGGTCCCACTGTCGAGGGGAAGCTCATTGCCGCGCCTCATTACCAGATGTTCGAGCAGGGACGATTTCAGAACATACCTGTGATATACGGTTATGCGAGCGACGAAGCCACACCAAACTTTATCTCCAACCAAACCGTCAATACTAGCCAGGAGGTTGGGGCCGATATCCTCAACGCCGTGGGGAAGTCAATGACGGAGGCCGAGCTCTCGGCCGTGATGGCGGCGTACCCGGAGTCCCTGAACAATGTCTCAATTTTCGGGCGAGACGTGAGCCCGCGCAACGTATCCGAGCGCGAGGGCAGCGGAGCCCAGTGGCAACGAGATGCGGCTATCAAAACCGAGCTAAAGGAACACTGCGTGGCGGCCTTCTTGAGCGACATGTACTCCAGCATGGGGCAGGCGCAAAACTATGCGTACAGGTACAACATCCTCGACGAAACGGCCGGCGGGAACGCCGACAAGGGCTTGTTCTCCCCACATGTGAGCGAGTTATACTCCGTCTGGGGCAACAACAATACCGACGGCGGTGACCCAGGGTGTATCAAGCTCAACTCAACGGACCCTCTGTCCTGCGCCACTGGTGCCGAGATCGCGCAGGCCTACTGGATCTCGTTCGTCCGCAGCCTCAATCCCAACACCTTCAGGCTCGCAGGCACTCCGGAGTGGACAGCCTGGACCATTGCCCAGCCCAACCGTATTGTGCTCGACAACGCAGCCGCGAGCATGGAGATGATGGGCGCTGCGGCTGGAGAGGTGGCCATTGGTGAGCCGCCCATGAACCAGCGCCAGCGGTGCCTGTCTTTGACGACAAACCTTGCGAAAAGGATTAATTTGGGACTGGGTGCAGGCCAGACCATGCCCGCTTTCGCGAATGGAACAAGGTCAGATCCCACGCTTGCTGCGCTGGGTGGTAGCTCGGGCTCCGGTGGGAGCAGCACAACCATAATAATCATTGAAAGTCATGGGCCAGGGGCCGGCAATGCTTCGATCGCCGTCAATAGCAGTACTAGCAGTGGCAGTGGGGGCTCTGGCAATGGCGGGTCCAGCGGTGGTGGATCAAGTTCAACCGGAAGTGGTGTCAGCATTGTCCCTTTGGGTTCTCTGTCCCCCCACGCCTCAATGAATGGGACTCGGCCACCTGTAATAACGAACGGGGCATCAACAGCTGCATATGAGTTCAACTCTCTCGCAGCTATACTGATCGGAGCAGTCATCCTCGTCGCTTAAAAATCATACGAAGATGGGCAGGGAGGCTGGGTGAAAGCTGTCTCGCGTCTTGCTGGATGTATTGGTTCTTTTAGTTTTAGTCTAAGGGCTTTTCGTGTCCTCACTTATGTCCAGCTTGAGAAGATCTTCCTGGTCGCCTCGGTGCAGCCATACAAGCCATTTCCAGCTAATAATGCGCAACCTCAAAAGTCTTCTTCACTAGCCTTCTGTGCGTTCGACACCTCCTTGTTCCCGTCACCTCCCTCAAGGAGTTCACTCATGTCTTTCTCAACTTCCTGGACACTGTGATCCGGGTACATTGCTTCCATCCGACCTTCCTCCTCAAAATGATTAGGAGGAAAAATGGCAATCCCATTGATGATGGTACCTCCCAGTTCTTCAACAAGTCCGCGATCATGCGGCGTCCACGGATCTGGTGCCGAGTCTATGCTGGATTGGCCGTCTTCCGAAGTCAAGCCCTCCCCTGACGCCTAGGACGGGAATCTCAGTGTGCCGTCCTCGATGGTGCCCCCCAAGGCCTCAATAAGACTGCGGTCATTACTTGCCCATGTGTTCACAGTGTTCATCATTGAAAATGTCCCCAGAGCCGGAACCCAGCTGAAAAGGCCGACAAGATCTTCGAATCCCTCGAGGTTACTGAATGGATCAGGCTGAAACTCAGCATCCTAGGCGTCCAAGATCTGCTCCACTTCAGGCGTAGAGAGTCCCTCCCTCAGCTGGCTTCCAAGATCAGGCTAGAACTCGGTCTGCAGTTGTGGACGGTCCTTGGCATACGCCTCAAGATCAAGGAAAATGGCTTCGGAGTCCGTCTTTCCAAGATGTTTCATGCGCTTGACATCCTCGTGCTCGAGCTCCTCCATCTCCTCGATAGGGTCCTCTTTTTCCTTGCTGTCTTTGTCGTCTTCGTCCGGTTCCATGGCCTTTTCAATCCCGGACGATTCACCAACCAAGAGGAATTGGGCGTTCAGAACTAGATGCTTGGGCAATGTTCCCATCCATCGCAGAGAGCGGAACTCGTCTAGAATCTAATAAACGCAATATGTTAGCTGCCGAACCAAGCTTATGGCAGAAGCCAACCTTACCTCCTTGGAATAGTCTGGGCCCTGGGGAAGCGCAGTGTTGCTAGGCGCAGGATATTGTGGGTTTCTGGTGCTAAGGATCCAGCTGCCTTTTTCCTTCAGACCGATGGTTGTCTGCACGTCTCCCAGCTCCTGGGGAAGGGTAAGCATGTAGGCCAAGTGGCTCTCGCGCCCGGTTGTTGTCAAGGCATAAACACCCTGGGCGATTGGTGTGGCTGGCGGGGAGTGTCTGACACCGGCTGTCTTGGTTTCGTAATCATTGGCAGGGAGGAAGTCCTTCCTAAGCTCGTCAAAGCTCGCATCGGTCTTTTCCACGAAGGCGATCCACCTATCACGTCCGGTCTTTGGCAGCTTCTTCTTGGGGATGGCAATCAGGCGGGAGTTGCCAGCATCGCCAATGGGACCGTCGCCGAGCTTGGCGTCTGTGGGAACAGGGCGGAGCAGCATGAAGGTTCGTGCAATGTCGGAGACCTGCTCTGGGTGATCGATGCCGACTCGGCCACGGAAGAAGAAATAGATGATGCCTGAGGGGGATCTAGTCAGCGTCTTTGCTCAGGTGATGCTCGTGTCCAGGACGCGTATGCATGTGCAGCTTGTTCTGTACCTTTCTCGAGCATGTTGGACGGCGTAGATGCCTGGCGGCCGTGAGGCTCGACAGCAGTGTCATCCTGGTTGTTGTCATTCTTGGACTGTGCATCAGACGGCTGGTCGTCGTCTTGCTTGTCCGTATTGTCCTCGCTTGTGTTATTCTTGGACTGGGAACCAGACGGCTTGTCGTCGTCTTGCTTGTCCTTGTCCGTGTTGTCGTCTGCTGTGCTGGCCTTCTTGTGCCCGCCTTTGGTGTCGCTGTTGGCGGCGGGATGGGGTTAGCGGTCAGGTGGTGGGATGAAGAGGGCTTGGCTTGATTACTTGCCTGGTGACCGCGTCATCCAAAGTCGTCTGCACCTTGTCGTCTCCCTTGTCGTCCACCTTCTGGGTCTTTGCTGGGCGCGATTCGCCAGCGTCATCCAGCTTGTGCTTGTCACCGGCTGTGGCGTCGTTTGAGCTGGTCATGGCGACGATTTGTTGATGATGAGGGGGAGCTGTACTGTATGAGTGGATTACTAGAGATTATGAGAGTATGAGGCCAACAACAGATTGTAGAATTGATGTTGACTGAGAAATTGGACTAATGGTTTGAGGCGCGACGCGGTTTGGTTGCAGGTGCTCAGGTCCAAGTGAGTGAGTGCAATGCAGCTGCAGGTTGACGCGTCGACCACTTCATATTCCAAAACGTAGCTGCGCGTGGGTGATGTCATTGAATCATCACCATTGACGCCTCCCAATTCACACACGGACCACAAACATTACATAGTAGACCAAATTAGCCGATGTCGTATATGACATTAATTACACAAGCAAAATCGATGGCAAGTCTGGGCTTATCCCAGGATGACACCCTGTGCAATAAATAGTCGATGTGAAGGATTAACAAGCTCGGCCGAGGCGTTGGGTCCAAGGTTGGGTCTAAATATGATAAGTGTAACCTCTTACACTTTGACATGCTAATCTATTAGAGATGCAGAATGTCTCTAGCACATATGTGCTCAGATAGCTCTTCACATCGGTTTGTAGCTACGGGTCTTTCCCTGCCTCTACACGAGCATCAAGTGCTGGCCAAATGATCACAGTTCTTGCAGGCTGTACATGGAATAACAGGAAAAGACCTCAGATATCATTTGCATCGAGGGAGTTTATCTCTTCCGTCTCGCAACTATCAAACGGCAGCCAGGATACTATTTATCTGCAAGCTCGGCAATTGTAACGAAACAGCCAGACACCACGGACCATTGCGAAAGCAGCCAGACAGGACACATCACTGCATGATGTTGTTGACTGGAGACATGGTCACGAAAGACTTGCATGGTGTCGTATCTAACGGCTTTTGTATAATTATGACACACGGTCCATGAGAACGTCGACCTCTCTCCAGGACACGCGACTGTCCAATTTAGTCCCTGCCTTATGTGTAAGAAGCTTTGTGATGGAGCAAGAGCTCTCCTTTTTCCCCAGGATCGACTCATCTAGTTACAGGCGAACGACTTTCCTCACATTGCGTATGTGGTCAACAGAAAACACCTATCTCAACCCTTCTTCTCCTTCTCTTTGTCCACCAGCCTCTTCGCAACTGTCTCTGCCAGGCTCCTGAAACTCGCCGCCTTGAGAATGTCCATGGTGCTGGCGGCAACACCAAGAGAGTCCCTCAGCCAGGTACGCAGCTCGACGGCCACCAGAGAGTCCACGCCAACGCTCTCCGGGCTGCGGCCTGCATCAATCTCATCCACCGGGACAAGAAGGAACTCGGACATTTTGTGGAGGAGCGCCTCCTGGGCCAGCGGCATAACAGCCGCCAGCGAGGCTCCACTGTCCTTGCCCTTGCCGCTGGACTTGAGGTGCTGCAAGAGCGCAGCAGCTGGGCCCGACTGTGACAAGGACGCCGATGACGAACCAGACCCGCTGCCACTGTTGAGGAGGGCTCGCAGTCGTGGTACGGCATAGGACTTCGATGGGGTGGAATTGGTCGAAGTGAGGCCGAAGATTCTCTGGGCAGGGCACTCGAAGCTCAGCGTCAGACGCCGTCGTCCTCGTTGCTTATTGTCCACACCAGCACCAGTATTTGCGCCAGCAGTCGCGGCAGCAGAAGCAGCAGCCTGCCTGTCGCTCGACCTCTTCATCTCTAGCTCCACCAGGGCCAGCAGCTCGGCCTCCTTGACCTGCACCGCCAACACACCCATCGCAGCCATGCGCTCGTTCAGTTCCTCATTCTCCGTCGCCCAGCCGACGTCCTCAACGAAGCCCAGATCCAGGGCTGTCCCGGCCAGGCCTAGCCCGTGCCGATGCGCGGCGAGGGCGTCGAGGTACGAATTGGCGGCAGCGTAGGCCGTCTGGCCAAAATTGCCAGCCACACCCGAGACGGACGACAGCATCACGAAGAAGTCCACCGTGCGTGGGTCCGCCAGCCCCAGCGACGCGATGTGCAGGTTGTGTGCCCCGTGAACCTTGGGCCCAGCCACCGCGTTGAAGTCGGCCGGGGTCGAGCCGGCGAACGGTGCGTCGCGCAGGACCATGGCTGAGTGCACAATTCCGCGTACCGGTCGCCCCCGCGGCGCCGCCGCCATTGCTGCGCTCACGTCTTCCATGCGGCCCACGTCTCCCCTGACGACAGTGACCTCAGCGTCGTTCCGTCGGAGAAAGGCCACTAACTCCTTCGCTGCCGGCCTGTCGTCGCCGCTGGGCGATAACATGACGAAGCTGCGCGCCCCGCGATCGAACATACTTCTCGTGATGCTGCGTCCGATTCCGCCGAGGCAACCGATGAGGACGTACGTCGCTTCTGCTGGCAGTGTGAGGAGGTCTCCCTTCCGAGAGGGCTGGACGTGTATCTTAGCGTCCATCCTGTCCACTCCCTGAGCACAACCATCACCGGCCTGCCTCGAGACAACCAGCTTGCCCATGCTCCTGCCGCTCTGCATCAGCCGGAACGCAGCCTCGACCTCATCAAGCCCAAACGTCTGCATGGGGCTGATGGGGCGGACTCGACCCGCCGCGGCAAGCTCAGCCAAAATGCGCATGACCTCACCGGCAACGACCTCATGCGTCATGACCTGGCTGGCGTCGACGCCGTGGAAGCTGGTGCTGCGGCAGAAGGGGCGCATGTGCAGCCGGTTCCGCCGCAGGAAGTCGACGCGGCTGACGTCCACCACGCACCCTCCCTCGGCCACACATCCCCAGCTGGCGTCGAGCAGGTCGCCCGACAGCGAGTTGAGCACCACGTCCACGCCCCTGCCGCCCGTCGCCCGTGCCACCCCGCGTACGAAGTCGTCGCTGCGCGAGCTGAAGATGTTGCCTGGCGCCACGCCCTCCACCTCTACAAGGTGGCGCCGCTTCTCCTCGCTGCCGCACGTCACGTATATCTCGCCTGCGCCTAGGTGACGTGCCACCTGGATCGCTGCCAGGCCTACCCCGCCTGCTCCTGAGTGGATCAGAATGCTCTGTCCCCGTCTCATGTTGGCTTTTTGGATGAGTGAATGGATCACGGTGCTGTGATTGGGTTTGTTAATCACCACCTTACTCTCTAGTCCTCAAGATTTTCGAACGTATATGAGAGGGTAATATGAGGTGGGAAGACGGTGGGGGAAAAAAAGCCCGGATGAACTTACAAGTATACACACGGCATTGTCGCAGCCTCCTCAAAAGACATGGCATCAGGGATCTCAAAGCACAACCAGCCTGGCGCGCGGATAAGGCTGCGGTACGCGCCGTGGTGCAGACTGGGCAGGCCACCCACGCGCTGCCCGGGACGCAGGTGCGAGACTGCGGCGCCGACACGGGTCACGACGCCCGCGAACTCGAGCCCAAAGTTCTTGTGCGGCAGAATGCCCATGCAGATGGCAACGTCCTTGAAGTTCACGCCTACTGCCCGCATCGACACCTCAACCTCGCTGGGGTCGAGCGGCTGGGATAGCTCCACCGGCGGGACCTGCGCGAACGAGAGGGTCTGCAAGAGGCCCACCTGACGGATCTGGAGCTTCCACTCGTCTTGCTTGTCTTGGTTCTCATGCTGAAGTTGGAGGCCGTCCTGATCTTGACCCTGCTTCAGCGGCACTGGATGGAGCTCATCAAAGGTGCCGAGGTCTGGCACGATGCGGTTGACGTACACAACGCCGTCGCGGATCGCAAACTCGCGCTCGTCCGATCCATGGACTGCAACATTACGCAACAAGCGATCAAGAAGCACGGGTACTACTGCAGACGGCGTACTTCCATCGAGATCAACGGTCAGCAGCGCCAGGTCGGGCTCTTCTTTGGCCAGTGTGCGGGATAGCCCAGCAGCCATTGCACCGCCGACCCGATTCGCGACTCGAGAGTCCCCCTTCGCATCCATCTGGCTGCCCTGAGTAAGCCAGATGACTGGCTTCGACTTTTCAGTTCCCTCGGAAATTAGCGACTTGATAATCGCCCTTGTGTCCTCGGAAATGCTCGCCAAAAGTTCAGCGTTGAATAGCCCACCCAGGAACAGGATGGCATCCGCGCACTGGATGGTCACTGGGCTTGATAGATTGTCTTCATCGACTGCCATCGAGGAAACAATTCTGGCGATTCGGTCACGTTGTCCCAGAAGAGATACTTCGCCCTCCAACGCACGTGGCTTGTTCAGTGACTCCTCAACTGATTTCAGAACTAGCACACGAGAGAACTTCTTTTGGGTCTCGCCGTCTAGAAAGCTCTTGGTGCTTATGTCTGCCTCAAGGACAAGACCGGAATCCGCTCGTGACAGCCCGAATGGCAAAGATGATAATTCAGCTTCTCCAAGTTTCTCAAGGAGAAGAACCAACCGGCCATTGGGCTTGAGCACTGTTATAGCTCCCTGAATCCAGTCTCGTTCCCCTTCCCTAAATGACACATCTTGAGCGACTACCAGATCATACTCGGGCTCGGCAGAGTGCATATCATCCAAATTCAGAGTCTTGTAGGAGACATTGGCCGCTGGAAACTCTTTCTGAAATGTCTCTTCAAGCTCAGGGCCTAGGCTGTTATCATGATGTCCCGACAGCGTGTAAGAGTTCAAACGAGGAAAGCCGTCTTTAGGAGCAAGAGTCTTGAGAGCCTCAGAAGTGACGAGTCCACCAGCGTCGCCAATCTCTAACCACTTCGCGGATGGATTTTGGTGGGCGAGCAGGTCGAAGACCACATCCATGAACGGTCCATCCTCCGCGCCGATCTCGAGTTGACCTAAGGAGCTAACGTCAGGCTTCCACACAACTTTGTGCACCTCCGTGAAGTCGCCACGTCCGTCCTGGCCCTGATTGATGTTGGTACAGGCGAGCTTGTCTAGAGCGATTACCAGTTGCCCTGTGCGCTCGTCGACAGCTTCGGCCGAGCCCAGGATCCCGTCCTTGGAGGCTTCGCTGTCCTGTACCTCCGGAATGATGTACGAGGAGCAACGAAGGTTGGCAGACTCCGGCTCTGGCGCGGCCACGTAGAGCCCATCGATCTTGGTCGGCACGGCCAGGTTATGCAACCCGCCAGGCTTGCCCCAGCCAGGTGGCAAGCAGTGTTTGAAGAACGCCATCTATCACCGCCGGTGCCACGGCATAGTGCGATCTGAGCGTCTCGGCTGCTGGCAGCGCGATGACCGCCTCCGCGGAAGGTCTCGTATCCCAGGCCTGGCTCTCTACGGCGGGCGCCCGCAGCGACGAGAGTACCTGGAAGGAGTTCGTATAGTTATAGCCGATACGCGAAAAGTTGCGGTACCACACGCGCGTCGACGCCTGGCTTCCAGTCCAGCCGCCGCTCTCCCGGCGAATCCTGGCAATATCCGGATCGGGCGATGGTTCTGCGCCACGGCGCGGTACGCCGGCGATTTCTCCGTAGCAGTGGACGTCCGTCTTGGACTCTTCCTTTGAGAGGGGACCGGGCCTCCGGTCGCCGGGCGCTGGCTGCTGGCTGCAGATACTAAATGAGTACCACTTGGATTCGCTGCTGGCCCTCGTCAGGGTGAGGAAGGTGTATACGCCACCCTCAGCATTAGCGGCAGCGTTCAGGACCAGCGCGCTCTTGATGTGGATGTTTCTCAGCTCGAACGCGGTTGCCTCGTTGCCCTGTGGGGCGGTGGACGAGATCTGGCGCACAGCCTCGATAGCCATAGCTATATAACCGGCGGCTGGAAAGACGACGTCGTCGTTTAATTTGTGGTCCGCCAGCCACTTGGTGTTTGAAAGGCTGAGGAAGTTGCGCCAAGTCGGCACGAGCGGGTTATCGTCTGGGACGCGTGACCCGAGAATTTCGTGCCGACGGAATTGTTTGAACCGATGGTTCCTTGATGCCCGAGGCTCATGCCACAATGCACGGCTCTTGTTCCACGCGTAGTTGGGAAGATCGACAATCATCCGGCCGTGGGTGTGGGTGACAGAGCCGGTGGGAGATATTGTCTCTAGGGCATTGACCTTGGCCATGTCCACCGGGAAACCGAGCGTGAACAGGTTTCCGGCTGTCTTGAGCACATCTTCAGACGCATCGGACCCCCCTATCAGTGTCGGAATGTACCGTGGCACCTCCTCAGGCTTCAGCGTGCCCGAGCTAGTAAAAGAGGTGAGGATCTGGCGGACAGGGCCCTTTAGTGTTGACGATGGTCCAATTTCGATTAACACCTGTGGACGCGTGCTCGCGTGCTGGGGCTTGGAGAGCATGGCAGTCAGGGCATCATTGAAGAGAACGGTGCCTTCCATATTGCGTCGCCAGTACTCCGGGTCCCGCACATCAGATCCATGGACCTTGACTCCTCTCATAGTGGAGGAGTACATTGGAGCCGTCTCTGCATGTGTCTGTCCCTTCGGTGAAAAGGTTCCAGATGCTTCCAGAGCGTCCTTGAAAATGTGACTGTACCGCCCCATGTAATGCGGGTTGTGATATGCCTTGGGAACCTTCAACTTTCGCGCGAAGGTGCCCTCGGCCACGAGCTTTGTCGCTAGCGCATCCAGGCCAGATGTGGCACCTGAAATGGTCACACTATCGGGGCCTGTTCATGAGTCCATGATTAGTTCTGCATATTCGATCAAAGGATCGACTCTTCGGGGGTCATTCCAGGCTGCTATGGGCAGGCAAACTTACTATTATCGCATGCTACCACCAGATCCCTTGGGGAAGAGGACTGGCTCTCAAGCTGCTTGACCCTTTTCAATGCCTCTTCACTACCCAATCCGACTGCTAACATGCCCGCATCAGCCCACAGAGTGTCGTTCTTCTCAAGCGTGGATGTGATGCTGAAACCTCTGAAGTAAGCCACCGTGATGGCTTGCCTCTCGCTGAGCATACCGGCAGCATACGCGGCCGGGATCTCTCCGGAGCTATGTCCCACAACGCCGGCGTCGGGCTTGACACCCCATTGGTTGAGGAGGTTGACCACCGCGATCTGGACGGCGCATGTCAGCGGCTGGGCGAACCGCGGGTCGTGGATCCTGGTCTCCCCTTCGGGCTTAACGAGCTCCGACGCAAAGGTCCAGTCCGGCCGGTTCTGCGGCGGCAGCGCGGCGAGGTACGTGTCTAGCCGGCCAAGCGTGGCCCGGACCGATGGAAAGTCTCGTATGAGCGTGGCACCCATGCCAGGCCGCTGCGCACCCTGCCCGGTGAATATAAAGCCGACGCGCGGCGGCTCCATGTGCTCGCGCTTTGCAGAGCTCAGCGAATCCTGGGAGAAGGCCGACTCGAGCGGCGCGCCAGCAGAGAGGATTGAGAAGCCGCGGTGAAACAGCTTTGATCGCCGGACGCCCAGTGTGTATGAAAGATCTAGACGGGAGATCTGAGATGCATCTTTGACGTGCTTCTGCAGCGACTGCGCGTTCTCAGCCAGCGAGTGAGCGTCGTTGGCTGATAGGAGCATCAGGTACGGACGGCTGGCAGCGTCCTGGCTTTCTTCCTCACTCGAGCCGTGCAACTGGGCGAGGCGACCCGTTGAGTACTTGTAGGTACACGTCTCCTGTTGTTGCTGTGTGAGGTAGTCTTCAGCTGACTCCAAGATTGTGTGGGAATTCTGAGTGCGTGGATTGGTAAGTAAGGTCCAAAGAGAAGTTGAACAGGATTTGGCAAGACTCACAGCACCACCATACCCAAAAGCCTGTATACTGATCCTCTTCCGCGTCTTCTCTGGCAGCGGCATAAGCTCTTGCACCACCTTGATTCTACCATTGTGGAAGTCAATGGCTGGATTGAATTTTTGAATGCCAATTGTGGGCGGGATCACGCCAGAATCTAGGATGAGAGACGTCTTGATAATGTGAGTCAACGCGCTTGCGGCCTCGGAATCTGCAGTGCTGTAAGTCAGTCTCTCTTCATAACAACGCGTCTTATACCTGGATAGGTATGTATTTCCCTGCATATTTCGGACATGACTTACGCCCTAGGTTCGTCTTCGCGCTTCCTATCAATAGTGGGACATCCACCGACTTGTGTTTTGCAAACACTTTCCCAATCGCATCAACCTCAATCGGGTCGCCTGTTGGCGTGCCGGTGCCATGGCACTCGAAATACGCTGTCTGACCAAACTCTTCACGGCTGATGCCGGCATTTGCATACGCCTGCAGCATGTTGGCAACCTGTGCCTCCTTGCTGGGCATGAGTATACCAGGCGTCCTGCCATCAAAACCATTCGAGGTGCCCCTCACCACAGCACGGATGGGATCACCATCCCTCACTGCGTCATCCAGCCTCTTGAGGTACACGACACTGGTCGCGTCGGCTCTCGAAAATCCATCTGCCAGGCTGTCAAAGGTGTGGCACTGCCCGCTCTTGGAGAGAAGTCTAGGTTTCCGGCCTAGTACCTCGGGAATCAGTGTCAGGTTAGTGCCTCCCACGAAGCAGCCCTCAATGAGGCCAGCAGATAGGTAGCGGCATGCTATATCGAGGCCTACCATAGAGCCCGAGCAGCCTGTGTCAAAGGCCATGCTGGGCCCGGCGAGGTCATACACGTGCGAGATACGGTTGGCGTAGATGGCCTCGCCCGTGCCGACAGCGTGGTAGTTCTGGTGATACTCTAGATCTTTATCCCAGAGCTTACCATATTCTATTGCCATTTGTCAGTGAAATAATCCTACAATTCCTTCAACATGGTGATAGTGTTTGCACGAGATAAGAGTAAAACATTGCATAATTAACGCAGATGCAAACTTACCGCCCATGGAAAACGCCACAAAACAACCGATCTTGCGACCAGCTATGGCCTCCATCGGGATGCCTCCGTTCTCCAGACACTCATAGCTAACCTCAAGGAGCAGCCGCTGTTGTGGATCCAGAATTCTCGCCTCGCTCAGCGGCAGGCCAAAGAACGCCGAGTCAAATCGCGACAGATCGACATCCTCGCCGTGGGAGTGGCCACCGGCGATCTGGAATGTGCCGTCGAAGTCTGGGTCCGTGGGATGCGTGAAAGCATCCCAATTGAAGCGATCTCGGGGTGCTTTTGGCGTCCACGACGATTTTGAGCTACAGAGAAAGTCCCACAGCTTGGACGGGCTAGAGTTGCCACCCGGTAGCCTGCAGCCCATCCCGACTATGGCAATGGGAACCTGGGGCGTGTCTGATAGGGGACACGGTGGAGGAAGGGAGGAACTAATTTCACTCTCATCATGACTGATGACGGCCTCGGAGAGCTGACTGGCACTGGGAACCGGCTCACTATCGGTGGATATGAATGTATTGAAGATGTTTCCTGCTGTGTCGGCACCGAATGGGGCAGATTCTTGGAAGCCCATCTCTGTGACAAAAAGATGGTTCTGGGCTCCTCCAAGAAATAGGTATGTAGAAGGTTTTGAAAGGGAAGGTAATGTCCTTGAGAAAGATTCGAGCGCAGAAGCAGTTCATATATTTGGACTTCAAATCGGTAGAAGTTGACTGACGAAGGATAAGTCGACTCTTATGATCTGGTCCGTCACAGCGAGGAGTCATGAAGAGACGAATGTTGTCCTGGGAACTTTTTGAATTTATATAGTCTGCTATAAGACTTGATGCCTTGTTTGATTCTATGCTCTCAGCGCTTTCGTCTGCGTATCACAAGCATACTAGCCCTCTTCAGCCTCCTTCCTCTCATCGATGGGCTCGAGTCCAATTAGCCCGAGGCAACCTTGTAAGCCATTCACATGACATGTTTCTCATGGAAGCCTCTCTCTCATTGTACAATCTCCTCTCCTCCCCGCGGACCCGCCTGTACGCTTATCGTCGAGGGTGTGTGCAGCTTAATAGTTAACTACACCTACCCTCATGGCACAGGACTTCTCACCCCCATGGAGACCTGTAGAGAGCCTCATTGGCGTCTCCGTTATCTCCAAATTTGGTAATAGGCCCGAGTAAGGTGATCCGAGCCAAAAGTTTCAGAACTTCCGCGGCCACATTTGTCTACTCCGTGAATGTCGCCATCTGACACGTAGGATTCAACAACCCTGCCTTATCGCAAAATGGTCATCAAAATACAAGCGAACTTATTTTCTTTCTACACACCTTCCCGGTAATTCTTTGCTTATAGAAACATTCTTCTCCTATTATATTTAGGTGAAAGTAATAAATCAACATTTTAGAATAACAAAAGTATAATTTTAAACAGCATTAATTTGAATATATAGTCTTTTTCTTTTGTTTTAAAAAAAGCCGTTTCGAGTTTTGCTGCATTTTAACTTTTAGTAAATATAAACGATGGAAATAATTATAGAATATGAGTCAATGATATACATATTTTTGTGACTAAGGCGGATGGTTTTCAAATTCTCCAGTTTGCTTATCTAGCATTATGTATCGGAAGCATATCTCCCAAGATTTCCTAAAGAGCCCTCTCTACCCGGTATCGACTCCAATCACGCCATCATGTAGAGGTCCTTCTTCGAAAGCTGGGTCCGTCCGGCTTCCAGGGTGTACACTCTATAACAGTAACATCGTGTAGAACCGATCCCGAGTACCCCAGGAACCTTGCAAGGTCCAGTCCGAATGAGAATGACTCGGCATGCCTGCTCTTAACACGATCCAAAAGGAATATTTGTCATCGATTGCGCTCAGGGGCGTGTATGTTTAAATCGAGAGCCAAGAAATACACGGTGTGTAGTCCTAGGGTACGTGTACACGTGGATGCTTGGTGGGTCAACTGTACAATACCCTTGCTTGAATAATCGGTGTTTATGAGTCGTTAAAATAGAGTTAGAGGCAATTAGAGTATGCGGGCCGGAGCCCTTGTGTTCCGCACGACTAATCAATTCGCGAAAATCAGCTTCGAAGAAAAGAGAATCTCGAACTCGGTCAAGCCAAAGACTGTTCTGTTCCTATTCTTCATCATCAGACTTCGCCTTAGAGACCACAACCTTCAGCCGTAAGCATCATGGCGTTCGCCGAGAACTCAACAATACCACTCACCTGGGCCACAGACGGGCCATCTGCGTATCTTGTATCAGCCCTCGGTGGCTTCATCAATTCACACAGCCCTGAGCTTGAATGTGCGTTTCGCTTAGCCCTTTTTGCGCCGTTCTTGGGCAAGACGTTCAGCCTCACGCGCCCGAAACAAGCGCGAATTCGCAGATTTCCATATCTCCCTATGGTAGTTCATGTCCTTAGTGCCCCGCTGCAATTTGTGCGATACTATGGAGCATACATTCGAAGCCGTGAGCCGCCGATCCCAGACTATGTGGACTTGATGTTCTCAGGTCTGTTCATCTTGACCTCGGCCCTGCTCATAACCAGCCGGGCACGACGGCACTCAAATATCACAAGGACGGTCTTCCAGGCAACCATCCTACAGCACGCTGCTGTATTCATGCTTGGTTACTGGTGGACGGATGCACGTCTTTTCGGGCTCAGCGTCAAGTTCTTGAACCTTTTCTCATGGTTTCGGGCTGTGCATCGTGTGCTACCGAGACTGTTGCCGATGCGTTTCAGGGGACCAGGCAAGTACATTGCTTGCTATGATGCGGCTATTGTTGTTGGGACGTTCGTATCTCTCTGGGAAGTTGGATACCCAGCAGGTTCTGGCATCTTTGCTGGCTTAGTGGCTCTTCTGATATGGGTCGAGCGGTCCCTGGCACTTAGGATGGCGAAGTAAGTTCTACGTATATATTGACATTCGCAAATGCCTGGTCACTTTCTCTTGCCTTTTTAAACGAGTTACTCTTTTCACTGACCATTTTCAGACATGGAGAACAAAACTTTGGTCGAAGACTTCTCAGTGGTATCGGAATGTTGGACTTCGAGGTCCTGACTGGGAAAGACCCCGAGGCGGTAACGCCGGAGATGTGGAAGAAGACCAGTTAGTGCAAACATTCAAACAACAGTGATCACAATTTGTAGAATGCAGGTTCGATGGTTGGCACCGGCCTCAGACAGGAAGGGAGCTATGGGTTGTGAATGTCGAGCACAGATATTGGGTTGTTTCGTCATTGGGCCTGCAATACTACGGAATGTAGCACACATTTTTAAGAGATATTGCGATACACTATGAATATCATAGAAGATTGACGACTAATTTTGAAATCGACAGCCATGTCATAATGCCTATCTTGAATTTCTTGCAGGGCTATAGATCAATCACTCATTTGGATACTTCGTACCGTGCTATGCTCTCCCCGTAGATGAACAGAATGAACCTCTTTTCACGAATAAAGTCTGCTCAACTTTTTTTTTTGGGGGGGGGGGGGTCAAGCTCCCGTGGCCGTGGGCCCTCAAGGTATCGTATCTACAATAGATCAATCTGACTCGAGCAACATATTGAGTTTTGTAGTTGTGAGGAGTTTCCACATTTCCCTGCGTTATCATAACTGTGTTTGAATTCCTTCGACAAACCCCTGGCCCCCTCCGCCCCCACCATCCAACCCCCGATATGCTCCCAGTAAACCTTACTATATGCATGCATCCCATTTGGTCGTCGTTCATGCTGCGCACTGCTGACTCGAAACAAACCCCGTGGCATGTATCAATGGGTGAGGCTTTTCAGCCGTGAGCAGTCCCATACGCACTGACGATACTTTCCCAAATTCTATGAACGGTGATGTTGCTGAATTTAGTAATGTTTGGCCACTTACGTTCAAGACCTTCTGGCGAAAGTACCGCTTAATATTCGGCAATTTTGTATATTTCAGACTTGTCCCGGAATGGAAGTTGCTCCTGATGTCCCAGAAAACTTCTTTGCCGTATTCCCGATTCCTCGGACTACTAAGTCGTCTCCATGAACAAATTGGATTCTGCCTGGACGCAACTCTTCTGATCTATTGTGCCATTCTGTTTTCAAGTCGCTACACTTTTGCATGTCATACTCGATTTCAGGATGAACTCATTGCCAGCTGAACTTAAACCCAACGAGACGCTCACGATCGTCGACAACAGGTCTGGAGCTGAATACAGCTTCCCCATCGTTAACAATTCAGTGTCTTCTGTGCTGTTCAAAGAAATCAAATGTTCTCCAAAGGAGAGGTATCCTGGTGATCAGCATGAAAATGGCTTGAAGCTACTAGATCCCGGCTTCCAGAACACGGCCTGCATGAAGTCCCAGATTTGCTTTGTGGACGGAAATGCTGGTCAAATATCTTATCGAGGTGTATCTGTTCCCGACCTCTACCAGAGTGGAAGACCATTCGAACACGTTGCTTTCCTCCTAATTTTTGGAAAACTCCCAACACCGGATGAGGCCGTGGCGTTTAACAAGTCCCTCGCGGAGACAAATCTGCCTCCACAAAACGTGTTTGACTTGATCAAAACATTTCCGTGAGTACTTTCCGTTTATTGACAATTTCAAAAATCTTACATTGAGTAGAAAGCACACGCATCCAACCACGGCCATCGCATCCGCCTTGACGGCTTTTGTTGCCTCGCAGCCAGATAAGGTCCCAGCTCATCGCGGCACGAACCTATACAAAGGCAACCTAGCTCTGGTTGACGCTGAGATTCCACGCTTTCTACAGACCTATGCCATCATTGCAGCAGCTGTGTTCTGCCATCTGAAAGGTCGAAAATTTGAGCCTCCGAAGCTGGAGTTTTCGTATGTGGAGAACGTACTTCACATGATGCGATATGTAGAAGAAGGAACTGGAAAGCCAGATCCTCGAGTGGTCAATGTCTTGAGCAGACACTGGATCTTGACTGCTGACCATGAGCTCACCAATTCAACGGCAGCTTTTCTCCATGCCGCTTCAACACTTTCCGACCCGTACTCATGCTCAGCCGTGTCGAACTTGTCTGGTGCGGGCATTCTGCACGGTGGGGCTATGGAGGTCTCCCACAAGCAGATGGAAGCCGTTGGCAACATTGAGAATGTGCCTGCGTTGATTGAAGAAGTGAAACAGGGAAAGAAGCGCCTTTTTGGCTACGGACATCGCACTTACAAAGTGAGTTAACCCTGGATTTTGCCAGTTTGGGGGTCACTACAGACTAACTCGCAAGTAGGTCACCGATCCGCGGGCCCAATTTATTCATGAGCTCATCCGCGAAGCAAGCAGCTTCTCTGATGCTGCCAAGAAAGACACGGGCTTACAGATCGCCCTAGAGATTGACCGCATCGCATCCCAGGACAATTATTTTGTTTCAAGGGACCTTTGCGCGAACGTAGATTTATTTCTTTCTCATGTTTACAATGCCATGTAAGACAAAAGGATTGGTTTCTTTTGTTTCCCACAACATCCATAGCAGGCCGACTGGGCTTGTCTTTCGCAACGGGCTCCGAGATGACTGACAACTTCTCTATCACTTGCAGCGGCATACACGCAGACTTCATTCTGCCCATGTCCCTGATGGGTCGAAATCCCGGAATGATCGCACACTGGCGAGAGGTAATGAGTAGGTGATCTTGTCTTCCCTATCAAACACGGCTTGATATCGGCAAACCCCTGTGCAACGCAACCATCATTGACATGCGAGCAGGTGATCCCAAGCCTCGCATGTGGCGACCTCTTCAATTGTACACCGGAAAAGTCCCTGGCTGGGAGCAGAAGATCGATGAAGAGAACGCAAATTAAGCTGGTATTTTGGGTCCGGACTCAAACTTGATTATGGAAAGGTCATGACATGTACTTCCCACGTTGTGCATCCGTCTGGTCTCCTTTATTGGAATGTGTCCATTGAGCTTGAATCAAAGATATTTTGCAAACTGCTACGTATTGAACAAAAGCAATTTAGTTATATCCTGGAAACAGATCTTCTCGAATTCTGCTAGGGGCAGTGTGGGAACTTCAAGTTGTGTGCATGACTTCTTTGTTTTGACGTTTGTTTCGACTCCTCGAGCAACACGTATTAGCCCTGCTTCCTTTTGCCTGTTGATGCTGACAAATCCATCGATTTTCCGCATCTTCATTCAAATCAGTCCCCCTTGCCGTTGCTGCTTGAACCGAGTACACGGGGAGGGCCGTTCCGGCAAACCATGGTCCTGGCTTTCATCGCTAGTAAATGACTCGGGTCCAACTTGGTGAAAGATACAAGGATTGTTGTCCCTAGGTGCGTCGACTAGGTGCAATTGAACTGTAAGAGGATACGTTTACGCTGTATGTGGAGTCTCGGGCTGACCTGTTTTGGAAAGGCCAAATGCCAAATTGAGGACTCTCCCGCGAGTGGACCCAAATCCTGTATAATACATGATACTTCATGTTGCTTCTCATCTCAGGTATCATCCTCTTCACTTACGGACAAGTCCTCTTTTCCGATTCCGAGCTCCGATATTTAACCTTAAATCTGACTCGAATACGTGGATTGTACTGGCTTAGTGCGGCTAATCACTATTGAGCTATATACAAGGGACTCAGAGGCATGTCTCCAAAGGCAGGAAGTACTCAACATGCGAGATATTACAAATGCTTACGCGGAGAGAGTTTCATCCACATGCTAGTGCCAGTTCATCATGAAGCAGCGGTTGGCATGTGTAGTTCATGTTTGTGCTAGCCGGGCTTTTGACTGCGACTACATTGATACTACCCAGGTAAGCATCGGATGTCTGTTTCGGCTTCTTGCCTTGTCGTTTGATTAGTGAACGCGATTGCGAGTCAAGCCGAACTTCGGGAAACGAGTATAGGAGTTCGTCCGCAGCCAAGAAAATATACTCGCAGCGGCTGGGTGCAAAGCAACACAGAATACATACCAACTTTGATACTCAATCACTAAATGTATGTACCCCTTCGTGGAATCGTGGACGCGGATGGACGGTGTATAGAGTTTCTGCCATTCTGCTTAGTTCTCAAAATTCGCTCATAACACCAACTCCATTCGCACCCATGCCATTAGGAAAGTATGTCTATCGGCAGGCTCTTCGTATCCGCCTTCTCACCCATGACTTCCGACGAGATCTCACTGACCGCTGCCGTCGATCCCAAACGACAACGACATCACTTGACTCAGTAATCGGACCAGCGTAGCGACAGGTGAAAACTAAAGGCACCTGATCTGGGAAGCAGGCTGGGTGTGCAACTAGAAATGTCCTCCGTTGATTGTATCTTTCCGTACAGGCACGGTCTGGTGTAAATGTAATGATCACAAGTTGTATCCTCTGGCAGCTACTCGCGGGTTTAATTGTACTGGAGGATTGATGAAGCCGTATGGGACCCTAGCTAAGTCGATCACACACTGCTAAGAGGAATTCATATTTGATCTTTTCGATCCCGAAAACAATAGAAAATAGCAAGTTCCTCCACTTTTATCTTGTATCGATAGACTATTGAAAGCATTATCCATTTGTTGCAATTCATTGAATATGGCACCATCGGCAATAACTGTAGACAGTCAGATTGGCGCCTCTAAGGCATCGGTCGGCAGGGTAGGAGAATGGTATCTTCCAGAGGTGACACCCTCAACTGTTCCGAAGCCATCTGGAAAATTTCATGGGAATTCTCAAATCGACCCAGACCTCCTTCTGGGACACAAAGAGTCCCTGAAGTACGGCCACGCTCTTGACCATTATAGACAATTCGATGTAACGCCTAATACGGGGCGTGAATTCCCAGAAGCAAACCTAGCAGATTGGCTCCGAGCCCCGAACTCTGACCAGCTTATCCGCGACCTGGCCATCACCAGTAAGCTTGTTTCGAAAGTATCCTTTCTTGCCTCAGGTACGAGTATTAGTGCTGATTACGTCGCCCCAGTTTCCCAACGAGGCGTGGTCTTTTTCAGAGCCCAGAATGATCTGACCATCGAGCTCCAGAAGGAGCTCGCCCAGCGCCTAGGCCAGCTTTCGGGGAAGCCGTCAACTTCAGGCCTGCACATTTTTCCGTTTGTCTACGGCGACGAGAAGCGTGATAAGGAGGTCACAGTGATCACGCACGAAGACAAACCCATTGACAAAGGCAAAGTGCACGCACGGCTGCAGGATCCCAACACCACTCCCCCGCATAAGATGTGGCACTCAGACACCACGTTTGAGCATGTGCCGGCGGACTATGCAGTCCTTCGCATGTCAAAGCTGCCTCGGACGGGTGGTGACACCATCTGGGTCAGCGGATATGAGGTTTATGATCGCCTCAGCGAGCCCTTCAAGAAGTTCTTTGGCAACTTGACATTTACGGGTGGACAGCCGGCATATCACGCCAAGGCGGCAGCTAATGGAACGCCGTATTACACAGAGTAAGGTTCTCAACTGTGGATATTCCTGCCATTTTCCATGATACAGATTCACAACTGACACTTTGTCCTTTCTTGCTACACACAGGCAGCGTGGCGCGCCAGAGAATGTGGGCAAGCATATCCGCGCCATCCACCCCGTTGTTCGCACAAACCCAGTGTCGGGCTGGAACAGCATCTACGCGCTTGGTCACCACGTCGAGCACATCAACAATGTCACGCCGGGCGAATCAACCAGGCTACTTGACTGGTTGCACGACATTGTGGTGCTGAACCACGATGTCCATGTGCGCCATCGCTGGATTAATGACAACGATGTAGCGCTGTGGGACAATCGGTAAGCAGCTTCCCGTAGTTCTCCTCTCAAATAAATCGTATTGACTCTAGCTGGCTGCAGTTCCATGGTGCACACGGCGACGCCGGACTACCTGGGTAGTCTTCCCTACGTTTGTAATCCGAGCGTCCCAACTGCGTTAGTTAGCAAGCCACCTTTAATCCGCCCACACCTCACCTATGCTCAGTGGTGCTCGCTGCATAAATCACCCTGACCAACCCTCTAACCCCAGCGTACAATACAGCCAGTTCGTTCTCGCTTAAAATCGTTCAACTTTACACGACTGTCACCGCGCGCCCATAAGCTGGATTCTGGCCACATCTGTCAGCATAATGGCTACGTGCGGGCGGGGTGGGAGGCCCGGCTTGTGGCAGCCTCCGCCAGCCCAATAACTGGCTGCCCCGTCACCCGGCTGCCAGAATCCTGTACTTAAGGCGGTTGCGGTCGTGCGCCCTCCTCATCCTTCCTACTTCCTACTTCCTACCTCCAAGAATCGCGTCTGCTCTGCTCTGGCCGCAGACTTCTGGGCGCAACCTCCGTACTTTGCATAGCCCCATAAGTCACTAAATCCCTGTACTTTCGAGGCTGTGCTAGGCTTCCTTTCCAACACTCATTGGGCTTTGTTGGAGGCCTCCACGACTCGAGGTTGCATAAAAAGCTCTGTTTCCAGGTCTCATCTACTGTGCTAGGCTAGATTCCTTACACATCTCGTCAAGTCCGTTTCATCTAGTACCTACTTGCCTTACCATATCAGAAGTTGGGCAAGTGACAATACCTACACGAAGAAGACCACACCTTCCGTTCAAACGAGGTTTACCTACCTGTTACTTTGCAGATTTTCTGTCTCATCGGCTGCCGCCTTAGCATCGCGACAAACTCTCATACTATCAGAAGAGCTATGTCTGGCTCATCAACAAAGAGGCGGGCTCACAACTCCATTCCACCAAGTGACAAGCACCCCCGCATCGAGTCTTCAGGTAGTCAACGCGATGCAGTCGGCAGGACTCCAGGAAACGAGGCAGCTTCTAGTACCACAGGCGAAGCTGGCAAGATATGTCATGGATGTCGCAAGATCGATTTGGAATCGATTTTCTGTGAGAACATGCAAAATCCAAAACTCCACAAGATCTGGGGCGGTCGAAGGTTTTCGTTGCAACATATGAATCCACAAAACAGCTGTCCTTTGTGCAAGTTCTTCAACCACGCGAAGACCCCTCCAATAGAAGAAACCGAAACCGATCCGATATACCAACTGCGTGTTTTCCCCGCAAAGAGTGAACTAGGTGCTTGGAAGCTTGACTTCGATAACTCGCCGGGCTTTGTCGTCCTTCCTTCCAGCGGACGTTATCCCGCCTCATACCAAAATACCCAAGGAATCATTTTGGAGCTCGACGATTCACGTAATAAGCTTTCGGGTCGTCAGATCCTGCCTCGTGTCGATCTCTCTCTTCTCAAAGGATGGCTGGGGTTTTGTGATAACAATCATAAATCGCTCTGCAAGAAGCCCATCTCGCAGATGCCCCGAGGCTTCCGCGTGATAGATTGCTCAACGCGGAAGATTGTGTCATGGGAGAGTGCTGTTGACCACAAGCACTACGTTACCCTCAGCTATGTCTGGGGAAACGCTGAGGCGGGCTATGCGGTGTCTAAAGACTCTCTTTTGGGCCCATTGCCCAGAGCCATCGAGGACAGCATTGTCTTCACAACTAGTCTCGGCTACCGATATCTATGGATAGACCGGTACTGTATTCCTCAGGACAACATCGCAGACAAGCAGTTGCAAATCCAGAGCATGGGTTTCGTCTACGAGAACGCTGCCGTGACAATTGTCGCTGCAGCCGGCGATGGTCCTCATCACGGATTACCCGGAATCGGTGCGACGCCTCGAGAATCCCAGCCCAGTGTAAAGATTGGAAGCAGGACGCTCGTGTCCATTCCATACCCGAAGAAAGAAATCCTGAACTCGAAATGGAACAGCCGGGGTTGGACTTACCAAGAAGGACTCCTCTCTCGAAGAAAGCTCATCTTCACTGACACGCAGGTGTATTTCCAGTGTAACGCCATGCACTGTCTCGAGAGCATCCAAATTCCACTCGAGAGGTTGCATATACACAACAATAGCCGGATGCAGGACGACGTGGATATGTCTAGAGTTTTTCCCCGCCGAGAACTCGGCAAATCCATCATGGATCTGGATGATCGGCTGCAAGAGTACCTGCGGCGGGATCTCACGTTCGACAGCGACATATTGAATGCCTTTAGAGGGGTTCTGTCTGCTTTTGAGCATAGGTTCCCAAAGCGCATGAAAAGCCTCCACGGAATCCCAATCTACTCAAATCCGTTTTCGACGACCGATTTAGAAGCTTTCGTCTTCGGCTTATCATGGTTGTCTCTCGGATCCCGTGACGACCAAGAGCCGCAACGACGGCCGGAGTTTCCAAGTTGGACATGGGCGGGCTGGAAAGTATCAGGGGTTATGTTCCATTTTGGCGGCGCAACATGGGATGTATCAACGCCTTCACTTGTTGATATATCTGTAGAGTATGCCGATGGGCAAGTGCTTCCGTGGAACGGGAACCAAGACCGTATTCTCGCTAATGACCGCTCGGGCTCCCCTCCCAGCTTTCTCCGCATATGCGGCCCGACTCTTGAGGTTCAAATATCTCCAGATGGCGAAATACTAGGGGACGATGAAGGTGGGATTTTGGAACAGCAGAGAGCACAACTCATGGCTAGCAGGATTCGAGAGGCGACGCGCCGGTATCCATATAGCGCTCATCGAGCAAAGGCAAACGACGACGGGACTTTTCCGCTCACCTTTCTTGTTTTGGGCCATTCGGATTATGATATAACTTTTCTTATCCTCTGTCAGCCCGAGGGTTGCCTCCATTTTGAGCGAGTTGCTTCCGGTTTTATTGGAAAGTGCCCAGCGGATTGGGATTTCGAGGTAAAGCTGATCATGCCCGATGCCTTGATGGGCTGGACAAGGCGAGAGGTCCGGATAGGATGATTTCAGGATATCACTAAGGCCTTAATGAGGCGTAATTATACGCCAGGGCGACGAATTTGCGCAGTGATTTTTCTTGTACTTCCAAAAGTTTTCTCGCCTCGTGGTTTTTCTCAACGATTTGTAGACTATATTTTCCAAACAACTAATTCCTTCCCGTAAGTGGGAAACTTCCATTACGAGCTGTAGCATGTTAACTTGAGCTCTGATCAGACGTTCCGTCCAAGTGGATTGGTACTAGCGACCTCCCTTCCTCAGCCGCTGCGTACCTTCATGCATTGGAGGGCCCTACGCAACCGCACGGCCAATGCATGATGAATGGAAGGAGCTGCCACGAACTACAGTATCGCGACACTGAAGGTCACCGAAGCGCCCTGACGGAGATCAGATCAGAGGTATGCTAGGTGTACCTCTGCTGCCTGGAAGAGAGAGTCTCCCTCTCTTCTATAGAGGCGCACAGCTACCTCTGATCAGATCTCAAAGCACGAGAGTTTGTGTATATTTGCATGCCTCCTCGCCCTACTTTACTATGCCTTCTTTTAGCTTTAATGTTCATAAGGCAATCTAGTCCAAGAGTATGCTGTTGCGAACTTATAATCTCGGGCGGGGACACGATGATGTCGTTGACGCAGTTCACGCAGTTCTCCACGTCCGATCATCGACCCCGAGCCCAGGCGCGTGATCAACGTCTCGACGACGTCGTGGTCCATGTCCCAGTACACGTCGCTCTTTTCGATCTCGTGGAAGATGATGGTCATGGCGTCGATCATGGTCATATTCACGTTCTCCATCACGAACCGGTACTCGGTCATGTTGCTAAACACCTGCTTGGACGGGATCTTATTCGCGAAACATTCGCGAACCTGTAATCCACCATGAAGGACCTCCAGGTCGCGGTGGAGGGGAGTGCATGGCCTCTTATAACCTCTTCTTCATAAATGCGGCTCTGTCCATCTGCGGCTCGGTGATCGCGTTCTGCTGTGTGAAGCTCTGCTCGTTGCTGTTCGAGTACGTATTCGAATTCGCGTACCTAGCGGTGGTCGGCATCGCCGACCTATAAATAGCCTACTTGATGGGTCACCTGTCATCCCTCCTAGCAAGGGAGCCATGGGTATCGTCTCTTTCACGAAGATGCCTTGCCGTCCACGGTCGCAGGCAGGGCCTCGATGAAGCTCAAGGCCTCCTGAATTTTCTCGGTCGTGACCTTGATGTTTTCGGTCAACGCCTCGATCAACTCGGATGCGTCGACCATCTCGTTCTCACTCCGCATCCCGGACATCTTCATGCGCTGGATGATGAACAACTGCCGCTTAGCCCGCTTGGTCGTGTCCTTGCTTAACTGCGTCTAACACAATATGATCGGTTCGCCTGCTGGACGTCGATGATTGTCGCCTGCCCGCCAGGACCTTGCCCGATGGTCGATCAGTTGTCCTAAGTTGTCTTCATCGTCGTACTTGCCGTCCCTCCTGGCCGTGTTCTGCTGCCCATCTTCGCGCGGGTCCTGCGCCTGGCCCTGGTTCGTGAAAGGGTTGAAGGTTCACTGCAACAGCTGCGACACCCCCGCGGTAGCCAGGTGGACGTTCATTTACGGACGCGCTCGCGAATGTCGCGGTGGACGCCTATGTTCTCGCTCACGCCCATATTCGCATCATCTCTCCATGTTGAACATGTTCGGTATCGCATTTATGTCGTGAAACAGACCGCCGTCACGAGCGACATCCAGGAGACGGAGGAAAGAGAATGCGGAGAGTGACGTGTCATCCGAATGAACCAGGTGAAGAGCCTATATACGCCCAGAGTACGTCTCGGGCGTTGCTTAGGCAGCGCGTGATCCCATCCGTCGCGCAGTTGCTCCTCATCAGCATGGCATGCTATTCATGTTGAGATCCCGCTCGCGCCCATTAGTTGTAATGTGACGAGACGAGTGGAGTTTCTTGAGCTAAGGGGCGTGGTTGCATGAAGTATTCCAGGTGGCGTGCTGCACATTTCTAACCAAATATGTCTGCTTTTCTGGCGTTATTCTGCACCTCAATCTAAAACACGTCGCAATCAGCAGCGTCCCCCACTAGGGTACTTGGAGAGCCCCAAAGAGTGTGGCATTGGCACAACGAAACATCTCCAATGTTGGTTTAGCTTTTATATTTAAATATATATCAAAGGGGTCCAGAAGCTAAAGGGCCTATATAATTAATTATATAGCTAGGTATTTACAAAGGATGGATAAGTAAATGAATAACTAGTTACTTAGCCGAGAATGCTCTAAAAGGATACAAGGCAGCAAAATACACTAAAACCCCATCAACCAATCACATAGCACACAAACCTTTAGTCAGCTACCTCCTCACAGCTACCAGTCATTGCTTTTGGGATGGGTCACCAATCTCCTGGTATTGGGCGGGGGCAGGTGACCAGTCTCCTGGTTGCATAAAAGTTGTTTGTGATCAGTCACAAAGCGTTACTGGTCAATGGTGCACTCGGGGGTCGATAGTGACCAGTATCTATAGGTACCAAAAAAGAGGCATAACCGGTCTCAACAGGAGAGCCTAATTCCAGTCAGCTCACAGACCAGAAGACTGGCCACCATCTAGAGCCCAATACCGGTCACCTCACAAGCAAGAGGGCGCTGCATACCAGTCTTGCATCATCTTTTTTCAACCAAGGTGACTGTCACCCATCCCGCCCAATGACCAGGAGGCCAGTCATTCATCCCAAGCCTAATACCAGTCATCTCACAGTGGCCACCCCGCAAATGGCACTGCGTACCAGTCTCGCATCCTGCTCATATCAGTATGCAACAGGCATCCAATCACGCCTTTTCCAGTATCTAGCCTTACTTACCCTGGTGTAGCAGCTCATGTCAGGTTGATTTAGGCAGCAGGCAACTGCCGGCTACGGTTGGCTAAGGGGCCCGCCGCAAAGCCCTTCCTGGTACCCGGACGCAGGCTCGCTCTGAATATACTCGAGGCAGGTTTAACCGAGAAAAGCCACCTTCACTCAAGGCCACTTTACATTCACCCCTTTTCACCTTAGCCAAGTCATAATCTGGCCTGTTGTTCTTTCTAGATCCAGTGGCAACTTGATACAAGGGAAGACTATATAGGTAAAGGCCTCGGTGATCGTAGAGGCTTCCGCGTGATGAGCATCGGTGAAAGGCCTTATTTTGACCCGTGTGCTGTGGGACGAGCTGAGGCTCTACTTCCAGAAGAGGAGACGGAGAAAGAGGATCTTTAGAACTGGTCAAAGTCGTACGCAGCAGGTTTGATGTGAATTGCAATCTAAATTTGCCACGAGTGCGGTCAAGTTAGCTAGTTAGCTCACCCATTTTTAGGGCCAAATTGTTACTTCAACGTGTCCTCGCATACCGTCATTTCTTCATTGATTATTGCTTTGCTGTCACTTCAATGAATCTTCTCTGTCGGTTATGACCAATTTGTGTAGCCATAACTGTCCAAAGGCATAGATCGTGGCCAATACTAATCAAATCTGAGCCTTCCCCCCCAATTTTAATGACGGCTTCGGGAATACGGGCTTATTTATTAACTATTGTTCAAATTGCAAGTCGGCATTCGCGTGCCCAGCCGTTTACGGTCAATGAATCTCTTATAAGGCTAGTCAGATGTTGATATAGGAATAACTTTGATTCGCTAAGCCTTAGACGGCGAGCAAGTTGACCAAGTCAGTGATAGGCAAGTTATCTCCATCCATCACTAGTCTTTCAATCCCGCCAATCTTCTCGCTGCTAAAGCCACTGACTTTCATGTTGTCCCTGAACTTCTTCGTGGCTCCTGCACTCGTATTCGAATTCGCAGGAGTTCCAGGACAATCCCGCGCGACCACCTCGTCTAGCACTTCACCCGACTTCAGAAAAATGGTCACACTCGCAACAGGCGGGCTCGGATCAGTCCTGCTGTTGGACAGATACTCCTGAGTGAATCCGTCGTCCTCGACAACCTGCATCTTCTTGGCCACATTTCTCAATGCCTTGCTGGAGGCCCAAGGGCTGTCGTCTCGATAATCCTCTGTCGATGGTGGCTCGCCCTTGAGAAGCGTCACCCCCAGCACGTACTGGATCGAATGGTCGCGATCAGCATAGTTCTGCAGTACGCCAGGCTTGTCGAGAATCAGTACGATGGGCCTACAGGCCTTGAGCGTAATGCTCGTCACGTCCCGATCCGGATCCAGCCCGCGGTCGCGCAGTCGCTGTGATTGTTCCCGCATGGCCTCGATAGCGAACAGCGCATGACCCTCGCAAGGCACTAGCTTGAGAGCCACACGCTCCATAATATACGTCTGGAAAATGGAGTAAGGGAACTCCGCCGACGTGGCAAGGTGGCCGGGCTCCGGGGCTGGGAACTCGAACGTTTTGCCGCGCCAGGTGTTCTCGTAGAAACCCCATCTCGGCATGCTCAGCACGGTACGGGCCCCGGGCTGTCCGTTCCGCACAAGGAGGGCGATCTGCACGGCTCGCATGCACGCATCACCCGCGGCCCACGCCTTGCGGGGGATCGTGTTGGTACCGGCACGGAAGACCCGAAGCGGAGCGCCGTCCATGAATACATGGGATATGGCCGCGCATGTCTGGTCTTCGCTCAGCCCCAACAGCCAGGAAACCACGGCCGTTGATGCTAGCTTAACGAGGGCGGTGTGGTCAAGGCCAAGATTGTTAAAGGAGTTCTGGACGTTGAACGTCCCCTGGATCTCCGTCGCCTTGATGAGCGCCTCCAATAGCGTATGGATGGTCAAAGGCGGTGCACCCGATCCACGCGGGATATTCGACTGGGTTATCCAATCGCTCACAGCCAATATTGCGCCAAGATTGTCTGCAGATCCCAGCATGATCATTAGTATCTGAAGGTTGAGAAAAGGAGTTCATGGATTGAAATACTTACCGGAAGGGTGGCCCCAGTCAACTCCGCCAATGCAGTCACTGAAATCCAACCAGCGGATCATGGTTCCCATATCCCAAGCCCCTTTCACCGGGTCCAGCACGAAGGAGGTCCCCGGCAAGCGGAAACCATAGCTCACTTCGGTGCCTGGTATGAATGGGCCTAGAAGCGTCTTACACTCAGAGCTGGTGTTCGCAGCCAAGACGGCACATCCAATAGTGTCAAGGAGGACTTCACGAGATCGTCTCCATGCCGTAGGATTGGTTATTCTATAGTGAAAGACATAATCTTTAATGTCAATGATAAGCTGGTCCCAAGGTGGAAGACCATCTCTATCACGGGCACTGCTTGAAGCCATCTCAGCGTCGCGATACACGTCAATGAAAGTTGCTTCACTACTGCTTGATTGCGTTATCGATTGCTGTCTCCAGCAAATATGAGCACCTGAGAGTCTACTCTACTCTTGTGTCAGCACGGAGGCACCGAGTAGACGGTGATTCTCGGATATGGAAGTCATGGCCTTGCTGCTGTCTACTCCATGTAACACTCAAGGTTTGGAGCTCCCCACAATGGTTCATGGGTAGTATGCGAGATAATGAACTCTTTTTTGACTAGGAAGTGAGCCTCACCGTAGCAAGGTACATTGGATATTCGCACACCGTGACAGGGTTGCACATCCTAGTCCAACTTGACTCAAGATATTGTTCAGGACCACGTCACCTATCTCTTCTCGATTTGGAAGAAGCACCGCTTGCTAAGAAAGTCAACTCCAACTTGGAATGCATCTCATCGGCACCTCATGCCGAGACCTGGTCAATACATGCAAACTCGAGGTCGCTCCTGTATATCATTAGAAATGTTAGTCAAATTCCTGTTTAAATGTATATATCAATAGTAATACCACGAATTGATTTTATATAAATATAATTCTTTTTGATTTAATAATATTACTATCAATTTTGAAATTTTTGAAATTAGCCTATTTTGCACTTTATGTCAAATGATACGTAGAGTCGTTCCTCGAAAACAACAATTTCAAATCATATTGTATATATAATTATTTTAAGGCTTTTGAATAGTCCATCGCCCGCTACCGGCCATCATGTATACTCTTTCTTATGCATATCATCTCTTTTTCGGTGGCTGGGGTGTCCACATTTATATACACTTTTATGATATCTGAGTATCACACGTACAATTTTTGCCAAAAGCTAAGTCGAGAGGCGGATCATGGCTGATGCAGTCAATGAGTAGAAATGTCGTCCACTTTTTCTCAACTGTCTTATCGTTGTTATATACAAGTTACGTACAACATCTTGGGTCTTCTCACACATTCAGAACCCCCATGCACCCCGGGCTTTGTGCTGTGAATGAAGGACAGTAGCGATCACAATCTGTCGCCTGAGAGAAGACCCAGCCAAGGTGCGGCAATTACACCCAGCGTTTCCAGAAGCTCTAGAGTTCTAATTTTTTTTGGTGGCTGAGTAGGCATGCAGCGGTCCACGCACACCGAGACCGGCAATCAAGATGTCTATAGCATCTTCACTCCCAACCAGAAACTTGCCATCGTCCTGGTGGCCAGCGTGGCGGCTTTCATATCACCAGCCTCAGCGTATGTGTACCTACCTGCTATGGCTGCCATGGGCGAGGATCTGGGTGCCTCTCCAAATAGTATGAATTGGAGCATCACGACCTACATAGTATGTTATTCCAAATCAGCAATACTTTCAAGAAATATTGAGACTGAAACATCGGGAAGATCTTTCAAGGCATTGCCCCCTCGTTTATGAGCAGTCTCACGGAGTCCCAGGGCCGACGCCCGGTGTACATCTTGTGCCTGCTCGTATACCTGGCAGCAAACATCGGGTTGGTGCTTCAGAGGAGCTATGCGGGACTCCTGATCCTGCGATGTCTCCAGAGCACCGGCAGCAGTGCCATGGTCCTGTTAGGCACGTCCGTTATCGCGGACGTGTCGACGACGGCAGAACGGGGCAAATACTACTCCATCGGGTACACTGCCACCTTCTTGGGCCCGGCAGTGGCACCGGTCCTAGGTGGCGTGCTCACACAATATCTCGGCTGGCGATCGGTGTTCGTGTTCCTAATCATCGTCGCTGGGGCTGTACTTGTCGTGATACTGTTGTTCTACCCGGAAACCTCACGTCAGATTGTGGGCAACGGGTCCCAGACTCCCCAGCCGTGGAATGTTCCGGCATGGCAACTCGCTACCCGAGCTGTAGGGGAAAAGAAATATAGTCAACAGCAGCCCGAAGAGCCAAAAGCCGCGGTATCGAGAGGTACGAAGTTGTCTAATCCCTTGAGGTCACTACTCCTTCTCTTTGACAAGCACACGGGCTTCATCCTCTTCTACACCGGGCTCGCCTATGCAGCATTCAACTTCGTCATCTCGGGACTGCAGGCGCTACTCGTGGAAATCTACGGCCTGAACGAGCTGCAGGTCGGGCTTAGCTACATCCCGATAGGCGTGGGGGCCATGCTCTCGGCCGCGGTGCTCAGCCGCCTAGTCGACTGGAACTACCGCCGCCTCGCTGCAGAGCACGAGTTCCCTGTCACCTACACACGGCAGCTGAAGCTTGGCAGCTTCCCCATCGAGAAGGCACGGCTGCAGATCGCCTTGCCGATGGCGTGGGCAGCCAGCGCGGCGGTGCTGGCCTACGGGTGGGTCCTGCACCGAGGCGTGCACCTGGCGGGTCCTCTTGCGCTGCTGGTGGTGATAGGCTTCTCCAACACTGGGACTGTGAACGTCATGACCACCCTGGCCATGGATGTCTACCCAAGACACAAGACGACGGTCTCGAGCGTCGCCGCAGCGACGAATCTGGCCAAGTGCATGTTCGGTGCTGCTGCATCGGCGTTCGTCTTGCCTTTGATAGAGGCAGTAGGGACTGGGTGGGCGCATACGTTGATGGGGCTTGTTTGGGCCTTCGCTAGTCTTCTGCTCATCCTACCTATCTTGAAGGGACCGACGTGGAGAGTGCAGGAAGAGGGAGAAGGAGGACAGAGGGAAATAACGGTGAATGAGAAGTGAATGACAGAGTCACGTGCCACGTGGAGCATTGGCGCATAGAGCGAATTTGGCCTGTAGGTACAGATACATACTATCTTCCAATGGTGGAATTCAGGGACCCTACCTAGAGAGGATCACAGGTATCCTTGTGTCTACTTGTCGTCGCCTTTGCAGCGCTGGCAGATACAGTCGAAACCCCACGTCTTCTTCAGCAGCGCATTGCGTTCCTCCTGCAGAATGCTCATGTCCTTGCCCAAGTACGAGATGCAGATCTCCTCGCCTGCAGCAATGTCCTTCTTGGCCCTGAACACCCAGGCCCTCCCAACTCGCTCCTTGTCCGTGTTGGGGTCGCAGTTGTGGTTGAAGTAGCTCGCAGACGGCCACACCCCCCAGCCGAAGAACTCGCTTCCCTCGTCGTCCAGCGAGCGTATACCAAAGCTGTTCCGCACCTCCTGCCTCTTGATCGTGCTCAGCATCTCTGCGCTGGCGATCCGGGCTAGCTCGTCCGGGAGGACAAGCGCCAGGAAGTAGTATGATGCGATGTGTCGCTCCAGGTCCACAGTCGATCTGTACGGGTGAGCCTCCCCTTCCAGCGCCAGGATGGCCTCCCATTGCCCCGGGTCGATGTGTTGGGCCAGGGTGGCGTTGATCTGGAACGATACGACGTCTGCTGAGAACCGACCTTGTTTTATCGATGCTGCCAACAACCTCGACAGCTCCTGCTTCGAGTGACGCTGACTAGGAGCACCGCGGATCCGTTTCACGGACAGTTCGGCCATGCTCCATTTGGTCTCGACTTCTGACCTTGTCGGGGCCACGGCGGCCGCAAACTCGTCTGAGTTCGTGCCCGACTTTTTAACCTGCATCTCCAGTTCGCGCCATGCCTGCAAGCAACCCGGACTATACCGGCCTTTCCATTCCGTTTGGCAATCCTCGGAACAGAATGACAGGCCGTGATCCGGGTCACGGACAGGGAGTTTTCTGCCACGGTCGTACAGAAAACATTGCCAGCACACTTCATTGCGATATTCCCTGAAGAGAACATGTGCCGACAGATCGTTAGCGACGTGCACCTCCGTCCCATTTGCGATATCCCGTGTCGCAAAGACTCCTCTTCCAGCGCCCGGGACTTCCCTGATGCTGAAGAGATCTGACCGTGGCACTTCCGAAAGGTTGACCATGCTTCCGGGTTTGATGTCGTCAGCTCCGGCCAGATCCAGGCACGGTGTGACTCGAAGTTCTCACTAGATCTAGCTTCAACACGTGGTTTGAGGCAGGGGACAGGACTGCGCCTCGATTTTTGTCACTGATGTTATTGCATGGTGTTGTCGCGTGGGCCTGAATGTTGGGTTGGATGAACACGGGTTGACGTAGTGAGGCTTGCTTGATCGCACGGAACGACGCTGGTCTCAAAGCCCGAGACTAAAGAAAATTTTCGTCCGTTTTGGTCAAGCGGATAGTGGCGTAATTTGCCCCTTCACCGCTTCCTTATCAAACGCAGTGCTTAACTCCCAATCGAGTCATTCAGTGCCCCGTCTTATTCGCTGACACGAGAAGTGAATTGTGCGCTGTTTGCTTTTTGTATGGTGTTTGAAACTCGCCCACCAACACTCAACAGTAGGACAAGGAGCATCGAGCGAAACCTGGGTTAAGTTTCAATTGACCGACTGACGAAGCGCCTGCATTGTCAACTACAGATATATATTTTCTTTTCGTGTGAATATATTTTCTTTGTCGTTCATTATGAACGACAATGCTGAATTTTGTGATCAATTGGTGTGAGACTTTACCCCATCAATCACCTCCCTGACTCCTATCTGGCATAGTGTATGTAAATGCTGTCAGGCTGTGACCCTGGCGAGAATCAGCTGAGCCTGAACTATACCATCGGCCAACGGTAAGGAATACTCAATCAGTATCAATGCACCCACGTTGGTATCATGATTGACCTTTCAATTCAAATGAGGTGCTGAAGCGCTCAGTGATTGCCACCGTTCTACTTCAAGAGGGAGTGCTGGGAATTATAACCATGCCACTTTCAACAAAGACGTATCCTCATAACTGAGTAAACCTTTTTATTTGGTGTCGCTGCTTCTGTCTTTAAGGTGCAGGATTTCTGAAGGCCTAGTCTGCCGAGATGCTTATTTTCCAGCATTATCGCCGGTTGGTACAGTTTCAAATACCTTGACTTTTTGGAAGTTGCATCAATTCAACACTGGATTGACTCGGCCATTTTTACAGTCGCCAGGAGTTAGCCCTGGCTCGCAACAGAGGCCTGGACATCAAATGAGCCAGTCGAGCGGACCTTTTCCGGAACCAGGCAGTATGCCTCGAGGCAATGTCTCAGTCTGTGCAAATCATTGGGAGAATGCTTCTCCCTGAAGGAGACATACAATAGCTCTTTCGCAGTCTGTTTCGTGCTATCAGATAGTATCAACGTGTGTGAGGACTGGGTGTAAGTCAATGAAATCGTGTACGGGTTAATTGTAAGGAATAATTAGGCAGGAGCACTATTCAGCTAACAAGAGGAACAACAATAGTGACGAAGTAACAGTCATCCAGAGTCCGACGATCCATTTACCTTGCACAAGTGATATAAGCTGCTGACAAAACCCCAGACGAGACAGAAGTGGCATTGAACAACAGCAGCACCCGAACATGGAGAAAACGCAATGTCTTTTGTCAGTGCTACCGGAAGACAGAGAACATTCGTCGCGAAGAATTGGAAGGTTTGCCTTGCAAGACGTAGAACGTAATCCTAGGTACCTAATTATGGTGAAGCTGTGTATGTAGACTACTTATTGCTTAGATATTCAAGGGTCTCGCTCCTCCAAGAACGTATGTCTGTGCAGTAAGTAACCCCTGGCCCTTGCGGGCGGTCTTATTCGTTGTGACAGTGCGCAGCATATAGACTATCTAGACCAAACTAGTGACGGTCTCCACCCGGACTACACCAGCAACCTTAATGCAGGCGGCTAGGTCAACTTGTAGTCTACAGTTTGGGTACATTGGGTACATGCTCAGACGTACCAATGTATAAACATTTCGAACTCTTGTTGTTCAACTGGAGCTTTGACGGTATTGAAATGGACTCGAGCCACTTCGATACCCCGCTCGAACCCAGACTACAAGCACCTCAAGACATCCACCTGCTGCAGCACAGCCCGGCTCCACTTTATCTTGATGGCTGTGCTCAAAAATCCTTGACGTGTCAACAAAGCTTGAAGCTCCTGCTGGCTACATCCTTCCCGACAAACTCATCCTTGAGCACTAGAAGAAGAACTTTTCACCAGTTTCACACTTCTTTGGGCCAATCTAGATTACACATTGTCCTTGTACCTTTCAAAGCATCACATTAGCACCCTTGTCCAGCAACCATGGTCGGACTGATCCCAAACACGCTCTTCCTGGTGGTCATCACCTCGACCCTCCTAGCCGGTCTTCGACGCGGAAGCGGCTTGACCTTCCAAACAAACCAGATCCAGAACGCCACTGGCGCCAAGGCCGTCTCTATTTACCTGGCCATCGGCGAGTGGGCATACGAACGTCTTGTGGGCTTCGCGAAGGGCAGCCGCTACTTCAAGTTCGACCCCAACGTCACGGTGGATGGGGTCAAGGATCAGGTCAACGAGTTCACTCAGGGTATCAAGGCTGCCGCAGAGCATCTCACGAAGACTGAATGATAGGGAATGGACTCAGCGGCGGCTGCAAGAGGCGGCTGCATGGGGTGGCCGGACGGGTTGTGCCTTGATTCTCCCTGTTTGGTTGTAGGTGCCACCTCTACGAAGACATGGGTAAGCCAGGCGCATCGGGGGTGCCCACTCTCTGGACTACGTATTTTCCATGTGTATGGACGTGGCTTGTGGATTGAACAATCGAAGCTGTGGGTGTAGAGGAGGCGAGCTGTTGAACCTGCGTGGGGGGATGTGGAGAGAGGTACAGGTTGTAGGTGGCATTTCCGTGGCTGGTTCGGCACAACAGGAGACGAAACAGGCATGAACGTGTATGGATTTGGGATGTATCTGTAAGCTGGGGCAGTGCACCGTAAGCTTGATCTTTGGCTCTGAGAATAAGACTTTAGGTGTCACACGTGCGCTCTGCGGCCCTCTTTATGCCAGCATTGGCAAGTAACACGGACACAAGCGGCGGATGCAATCCAAGGGCGCGTCAACCTGATGGTTTACAAGTTGAAATTAGCCAGGCTAAAGTGGTAGGCTGTTAACAATCCCAACCGCATGATCGTATTCCGAACGCCGCTGCGGGAACGAGCACCGATGTAAGCCGTCAGTGCACGCGCACACCTCGTTTCGGCCGAGCGCCGAACCGGCATCGGCCTGCACGCATGATGGGCTGCTTACGGTACGACAACCGAACAGCGCCCATGATCAAGCTATATACTGACGTGCGGATGTCTTCTAAAGGACTGAATCCCGCTGATGTGACTTCTTCTCTTCCATTCTTTGATCCGGTCCATCACCTACTTCGTGTGTAATTTCTCCTCGAACCCATAGATAGGCGGTAGACGTGTGAAGGATAATACAACTACAAACATCATTGATACCTTACTGCCCCTTCAGACTTCAGGCCAACACTAAAACAACTCGAGAGTCAGTCAAGAGGATTTCAAAAAGTCTCAATATGTCTCATCCATCGGGCATAGCAGAGCTCCCAAGCGGCTATCACCTGGAGCGGGGTGTCCCTTCCATCACGGAGTATCGCAACCTCCGCAAGTCAGCCGGCCTCACTCCCGTCACCGAGGCACAAGCTGCCTGCGTGGCATCTGGCAGCTGGTATGGCTGCCACATCACTTGTCAAGACGAGAACAACGGCCAACTTCGAGCTGTAGCCATGGGTCGAATCATCGGCGACGGGGGATGGTACTTTCATATTGCAGATATGGCTACTCTGCCCGTTCACCAGAGAAAGGGGCTTGGGAGCTTTATTTTGAAGCATTTGCTGGCATATATCAAGGAGAACGGTCCCGAAGATGGGACCCCCTACATCAGTCTGTTCGCAGATCCGCCTGGGCGGAGATTGTACGAGAGCAATGGGTTTGTTGCAGGTGAACACTTCAATGAACTTGGGATGGTCAAGGCTGAACCGAAGAAACTTTGAGGATCGAAGCCCTTTGTTAGAACGCTAAATGAAGGTGCCGGATCAATCTGACCTGTATGGGTTTAGTAGCGTCGAAGTATGAAAGCTCATGGTCGAAGTGGCATTGGCAGGTCTGAGTTCCTGTGCCCCGCGAGAATCGAACGTAAGCAATGGCAAGATCTCGAGATAAACGAGATCGACGATGTATTCCCTCTTACATCCGTACGTGAAGACAAATCACCAGGAGTGCAACTGCAGGTCGTACCACCTGATAGGAATGGGTAGACGAAAAGCACTTTGGGTCAGTGGCTAAGATCGATGCTACCCAAGCATGCAAGGAAGGAAAAAGGCGATTTAGACGTTATAACCAAGAGCCATGATCTGTCACCTCAAAGTAGTCGAGAAATGTTAATCAGTGCACGAAACATTCTTGCTGTAGAGTATGAGTCGTTACCTTACCGTGTAGATACCTGGTATACAATGCTGACGAAGGAGAGCAGCCCCCTTTGTTTGGGCTTCAGACCACGGTGGATGACGATGGGAACTACGAGACAATTTCTACGAATTGAGGTTGATCTGGGAGAACGTATACATTATACGTGCCTCATGCAGCCGGTCTCATTCAATCGTTTCCGCCGCACACAATAATGAGACTGACATGAAATTTCACTTGAAATCCTTGTTGGCTCGAGTAGTAATTGACAATTATTTTTCGCTTTCTGCCGACGACGTCGCATCTTGGGATTGTGGAATCTACAACATACGCCATGTGCGACGATGAATCTAGCAATCGAATAGAGAGAACGGAAGTCTTGTTGTATTAACCTTGGTTGGGCACAAAGACAGTATAGTTCCTCCACCCACCATGTTTCCTGGCATGCTCCGTCGCCTTCTCATGCTGGTTCAGGGTGAACTCGGCCAACTCGGATCCGCTTTCAAACCCGATCCTAAGCCGACCTTGCTCGATCATCCGAATAACCTGTTCAATGGTCTTCTTGCTGCACATCCATTTCCCCTTAATCTGAATATCCTGCATCCCGACAAAGACGTAGGGCACAGGGAGGTCCGCACTTGAGCCGCCGCTGAGGACAACCCGACCCTCCCGCTTCAAGACTTGTACAGCCGCCGAAAGATAAGGCGCAGGACCTTTCAGCTCTGCGGGGGTCCAATCATTATAGACTTCGGCCCCTGCGCTATTCGGTGTCTGTTGCAGAATGGCGGCAATGTCGGCCTCGATGTCACCTGTCATAACAACGCATTTTAGCTGAGGCGGACTCCCCAGCTTGGTTTTCATCGCCTCAAGTTTTGCACCGCTTCGGCCGAGAGCGATGACATTGGCACCAATTGCCAGAGCAATTTCAACTGCGAGTCCGCCAAAGGCGCCCCCTGATGGTCCAATGACGACTGTCTCCGCGACTTTGACATCGGCTGCCTCCAAAATCGCACCAGCAGCGACCGCATAGAACGGGATGGCCGCTAGCATGCTTGTCGAATAGCCGAGCTCGACACACAAGCGTTCTTCATTGAGCGGGTAGACATTCTCTAAAGGCGACTTGTGGTACTGTTGCAGGGTACCATCTCGCCACTCGCCTTGGATCAGCTTCTTCCCAGCAACGAGCTGGCCGCCGATATGCCCAGACATGATCATCACATTTGGGTCGTCGCGCCCGCGAACTGTAGAGTCGATATAGACCAGATCACCCGGCTTTACGCGCACGGCGTCATTGCCAACGGCGTGAACTCGTCCGATGGCGTTCGGATTGGGTACACAGGGCAGCGGGAAATTTGGCAGTTTGATAGTGCCATTGTGAACGAGCTGTGCGCAGGACGGGATAGGAGATGCGAGTATCTGCGTGACGACTGAACCGGTAGTTGCTGATGGGAATGGAAGGGGCACAATTCGGAGAGGCTGTGAGAAGGACTCGATCCAGAGGCCGCGATTTGTGACGTGTTCTGAGGATGGCATTGTGGAGGCTCATTTACAAAAACTTCAAGGGTTTTTTGGATGTGGTGTTGCGATATTATACTAAGAACTATAGTGGCATTTGTGAGATCACATCCAGCGCCATCTTCTCGTTATATACAACCATGTTGTGGGTATTTTATTTGTCTTATTCAGGTCGGCCTATTGGCATACTCCGAGGTGGGTATCCGAGGCCAAAAATTGGGGCCCGTCTCGCTGTGTTGAGAGGCCATTTAACACCAGGCCCTGGTCATCCTGCGTAAATCCGGACCCTTACGGACTGGAGCGACTACCGTGGAAATACGGAATGGAGACTGAGTGGATTCATACTACGTGTAACACCAGTAAGAATTCCAGTAAGGGTTCCAGCGGACTCTGCATTGCACCGGTCCAACTCGATCAAAGCATCTTCCTGTCATAGCCTGATAGGCCACGCTTACCTGAGAGATGTCAGATGTTCCAGAATATGCAAATCAAGCTTGACTCGACCTCGTCCCTTGGGCACCAAAATTCATCCGTTATATATGTTGGAAAATACCCTCGATCTCACGGATGGGATGGAATTGCGGCATGCCTCTCCTGTCCTCGCATAGCTGCCACATACTAAACAGTGTATTTGGCGAGCTGGTAGCCCGAAGTCGGGCTTGGGCCGTTTTGTCCAGTATTGGAGACTGGCGACGATGTTAAGGCGCACGTGTTGGCGAAGTACCGACGGCGTGGTCTCACTGTCGTGCCAAGATGCTTTCAAAGACCTATGAGATTGAGGCTCTGCGGATCCGCCACGAAAGTTTCGCTTGGCCTGCATTCAATCCAACCGTAAAACATGCCAGGAGCAGGCCCGTTGCAGGAGACCGGGCCGAGGTGAGCTGTTTTTGCACGCAATGCTCGCCAGCCAGCAAAGCGGGAAGTACCAAATCGCGGCTGATCGGGAACTATGTAGAATATGATCGGGCATCGGGGCGAATGAACATGCCGAGCGAAGCAGACGCCACGGGAGATCCCTAGATATCCACTGAAGTCGGCACACAGATTACTTGACTAAGTACGTTAAAATGCTGTCACTGACCTGTGGTGACCACATGATGCCTCCCAACATTTGCATATATTCGAAATTAAGATAAATTGAGCCTATTTCAGCAGTAGCTGTGGGGCCAAGCGGGCACCATCCATTTGCTTCCGGATAGCGGGCCACCATACAAACAGCCCCGGAGTGGGCCATTTCGAAGAACTGCCATATGGGTTCTTTTCCTTGTGAGCAGACATATTGTACTACAGGGACTATGTTTCCTCTTTGCGGGCGCGATTGTGCCTTGCTAGGCAACTTATGAGGTAATTTGCGAGCTGCACACTCACCGTTTCATTTCCAGCGTATTTGTTATGCTTTAGACTTCAACAAGCGCGTCTTCGTGAGCCCAATGTCAGACTATGCACGAAGTAGGATTCGCCCGCGAGCAATCATGCTACTCTGGTGCAGATGATGCAATCCGCATCTGCTGCATTCCGGGAGGGGCTTAAGCAACTCCATTCGCAGTCTCCGACGGTTGTGAGGAGAACATGATTACAAATGCAATGTTTCATAATCAAACCTACGTGTACGATTTATGAGATAATTAGTATATATCCATGTGCACTCCTCCATCTCCCAAAGACTGTTTGCAAGCTTGACCGTCCGAGAGTCGATTTATGCCACAGGTCTCAAGAGAATTTAAATCATTGCCAATCTCCGAAATTTGACAGCAAGCGCTAACAACATCACCATGGCGTCCAAGAGTGCAGCAATCAAGCTTTATACCAACCACAGATGCCCATGTAGGTCACATTTGTGTTTCACAACTTACGTTACGCTGGAGCGCCAATCGGCCTTCGATATCGTGACATTCTGACTTAGTAATTTGTGAAACACAGGGGCTCATCGTGCCCATATCACCCTCGCCGAACTTGGGGTCCCCTTCGAGGAGGAAATCATCGACCTCGATACTCCACGCAGCCCAGAGTACCTCAAGGTGAACCCGCGTGGCCTTGTCCCCTCTCTGTCATATAACGGCGAAATCATCACCGAGTCCGCCGTCGTCGCTCAGTTTCTCGCTGATGCATATCCATCCCACCTCGTTCCGGCCTCATCCGACCCCAATGGCCCATTGACTAGGGCCCGCATCGCGTTCTTCGTCGATGCATGGTTCACAAAGGTCAATGCCTTCTGGTTCAAAACACTGTTCGCCCAGACGGCCGATGAGGCGGCCGAGAACGCCGAGGAGCTCGTCAAGGGCATCGCTAAGGAGATCGACCCGCTGCTTAAGGATGCTGCGCCTTTCTTTGGAGGGAGCAAGAAGCTGACTTTGGCTGAGGTGAGTTGGCACCCGCGGTGAGCGTTCACCGGAAAGCTTGGCTGACAGTGCCCTCGTTAATTAGGTGCTCACCGGCCCATTTGTTTTGCGACTCAAGGTCTATGCCAAGGTGAGCAAGTGATCCAGGGCGCGCGGTGCTTCAACGTTTGTTGATTTGCTAACGTGCCAAAAAAAAAAAAAGCATGCCCTCCTCCCCTCCAGTATTGTGAAAGATCTGCAGGAGAGAACGCCCAATTTTTACAAGTGGTCCGAAGCAGTAACTGCTTCGCCAAGCGTGACGGGGATTTTCAACGAGGATGAGAATGTGGCCAGGACGAAAGAGAGGCTTGCAAAGGCGAAGGCTTAATTAAATTGTGTTGATCCTTAATTTCGGGTGGTCTTGCACTTAAAATGTTACAACACCTGAGATAATGAGGTAGTGAATAACAAACATTTCAGTCTCTACCAAAGCAAGGCTGCGTAGATTAGACGAGAGCTTCATGAGCAATTATCGCCAAGCATTACTGAATTGAGCGGGGAAAGCGCAGGCAAGTGAAGGCATCATTTGGCAGGACGTGCTTGGATGGATGCGAAGATTTCACAGTCAGGTAAAGAAGACAAAGCGAGAAAGGCTAGTTTGATTTGACATTCTGCGTCTAGATGTGGGATGAAGACCACATGCATAGGAAAGCAAGTGGTATTCGCTATACAAAAGAGAATGAAACACAATACCGGAACATTTTGGACAATTTTATATGGTGGATCAGACTGGGATATAGGCAAGGCACCGGTCCTTCCTACTCTGGCTTGCCCCAAATTCTGGGGCGCTCTGGCAGAAAATCATGCATTCCATCGATCATCAGATGTTGCTGACCCGAATCTTCTAACGTTTCGTTCAATGACGGCCGTTGTGGTGCGAGTCCATGGAGTATTTCTCGTCCTTGGCCCGCCTACGCCCAAAGCTACCAGCCCCCGTCCTCCTGCGGCTTCGGTGGACGGCGCCTGTCTCATAGATCCAATAGAAGGTGGCGAGTGCCATGAGCGCAAAGGCAGCCCAGCTGAGGGCCTGGAACTTGGTGCCTAGTTCCATGTCGAGGCCGATGTCCTCGCCACCCCTCTTTTGGATTTCGTCCTTGGCCTTCTTTCCGCCAACAGTCGTCAAGAGGCTGCCGACCAGCAGGAACAACATTGCCAGAGCGGCGATGAGGAAGTTCAAAAGAGGGATTTTCCGACCTCCCGAGGGAATAATGAAAAGTGCGGCCGCTGCTGTGAGTATGGCGAGACCTGAGAATGCAACACCCAGGATATACATGATCGCAAGGGCTTCGAACAGCTTCGGGAGGTTATTCAGCTGGTCTTGCAGGTCTTCCGTAATGCCCAAGTCGGACAGACTTATGTTGAAGGGCCCGACTGAAAGCTCCTTGTCGAGCATGGCGGAGATGTTCATGTATGCTTGCAGTATTGATTAGCAATCACTCGTCAGACTACACACCTACCGCGTGTCGAGGGGCAGAAGAGCTTACAGAAATCCATGGGAGTGGTGCAGTTAGTCACGTTTTGCCAGGCATTGCTGGCAGTGGCATTCGGGGCATAGTTGCCCTCGCACATGTTCATCACATGCAGGCTGTAGAACTGCTCGATGCCCAGCTCGTCAGCTAGCTTGTCGGCAACATCATTGCCAATGTCGTCCAGGATGCTGGCGGCCTCGCTCTCGAGGGAACCGGCAATGGCCGTTGCGGACGCCTTGATGGAGCTGAACCAACCCCCTAATCCACCGCCGTCAGAAGTAGACGTGGGCGTGGGAGTCGCTGTGGCCGATGCAGAGGAAGTATTGTCGTCACCGCCGACCAGTTCGGAGATGAAGTCGTGGCCAAGAGTGGATGTGTTGAAGAGTACAATGTGGTACTCCTCCAACATGCCCGGGTCTTTGCCTGCGAGCAGGGCCACCAGAGCGAGCGCGAAGGCCGCCATGGAGAAGATGAGCGGTAAGCCGACGGAGAACTTCATCCTGACGGCGGCAATGTGGCAGGTGAGTGAATAGAGTTCTTGGCGGTTTTTACCGCGATGTAGTGATGTAGACCACCTTGGGTAGCCAAACAAACGAAACAAAACGGAAGTATGAAGACTTGACTGAGATGCCTAGCAGAAAAGCAGGACGATGACGGAGCACCTCGTGGGGTGATGGCTTCACCGAACAACGGCCTTTGAATGCTAGATATATATTCAGCAGCCCGAGTGGTGGATCACTGGATTCAGCCACAAGCGGGCTGCATTCTGCTGTTGACCATGCACACACACACACACGCACACACACAAACCGGCCTAGACACACTTGTGCTAACCTAGTCAAGAGCTCGTACAGCACCAGGGGTGTTTTCCAGTTCCAAGGATGGCGGTGGAAAGCTGGCGTCACTGAGGTGACTCTAGGGGTGCATTCCAAAGGTCGATCCGGGCAGGATGGACCAAAAAGGGCGACTTTTGCTAGGGTGAGGCCATGCGCGGCAGCGAAATGTCTTAACTGAGTGTGGTGTGGTGGTGTGTGCTGGCCCAGATATCCTAGTGCCCTTCCCTGTCGAGCGTCGATTACGTCGTCTGGTGGTTGTACAATAAGGCACTGTATCATGACGGGCGGAACAACTTGGCCTTGGTTGGCCGAGAACAAGTTTTCCTGAGCAAACAGGAGAGAGGGAGCATTCGAGAGACGCGAGCATGGTTGGCCTCATCCCATAGACGGGGATTAGAGACAGGGGGACGCACAAAACGGGGCCGTGGTAGCCAATGATGGAGCTCCAAGGGCATGCAGAAGTGCGTCATCGCCAGGTACGATGCTACTGTACCCATGTTTTGTCTGACTGTGTCGGTGACTGGCACCGACTCAGTCTAAAATATCGACCGCGTCGGGCGCAGACGGGAACGAACGTTGCAAGCAGGCTGGCGACCTGGTCCCCTGGTCTGGCCCTGGTCCAGCGTGGGAGAGTGTGTGGCTTGACCTGGCAGATCTGGCAGAGCTGCCCGACCTGCCGCCATCATGCAGATGCGCATATGCCCAGGTATGCTTGCATGTTTGTATTCAAGGGTCCAATTCAACTCCTTTCATGACCGTATTCCGCCCATCTGCCGGTGTGCCAGCTTGCTGCTTGCCTGCCTGACTGATTACTGCCGGCCACCATCAGTTTAGTTTCCTTCAGATCAGCTCAGGGTCCAAACGAACCAAGATATCGTTTTGTCACATTGTCGATCGCCACAACCTTGCCAGGCTTTTCACTGACCCTTGCCAGAACATTGGGACTGATAGAGAGGTCGGGGGACTGAGAGAAGACTGATGGAATCAATCGGAAGCCATGTTGGACAAATGACGGCTCGTTGTCTCAAATCCATGCTGCCAACACACGATTTTTAGTTGTGCACGTTGGGTGAGGCAGATAGAATGACACGATGCTATGGTAAACATTTGCTCCCACTGTAGGGCTGTTTGGCGGAGCAGGTCTCCTACCCCACAGCTTCTTCTCCCCTAACCCTCCGCCAGCGACAGGGTCACAGATTATGGCGTGGAGTGATAAGATAAGGCGATGAGATCGATAAGACCGATAAGCACCTCCAGGCCTCGGCACCACCGTTCGCCATACCCATACGCAATCGCCACCTGCCTCTGGTCAAAGCATCATCTACTGAACAGGCGCTCTCCCACAAGAAGGTCTGAACCCCCCTTTGGCCACTTCAATCCTCCTTTTTCTCACCTGTCCATCCGCAGATAACCTCGAACATAGCCAGCATGGGTGTCCAGCCCAATCAGGGCACATACGATGACCCTCCGCCTGGCTCCAGCGACCGCAAGCGCAAGCGCAGACACACTGCTGCCCCCTTCCCCACCAACGTGTCTCCTGCTGCGCTTTTACGAGATGAGGACGACGATGAAGCTTCGGATAGAGTTGTGAGAAATGCCAAGAAGCCAAAGAAGCCAAAGAAAGCCAGCATTGCTGCCCCTGCCGCTGAGAAGCGACTTCGAAGGTCAGCCCTGCCCCTCCAACGCAGTTTCACGTACTACTCGCTGCCATCTGCTCTTCTCTGCTTCTGACACCAAGATCCTCGCTCAGATTTCGTCCCTCCGCCCCATCATCGTTCCACGCAGTCTACGAGCGCGCCACTTCCCAGAGATTCTTCCTGCTCTCGAGAACTCGCTGCGGCACACCCGACTGCCCCGAAGAGCTGTTCGAGCTGACTGGATCCACGGGCAATGTCTACCGTGTCCATATTCAGAAACAGCCCACCTGCAGCTGCCCCCATGCGAGCGCCGGGAACCAGTGTAAACACATAGTCTGGGCCTTGAAGTCTGTCCTCCGGGCACCCTACGCCCTCGTCTTCCAGCTCGCTCTCCTCAGCACCGAACTCCGCGACATTTTCGCGAATGCGCCCGCGCCCGCCGACGAATCTGGCGCCGGCCCAGACAAGGACAAAAACCGCAAACCTGTAGACGGTGACTGTCCCATTTGTTTCGAGGAGATGCAAAGTGGAGATGGAAAGGAGCCACTGGTCTGGTGCAGGGCCGCATGTGGCCAGAACATCGTATGTGCCTCCGGACACACTCAACAGAACCCGGGAAATCGAATTTTGCTGACAGTAACCATCACAGCATCGACAGTGCTTCGAGATGTGGGCGGCCACTAAGAAAACGGGTAACGGTACTGGTACAAGTGGGGTACCTTGCCCATACTGCCGGTCCGCTTGGGAAACCGATAACGACATGAAACTCAAGAACATCATCACGTCCGGAGCACCCAATGCTGATGGCTACGTCAACGTTGCCGACCAACTCGGCATCAGCACCGAGAGAGACTGCAGTACATACTCGACATGGTGGACGGGACACTCAGGCTATCGTGGCCGTCGGTGAGACGGGTTGTGGACTGTCTTCTCACATTCTTTGTGTGCTACATGTGTCGTTCCTCCTGTTCGAAAGAGAGAAAAGCTGTTTTCCATTTTTCAAACATACCAGGAAAGGCGTTGCAAGGTTAGGTTGGTTCTCTGTTCCGGTTCCTTGTTTTCCTTCGCTTTTGATACCCAGTTGCTGCTTCACGGGCTCGCCGCTCTGTTGCCATTGTGCATTGTTCACCGTTTAGATCTCGCGGGAAGGTTTTTCTCCAAAATTCAATTTCATTCATTCATATATGTGTACAACTTCCTTCCATGCACCCCAACTCCGCGCCTGTCAAGGAAAGAAACAGTCTAGCTGTGTGGTCAGGTCGTCGCAGAGCCGTGTATCATCAACGTGATCACGCCAGCGTCACCACCCTGCATCTTCAAACCCCTCCCTCCGTTCACTACAAGGCAGTATCGCACCGAAAGCAGTTCAGTACGTCCGCTTCTTAAGCTTTTGGAGCTCCTTCTCCCTGGAGGCAACGTATCTGGCGAAGCTGCGCCTCGCCTCGGCCTTGGCGGCTGCCGGTGTGGCAGCTCCAGCAGTGGCGTTGCCAGCCGTCGCGGCTGCGACCATCTGGACGGGAACGACGCCGCCGAATGGGCCAGCATTGGCGTCGTTCATGCACCGCACGAGACAGACATTGTCCTGGCCGGCCACGCTGCCCGTGCAGGCCTGGTTGGCCGGGATCGCCGCGGTCAAGGCCTGGTCGGTTGTCTGGGTGTCTCGGCTACGAGAATTCTCCCCTGGCGGCATGTCTGTGACTTTAATAGTTGACCATGTCTAACATCAATACAGCCTAGTCAGCCCCTGCAGCATCACAATATGTTCGGTGTGGGGTTTTACATACCGCCGCGGTAGCGTCATTATTGATGGCACAGCTGTAAGGTCCGCCGCCGTCGCCATTCACTTGGTGGAGCGTCATCTGGACCGCACCACCCTGGGTGACCTGTGGCAACGCCTCGCCCGTCTCTCCCATGATGGCAGTCGTCCCGGCCTCGACGTCATTGTCCCCTCCGGCGAGCGTCTCGCCCACCGTATCGGCAGCGGCGCCCTTGAAGCGTGTGGCATCCTGCTGGAATGGGTTCCGGCGGGTACCGTCACGAGGAGTTGCGCTGTCAATGCCCAGCGCCATTCCTTGGCCACCTGCATCGCCGGTCGCGGCAGTGATGGCGGCGTGGCCGGCCACAAGGGGCGAGAGGAGGGAGAGGAGTACAGCGACGGTCAGAGTCTTGGACGGCATGATGTTGGCTTAACTTAGGTGTTGGACGTACTGGACGGACAGGAAAAATAGTATTAATTACAAGCAGACTTGTGGCCCGGGAAACGGAAAGGTAAGAAAAGAAAAGAACAAAAATTGCAGGTCCGGCTGCTTGCAGTGATACTGGTGCTGATGCTGATGCTGAAAGTCTGAAGATGCTCCTGATGATGGCATCAAAGTCATCATTGAAGCCAGTGCGGGAGCGCGGGTGGCTTTATAGCCGGCATGACTTGCAGCATCACGACGCCGACGTGATATGAAATGGCGGTCTCTGTGCAACCTGGCTGCGGTCTTCCATCATCACGCCGCCCAGTCAAACCACTGTGAAGGGGCCTAAATTGATCAGATCGAGTCTTCACGCTGTCCAGCGAGGTTGCGGCACACCATTCTGTCGGATGCCGGTGTTGAAGTTTAGATGCCAACGAACCAAGCCACAATATCCTCCTCTGCGCATCAATCTCTCCAGCCCCTGGGCATCTCTGGACACTCCAAGCCGGATCTCCTGCTGATCATCGACAAGGCGTCAAACATCACAATCTTGGCTTGAACCGCAGGTGATCACTCGAAGCCGAGTAGGGCTTAGCTCACTCAAATCTCAAGCCTGGAGGACTTGCTATTATCCGGCATTCTCTCTGGTTTGAAGTGATTCTTGGAGCCTTGGAGCTGTCCTGGCTTCGCCCTGTTGCTAGTTACCCGTCTGTGCACGCTGCCAATTGCCATGACACAAACGGTCCTGGGGGAATTCGAGCGCACGCCACAGGAGGGCAACACGGCTCTTAGAAGGATGGCCAAGCACCTTAGCTCCCCATAGCCAAGAGGCAGATCAAGCAGCTTTATATGCCCTCCACGACGCCGTCCGAGCGCCAGTCCTAACACTTCAGCACCGCCCCAGTGGCCCGTGATCCTGGGACTGTCCAAGAAGATTCGCGGATATATGTTTCTCTTGATCTCCCACGGAAAGATGGTGGACGAATCGCATGCCTGTGATAGTTTTCCTAGCCAAATCCGTGCCTGTTTGCCTCTGCAAGTCTGGCACAACGTTGGTCAAGGGTTAGCGGGCTTGGCTGAGACTTATGTCCTGTGGCGCCTCTACACGTCACAATGTCATCCCAAAGTCGTTCAAACTCATCCAATAATCGCCAATTTTTGGGAATGCCTCATCAATGTGTTTCGAACAAGACCCGAAAGTGACAGGTGGGACACCAGTCCGATGGCAAACCTGATAGATGTTCAATTAAAACTACTTATGTGAATACCTTCCCGTAATGAGCCCCTACCTCGGCCCTAATGATCATTGCTGAGAGGCGTGATAGAGGAGGGGAGATATAAAGCTGTAGTTTTATAATATAGTTTGTGATATAGGACCGAAGAAGCGTGAAAGCTGCCCTGGGTTTATCATCTATTTCTTGTCCATCCAAGCCCCCCCCCCCCCCAATGGTTGGGCGACGACATTTTGCGTGTTAATCTGCTATATACCTTCATACATAGAGGCGTACAGCGGCTCGCGGTCGGCGAGCAGAGTATATATACTTTGAGGATGATAGCGGCGTCGGGTACGTGGCATAATTGCCCGCTCAGTTCACGTGGCGGACAAGATCAAGTACTCAAAGGAGGAAGAAGGACATGTGCTTAATATTTGAATCATCGCCAGTCCCCGAACGCTTCTTCAACAAACTGGGTAGAGCGGATTTCCAGCTCGTGGTGCCTAATAAATCCCATACATTTCCCTGTATATGGCTATGTTTGGGGCAACATCCTCATTGAACCCGTCCCTTGGCCTTGTGCTAGCTGAAAAGCCGCGGCCAGTACTGCTCCTTTTTCCGGACCTCTACACGTTTCAATGGTGGTAGGGAGCAAAACGGCTCAATGAAATAAGATCAGAAAGATAGTTGCGCGATATGAAGAAGTCTCACCTGTGACTTGCGTAAGTCAAAACTATAAGCTATGTGTCACAAAGTTGTTGTGCTTAATGCATTTGCTCAGAAGCGGTTCTTTCACAAGGCAGACTTGTCACGAATGAGGCGCTGGAGGGATTGAACGAAATTAAAATGTCAGCATCACGCAGAATCAATAACAGTAATGGTATTCAAGCGGCACAGGACAGTCTTGAAACTTCAGATGATGTGATTGGACAACAGCCAATATATGTTTGATCAAGAGTATATACGCAGCAACACATCGCAATGTGAATGCTAAAATCGATGATTATATGGTTGAACCCACTTCGCAATGCAAATGCTCGACAGCTTCTTTTGCTCAAGCACGTCTTGCCCTTTGTGCTGTTTGTCCCCGGCCCAGAAGACGCCTATGTAGCTCCGCACTTTCCATACCTGTCCTGAAGAACCCAACCCTGAGTCTTGAACGCCTGCCCCCTTTCTTGTAAATGAGATGTTCATCAATGTTGCGTTATAGATTTTGTGCGTTCCCTCCTCTATTGCCACATGGGTCGCTGTGAGTGCCCGCCCCTGGACGACATAACCAACATTTCGAAACCCTCGACCCTATTTCTCAAAGCCGAGTTCTCCTTGGCCAAAGACCGATTCTTCCTCTCTAGGTGGGCAATGTATTCGGTGGCCTTGCTCAAGATCGTGGCCTTGTTCAGCTTATGCGCAGGCGTTACACCGCCAAGGTCGTCCTCGATGTCCAGCCCTGCCTCGGCCTTGATCTCGTCCATTATGTTTGTGGAGTTGTTGACTTCGTCGTCTGCGTGTTCCAGCCTGTGTACCATTACCCGTAGAGCTGGGACACTGTCACGCAGGGCAGCAATCTTGTCATTCAGGTTGGTACGGTATCGCTTCTCGATCATGTTGTGTGCTGTTTTCTTGGGACCAAGGGCAGGCTTGGAGGCAATGGTGGAGGGCGACTCTTCTTTGGTGGACGGTGCGGTATGACGACGCTGGGGCGGCGGTGGCGAACAGGATGATCGAGGTGATGATGGTGAAGATGCATCATCGTCTGATGAGGACTTCCTCTTGAGGTTTGCGCGAGCAGGATATCGCCTTTGTTGGCTTGCTTGTGTAGGCTCTGGGGGAGTAGGAAGGCCTGTGCTGGGTCCCTGAGTAGGGCCTGCGGAGGGCTGTCGTGAAGGCATGGGGAGGTTCATTTGTGGTGACTGGAACAGGGGCCTTGTGTCGTTGACACCTTCACTACCAAATTGCACAACGTCGTCCAGTCCCGGGTTCGAGGCATCCATGGGATTTAGGGCCGGGCTCATGACAGGGATGGACGACAGGTCTGGGCTGTCAAGGAGCTCGTTCTTGAGGAAGAAATCAGAGTCGGGAGACTGCTCAAGCTTGTCCCATGAGGTCCACTCGTCGCCGGTGGTGAAGGAGGAGGCAAAGCCGGGAAATATGGGCGAGACCGGGGATGCGGATCCCGGGGACGGCGCCGAGTCCGTGGTGAGTTCAGCAGCACTCCAATCCTCTATTGAGTTATAGAGGGGGAGGTTAAGGCTTGGCTGGGTGTTCTATGTGATGGGGCAAGATGTTAGAAGAGCTGGTCGTATTGACTTATACGGAATGCAGGACTGAAACGAGTGTGATGAGGGGGTATGATATAGCAGAGAGAGGTTGAGTTCCAACAGCAGCGGATGGGATGGGTTGACAATCCCGTGTGGGTCTGCGGGTCCGAAACAGCAATACAAAGCATGCGTCGAAGGTCCGCTGATGCCAGCAACAGCAGACCATCGAGGTATAATTCAAGCGAGGAATGGGCTTGATCAGGGAGGGGTAGAGCGAAAGAGGGCAAAGTGGACCACACTGGCCCGGGCTTGGGAGCCAGAACTGACCTGTTGTCGTTTGATGGTGGAAGGCTGGGGTTGAGGGTACGTGCCGAACAGCAAGGATTGTTGGCTGACACCTGCTAGGTCCGATATATCGAAATTATCCATTTGATTGGTCGACCCGGAGGGTATATGCCCAGGTGGTGATGCAAAACTGCTATGGATATGTACTGATTCCGTTCTGGGTGGGTGATTTCTCGCGACTTGTGCTGGCTCAAGCCACAGGATGAAGGCAGCAGGGGTGGGTGTGTCGATGTCGGATGGTTAGATTGTAGGATGTTGGGTGATCAATGTCTCTAGCAAGACAAAAGGCGTGATGTTGTTCTGGGTGGTGTTTGCTTGTGAGATGGTGATACTGAGGTACAGCGGTGGGATGATGAGGCTACAAGCCGCGGGTTGCAATAACCGTGAGCAGAAGCATCCCAATAGATATACCCGACCTGGAATCGCGGATTCTCCGTTGCATACCATCTTGCCTCGGGCTCTTTCGGCGAGAATGGGAGAAAAAACAGCCACGTCCCTTGACATGCTCGTACTGCTGTGCCCTGCACCGTTAGAGGGCAGGGGTCGCGGGCTGGATCTGCTGTGCGACATGTGGAGCTGCGAACTTTCGATTTTCGGTCCGGCATCATACGAGCGAAAATCATGGGGGGGCACTGGCCCTGTGGCCACGCGCCCCAGTAAAGGCCGAGCGCGGACTCAGCCCAAGCTGCCCAGAACCCACGGCACCATTCCCTTCCTGTGCCTCGATTTTGCATGAGATTCCTGCGTTCCCCATGCGCAAATATGACTGGAAGCTGTCGCGGTACCTGAGTACCTGTGCAACACAAGGAGCAGAGAGAGAGAGACAGCGAAGGAACTGGTTGTACGTTGACAGGCTGACACCAAGCCTGGGCGATGCCACGCTCCGGCGAGTGCTATGCCGTGTTAAGGAGTACCTCTGCTGGGAATCTGACATCTCACACTCTCGTACTGCTCTGCGTAGTCTGGCCTGTCTGGCCTGTCTGGCCGTCTGCCCTTCGCCCATACTGGCCATACTGGACCTCGGGGGCTTGTCATCTTTAGCAGGCATCAACCTCTCGCACAGATCTACTGTGGCGACTTCCGAGCCTAGAAGCGCGTGTCACTGCTTGATCGTCAGCCCAGACAGCGGCTGGCCCCGTTGAGTCGCATTGGAACGGTCGCTAAGGGCCAGACTGCAGCTGCCAGGTGGAGCAGTCCCGGCCTGGGACGGCTGCGAAAGCTCCACGCAAGGCCGGCCTGCAATCATGTCTCCGAATGAATCAGTGCTGCATCGACGATGGCGTCGCAATCCAGAAGCAATACCACAAGAACCAAGGCACAGCGACATGGTAGTCTATCAACCTGCCAGCTCGCTGCACCCTTCTGCTCGCTTGACACATCTCCCTTGCGCGACTCCATCACGAATCGAGCTGTTGATAATCGCGTCCGCGATGCCTCGATCGCACCCGAAGACTCCCGGTTTGGTCGAGAAATCAGGAGAGTCAGGAGCTGGAGCGTCCGGCAGCGAGCGACAATGGGCGCTCATGGGCCGAGACGCGACGGCGCTTGCAGCTTCACCTTGGCCTGCACCAGAGTACCTAAGTATGTGTAAGCCACCCCAGCTCGAGCCCAGATAACCCAGCACTGCCAGGACGATCAGCAGCACCGCAATCCAATCCTTCGCCGTGTCCATTTGCCAATACGTGCATTCAGACTCGCTCCCTCTGCGCAGCTTCTATGCAGATCGCAGCCGAGCTCTTTCTCTTATTCTTTCCCTCGTTTAAACCTGCCGTGCGAAGTGGCAGATGTGATATATCAATGATAGGGAGTGCCCTCCACATGGCGATCCCGGGTGAACGGAGTCAATCAGGCCAATTCCTGCATCCTTGCCCTGTCTTCACCGAGGTCCTGAGGATGGTCCAGAACCAAAGGCGCTGCAGCAAGGCACAGCACGCCCAAAAGCCATGCGAATTTATCTCCAATGATCATCCTTCCCCAGAGTCGGCGGTGGAGTCCCATCGGCGTGTAATGGACAGAAAATAAAAAGGGGCCGTTGAGGGCCAAGAACAGCTCGGTTCACCAGTCTTTCATGACACGCTACTCTGCTGCATGTGCTCTAAAAAGTGGCGTGATTTTATGGTGGGGTGAAGCTCGACAGACATATGATCAGCAAGCCTTTCAATTAAAGCTAAGTGAAAAAAAACACTTTTCCTCCAATGCCACTTGTGACGCTCCATAGGTCGTCGCGTCTCATAAGCTCGGATTCTTTTTTTCCCCTGTGTTTTTTGAACCTCTATGCGGAAATGTGTTGATTTTTTATCACGACTGGGATGCAGCGCAAATCGTTGCGGACGCCTCCGAAGCCCATGGACGCAGCAGAGTCATGCCTTAGTTGACAAGTGGGGTCCTGGCTACACGCTCATCAACAACAGTTTAATTACTTTTGGGCGAATGCAACTGATAACAGCAACGTCTCTGGTCTACTTGGTGCTTCTTGTGAGACGATCTTATACAAAGGCAGGTGTGTAGAGTTGAATTATCTGCGGATCCTTGGGCCACAGAGGTTGTGTTCGTACGGCCGACTTGAAAAAAACCAGGCATCCATCTCCCGCCGCGTTCCCGTGTTGGTCTTGCCTTTATCGTCTATAGAGCGGCCGACTACGCGTTCCCGTGAGTGACCTACGTTCAGACAACGCCAGCTGCACCATTGTGGATACTTCTTGGAGGACCGGTTGATTGTGCTTCAGGGGGAAATTCAAGATTATAAGCTGTCTGTGTAGATAAAATAAAAAGGTACAAGCTCTCAAACAAGCTGTTATTTGCAATTTGTGTACGTACAGTATAGCTTGTAAATCATTTATATCCTGTTACGACCTGAATTCTTCTCTCAAATATAGAATATACTCCAAGTGTCCGGCGTTATAACGGCGCCTCAGAGGCCCTCTATCAAAACATATTGTGGGAAATATACTGTCCATACTAATAACCCCATAGCAACACTGATCTTACAGTCCCTGCTCAAGACTGCAGCGTCTTACTTTGATTCTCCGCAGCCATACCTACCTATTCGAGTTCTCCATACCCGGCGATATTCCTTATTTTGAGTTTGACAAGACTCTGTGATTACTCCTTGTGGGAGTCAGTAGTTCCAATTTCTTTGCGGACCCCGTTCTGGGTTAGCGGAAACATGCGACATGATGATACCGTTAACCCTGCATTTTCCAACTGTATTATGATCCTTCCTGAATGTGGCCGGCGCGCAGAAATAAATTCCTGTCCCCACTATTTCTACGATTGTATGGCTCTTTTGGAGCCGATGCCTTGGCAGGACTTCAGTGGGAATGGGTGCAATGATTTGATCGGCGTCCACATGAGACAAGAGTATTGAATTCGGCGCCCTTCACTGTCAAAGTTTTGTCATCCAATATTTAAGTGAAGTAATGGGGGGGGGGGCGCTTTGCGAGTCGAGGGCACACAAAGACAATGGATGGCCACAATGCGTCGACCCTAGATCTAACGGCTTTGTGGACGCTCGGCTTTGGTCAGAGATTCCATTCTGGTAGATGTCGGACGCAAAGAAATCAAATTTCAAAAGAGTGCTTGCCACTCTCAAGGAAGCTCTTCTCCTCAGATGCCGCCACTACGCGTATTACCAAACTAGCAAGACAGTAACATATCGACCAGCTAATATCGCTAGTCTAGCGCTCCTAAGTATCGCCCCGCTGCCATCAAAACGTGCTCGACCATGTTCACGTCTCAGGTAGCCCTCTTATGCACACCTCGCCATCGAACCATAGGGCTGGTGGCCCGCCGGCACGCGGACCAAACTCTACCGGGCATTATGGGTCACGCCCACAATCTTCTCGCCACAATCTTCACCACCTACCCCATCAGCAAAGTCACCGCGGTGGTCAATCTGGCACGGCAGGACGCTCGTACTTATTTCGACACGCCGTTAGGAACCAGCGCACTGCAGGGTGCTTATACCTCAGGGGTCTTATTTTCAGCATCCTGCATATTTCATTTAAGCTGGTGGAGGCAATCACTGACAATATGAGCACCCAAGTAGACACAAATTTGAGTCACTTTTAGATGGTAATCAGCCATACGGCTTACGTGTGAGTTGCATCGCTGGGCGAAAAGACGACACGTACAATTCTGATATCAGGTGACTGAACAAAATCAGACAATATGTGAATCTAGCACTCTGTTTTCTCTCTGTGATCGCACTCCTGGTCCGTTGGCTTCTGAATTATCAGGCTTGGCCTCGGCGATGTCGACGGTTGCCGCAGCTTTGACGTTTCAGACCTAAGAAGCTCCAATTCAGATCCAGTGTCAAGCAGCTATATGAGCGGGATGTCCTTGGTGATAATGGTTTTCAGTATTTCCAGCACCGAAAACCCGATACCAAATCAAAAGTAGCACTCCAGTCTTTCCATGTACATCGAGGAAATGTGCTCTTGCTGCATGGGGCTCTAAATCGGCGAGAGAGTAAAGTTCACCGTTGCTGAGCTGCTCTCGCGTACTTGCGTCATCGATACTGGAGACTGGCTGGTTGACATGCGAATTGATTATATCTATGACAACAAACATGCCTTAGACACCACCAGAACTGCAAGAGAACTACTGGCTGTGGCCCTCACTGATCAACCGCTAGCGGTAGGCGGTGCGTTACACTGCCAAAGGCCGTGTGTGAGATCAGATCCGGTACTGCCGAGCGTCGGATGTCGGCACCTTTGTCACGTTTTGCACAAGGGGCCCGGCTATTGACGTCGACTATGTTTGCCAATTAACTTAGGGCTGTGCACACATGTGCGCTTCAGCTGTTTTGGGTAGGTGTATTGAGCTGGGAGCTCAACAGTAGAAGTGCTACACCCACACCCATGTACTACTATACTTGCCAAACGGCTTCTCCCTGTACATCGCGGCTTGAGGTAGTGTGTAGACTGAGAATCAGGAGGTGGCGATTCAGCAGAGACTGATTGGCCCTAGATCCATGCCGGAGTTGGCACCGAGAAACAGAAAAGACTGATCAGTGCCACAGCTTACAATGAAGGATCTCCAACCTAGTCACGGTATTGTCACTTCACTGTGGCGGTGTAGGGAGGAGAGTGGTAGATCATCAGTTCAGCTCAGTCGAACCATGCGGGATGACGGCAGTGGCATCCCATGATGGACGGGCCCGGCATCAGTCGTGATTAGTGCTTAGCTTTAAGGATTCTTCACAGTAAAAATGCACCTCGTATCAGCGTTTAACAAATTCGTATCAAATAATCCAAATGGTCTAGCCTTGCAATATTGACATATAGCGTTTGAAGCTTACGTTGGATTTTCCTTCTGTACCTCTATATGTGATACCGTAAGCTTAGTGGTGCTGACAAGGAACATCGCAAAGGAAGACAGGCGTAATCGGCCCGGCAGCTCTTCTCAACCTTTATATGCTACTGTAATGTGAATCAGATTTAAGAAATATAAAGTGAACCCGGGTGCCGGTCCAACTTCTAGTTTTGTACGGAATCCCTAGCAACCCACTTCTTTTCCAAACTCGGATTAAGAAACTTCTTCAAAGTCGCACGATCAACTACCAATCGTACAAGATTCGATATCGAGATATACCGTCAAGATGAAGACCTTTATCACCATTGCCTTTGTTTCTCTATCCCTCCTCCTCGCCAACAGCGGCGCAAACGCAGATTGCATCCCGGGCTACAGTTCCTCATCGATGGAAGAGTGCAACAGCCATTGTGGGACCTATGTTTGTGTTTCGAGCGGAGGCCCGTACCAGTGCGGATACTGTCAGTATGAGTAGAAAACAAGACGGAGGCAATAGATGGGAAGTGGGAGAGCGTGGGTAGAATGGAGGAAGGCAGAGGAACCAATAACAATCGCTACATCGGCACAATCTTAAACAACGTGGGCAGGGCAAAATGTTGAGACAAATTAGAGAAGCTCCCGTTATTCACCAGGACACGAAAGCACAGATATCTTAACACAGCAAGCTATGCAGCGGGGCAAATTGACTTGCCATGGATATCTAGGGCAGGGCAACTATGGCTGCATCAATTCTGATTGTTGTGAAAGTACTGATTTCTTGAAAACCTTTTCGAGAGGTTGTCACCAATTCTTGACAGGTGACTAGCTTCGCCCACCTGCTGCAATTTTGATAATGCACACAATATATGAATAGCATGATTACGAGGCGCTATAAACAACTGACTTATAGCCCAGAGCGAGTTTATACGGTCTACAAGCCAAAGTCGAGGTGCAAGCATGTCGACATCATCCATCTCAACACCATTTCCTAGAATATGAAGTATCTCCACGTCAGGAGGATCCAGGAAGCGGCCATTCTTGGCTTTCTGCACAATTTCAATTAGCGATGAAGGCTGCGGGTCCCCAACTGAGCTATTAGGTCTCAGGAGATGGCGGATTAAATGATGGGCGCGGACACCTATTTTCTTTCAGTTCCTGTCAGCTCGACAAGTGTAGCCGTTACTTGATCGAGCTCGTCGCGAGAAAAGCCATACCGCAGCAACGCAGCTTACTTGTAAAGAGCGATAGAGGCTTAGAATCCTGCCAGTTTCTCCGGAATTCCCAGCAACGGCCCATTTCATTGCACATCTGCGTTTAAGTTCTCACTTTGTGTTTTCAGGCGTCGGGTCGTGAAACATGCCGGTAATACGAGTACGACATTTTGAAATATAATTTGCCTTTGTAGAGAGCATTAAGTTCCATTGCGTGGCCTATTATAAACCCCAATGATGTCATCGCCTTCAAAAATACAGATCATTTCATGGCAGATATCATCTGAGCCCCAATCACGAAAACAATTGCCACAATTGGACATGATATCCGCATTAGCATGTTTGATCCACGTAAATCATATTGGCACAATAACCTTTGGTAATTTCTCTGTGATTGATGTCGTAGTTCAGGATTCTTGTGAGCTCAGTCCATCTCGTTCAATTTCATAATCCCATGTTCGTGGTTATTCAACCTGTGAGCGACTTACCAACACAGTCTTGGAAAGTTTTCAAAAACCCAACATAATAGAAGCACCTCCCTGCGAACACCTGACCACGAACGATCATGCTTTCGATCTATATACTGTTCATTGCCATCTCAATCCTTGCTTGGCATACTGACAGTGCGCCAGCACCCCAGGCGAGCCCTTCTGCCACTGACCCTGGCGCGCTCATAAACGCGCTCGTCACCCTGTCTGGCGTTGTCTCGGACCCGACCGGGCCGTTCGCTTCCAACGGAGTCCTCGGTACCAACGGGGCTCTGGGATCGGGCTGCCTTGCGAACAACACCGCGTCCCTGGGGCCCGATGGACCTTTCGGCGTCAATGGCCCCTTTGGGCCCAACGGTCAGTTTGGGCCCAACGGCCCTTTTGGTCCCAGCGGTTCTTTTAGTCCAAATGGACAGGTGAGTAAATCGTCACCGTCTCAGCTGTTCGTTCCCTCTGAGAGATTGTCCGGGGTTATTTGTTTGTACTTCTACGGCTCATCTTGCAACGGATATTTTTGACGGAATGAACGTCCTTCCTCTATCGCTTACAAAGGATGCATCATTTTCTGGGCGGCTGATGATTTGAATCCCATAGTTCGGACCCAACGGTCCGTTCGGACCCAGTGGCGTGTTCGGACCCAACGGTGTATTTGGCCCTGACGGCCCCTTTGGCCCGAACGGAGCGTTTGGTCCCACCGGGATGTGTACCTCCGCGCTTGCTAGTCTGACGGGCATTCGTGGGATCTGAAAGCTGAATTGGAGTCACACCTAGGTCAAATTTTGGGGTTTCAAGGGGATTGCCATCTTGCAACAGGGCTCTCGACAGGCATTGAAATAGCGCGTAGTCGTGATAGGTAGCCATAGCAGATTGAGCTTGATCGGAAGTTTGGCGCAATGTACGGAGCGACTGGTAGGAGTTACAGCTTTGCGTGTTCTCTTATGTGAAGAAGTTTACGTTTGTGGATACAAATTGAGAACCTTGTGGTCTTCTAGGTGGATTATGACATTCGCAATGCGAAAGTATTGTTGGACACGATAGCAAACAGTGCTAACAATTATCTTCCGTGACGGTGACGACTCTGTGCTTAATGCATGGTATTGAGTGTGTGATTTTTAAGCTAAGTCGCAGTTGACTCCATGCAGCCTGTTCTCTGAGTGCTTCAAAGCTGCCATCTACAGTCAATAGCGGCCTTTTATCCTGTGCTTCTGTTACAAATTCAATTGCGAAGGCCCAAAGGCTCGGCTGAATCGGATTGTTTAAGAAATACAAGTACAGTAACAGTGGAACCGGAATAGTAAATTATTTACTACGAATGGAGAGATAAGATGATCAGGGTTCGTTTATGACTATAAACATCATTGAACATCACATTACCAGCAAGGGTCAAGTGATTCTATCTATAGGCTAATACAACCCGGCAGAGCTCCGCGAGGTCACGTAATACCCTTGACCTCTCATGTCTCGTCCCATCTTATGGCTTAGTGCGTTGGCAGCTGCCAGCGGGATTCGTCCTATTACAGTCAGTTTGCGTCATCTATGGTGATGTGATCATTTTCAATGGGCTTGACATACAAAGTAGCCTTGCGCGCGCAGTAGTTGCTCCTCATCCTCATCGGTAAAGGTATTCTCTTTGACCCATTTCTTGTGCAACTCGGTATCAAAATCTGGAGGCGCCATGCCCTGCAGCCTCCAAAAGTCGCGTGGAGTCTCATAGATGTTGGACTCCCACCTGATACCCTTGGGCTTCAGGACCGGGCGGACGACATCATCGAGGGCTTTCAAGAACGCCTCGCCCTCCTCTTTGTTTCGGACGTTGGCTGCGGCATGGTAGATTGAGATGGTCGTAGACTTCTCGGCAAGCTCTCCACCGGACCAGAAGTCGTCTGGTCCGAACTCGATGAAGTGTACGTGGGTGTAGAATGCGGGCAGCCCGAAGGTCTCGTAAATTTTGGACATGCCCTTGGCTAGCTTTTGCTTATCCTCCTTGGTGAAGGCGCCATTGGTGCTTTGGAATACCCACTTAGGCATGATTGATGATGTTTATGTCTTGATTCTCGTGGTGGGATTGAAAATGATGATTGATTTGGATTGATGACTGTTTGGCCACGCAAAAACATGACCTTTTATTCCCAGGGAATGCTCCTTTTAGCGGGTCGAGACCGGAGTTCATGGCGATGATACGTAAAGTTTGCAAGTATGCCTCGGTGTTGCAGAGTTCACTAAACATCACTCTATACTTCTGGATCTGGAATTGAAGAGCAGCAGAGCTCCCGAATTGGCCTTGTCTGACGCCGTCAGACGGGCCGAACCTAGCGGTACATGTGAGTTCCGGTGGGCCAGGCATTCAGACCTCGGCTCGAAGTGGGGAATCTCTGGCTGAACCTTCTCGTTCAGTAATCCATGCTGTGTCAGTGATAAGTCACATTCAGTTTTATGCGCTTGCTCTCACAAGCTGACGCGCAATTTGGCTGCGGTCAAGCATTACTGGACCCATTAGTAGATGCATCTCGTTCATATTCGAGAGTTTGAATTCTGGAGCCTGACGTAATTATATGAAGATATACTTCGATGATCAACAAAAAATGATGCCATGGTCAATGGACGAGACTTGTCATCGCAACCGCACCCTAGATAATTCGCCGTAACTATGCCGACCTCCTAATGATTAGTGAACAAGGCTTGGGAGTGAGGAGACAGTGTGTATATGGAGAGGGGATAAGTGATGCGTGCCTCGGCCATTAAACACGTCCTCCTGAGGGGGCATCTTGTGTGTATATTCATGTCAACCGGCAATGTTCGCATGTTATTACTGCCTGTGGAAGCACCTCAGAGAACATAATACTGATATCATTAGAAAATATCTATAAAACTTTGGTCCGAGATTGTTGCCGGTGATAAAAGCTGCGGCGATCCTTTGATAACATATTTACGGCGCTGCTCATCTTGCGCTTACATCTACAGGTTCTAGTTACAAGAAAAGTCTCTCATCGGTCGATATATATCATTATTTTCAACTGATATCAACGATGTCTTCTAACTTACGCTCAGCTGTCTACGTTGCGCCGCCTATTCCAGTCAGTGACCGACCTGGAGTTTACTGGTCGCCCATCTCTTGCACCCTCGTCTACTCGAGTATCGAAGCGGTCCTGGTCGACACGCCAATAACCATCTCCCAGACAGAGGATCTCATTACATGGATTGAGGATATTGCACCAAACCGCAAGCTCCGGTACATATATATCACTCATGGGCACGGCGATCATTTTTTCGGCATCCCCCTTCTGATCAAGCGCTTCCCAGAAGCAATGCCACTGGCAACCACTGGCACTGTGGCGCACATGGAACAACAGGTGGAAGAGAATTACTTCAAGACAATGTGGGAGATTCGTTTCCCGGGCCAGATTCATCGCCCCTTTGTTCTTGCCAAGCCTATCCCGGGAGACTGGGCCGGGCGTTTTCAAATTGACGACAAATGGGATTTTGAAGTCAAGGAATGTGGCCATAGTGACACCTATTCTTCGACAGTTCTATGGGTACCTGCTCTGCGTCTTGCGGTGTGCGGAGACGTGGTATATGGCTCGGCTCACCAAATGCTTATGGAAGCAAATACTAAAGCGAAGAGGGATGAGTGGATTCGGGGCATCGAATTAGTCCGATCATTGGACCCTGCGTACGTTGTGGCAGGCCATAAAAGGGCAGAGGAGATTGATGGCGTATGGCATTTGGACTCCACAAAGAAGTATATAGAAGACTTTGGCAAAATCCTGCAGAACGAACCGACCACTGCGGATCAAGTGTTCTCTGCCATGATGGAGCTCTACCCGGACAGGCTCAATCCGGCCGCACTTAAGCTGAGCGCGATGGGAGTCTTTATGGCCCCAAAGGAGGCACGTATCTAAACCTGAGTCAGTATCATAGGCGATACGAAAACAAATACATATATCCTTCTGAATTTGACATTTTCATTTCTAAGTGATCGGATACTGGTAGACGTCACTAACATGTTTGCGAGGTGCGAGGCGGCTTACTTGCACGAACTCTCCAAGTACATCTAATATATCGAGAGCTTCTGCCGCGTAGAATTTAAAAACAATCATTCCCGCGTTTGTTCGAAGTAACATATCAAATGGTTCAGAGCCTTCGCTCGAACAAGTAGACAAGGTGCTTTAGAATTGGCTTGAGTGGATGCTGGACGGGAGGCCAGCACTATGAGGAAAGAACTCTGAGACGTGGAAGCGGGTGTTAGACGTCCGTCGGCGTTATTTCAGGGTAGCACCGACAATGGAGATAAACATGCACGTCCTTGGATGCGCCAGGCTAACCTTAAAATTGAAGGGGGCGACGCAGGGAACACTGGATCTCTTGTTCGTAACACAATTCACGCAACACCGAAAGGATTACTAAACATGGTAACAAAAACATTGTAATTTCTAATACACGACAAGTATTTATTGCAGCCATGCCGCTGCAAAAACGTCTTGTACAGCATGCTGACTTAAATTTATATCATCAACAAAAACAAAAACCACGACAATGTCAGCCATCTCACGGCAAGCCAAGGGCCTGGTCGTTGTCACCGGTGCCAATGGATTCATAGCCGGACAGGTCATCCTATCTCTTCTGTCGTCGGGTTACGCTGTCAGAGGCACGATTAGGTCTCTCGAACGCTGTCAGCATTTGCAGTCTGCCGAATCTCCCTTTCACCCGTATGTGTTGCAAGGCCTTTTCTCGTTGGCCGAGGTCCCCGACCTCACTTCACCGACCCAGGTTGCGGCTGCTTTTACAGATGCCACAGCCGTGGCACACCTCGCCCAGCCTGTCTTATTCAGTACCGATGCTGACTACGTCATCGGAACTGCTGTTCGAGGAACTCAGATTGCACTAGAAGCAGCCGCGCAGATCAAATCGGTCAAGAGCTTTGTCTTAATGAGCTCCGTCTCTGCTGTCCGCATGCTACTTTCGAACCCAGCCCCTCCGGGTCACGTTATTACCGCGGATGAATGGGATGATGCTGATTTCAAAATCAAGACTTTGCAAGCGGAGGGAAAGCCTTTGCCAGGGCCACTGGTATACGCTGCAAGCAAAGCTGCCGGCGAACGCGCCTTGTGGGAGTTTGTGAAATTGAACAAACCCGGATTTGCAACTACTGCCATCAACCCCGTCTTTGTTGCTGGGCCTTCAGCAGTGCCTCCACGGACAGCCGCCGACATCTCTGGTACAACCAAGTTTATCTTCGATCTGCTGGCAGGCAAGGACTTGCCGCCGCCCGAAAGGCTCGTCGGCTACGGCGCATATGTAGACGTGCGAGACGTTGCTCGTCTGGTGTCGTTTGCAATTGGGCACTCCGAAGTGGCAGATGGTCATAGATTCCTGGCTGTAAGCAGCTGGGTCCACCCTCAAGGCGTGGTCGATGTCTTGCGAAAAGCGTACCCCGATAGACATCATATCATCCAGGAGGGCACACCAGGTGAAGGATATATGAACGGATTTGGATTCCCCCACAGCGCTCCAAAATTCGACACTGAGACAGCTGTTAAAGCGAGTGGGGAGGGATGGATTCCTTTCGAGGATACAATCCTAGCTGCAGCGCAGGCTTACAAAAATCTACTCTGATGGTGATCTTATTTCTTGTTTGGGCAGTACAAGATGCGCCAACTCGCACATAGTTACGCTGTGATTGGTCGTTGTTTAAATAAGAAATTACAAAAAGCTTGAAACGCATTGAACAAGGACTTACCTTCTTGCCTGCTACCTCTGCAATAGCCCGAGCATCTTTTCACTGAAAGCCCAATTGACAGAAGTCTTCTTGATTTACTTCAAATATCTGTTCATAATGGTCGACTTCAGGATCCCCGGAGTAACATGTGGAGATTGAAAGGCAAGTGATTCAATTGTGATGGGCCTATGTTGAGCACCTTTTGCAACAAACTCATACAGCCCCTCGATGGTTTCAAAATACAATGTGAGCGAGTCGGCACACCTGCAACCTACGGTCGTATTCTAAATACTATTTTGTTAGAAATGACGCTTCTATATCTGCAGCTTTTTCATATCTGAAGCTTTCGTAATAAAACTGCTGTATCAAACAAGTCAACTAATTCTTCTTTAAGGGTGACAATAGGACAGGGTAAAAAAGTCCTGCCAAAATGTAGCAAACTGATCCGGGATAACATGAAGTATAAGAGGCATTTAAAATCGATCAAGCTATCCTTGCAATCTTCCACCAGGACAGCCAGAGCCGTCTCCTCTTCACTGCTGCCTGTGCCCGACTGTGACCTCCATTTCCTGCTGTCCCTTAGCGTGATCGTCACACTGAAAGCGGCAACAAGCACAGGAAATTTTACCAACGCGGGATTGTTCTTCCATTTCGATTCCTTCCGGCTCACTACTATGCGATGCTCGTCGTTAACCGGGATCATATTAAAATGCAACACTATCAAAGCATAAAACTCCATAATCTGTGTTAAAGTCAGTTGCTCTCCGGATTCTGAGTGTTGGTAGGGCTTCGTTGTGCGTACGCACGTAATCGCTAGCGATTGGTTTGGTGATGTGGTTGGTTCTTGTCTATGGTGTTTCTGACTACGCGTGGGCGGGCTGCGCAGAAGGTCTATTTGGGCCACGCAGCCGCCGGGCCGCCGCCAGCTGGCAACCAGCTGGCGTGCCAATCTATCTACCTACGTACCAAAGCGCGAAATGCTGTCTGATTCAACTTCTTAAAGCCTCAATTTGCCCTCCTATCGACTAAATCACGTCACAGTAGCGCTTTAGCAACAGACAGCCCCAGCAGTGCATTGATCACTGGAAATAAATCTGGGCATTTGTCAACTGCCTCTTAGTGTGGAATACTGTTTCGAACACCTTTAAGTTCTGATATTCTACCAGTTTGTATATAAGCGAAGCGACTTTTTGTTCGTTAAAACAAAACCGGACAGCGGATCTCTGTCTTGAAACAACTCTAGATCTAAAATACAACACTGTATCGAGCAATGTTTGGAAAAAAGAACAATCCATTCTTCAGCTGATGGCAGGTACATACTGCCACCAAGCACGGAAAGATATCATATCTTCCACTATTATATAGATCCGAAAAACACTGTATAACGCAAGGACGGGCACAAAGAGGAACACCATCCAAAGGGCATATCCAGGTTCGGGTCTCTCTCCTGAACGTTGTTTCTCAGCTTGAGCCCAATACTGCGCAGCCTGTACAGGAGGCGATCTCGCGAACTCGCACCCTTTCCCGGAGAATCCGATTCCTGGTGGGTGTGCCGTAAGGCTTGTATTCCTCTCTGCATAGCTTGTAACTGCTCTTCGCTGTACATGATTTCGATGACAGGGATTCCGACAACGGCAATAACAACTAGTCTGCAAGATGAGATTCTCCATAGCAATCCATCTATGGAAGTGGGGAAGTGGAAATCCCATGGGATGAAATTTGTACCCATGAATGCGAATGTGGCCAGGACGCCGACAACCATTGGGAACCCCACCCCGTCAAGGGGAGAACGTCGTTGTCTGATTGTCTCCCAGAGATGGCTCGTTCCCGTTCAGAGGGCGAACACTCTTTAAAATGTTCATCAGTTAGTGGTAGATCAGGTAAAAAGACCACACCTTGCGGCTGGTGAAGTCGAGCGGTGTTCGGAAATAGGGACGACTGCGGGATTCCTCGTCTTCCTCCAACAGCAACAGCTCATCGAGCGTCATTTCTAACTCGATTATGATCGACAGTTCCACATTGGATGGCTTATCCTTCCAGACATAGTAGACCAATACGCTGTCGACGATCAGTCCGATGGTGGTGACCTTCAGCGTGGTCACCGCAAGTCGCTGCGTCCCCCGAGCTGTGATATTGATACAGAACCACAGCGCCTGACCGACGGCAAGAATGCGGACAAAGGTGTCGGACTTGTTGAGTACCTTTATTGTCCTTGAGTCTAAGAGACACCATTGTTCAAATGGAACGGCTGAGATCGCCCGGCACTCGAGCATCCATTTGATGCATTTGGTATCGGGGAAAAATCTGACATTGTCTCGTGTTCGGAGGGTGAAGACGCCCATATCCGCAAAGAACCCATGCCTCATGGTCCACCTTTCATCTTGACGGAGTTGCTTAAAATACTTTATGGACGACCGGGCCGACTGCCATTCGCCGAGTGCGTACCCGAGCAGATATTCAGGTCCCATCAAGGAAACGAAGACTATCCAGTTTTGCGCTTGAAGTAGGTCCAGATCATATCATTGGGGTTGGATACATTCAAGCAAATGGCATACCGTGTAGAGAGGAGGATGGTCGCAAGGCACGACCAGATGATGTCGAGCGTGCCTCGACCCTCTGGCGAGGACATCCATCCCTGTAGTGTGTCGTCTGTGTTGTTGAATGACATTCGGTCGATATAGCACAAGTCAAAGACATGTCATAGATCGAAGCATGGAAGTGTGATGTATTTAAGGATTTTCGTGTCGGGACCGGAGCTTCCAAGATCTTGGTTTCCAGCCCCCAAGCTAAGGATTGATGAGAGGCTGCATATGTGGAACCTAAGCGGTAATTATAGCAGCTATTAAATGTAGATTCGTGACTTTCAATTGGGTGCTTCAGATAAACATAAGCCAAATGTCTTGCCATATGCCCCAATAAATCCAACCATCCCATGATTCCGCACAGTAAGATTGTTCGCACCCAAGCATATAGCTACCATGTTTAATTGCATATAACCCATCCTTGCCCTGTCCCCTTATCAGCCGCTTTTGTAAACCAATGGTGCCCGTAATTCCCCGCCTTTCTGAAAAACAACCCGCGCGGGAACGACCGATTCGGGCGCGTCTAACAACCGAGAATCCAGCGTGGAAGAGGAAACGCAGGGCGATAAAGTCAGCAATTTGTTGTCGCACGGGGTTCCGATTTGGTTTCCCCTTCTGTTATCTTATGAAGCTGCCCTCCCCCTCTTTTTGTCCGTTCCCAAATGGCTCTTCTGGAAGATTTGTTTAAGAAGCTGTTCGAGAATTCTTGTGTGGCCTCTCTAATACGATTCGACGTTGATTTGCGTTTATAAAACTATGGCAGCCGGCAGAATCCTGGTTCTTGGAGCAACCGGCCCGGCTGGTATATGTCTGCTCCGGGAGCTGCTGCACCGAGATCAACCAACCACCGCCTACGTACGGAATCCCTCGAAGATACCCACAGAACTCGCCTCGAGTCCTCTTCTCAAAGTATGTTCTGCTTTAATACGCAGAATCTTATATGAATGTATATCATTATCCAGGAAATATAGGGTTGACCTCATGAAACAGATCATAAAAGGTGAAATCACCAATGCCGCCACTCTGTGCTCAGCCATGTCTACATGCAAAGCTGTTCTCTCTCTACTCGGCCCTCAAATCACTGACGGCAGGAACCTGGCCTTTGACCCAACTTCGTTCTCGACAGCTTATGCGGAAGTTATCTTCCCCGCCATGCGCAAGAACAGCATCCGCCGTATCTTGGCCATGGGCACGTTGACTATTGTCCAGCCCGACGACAAGTGGTCTGCTTTCCATCTCATAGTGCGCTTATTCATGAAACTGTTCTCTGGGCGCGTCAACGAGGCCATGCAATTAATCAAGGCCACGTTTGAGGGGACCACTTCTACTAGCAAGGATATCGACTGGACCGTGTTCCGCATTGCGCAGATCCCAGGGGAGGCGGACGAAGCGAGCTGGAAGCGCGACAGGGAGGAATGGCCCGTCTTCTCGGGCTCAATTGCTGAAAAGGGCTGGACGACCTCTATCAAGCGAGCGGCGCTGACGAGGTGGATTGTTGAGATGACGCTGGATGAGAAGGCTGGTGGTGTATGGATCGGCAAGATGCCGGCGGTCAGCAAGGCGGCTTAATCTTGGGTGTCAGATACACAGAGTGGAGGCTCCACGTTAGTTATTGATATTATCAGCCCTGAATTTTGGATTCTTATCGTCTGATCAAGAACGTTCCAAAAAATTAAAATATTGATCATTGTAGATTAAACATGTATAATTACGTTGTAACTTAAAACCTTGTAACGAATCATACCTTGATTATGACCCTTGTCATATTAACTGTCCTCCATCTGAAATACTTAGCTCCGTCTCGGTTCCTTTCATAAATGTTTGTCACTTTCATGTAAGGCTCGAGCCTGTAAAGCCTAGGAGGACCTGTGAGACACGACAAATTGGAACAGTGATTCTGTACTAATCAAATCGATAGCAAGGAGGCTGGAATATCGAAATCCAATCTATGGTACTTTTAAGAAAGGAGCGTGGATTGAAGGCATTCGAGAAGGACCAGCGAGGCCGAACGATCGGCCGGAAGAGAAGACGAATGAGCCGATCCCGCTGACGAAGCGCAGCTCCCATCAGCACCGGCTGCTGCCGCAGATCCATCTGTAGCAGTGGGGCCTGTTTCTTCATTGGCAGCGGCAGTGGACCCTGGGAGTCTTGCCCAGGCAAGGTCGAGGATCTTGATCATGCGCGGCATGGAACCCAACTCTGCTAGTTTACCCATCCTCTCATGTAGGATGCTGCGCAGCACAGACCGGTTGGTCTCGCTCCGAGTTAGACAGCCGACGATGCAAATCGGCCAGGCTTGTAGCCGCAGCATAGGCATAGTTATAGGAAATGATGATGGCAATGTATATGAAGACATTGGTGATATTGGGGACGTTCGTACAGTCGTCATCTCCACCAGTAGGTCTGTAGAGTGCTGTATCGGCTCAAGAACCATAGCTTCATGTACGCCTTGATCAGTGGGGAGCATGACAGTACCAAGATATGCAAGTGCCGCCCAAGCCCAGAGACGAGTGATCTTAGCTGAAGCGAGGGCTGTTTCGCGATGAGGGCGTCCCAGATAAAACCAGTGTTGACTCTTCTCTGCCGTCTCCTCGTCCTGCTGTCGTTGGTACTGGATTTTCTCCTGATTATCTAAATGTACCAGACCGCGCCGGAGGCGGCTTTGGAGGATTTGGCCGCGTCGATCAAGTTCTCGCCGCGTTGCTGGGAATGTTGTTGTTGCAACTGGTGCTGCTGCTCCTGGACTATTGGTGTCATTGACACTGCGCTGTGAGGCAGATGATGATGCTGACTTCAACGCACTGAGCGTTGCGATCTCGCCTACAATGCACATGACCCAATTTTGACAACCGTTGATCTCGGTTAGGTCGAGCGAATAATCAGTATCGAGTTCCGCCTGGCTACGCTGATCCCAGGGATAAAGAGAACCACCCGAGGATGATGATAACAAAGATCCATAATGTACCAACAATCTCGGCGGGCGTGCCAACGAAGTACTGGCCACGATGTCATAGACAACAAGACAACCAGTGTGGAAACGGAGTGCAACCTGACCGGAGTTCCACCTAGGAAAGTGATCCGGAGCGGACCCTGACGATGCAGTTAAAGCAACACCTTCTAGTATAGCACCCCACTTAGATACTTGATAAGGGTCCGGTTCCTGAAGCATCTTGCCGAACCACACGAGGGCAGCCTCAAGATGCATCTGCCAACCATGATCCCCGTGAACAGCAGCGAGGTTCTCGAAAATCAGTACCTGTACCATGCTATTAAGCAAAGAGACATTCTGTAACAAGTCTTGTACCATAGAGCTAGTTCCCAACTCTTGTAGACGACCACGAAGCTTAGATATGGCAAGGGCTGTTCGCCGTCTCACTTCATTCTCCGCATGCCGGGCACATGTCTGGGGAATTGGAACCAGCGGGTTAGCGTCCGTGCCGGTGTCCGCGCCAGGCTGGGCCGGCACAATTGAGAACACAAGGGAAGCGATACCCTGCGCAACCTGACGAGCCACGTCAGACAGACTGATGACCGATAACAACCAACCCCGGCCGCCATCAAGAATGGAGGGTTGGTAGAAGGGAAATATGAGCGGAAAGACGAGATCGAGATAGCCCATGATGAGGCCAAATTCTTGCTCGTGCTCTGCAGTCAACGGTAGCACCGGGATTTGTGTGGACGCTGCAGCACTCGGAACAGTCGAAACAGCCCGAGTGGTCACAGTCACATCTGATGACGGTTTCGAGTTTTTTGACTTATGTCCGCGTCCGGGGAGACGTTCGGGGCTGGGACCAGGATCATCATTAGGAGGGTCGGCGTCTTGCAGTGTGCCTTGGCCGCGAGTGACGGCCCTCTGGCGGCGCCGTTGGTGGGCTTTTTCCTTGACAAGCGTCTTAAGTTGCTGAGCCTTGGCATACTGCTGATCTCCGTCGTCCATCCAAGCTGGTTTGATGATACTGTACTCGCAGGGGATGCCGAGGGTTACGCACACACGACAGGCGGGCTGGACCTCGTCGCACCGCTTACGCCGGAGCTTACATGTCCAACAGCTTGACGATCGCTTTCTCGGCATGGCTCTTGTTCTGAACTAGGTTCCATAAGTCGCTTGCTGTGGAAATGCGGGCGCAGAAGGAATGTGATAGAGTGTGAAGGAGGAGAGGAAGACGGGCAAAGGCAGAGGGAGCGCCATTCTTGTTTGCCGCGCGGAAACACAATTGGGGAAGTACAGCGCGCTACTGCTCAAGAGGACACCGCGATTGGCCTTAGCTCTGCCAAGAACTGCCATCAGGGACCCGCTTACACTCAATTCTCCGCGCGCAATCAAGTCCGCGCGCGCAACAAAGTCGCTGCATGTAATTTGCTGTTTCGCTATCACGGTTAGCCCCGTTCGGAAGACACAGACCCTGCAAGAACTGACGACAGGCGTATTCACGAAGTGAGATGAGGCGATGCAGACAGAGACACGCGCCTCATTGCTGTGGTCACGCTATGAGCTGTCTCGAGTACTCTACGTATTTTTGCCCCTCCTAGCAAACGTTTCTTTCTCCTCGTTTCCCCTGTATGACACTACTACCGGACGACAATGTTCTGCCCACTGTACTAAGGTATCTAGCCGGCACCATCATCTCTAACCTTCGGGTTCGTTTGACGGAGACGGTTAACGGCATCCGGGCCGAAGCCAAAAAACGTCAAAAGTAACTTCGCAGCTCTAGTAGTCAGCAAAAACCACAGTTATACAAGATGTCTGGTAATATCTTCTCCAAAAATCGAGTAGACAGTCGCAGGACTGGGAAGCTCGTAAGCTGAACAACCCAGTTATAAGACCAATAATTAAGAGCATATAAATACGTTGCTGACTAAAAGTATGGCTCTGTTTAATGCCATAATAATATTTACGTGCTCTTCAAAGAAATATCCTTAACGCTCAAAGTCCCAACAAGCAACCTGAGGACCTCGTTTGTATCCCCCAGCTCTCTCTCAGCGTCCGCGATCCTAGCATTCAGCTCATCCTCCAAGCCGTTTAACATATCTAACGTCTCTTGCATGACGTTGGATTTGTTCAGGAGATTGCAAATATAGTCTTTGGTCTCCTTCGACATGGCCGTCGACCCGCCGGTAGAAGAAGCTGCTCGCACCGTGGCCTGGTGGCGGAACATGCCCATGACCTGGTCCTTGTACTCAGGTCTGCGGTGCAGCAGACGCATCACGGGGTACGAGATTTTGCCCTCGTCCAAGTCCTCGCAGGGTCCCTTCTGGTCGGCATAATCGCACGAGTGCAGGTTCATAAAGTCGTCGCGGATCTGGAAGAAGCGCCCAAAAGGCGCCGCCAGCCGCTGCAGCACTTGCAGCGCAGGGCCTGTCGCTGACTCCTGCCCTCCAACGGCCGGACTGTGTAGTAGCATCAGCCGCATCAGCAGCCAGAACATGACCCCCGTCTTCTGGTCCACCATTTCCAGAAACTCGGTCTCGCTCGGCACCTGCACGTGGAATTTCCAGTATAGGTCCCAGCTCTGGCCAATGAAGATGCGCGTCAACTCCTCTAGAAGGACGTCTGCCGACGAAGGGTGGGGCAGTTTCCTCGCCAGCCGCACAGCATGCACGAACATGTAGTTGGCCGTATTGATGGACTGACCGCACCCGAAGACGACATGCGTAGCGGGCAGACCACGGCGAAGTTGCGAATTGTCTTCAATGTCGTCCAGGATGAGCGAAGAGTTGTGCAGGATGTTAATGATTTCAGAGATCGACTCCATGATGCAGTTGTCGACTTTTGTCCATTGATTGACTGCGCCTGTGAAGGACGAGCGAAGGCCTTTGGAAGGCATCGCCATGATGTATTTGGAAGGGCTGTGCAGCGGCAAAAGTGGCTCAATAATATCGCTTGATACCGTTGGCTTCAAGCGCGGTTCATCCGAGGTGACTGACGTGGCAGACGAGTTTGTTGGGGAGACCGATCGCGTCTCAGGCATGTTGGTTGAAGAAGCAGATGTAAAGCTATCACCATCATCCTCTTGGTCACCATTATGAGCCTTGCTTGATGTTGATGTGTTGACAATAGGATGGTCTTCGCGCTGCTTTGCCTTGTCGAGAATGAATTTCTTTTCCCGAAACAAAGCACCGTGTTCGGTTTGGAAGAACTTTTTTTCTGATCCCGGGTACCAAGGCCCAACGAAGTTCCGCGGACAAGTGGCGGCCCACAGAGAATTGCCAGCGGTTATCGAGCCGATGACCTTGATGTACCTCCGAAGGTCCAAGCGACAATTGGGGTGCGCGTTGTAAAAGGCCTCGCACACCTTCAGATACTTGGCCTCTTCCTCATGTATTATATTCACGAGGAGCTTTCTTCCCTCCTCGATACTTATGTCTTTCGTGCGCATAAACAGGTAAATGGCATTCCACAGATTCCTGTTGTCCCTCTTGAGCTTCGCATCGTACCACTCGCGCTCCCAGCTGTAGTAGTCATTGCTTAGAAGAAGAGCCCGCGTCGCAGCCTCGTAGATTGGCGCGATATCGGTCTCTTCCTCCTTAGTGATGTCGATGCCCATGCCGAACTGCACGAGCTGCCAGAAGGCGCCCATGCCGCCGTTCAGCCCGCGCTGCAGGTAGTACTCCTCGAGAGTCTCGACCGTGTCCATAGTGTCGCGCTCGCGCTCGCTCCCGTCCAGCCACTCGGCCCGGTATCTGTCGAGCATGCGGATAGCGCGCGGACGGTCGATCTTCATGGCGTCGAGCAGACAGCGCGACATATACTTGGTCATCTGCATGGATCTGGTCGATGATGCCTTGAAATGAGCCGACGTTACGGAATTGTGTACGTCTAGTGCATTGCTGAGATCCTCGTGCTCTTTCACGGCATCATCATACTCCAACTCTTCGCAAACATCTGCGTTCGAGTCAAGTCAGTCTCTAAATTGACCAAATAAGTATTTACTGGGTTTATGCTAACCGTCATGGATGCAGCCCATATCGGCAAGATATGCGACAATCGCCAGCCGCTCTGGCGACGATTCAGGGAATATAAAACTTGACCAGTTACCCACGCCAGGACTGAAGCCCGACCGGTAGCCATATTTCTGAGCGAAGCCGTCCCCCAGATATGTATCCCAATCTCTCACGACGCGCTCATTGGCTTCATCTGCAATAACATTATGGGCGGATAAGCGAATCGGGAGGGTGGTGATGCAGCCCTTGGATCGCGCGAAGTCTGCATCCACGGGAAGAGAGTATTGCCAGATTTCAGCCTCCATGACTTAAACTCAGGAAGTATCTGGAAAATTCATACACCACCGAAACTTCAGTCAAAATAAAACGATCCTCCGAAAAATTGGATAGATAACAAGTGAATACACTGAACTTGTCCAAGGACCACTACACGTAATTATATAGAATTTCACTTTGTAATAGCTGTTTTCTAAATATTCAAAGGAAATGACAGTGCGAGATGATGAGTTGTATTGTTGTATGAAAATTGGCAATATTAAAGGGTATACGTGCATGTTTCTTTCTAAGTGTGTGTCCTCTCGATTATCTTCATAACATGCTTTTTACAGTTAGGTTCCGTCAATTGTTTTCTATTGCATAAATATACTTAGGCCGTTTCTTCGCGCTCGCTCTCGGACACTTTATTCTGACGTAGTTCCACCCAAGAAAAGACGGGGTAAATCATGTCGCCGTGCCTCATTACTTCCGCGTAAACGAGTCGTAACAGACTTACTCGGAGGATTGCCCACTCATTTACTCGGCGCCATAAACCCCTACTGTGATCCGCCAGTGTCTGCGAAGAGGATCATATTGGGATCGTAGTACAACGCATAATCGGCCGACTCATTGGATGACGTTTTATGGGCTCCACTCAATCGTCGGTCCTGACCGCTTTTACAGCCGGAAACATGACCAACGGTTGATATGTGATGGAGTGGGGTGTCCCAGTTATTATTGAATTTACTTATAAACTTCTCGCTACGAGTGAAAGAACCTATGGCAGAAATTTTAAGAAAAACAGGGTTGCAGTAAAGAGAGTGATGAAGTTAGTCTCAAAAGCAATAACACGCACAAAGTCAGGGGACTCACAGCCCAATACGGCCATACATACTATTTACAGACGTACGAATTAAAGACCGAAGCCCGCGGCTCACATTACCAGGTAATTGAATCGTGGTAAACTTTTGAAGAGTCAGCAGCCTGGTTTTTGTTGATTCTCTGACTTCGCCAAGGTTGCTGAGGTGGTACGATATACTCGATCCACAGACCAGGTGGATCAATAACTCGGCTAGATTTCTTAACCGTCTCCGCGAAAACGGGTGCAAGAAAAGGAAAATAATACTGTGAGAGTGGTGAGTCTCATTAGGAGTCTGCAGCGAATTAATGAAGGCACAGCAATGTCTGGGTTTCCTAACCCGACGACGGAAAACATCAGGACGGCAGCGAACCTTGAAAACACCAGGGAAATCCAACTATCAATATATCCGGGAGCTGTAGAACAATCATGATAATTGAAGTATTCAGCGACATGGTTACAGTTTGGATCTACAAGTGGCCGATGGGTCTTGCTTTGTTGATACTTTCTGCGGCCTTGTTCACGTACATGATCACCATTCATTCTTCATGGAAACTGTTCACCAAGGATCAAGATGGCAGAGAGCCCCCGACTGTGCCGTACTGCATTCCATATTTGGGCAGTTTTCTCGGGTTTGTGAGTAACATGGATGGGTTTATCGAAAACGCTAGGTATGCGGACACTCTTTTATGTGCTTTCTCGAATCGCATCTGCTGCACATTGCTCTAATTGGCACGCGTGACTAACACGGCATCAATCAGCCGCCACTTTGGCAGAAATGTTCCCTTCGCAGTTAAATTAGGACCATTCAAGGCGTTTGTGGTGCAGAAGCCTGAGTACCTGTCTCAAATACTCAATGCTGGCCGAACCCTTACCAACAAGCCCTACATCGCACCTGCGATGAGTCAACTATTCGGAACACCGAAAAGCATGATTTGTAAGTCTTAAGCCGTCGATAGAAAAAAAGACTGTGACATCAACTCCGCGTAATCGAATATAGAGGGAGATAAAGAAGAGGAAGACCGTACGGCCTGCGATCTTGTACTGACGGGCACTATGCAGCGTTCTATCGCGACGACAACAGTGGCGTGGGAGGGACACCACTTCCTGGGACCGACCGACCAGCTCACCAGCGCGTCTGGGCGCACCACCATCATTCAGCATCAGTGTATCTCAGCGGTGATAGTCTGCGATTCTTGGGAGATCGATTCATCAGCGTGCTTAGTGAGGCACTCTCCACGGGCGTGCCGAGCGACCCCGTCGACTCAGGCAAGTGGGTGGAACTACCCGATTTTTACCTTTGGTGGAGGTAAGTGCACCTTGACAATAGAACAAGGACGGAATGCAGGGGGATGATAGCACGAAAATGAGCTTAAAACCATTTTTCTGCAGAAAGCGCGTTTTTCGAGCTTCAGTGGAGGCCATGTTCGGGCCACACCTCCTTCGCATCTATTCGCGCCTGGAAGAGGACTTCTGGATATACCACACTGGGATCCCTAAGATGCTCAAATTCTACCCCAGGTTCCTCTGGCCAGAGCCTTATGAAGCCCGTGATAGGATCCTGGACGGCCTCGAGCGATGGCACGATTTTGCCCGAGAGCACTCCAATCCTCATCTCGCCACCGACGACGAGCGGCCAGATGACGAGTACTGGGGCTCCGCATGGATCCGCTACCGCTATCGCTGGGGCCAGAATACAAAGATTCTCGACAGGCGGGCCCTTGCCGCCGAGGACTTGACCATGTTGACCGCAGCAAATGCAAACGCCATCCCCATGGCCTTTTGGTACTTGGCACACATACACAGCGATCTAGAGCTTCGGGAACGCGTGTTGAATGAGCTACATCCAACCCCGATCATCAACAAAGGGCCGATCAACTTCGAGCTGGCCAGGATACTGAACGCACCACTGATACAGTCCGTATTCGCCGAGGTCCTACGCCTATACGCATCGTTCCTGCTCACGCGGATGGCGGACGGCCCGGACCCACAGGACACATACCTAGGCCCATGGAAGATCGATCGTCGTGGGATTCTGGCTCTGTCAACGGCGTCTGCGGCGCGTAACACCGAGGCATGGGGCGAGGAGAGGACCAGGGAGCCGCTCAACAGCTTCTGGGCTGAGCGCTTCCTTACTCGCGGCAAATTCTCCTTGGAAAGGCTGTCCGGTGCCTGGATACCTTTTGCCGCTGGTACCCTCATGTGTCCTGGCCGTCACTTGGCCAAGCAGGAGATCATTGGCAGTGCCGCTGTGTTTGCAGCCTACTTTGAATTGGAGATGCTTGACCCAGTGCCGCCAATGGATAGCTACCACTACTATGGGATGGGAACACAACCGCCTGCCAAGCCTTGTAGAGTGCGTATTAGACGCAAGGTTGGCGCGAAGATGAGTTAGATACGGTGCCGTTTGCAATTATTCTTAGCAATTTCAAACGCAGAGTTTCGTTCTACAAAGACTTAGTACATACGCGCAACTTAGCATTGCTGTGTGGTCCTCTGGATGTTCATGTTAATCACAGTATGCAGCGAAGACAATGGATTGGAAATTAAACCTCTTCAAGATAGCCCTGAGCACCGTTTGTACCTCACACGTTACACTCTAAATAATGAGCATCTTATGGAGTTGAGTTTGGTTTGAGACCCCGAGCCTGAAAGGATATTTTCCTGGTGGACATACTGTGTTTATGTTTATGTGTTGTCGGATACTACTTTCGCTTTCAAGCACGCCCTATCCTATCACCTGTATCCTCAATTTTTACATTTTCATTCATGAGCCCCAAATCTCCCTTGACCAACAGCACCTTTTTTCACCCAGACGTGAGGGACACTCGGCTCTTGCTTTCTCCCATCTCCAAATACCACCTTCCTCCCCATTCTGGCCTCTTCGTAACACATACTGTGACATCAAGCTTCGGGTTCAGAACCGAATGCAACTCGCTGTGGTTCCACTCAGGCTCTTTCTCCCACCCTCCAACTTTAGGCCGGATTTCTGCCCGGACCGCGAGCAACGCAACCATGATCATGACCTCCGTAGCGGCGAATTGACGGGCTGGACACAGATTCGGCGGTGCTCCCCAGGCCAGAAAAGCACTCGCACTTCCCGGGGCGTGCGGTGCATATTCGTGCGGCTTATCATTGTTGGCAGGGGCCAAGAAACGATAGGGATTGAATTCCTGCGCGGATGAGCCCCAGAGGTGCGGCTGAAAGTGGACTATGTTGCCCGGGATCTGGAGATAGTTGCCTTCCCTGAGCAGATATTTGTTGTCCAAGATCGTATCCTTCATGACCTTTCGCACGGTTGCATGGATGTGATGGTGGCGCTGGGTCTCCTCGATGACCGATAGCAGAAGCGGACATTTCGATTTCAAGCGTGCCACGTCTAGAATAAACGCACCATCGTCAGCACTATCAACACGCACGACCTGTTCTTGTAGCTCCATCCGGACCTCTTCTAGTAGAGCAGGCCGTGAGAACAGCTCCCACACCACCCAGTAGAAGGTCGGCGCTGTGTTCCCGGTCATGCCAATACAGAGGGAGACTTCCTGCTTCGCGGCCTCGACCTCCGACAGGCCGGCTTGTCGCAGGACACGCCACCGGTCCTTGGCAACCTCGGAGCCGCCTAATCGCCTTCGGGAGTCTTTGTAATACGAGATGAGTGCGTCGAACACTTTCTGTCGCTGCTTGTACCCGGATTTGAAAATATCGAGCCCCACAAAATGTGAAGGGATATACCCTTGCCACAGCCTGATCGATCATCTTAATCAGTTACTGAAAATTCCTCGATGTGAACTTGAATGAAAGATAAAGCACTTACCAGAGTGCTGCCTCGATTTCGGGATCAAGAAATGGGTGATTGTGGCCATACACCGCATGCGATGACGCTGAAATAATGGCATGTCGGCTCCATTCCAGAAGTTTGACGGAATTCTCGCCGCCTGCCTCGTCCGACCTTAACAAGGCATCGATATCTAGCAACACACGTTCGCCCATTCTCATATTGGGGCCATCTAGGTGTGGGCCAGGTGCCAGATGTGCACGAGTGACGCGTGTTAGCTCGCTGAGCATGTCCCCACCAAACAGGTTGTATGTCTCCGGGGTGGCATCGCCGAGGGTGTGCTGGGCAAGCTGCACGAAAGGTTTGAACGACAGTGATTTTGATTCCTTTTGGACTGCAGAAATAAGGCGGTTCGAAACACAAATGTACAATTTGAAATGTAAGACGCCTAGGGTGTAGATCTCGGCATTGGCACGTTTACTGTCTGAATGTTAACAGGACCAAGTCTCCATTCCCCCGATCCACGTGAATCTCATCGCTGGGGTATTGCCTTTTGGTTTTCTGTTTTCTCTCCATTTTCGTGGTCTCTTCTCGGTAGCTGGCAAGCTTCAAGGGAAGAGCGCGCAAGCGAGAGGAGATAATGAAAGAGACGGTGGGAAGTCTAAAGAGAGTGAAAACATAGAGAAAGTCTCACCTTGCATCAGTTAGATAAGCACGATTCCTTGTAATAAAGCCGAAAGCATGTCCTAACAAGGGGAATTTCGAATGGAGTCTTGGAGGCTCCCGAGGATCATCTCCCAGACTAAAAAGGAAATCGGCAACATAGGCAACTAAAATGAACGCAACAGTTGCATATACGATCTCTTGGAACATGGTCACGCAGGTGTGAATGGGATATAAATTACATAAGGTAGAGACTACACTTAAAACAATCCAGGAAATGGGGAACATGCCCTCTAGTACCCTGAGCAAAAGCAGCCAATTGAGAAGCCTAGCCTAAACCCCCTCTCAAACTCGGCTCCCGGTATATTGCGGCTTACACGTGTGTCCATACGGAGTGAACTTTATCCCTAGCCATGACTCGGTCTGGGACCTAGAAAGTGGCCTGGGCCCACGCCCAGAAGGCAATTCTTGCTGACAGGAGGGATTGAATGATGGCTGGTGCGCAGATTACATGTGCTGCCATACAGCCAGACCAAAAAGTCTCGCTGAGTTGACAAACATGCGTCGATTGTCTGTGGAAGCCAAAAATCCGCCGACAGTCAAGATAAACCCTGGTTGACGCCATGACCACAGAGAGCCAGGCGCACATCCTGCCAGATGGGCGCGCTCTCTGCTACCGTGTGTTCACCACTCTGTCATCCGAGCAGAACCCTCCTTCGCTATCTGTTTTCCACTTTCACGGCAGTCCTGGCTCACACCACGAAGCAATGGCTGTATACGACAGCGCAGAATCTCAGGGCGTTGCCCTGCGCATTGTCGCAGTCACACGTCCTGGGTTCGGCGGCTCAACTTACTACCCCAACCACACACTCCTATCATTTGCCAAGGATGTTCTGAGCCTGGCCGACGCACTAGAAATTGAGAAGTTCGCCGTCATGGGCGTCAGTGGCGGTGGGCCATACGCTCTGGCGTGCGCACATGTCATCCCCACCCCCCGTCTGGTGGTTGCGGTGGTGGTGAGCAGCATGTACCCGCCCGAGTTGGGGACCAATGGCATGCTGGCCGTCAACCGACTGTTCTTGGGTCTGGCACCGTGGATGCCCGCGCTCCTAGGCAAGGCGGTAGACTGGCACGTCGGCAACCTCGCGCGCGACTCCAACCCAGCAAGGTATCGTCGCTTCCTGCTTGACAGCTTTGACGCCAGTCGGCCCCCCGAGGACCGAGCTACGGCGCACGGCGTGAAGGCGCAACGTTTCATGGAGGCATTAGTGCAGAGCACACGTGAAGGGTTTTTGCAGGGTTCGCGTGCGTTTGCGGATGAGTTTGCACTCTTTGGAACCCATTGGGGCTTTCAATTGCAGGAAGTGAGAGCAAAGACGGTTGTTTGGCATGGTGCCAAGGATGCCAATGTTCCCCTTGGAATTGCTGTGGCGGCGGCAGCTGCGATACCAGGTGTCAGGCTGATGATTGCCGAGGACGAGGCATTCATCAGTCTGCCTGCAAATCGGATGGATGATATTCTAAAGTCGTTATTAGAGCTGCTGTAAAAACTCCCAATCATTCTAATTATAAAGTAGGTAAAGCAGAGAAAGAAATCCAATGAAAGTAAAATCACTGAAAGCATTAAATAGCTTAGAACAAGATCCTGCATCAATCCTCTACATGTCATACCATTTGCGTTCTCTATGACGGCGTCCAGAGATTCATGAATATCCCCAGATGATATATTTGGACAATTCTTAACAACAACATATGGATTAAGTGTAATCAATTTCCCTCAATGTGGCTACACTTGCAAAGCTCATGCGCTCTGGTGCCCACAGCTCGTCGCAGCGTGGACGTTTCTGGTATTCTAAAGAGCTATCAATGTCGTGGATGCTTCAAATTATTTGACTGTGGAAAGTTGGCCATATCCAGCATTCCAATCGACCACTCGGGATGTTTCTTCAGGGATTCTGCAACATCATGCACCATGTGTTGCGGCCCAGCAGTGCTCTGCACCCCGACAGGTTTGGGCAACAGAGTCACCTCATCTGCTATAACCGATGCGGCATCGTATTGCTCGAGGACAGTATCGAAGTCCCAGCACTTCCGCCAAATATTGGTATCGACGATGGGAATGGAGAATTCATCAAGCCACCGGAAAACTAGAAAAATGATGATTAAGTGAGCATGACTGAGGACGAGGTCTGCAACAACAAGGCGAATTTGAAGTCACTTACCGGTGACTCCCGGGTCTGGCGCACACGTCAAGTGCTCCTTGAGCAGCATAATACAGTGCGTTACGTGGGTATCATGGAACGGCACATCATCGGTGCCATTTGGCCAGTAATAGTCCTTGTAGACGGTGCGGCGAACGTAATCTAGACAATGCAGATTGTGGAAGGCCGAGGGCTTGGCCATGAATGTCTGCTCACCGTCCCCCCTCCAGTATTTCTTAGGCATCTTGACTGCCACCGAAGGGTCCTTATTCATGGCCAGAATGTCGGCCTTGGTGATAGGGAAGATTGGGCGGTCGGGAATCAGGCGCTCCCACGCCTCATCCAGCTCGTCGCTTGGCGGACCGCGCCAGAGCGCCGTGTCGCCGCCGTCGCCATACTCCCCAAAGCTCATGCGTGAGACTCGCGGGATGTCTTCCAGCAAATTCAAGAGCGGTGCTGTGGCAAGGTGAAGTGTGAGTGAGAAGATGCCCTCCGAGAAAGTCTCTCGTAAGACGGCTGCGAATTGGAGCTGTTCTCTTACAGTAATAAGAGCTTTGTTTCAACAGGCTATCCGTCTTCGGGACGTCGCTGCGCCACCACAGCCAATAGCCCCGGAGCGACACAAGGAACAAAATGACATTCGCGATCATGAGAGGCCGCTGGGTCAGTTTCTTGGTTCGGTCCCACCGAGAGCGCTTCTGAAATGTGTGAACCTCCCTATCATGATCCATAAGCGCGACGGTCGCAGAATCGTCGTCCGTGGTGCTACCATCTTTGTCCATCGGGGAATACGTTGCTGGAGCCATTGTATCTGCAGCTTATAGTATGAATGGGTGGGATTAACGGCAATGTGACTGAGATTTAAAAGTTCAAAGTCATAGGCCTAGAACTACGAATTTCATGAGATTCGAGTGCAACTTATCAGCTGAGTTGCATGTGTCCGCGGCAAAGGTAATGAAGACGCTAATTTCACAGCCTCGTGTAGATAGTAACAGCCTTAAAACGCAACCAGCTCCACGCAAAGACCCAACAACTGATCAATCCGTACAGAAGGTTTTGTTTGTTCTCGGTGTGTCCGCTGTCTTCCGGTCAATGATAGAGTTTGGCTTGGTCCGTCTCGCCTACCTTCCAAGACCAGTAGGGGTGCTCAAGTGTTCTGACTCGTGACTTTGATCTTGGGGACTTTTCAGAGGTGGGCGCACTTTTTCAAGGGGTGGGAACACTACCCAGTCACCTAAGGCCGTACTCCATAGCCAACCGACATCTATGGCTGATGGATAGAAGGATAGTGCGATCCGCTTTTCTTGACACGTTTTTGAGTCACTAAACTTTGAAGCGAAATTTAACGTTCGGTATCTTTGTTCTCAGTACTTAGAAACAGCTTCGGTGAAGCTCAACTACCGAATTACACGGGGTTTACAACAAGTAAACTTTGCCTTCGTAGGACCAAGAGGTCCGTTCTGAGTCAAAGGCTAACTCGTTTGGACTCTGAAGCCGGAATGGCATTATCTCGGTCGCCTGGCGACCAGCGGTGAAAAGCTACGTAGACTGACTCGTCCCCAGACTGCCCGTACCAGTCCCAGGGTCTTGAGCTAGACGAGATCCCGTACGAGATGCCGTACTAGCATTTGAGATGCTCACAGGCGATTCTCTTGTAAGGACTTCAATCGACCTGCTGGGAAGGACACGCGAGTAATTACCTTTCAGCAGTACACTGTTGCGATTATCCGGTGAGCTCCACATAAAGTGTTAAATAGGGAACCCAGAAACAGGAACGCGTGTAGTTGCCAGATTCGAGCCGCTCTCCAGACATCGGAAGCAACTTAAATTAGGACGAATTTGAGAGCAATTCGTTCTCGACATACCAAATATTCCGTTGAGTTTGCCTGAAGTCTGCAAGCGAAATGGCTACTCCGTCAGCTACAACATACTTTACTCCTGGCTTAGAGTGGAACAGATCTAAGTACACCAACCAAAAGTCTCGAAAGAAGCTGTTTGAGGACAACGTTTCTCGAGCGGAAGCTGTTCTTAAGTCCAAATTATCTGTCAGTCCCAAATCTATGGTGTATTCATTGAGTCTTTCAGGCCCCAAACGATCGTGAAAAGCTCGCGACTTTCGCGGGCCAAACGAGCATGGTGTCTTCTGGCTACTTGTAGTGCTAACACTGAGCACAGGCCCTTGGGGGTCTCAAGAAAATTGTCAATATCTCCTTTAGCGACAATCATGGCCACCTTTCGTCCCCGCCTGTCTTTATTGACGCACGATCTGGAGAAGAAGCTAAGATCGTCGAGAACTCGGATGTGGCATCACTGCCAAAGGACGAGATCGTGACATTAACGATAGACCCTGAGTACCTTATGAAGCTCGCTGAGGGAAAGGGCAGTGGCGACTTCCAAGGCATCAATGCCGGGCCAGGCGACACCATCAGCATGTTCACCATTTTCACGTCCATGCGCTTAGCCGACTTACTGCACCCCAATCCTCCCACTCCAGTGACACCCGCGTCGGCATACCCCCCTGAGTCGCTGCCTAAGCCGACGACGGATATTGCCGAGCTTAGACGGGACCTCGTGAGATGGGGTTATGCATTTGCGAAGGACGCTCTCTCCCCTTCCCAGGTAGAGATTATCAAAAAGGCGGTACTGGAGCAAGCAGCAGGCGAGAGGAAAGCAGCCGCCGAGGGAACCATGGCTCTCAGCTTTGAGGGGCCCAACCAGCGCATTAAGTCAGCTTTCTTCCAAGTCTAGCTCCAAATTACAGATAAGAAAGAGCCTAAAATGCTGTACTGACCGCAGCAAGTAGTGCCCTAATCAATAAAGGCGATGAGTTCCTCGACCTACTGAACGATCCCCTCATCGACGAAATCGTCCCCTGGTACCTAGGTGATCACGCGCTGCTCGCCTCGTACAGCGTGAACATCGCCAACCCAGGCGGGTTCCCACAGCACCTACACCGTGATCAGGGTATACACGGCCCACCGAACAACGAGCTGCCGTACGGCGTCCAACTGGCGTACTATCTCGTCGATACGACGGACGAGAACGGCGCGACACGTGTCATCCCGGCTTCGCACTTGGGCAACGTGGCACCGCGCGACCGGCTTGACGGCTCTGAGACGGTTGCAGCTGCTGCGCCAGCTGGGACGGTCATGATTTTCGATAGTCGCCTGTGGCACGGCACAGGAGCGAACCGCACCACTGACACCGTGCGCCCCGTGATCTTGACATACTTCATGCGGTTCTACCTGCGCACGATTGAGAACTTCTACCTCCCACTGCGCAAGGATGTTGAGGCGAAGCTGAGCGATCGCCACAAGTCGCTCTTGGGCTTCCGTGTCGCTGGCACGGCGATTGGGGGTGTCGAGGGTATTAAGCCTGGGGATCCGTATATTGAGCACAAGGAAGGTCGGGGCAGGATGCGTGCACCTGTTGTGAGTGCTTAGGTCTCACTTAATGACTAGGTCTGATAGAAAAGCAATTTGAAGCTGGGCATGAAAAGGCGATTAGGATGGAATGGAATTGATATGAAGTCAGCTTCTCACGAACTCCACGTGCGGATATGAGTAATTGCATGCCTATAAGGCCTAGGAGAGGCACACTACAAGAATTGTGGTACAAGACATAATGTACTATAAATCAAGATTCCTGCAAGCGGAAAGAATCTAAGGCTTTTGTAAAACGACTCCAAAGTTGTTGGCGGACCCGTCAACTGCTGGCTCACAGAGAAGTATTCAGTAACTTATATAAAATCACTTCTTTAATAAGAGGAATAAGTTTGATTGAGGAGGAAGCCCTGCACTCTGCTTTTTTGGATACAAACCGGAATGCATTGTAAACTATTAAGAAAACGAGTTTTTGTACATAATATAGCTGAAGCCAAGTTAAACATTCTTTGCTCATATCGGATTTTGGGTGTTCGCCTGGAGCATTATCCTCCTCGTCAACTACGCTATGAGACTAATATTCCTCTCCTTATGTTCAGCAAATGTTGAAGCTACCTTGTCACCAAATCAACGAGTTAAGACATTGATAAATATATGAAGAGAAGAAAATTAGAAACGATTAGCTTTCCAACGTAATAGCTTAAAAAGTTTGATCAACATTAAACTTATGATCTGGATGAATTGCTTCGACCCTTTACTGACCCTGATTGTAGTTACGTGGGCGACAAAAATGTGCACACGTGAGAACTTCCACAGCCAGGCTCTCGTCACATCGAATCCCTTCGTGTTACTCAAACCAGCATTGGCGGCTTCGAGTCATTCTTGACGCATGGGAAGGAATTCAGAGGGTCATTCTCTATGATGGAACTACACCGCTGCTCTCAGCCTTGAAAGACATGTCCAGGATTGGATAAATTAATATTAAAACCAGTTTTTCTTTTGTTTTAACCACTCATGTTACGGTGGTCTAACCGTTTTGAAGCTCTACCCCCTAAAGCCGGTTAATCCTCGTGGGTAAATAGTCATCCGAGTCGGTGCGGAGGTCCTAAACGTGACGCCTGGCCACCTGGATTTAGACGAGGCAAGGGTTAAAGAAAGTTAAATAAGACCGAGTAAACTTTCGGGACATCCGGATTCTGGTTATGCAATTATTAGGGTATGTTCTTATCGAGATTGCAAGTGTTATAGTTCATGTGAATTCAATGCTAGAGGAATACGGAAGTATTATATGCTGAGGTGCATTGTTTTCAAAAGTTGAATAGCTTGGTTTCTCTTAGGCACTAACTTCCTGAAAGAAAGAAAAAATCTTTTCCAGCTTGCAGTCTATAAAGACCTATTTTCCCCCACTTTTGTATGCTGGTGAATTTGTTTCTTTCCTGTATTGTCTGTCGAAATGGACCTTCGATCAGTATTTGAACAATGGGTATCGTTGTCCCTTCCTAGTTTCCAGCACTCCATCCAGTTGGGTGGCTACCATCCCTGTTGGACTTTGTTCTGGGCTTTTTTCCTACTCTGCCTCGCCGTCCGAGTCACCACTGAGCTGAAGTTTCGGAAGCACCAAGTCAACGCTGCCGGTAGCGGCCTACATGTTATCCCGGTCGTGCCCTACTGGATACCATGGATTGGGCACAGCTTGTCCTTTGCTATCGGGGCAGTACCCTATCTGCAGTCTGTCAGCCGGCGGATGGGACACAAATGCGCCGCTTACGGGCTTTGGATGGGCAACACCAAGCACAACATCATCCTGGCGCCCAGCATCGCCAAGCAGGTCATCACTGACAGAAAAGCGCCAGTCAACATGGATACTTGGACGTACTATGTGCACAAGCAAGTCTTCCAGGACGGCGGAGACCTAAAGACCATGCACCCACACGCTGTAAAGGGTCCAATAGCCCAGGCGGTGCATAACATGGTCCGAGACAGCTTCGTGAACAAAGCAATCCTAGCTATGGTCTCAGACGTGGAGCACATGGCAGCAGATCTGATCTCCGGCAAGTCGGTCTCCGAACAGTCCTCTTGGGAGCTATCCGGTCGGGTTCGGGTCCTCGAGACGCAGCCCAGGCTGAAATGGGAGGTCTCACTGAATCCGCTGATGCGGGATTTTACGAGTGATATCATGGCCAGGGTGTTCCTGGGAAAGAGCTTCATGCGAAACAATCCCAACGTGGTCAAGGATATCTGGACTCTGGATGACAAGATCATCACGTTCATGGCAAAGACACCAACGTGGATGCCCAACGTGCGGGAGGCGGCAGCAGCACGCGAGCGACTTCTTGCGGGCCTGACAGAGTTCCACGATGCCTACACGGTGTACCTGCGGGGCGAGGACCCGGGAGCGTCGTGGGGGGACATGAGCGACGTTAGCACCGTGATGCACGACCGCACGCTGGCGTGGAACGCTTCCGACGCCAACACAACCCGCCGCGGCAACGCGGCCCAGATGCTGTCACTGTTCTGGGTCACGAATGTCAATGCCAACCAGATCATCTTCTGGGTTGTCTTCTACGTTTTCTCTGATCCAGTGCTGCTGCGTCAGCTACGGGAGGAGATTGCGCCGTTCGTGAAGCGCAGAAGACCTACGAGCGGCGCACAGGATCACAACGGAACCTTGAAAATGGATGTTGAGGGGTTGTGGCGGCATTGCCCCCTGTTAAAGGGCGCGGTGTTTGAGACGTTGCGGCTGGAAGTCGGCGCGACGAGTGTCAAGTACGTCGAGGAAGATTTCGTGCTGCATGAGAGTGAGGAAGACGCCAAGTTCCTGGGCAAAGACCGGCCCGAGAGCTTCCTGATCAAGAAGGGAGAAATGATCTGGGTACCGCACGCGTTACACCAACTCGACGAGAAGTATTGGCCGGACCCGGAGCGCTTCGATGCGCGGAGGTTCTGGGAGGAGCAGAGCACTCACAATGACGAGAAGTCATCATCGGAGGAGGTCAAGGTTGGGTACAAAACCATGAAAGTATGGGGAGGTGGAGAAAAGATGTGCAAAGGCAAAACGTTTGCGGAGCGCGAGATTTGCCTGGTCGCCTCAGCTATCATCACGTGCTGGGAGATAGAGGCCGTTGACGGTGTCTGGCGCCACCCGGGTCGAACTCCGGGATCATCTTCTTCGAAACCCATTAGAGACTTCAGGGTTAGGATTTGGAAATGGGATCAAGAGTAGTATAATTTCATATGAAAAGATGGACAGCCATTTATACCTGAAAATAATGTTGATGGAGAAAAGGTTATGTCTTTAAAAATATGTACTTTTCTACATCTTAGTCTACCCGGTCTTTATTTGCCGTCGGGTTAATGATTAACCGGGGAGTGCACATTATAGTTTACGTCGTATCACCGTACATCGGACCTGATTCTGGGCAGCCACCGGCAGCTATACCGGTTTTAAACCGGATGCGAGTTTAGAGCGGAAGTTTATGGAACGCAAAGTAGGATAACTTACTGTCCTGAAAATTCACAGTGCTACTCAAACCAGTCTCCATCTTCTAATGCTACTTAAGCCAGAAAGCAAAATGGCTCGGCTTACAGATTTTAAAGTCCTCGCTTTCGACGTGTACGGTACACTAATCGATTGGGAGACTGGCATGATCACCAATCTGCAGCCGCTCCTCAACGACAACAATGCGGACTTCAGCAGGGAGAAGCTCCTTGACGTCATCCACGAATGCGAACGAGCACAACAACAGGCTACGCCAGCATCTCAGTATCATGAAATTCTCACTGCAATCCATCCGCAAATCGCAGAGAAGCTGGGACTTCGCAAGCCCTCCTCAGAACAGAGCAAGGCTTTCGGGTTATCTGTAGGCTCATGGCCTGCATTCCCAGACACCGTTGACGCCTTGAAGCGGCTGAGCAAGCATTACAAACTTGTCATACTTTCTAACGTCGACCGGGAGTCGTTTGCGGGCAGCAATCAAGGTCCTTTGGAGGGCATCAAGTTCGATTTGATTATCACCGCACAAGACGTCGGCAGTTACAAACCAGACTTAAGAAACTTTCGATATCTTCTCAAAGAAGTTGATCAGAAATTTGGTGTATCAAAGGATGAGGTTCTCCAGACGGCGCAAAGCCAATATCATGACCATCGTCCTGCAAAAGAAACTGGCATTCGTTCATCTTGGATAGTCAGGCCTGGAGCGATCATGGGAAACAGAGCCAGTCCTATTTACGACTGGAAATTCGATACTCTTGGAGACATGGCTGCTGCACTTGAGGATGAGTTACAATCTTAGAATTGTTATTTGAACATGTTAAGGTCGTTATGTTGGTTCCAATCTGGTGTTCTAAAGTGCAATACCTCGTGTGACCTGTATCAGTGCCTGTTTTAGGGTTGTAGCTTACTAGCTAGACTTGATGAGAACCAGCATAACACTCCGTTGGCTTAGATCGACACTTGAAATCCTTTATCTTCGCTTAAAGGTTTAAGTTTTTAGTAATTTTAACTTGCACACATGAACTATCCTCCCGGGTTGTACTAATAAAAGAATGCATGACCGCGTTGATGTCCCGCTCTTGGTATGTCTTAAACAATTTTATTTCAAACCTTGTTAATCTATTCATAATTCATAGAGATCTTAGTATAAGTCATGTGTGAAAGTTGTTTACATTAGTCAGATTGCCGACCACATCCGGCAAATAACGGCGTCGATGACTGATTTTCCCTCTATTTGCCAGATGAACTAAAGAAATTAAGTCTGAAAAAACGAGGCGGTGGAAAAACGAAACAAGACTAAATTTAACCCAAGACAGCTCCGGGAGCCACGCCCGAAAGCAAGCAAGTACCGCGATTTCAGCAGTGGATCTCGAACCCAGCGTTCCGAAACGAAGCGGAAAGGCTTCAGGAAGATGGGTAGGTTTGTGTGGTGCAAGAACCAGCTTTGCATGACAGGCGTCTGAGGACGCCAATCAGTGATCTGTTCGCCGCTGCAGGGCGGGGGCAAGGAAGGACGTCAACTCATTTCCTTCGAGACCAGCAATTGCTTGTACCGAAGGTCCTCGCCCGGCGCGATGCGTGGCATTCGGCCTGTGATTCCGTGGGCGAGGGCGTAGCCGTCAGAGACCACACCAGACTAATCAGGTGGTCGTCCAATATCAGCAAAGCTGGTTCTATCAACTTAAAATCCCAACACAGCTTACAAAACAAGGTAGAGCCTCGAACCTCGCCAGCGTGAACGGAGCTTCAGGATCGGGGATGATAATTTTCAACTCATCTTGTAGCTTAGTCAGTACGGCAGGGTCATTGCGAATGTAGAACATAATGATAGTCATTGTCCGTGCTGTGGTCTCAACTCCTCTCAGAACTGAAGATGATTCAGCGTTGAGACGCTCTGGTGTCGTCTCTGACTCGGGGAGATTGCTGTCCAGAATATCCATGAAAATAGTGCGAGTGTGGCTGGAGGCTTCCCTCCAAACCCCTCCGCCTGCCGCGCGTGCTCCTCGGCCGACGCCCGCATTATCTCCAGCGGGAAGATCAGGTTGCAGGCTAAGTTTACCGTCTGCGGGCTGAAAATGGCGATCACACCCGGGTTGAAGTAGATCATGGCCGTGTTGATGAGCCAGGGAAACTGGCGACCGAGTGGGCGCACCTTACCGACCGTCTTGAAAGCCTCGAGCAAGTCGGCGCCCCAATCTCCGCGCCCAGGGTTCCCGACGTTGACACCCAGTGCATACGTAGATGTCATGTCCAGTGAGAGCGCAGAGATGGTTTAGGTGAAGTTGACGACCCGCCCCGCGCGGCGGGCTTGCGACAGTCGCCGAACCAGCATGTTGGTCTTGTCGACGAGCACGGACTCGAGGTCCTGGATGGCCCGCTTACTGAAGAAGGGGTTGAGCGCCCCGCGCCGCATGCGGTGCGTATCATGGTCCATGGTCTGGAGGAGTGACCCGTTGAGGAAGCCGTTCTCCGATGCGTGCGGGAACCATGGGTCACGCTCGCGCTTGTGCTTGTTTCCGCTGGCGTAGATGTCGTCCATATAGGTCGGGTCATTGATGGGGATGTGGATGGGATTGATGCGCACTATGGGGCCACACTCCTCGTGCAGCGACTTGATCGTCTATAGATATCGAGCTCTGTGCGCGTAAAGGTTATAGTAGAACCCATTCCAGAAATTGACAGCGGCTAGCTTTGGGCCGGGAAACTTTGCCAGTGGATGTAATGTGACGCGATACAAATAGGAGCCCAATCTGCCAAGTATGCTGGGACCGTGGCCAACAGGAGGTTTCGGGCCGTGATGTAGCTCTTGGCCAACGAAATGATTGAGGCCACATCCATGTGTTGGTAAATGGAGTCCATGTCTATCTTCTAGCCAAAGTTCAAATGTCTTGTGCCGATTGGGCGTGCTGGGTGTTACAGGTGTCAAGCTCACAAGTTCTTCAGGATGCGGGAGCAAAATGGTGAACAGAGAATCCAATGTTCGGAGAACATGCGTCCTAAGAAGAGCTTGGTACATGGATCCGGGTTTTTGTCACCAGTTTCGGACGCTTGAGGTCGTCTTTTTTTTGTTCACTCCATGATGCGCATTGGCTGGAGCGACTCTGGCCGAGCACGGATGCGGAAGTTCGACCAAAGTATGTAATGACTGATTGAGAGATTGAACGAAAAATTTGTCGAGAGTCCTTCGGGTTTATTGCATAACCAATTGATTACGAGATTTTGGTCTCTATAGACATACATCTGAGGAACACAGGACATCAGTGCCTTGGGCTCCTAAGAAGGAAACATCCGTGTAACCTGAATTGACTGAAAAGGGTAACACCCGAGATCCCTGCTCGGCACATGCCTAGAGTAAGCTCAAAAAGTCTGAGTCTCTTGTGTATCACTTACCGATCGGCTCCACGATTGCGACCGGGATAGCGGATACTCCTGTTGCCTCGAAAAGCATACTACAGTGCCATCCGGGTGATTCAAGCAGACACGAGTATGCGATCGTATGGGAGATACCGGTGGGTTTTTTTTGGGGGGGGGGGGGGTATGGCGGGGGCTTAGTCTCACCGGGACTTTCAAACAGTGAATGCCACGGTCTCGCGCAGTTGAATTGCCCAGAGCAGGATCAGTACCCATGTAGGCACTACAATATATAGGCTGGCGTTTGGTCGGTGGTAGGATGCTTCCGACAAGCATCCTCCGTATCAACTCTCAGACAAATCACACAAACAGCATTCCGCCGACCAGCTGCAGTTTCGCTTCATCTTCCGGTCCTGAAGCTTGGCCCAAAGTTATACAGACCGCCCCGCGGCATACCCGGACCTCCGTTCTAATGTGCCATCTGACATCGGACCCGCCTTCAAGGGAGCTTGAAGTAGGAATGCTGGTGGACAAATACGTCTATGTGATAGGTTATACTAGGCCCAGAGACAGGAGTGTCTTCAAGTATAGATCGACTTTTGTCGAGAGATAGCAGGCGTGCCAGACGACAGAATGCGTCGAAAATAGCCACGACACGGTTGCGGCTTATATTTGCAGCAATCGACCCAAAGCGGAGTTCATTTTGATTCAAGACATGGTTCCAGCGTTTTTCAAACATGAAACCTCCAAAGATGACGTCTGGATGCGCTGGTTCATTCAGTTGTGTGTCTGGTGCTCTGTAGTGCTGACGTACAAACTTATCTCAGAACCAATTAACGACCATGGCATATGTATATCTTCAAGAAGAAAATACGCATACACATTAGCAAACACCACATATGACCCTACGGCCCCACGCATCATCGATGGGCCTAGCCCGATATCGCCTATGAAAAGCTGGGCTAGAAGGCGGCCTTCTCGGTCCTGCCCTCCTTTGCCTCCTCGTTCGCAGCCCCATTACCCTTCAACAACTTGGCCTCCTTGCCTCTGATTTTTCGGTGCTCGACGGCCAGAGCTCCGAGGAGACTGACAGAAGTGAGTACCACAGAGACTAACCAAGCGTGTGTCAGAGAGTCGTTGACGACGTCGAGCACCCGGGCTCGGAGCGTGCCTGTCAATCCATCCGAGATGTTCGTAACTCCTCCTGCCAGTGCGTCAGAGATCTGCTTCTCAGATAGGCCAGTTCCGACGAGGTTCTTGGTAAGGCTATTTGTGAAGACGGCTTGGACCAGAGAGATGAAGACGGACCTGGACCTCGGGTCAGATCACGTTAGCCCTCGAGTTTGTGTATAATAACATGAGAGGGACATAAATCAGGAGAGAAAGTAAAGACATACCCTCCAATAGCCTGCATCATCATGATGAGACTAGACGCGATCGCAATATCCTCAAGAGCAACTACGTTCTGCGCGACCATAAGGGGTGTTTGGGCAGCCAGGCCCATGCCTATTCCATAAATAATTTGGTACCCAATCCATTTATCATCGGAGATGTCGACTTGGAACGTGGTTAAAAGACCTGCTCCAATGGCAGTGAAGACCGAGGCTACCGTCATGAACGGCCAGATGTAGCCAGTGGATGCGACGCCAAGGCCGCACGAGATGGATGCTATCGTTTGCGCAATCACAAGCGGGAGCATGTTGACTCCGGCTTGGATTGGATCGTTGTCTCTGCAAGCTTGGAACCAGCTATGGTTCGCCACACGTGGTTAGCCAGTGGCCGGACAAACCTAAAACCATCGGAATACACGGATCAACGGCAAGGGACAGTGCCTGCATGGACTTACATGGGGATATAGTAGGCGAAAAGATAGCACGAGCCTCCATTCGTGAAAGCGAATAGGACGGATGCGATAACGCTGCGCTGTTTGACCACGCGCTTGGGTACCATGGCGTCGTCGCCTACCCAGAGTTCCACTCCAATGAATGCCAGGACCAGGATGCCGAACAAGGTGAGCAAGGCGATAACGCGGCCGTTGGACCAGGCATATGTGGTTCCTCCCCACTGGAGCGCGATGAGAAGGCAAGCAACGCAAGGGGTCACGGTCAGCAGACCATACAGATCCAATGTGTGAAAGAATCTTCCGAGCGTCAAAGGCTTCGCGGGCGCAATCTTGGGCGGGTAAACAAGGAAGAAAAAGCCAAAGTAACAGAAGCCACCAATAGGGAGATTCATGTAAAAGGCCCATCGCCATGTGATATTTTCAGTAAAGGCGCCGCCAATCATGGGACCGACGCTCATGCCGAAGCCCAGAACGCCGCCGATGATGCCAGTGACGAGAGGCCGGCGCAGGGGCGGGGTGAGAACCGGAATCAGGGCGAAGGAGCCGACCAGGAGACCAGCGGATCCAATACCGGCGATAGCACGACCGATGATCAAGGCGGGTGAGTTGGGTGCGGCGCCACAGATGGCTGAACCGACGAGGAATAGGAACATGCAGCAACTGTAGACAATGCGGATGGGGTAGCGGACGTTGAGTTTGCCGAACTGTAGCTGGGCAATACAGAACGTCATGTAGTAAACGCTGCTGTACCAACCAAGGTCATTGAGCGACCTGAACTCGTCGGTGATGGTCGGCGCGGCGGTCGAGACAATGCTACCATCCTGCACAATGGGAAATGGAACAAGTCCTAAAGTTAGCCTAGTCTATTTTTGAGGCTCGTCACGTCGGCCCAAGATGTTACAGGACATGATTATCTGATTTTCTGACGATTCGACATGATGCGACTTACTAAGACAACAAGAAAGAGGATGATACAGATGCAGGTAAAGGCGCAGACGAATTTGAGCCCGGACAGGTACTGCGGCTCAGGCTGGGTGGTAGATGCAGTGTCGTCGATACCCTTTAGCGCACCTGGACCTGGTGGGACACCGCGTTTCTGGGACGATGCCGTCGTCGAGCCTGTCGCGTGTGCCATTTTGTGGGTGTTTCCAGTGATCTGTTCGGGAGGTCAGTAATGACGTGTAAGTGCGACAAACGGGTCTTAAGGACTTGTCGGGACCGTGAAGTCGAAGTAAAAAGATGCACCCAGAAAGAAGGATAAAAACAAAGAATAAAATAACACTGTTTATTAATCCATTCATTTATTCGTTTGTAAGCAGCTTGGGTGACGGGAATGTCTCAAGGGAAATAACAGGGACGTAATTAGTAGGGCCTCTCCTAGTTGGGAAACGCCCGATCATTGCTCATAACGTTGCCATATGAAGTATCTCGCACTCATCGGTACCTGCATCTAGATCCACGATTATGCATGTACCAAGATGAATAACATAACCCCCCCCCCCCCACAAATATGAACGGGAATCTCAGGTCCAGCTCAATTCTGAGGCAACCAGAGAATCGACCTCCCAACCTATTGAGTAATTACTCTGCTCTACTCTCACTGATGACATTATGCGAAAGCCATGGCCTTCAAGAACCTCGATGACAAAAACACCCCCCAAGTCGCCATCCCCCAATTGACACCATCTTCAGTCAAGCTTCCCGGGACTGAGCCGTCGAGAGTACTTGGGTCGACAAATAAAGGAAACACGAATGGTCTGCGAGGTATCCTCAAATTTGTTCCTACTCCATAATATAAACAATAGGTGTATGTTGAATCGCAGCTGATAGTTCCCCTTAGCTACACGGCCTCGATTAGCGAAAATCGCAATTTCCAACTCAGACGTGTTCGCAGAGTGTCCGAGTACTTCATCCTCGCAACATGACAATGTTCCACGCAAATATGTGGATCCGGAGAAAGCCGCATCATATGCTCGTCATGTTACAATATTATTTAGTACATCCAAGGTCTTTTCACTAATAAGAACAAGCTTCAATAGCCCGTGGGAGACACCGGCCCATCCCATCATTTACCAGGACTACAACAGTCAAGCAAACAATTAGGTACGGATTTTCATTTGAACGGCCAAAACAATGACACTTGTAAATCTATACTTAACCAACCCTCCGAGTACCCAGCAAGAGGCGAGGATGTGGCTCTAGGGGATCTTGCTAATACACTGACAATCCGGGCCCAATCAAGATGACTTACCTCGTCTTGTGGCCCGTGCTAAGCCAGAGATACACTCAAGCACGACCTGTTCATCGGTCTTGTATTCAATGGACAGGGAACGCAGTGGTACGCCATGGGACGCGAGCTTACCAACATGTATCCCTTTTTTTTATTATGATCTACTCTCTTGCATACACTAGCCCCTTTTTGATGCATTTTGATATATTTTACCAGACCACACGCGCGGGATGGATGAGCAGAATGAGATCGGACAGAGGAGCTTCATAGAGACGAGCACACGACGCGCATTCCAACGTCGAAATGAGCCAGTCCATCACGGTGGCCTTCCGAGTCTGTCTTGTGGATCTCTTGAAGTCGGAGTTTGGGAGGGGGGGGGTGGATTGGAGGTAATACCTCCGCCATGGCAAGCTATCCGAGCGGTCAAATTGCCGCCGCATACGCAGCAGACGCGCTATCAATACAGAACGCTATCGGCGTAGCCTAGTTCCGAGATTCCAAGGCACAAAAATTCGACTCATTGGCCTCGGCGGTCATATTCTGGCCGTTGGGATATGCCCACTGCATGTAGTACGATATCTCTTACGAGCGAAGAGTAGCAATGCTGTATTCGTGACGTACGTCAACGGCCCCAACAGTGTGATGCTATCAGGGCATCGCGATGTTTTGGAGAAGCTCGCCTGTCGATCCCAAGGAGAGCGTTTTGCAAGGTCAATGTTTCCATTACCCACAAGTCACGTTACATGGAGTCCATGGCTGAAGGCCACTCAAACATCTTGGCCCCGCTGCTTTCAGGAAAATTAGACTCATCTTCCCGCTTGGCCAAATCCAAGACAGCTGCGAAAATATGTGTCTTCAGTGACTGAGACTGGAATCCACACGCTTGCGACACTTAAGGACCCTAGGTATTGGATGGCCAATCTCAATCGACCTGTACTGTTTCATCAAGCCATGAGAACTCTCATAAGGGGCTCGGGAGAAGCCAACTCTGGATATGGTGAGCCGATCGCCGAAATCGACATGGTAGTCGAGGTTGGTCGCCACAGCCAAGTCGAAAGTTTTATCAAAGAAAGTTTTGGTGGCCGTATATCTGTACCTATCAACTTAGCGCGATTGGCGACAAGGAAAGGTTGAAATCTGTTGAGGAAAAAATATAATTGTCTCTCAGTTAATATACATAGCGATACAAATAAACAAGAAACGAGTTGTAACCCTATATGTGCTATTGTATAGAGACAATGGCGTGGCAATAAGCAATCATATATGTCTCAACTGCTTATGTAAATAATTATTCGGCGTCTCTCTAATTCTATGTCGGTACTGCTCGCTGCATTGATTTGCTACCAGGCTCCCAATGTATAACAGGAATGCTTGTGGCCCTTGTGACGGTATCGAACATCGAAGCAAAAAGAAGGGGGGGGACCTAGGGGGAGGAGGGACACCCCTATTAAAGCTGAGACTGGAGCCGCTGCAGCATCCAATGAGCTGTGTACGCTGTCTTGCGCGCCTCGGTCAACACACCGGTCGCGCCATCCACTTGACCTATGCGCTGCAACAGTTGGTCCAGGAGCGCTAAGAGATCTTTCATATGTAGTGACATAAGATTTTGTATGAGCCGAAGGCGCATTTCGACTCCTTGGATCTGGTAGCGCCCAAACGAGATCTCGCCATCCACCAGCGTTTCGCCCTCGGTCTCCGGCTGCGGGTACCCACTGTTCGGGTCTCCGGGAAATGAAGACGAGGACGACGATGTCGATGGCGCCTCGGTTTTTGCAGCCAATCTAATCTTGTGTTGGTGTACCAGGATGCAGCCACACAGGTCGTTGCAGACGTGGGCCAGCTGTTTGGCGATGGTTGCCAGTAGTATCGAGTGTTCCTGACAAGCGTTGCAGATTTTACACCCAAGGACTTTGTTGCACGCACTGACGCCACTGCCGAGACAGAAAAGCAGACAGTCCAGGTTGCTAACGGTCTTGGGCTTGTCGCCTAAGCGGAAGCGTCCGAGCCTTTCAAGGATACCAGCGAGGGTGGTTAGGCATTGGCACCCGCTACCTGGACAGGTGAGTCCAAGTGAAGGCCGCCGAGAACTTAGCCTGGAGTCGTGGGCAGTCAAGGTGGAGGGGCTCTCGGGCACCGACACCGTGGTTGATGATGTGGAAAGGGCGCTCGCGGCGGTGTTGGGCGGCTGGGAGTGGGCGGGTAGCGGTTCTGGGGCCATATTGAAGATGGCGTTGATCGGGGTTCCGTCGACAAGTGAGTTGATACTGCCAGGGCCAAAGGTGGGTGACTCCCCATCGAGATTTGTGAAGTCGTTGAAATCAAAAAAATCACTAGACCACTCGGTACTGGCCGGTGCGTCCGAAGAGGACCCAAGACGCGCGGAAGCGCTCTTGGTCGAGTCCGGTGGGGCAGAGGGTGATGTCCGGCGCCCTTCTCTATTCCAACCGTTGCCATCCGGCCGTGTTCCACCCCCGTTCTCCCCATCCCGTCTCCGTCGAGAAGGGCCGTTTATATCCACACTCGTCCTGTCATGCTGGTTCATAGTTGAGGATCTGTCGTTGTCAGTGGTGGAGGATGATCGCGGCACAATCTGCCGCCGCCGCCGCTTTGTGGGCCCTTTGCTTCTACCGATCGTGCTGCCGTTCCCGTAGCCATCCCCTTCTGGGTCGTAGGTGCATTCAGCAGACGACGCCAGACAACGGCTACAACCGCCACGGTCGCCGCTGCACTTGAGCTGTATCTTCACGTGAGCCTTCATCATCCTATCTATCTACAATGGTAGAGTCATTGAGGCCAGCGGGACTTACCTTGCGGGCACGACAGAGCTTACACGCCTGTGATAGCGGTTAGCAAGGCTGACGCCCAGTGATGTGCATAGTGCAACTTGCCAATAGAGTATATCCCCGAGCATCAACACCGCTCTCTCGGGATAGCTCCACATACTCCGCTTCTTTAAGGGGATTGTTGTACCGGAATGTACCAAACATGGTCAACCAGCACATTAGAGACCAGGAATTGGAATGATAAGGTTCAATGACACGTGGGACCCGTGAACACTACCGCTGGTGAGAGTGTGAGAGGTGGTTCTACTTCCCGCAAGATGAAGGCTTTGCGGGGTAACCCGAGCACGACAGGCTGTAAGATTCAGTGATTAAAGAACATATCAAGGTGCTGCGGGCAGGTAGAGGGGCCTTTGCATTTGGGGCCCCTGGGAAGGGCTTAGTCAGCAGCCCTCTAGTACTTTAAATAGTAGGCTGAAGAAGCCTTTCCTTAAGAAACCTAATAGAGACATTCTCTCCCCCCTACAATCTGTATCATAAGGTTTTACAAACATGAGGTTTTTAAACGCCGCTAAAGCGGCTTCTAAAACTAGCTTGAAGAATTCAGGCGGATATAAGCCCAAGTAGTAGTAAAGAGTAGGTAAGAGCTCGCGAAAGCATCTCGCGCTCGCTCGCTTGCTCCCGCGAGCTGCTTTCGCTTAGTTACTAACCCTAGAGTAGGAGTCTGCGGTGCTTAGTCAGCTATACTGCTTAGTTATCCCAGTCTTTGTAAGACTTCCTAATCGGGAAATTTTAGCGGGGGCAGCTAGAAGAGTCACAGGGTTTAAAAGCTTGAATTCTTTAAGCCACATATATTATATTCAGCAAACTAAAGACATTAATTTTATTTTGAATTAAAGTTTTAAATATAAGCAGAACTTTATTTTTAAATATAATAGTATTATAATTTGTATAATTATAAATATCAATAAATAAATATCTTTAATATTAACTACCTTAAAGCAGATATGTTTAGCAATCGTTTCTATGGCAGATCGAATACCCGACCAGATGATGCTTGTTACGTAGCTCCAATCATACCGTTCGACCGAGTTAGCTCAGACGGATCCTTTCTTGTCGCCTGGCGTGCATGGGTGGAACCGCCGGAAATGCAGTGGCCCCTGTCTCACTTGCCACACTCCCACTTCCGAGGAGAGCAGGGTATGTTACACACAAGTTAGCCGGACAGCATTTCCAAGTATCTCGCCGTCACATCCTAGAGATATTGTCAACCTGCTGTACCGCATCTCATCAGCCCGTCATCTGCGTATCTTTGAGCCAAGTGCCAGTCCTTGGTCTGGCCCCAACTTCGCAGTAGTGACCATGGCACGACCGTCCATAAGTCTCGAAACCGCACCATTTCTTAACGACAGCGATGGCAGTGTCAAAAAACAAGAGTCCACTATGGACCTCCGCCAAGGTGCCAGCATAAAAGGATGGTCGTGGTACGCCACTACTGGCTACGTTCTTTGGACCGGTTTCAACACTGTGTGGTTTGGTGCAAATTTACTAAACACCAATAGCTTCGGGAAATTTCCGATAGGGGGTCCAACCCTCGTTGGTAAGCTCAGCCCTTCACAATACTGCACTTGGGGACATCCTCAGGTCAACTTCCTGTCCACGCCATCCCACCAAGTATGGGTTCTCTGGCCAGGACTAACGATGCATGCGGAACAGAACCGAAGGAGGCCCCCATCGAGATAGTAAAGGTGCGGTGGGATCTCCCGGTGGGCAAGCGGTCCGATCTCACAAGCTACGATCGTGCCGTTGCCGATGCTGCTTGGGCTTCACGGGGACTTGGTGAAAGTCGTAAGCTACTGATCGTTCCAATGTCCGATGTCGGTCAAGGCGGGAATTGACGCACGGGATCATGACCTGACTGACAATGTTGTTGGCAAAGGGCTGGCTCAAGGTATCGAAAGAGGATCTCGACGCCATGGGAGAGACCTCGGTCGAGTTCGAAGACGGGTCAGGATACTTGATGTATATGGACGTCTTCCAGCAGCTGCACTGTCTTAATTGCTTGCGCAAGAAGTTGGATCCATGGAAGGCAAGCTACCCAAGTGTTGGATCGGACTCGACGTTCCCCGAAGGATATCACACTGGTCAGTATGCCCGCCTCCCCGGCGCTCTATTCCCCACTGCATCAGCTTAAATGGCTAGGTCTCTCCGTGCCTCTTGTGCTCGAAGCATCCATGGATGTATCTGGCGCTGACGAGAATTTGCAGCTCACTGTATTGATTCTATTCGCCTGTCGCTTGAATGTCATGCGGATGTGTCTATGGTGCCACAAAGGTGGGCAGATGGTGGCTCGAACCGTGGCCAGTCGTACAAAGCCAGCACGTATGCCGGGACTACAGCAAGATCCAAGAATGGGCACACGGGAAGCAGCCGTACGTGTCCGGGAAGCTTTTTCAACCGAAATTGGGAAAGGTAGTAACGGGTCATCTTAACGCGTCGGCCTTGCCTGTCTACTGGGAGGATCACGACGATTTGTGATAAATCCTGAGTACAGGACTGTAGACTATTGATCGTTTTGGAATATTTATCCTTTCCAATGTACGTGTATGACTATCGTCAAGACACAGTGTTACGTATGTCCTCTTAGCCACCGTTTCAATACGGGCCGGCTTCTTGGCCATCACATGAGGGGGTCCGGCTAATGCAACGTTCACTGGCGAGTCCAACTAAGCTCACAATGGTAGACATGTATACAATCCGTGTTCACGAAGTATTTTTTGTTATATTCTCTCCACGGACATTGCATCTGTATCAGGAATACATTGGCACGATGTAATAGCATGTCGTGCAGTCGATTACAGCGTTGATTTGACAGATCATCCAATATCGGCATCATGGTAGTGGCTGAGAGACAGCGTTGTGGTGGATGACCGTTCACATGGATAACAAGCCTGCTTATTTGAGACGCAAACCAAACTTCAATGTCCAGCCGCCCTTCTACACTTTGGACGTCGCCTGCTGTCCGAATCGCATCCTAGGCGGCTGCCGTGGCCCAAATGTCTTTTCCCATGCGCTCAACACCTTCACTAGTGTTGGCTCAGTATAAGCTGTGGAAAAGACAGAAACCCCAAAGGGCCGACCATTGTACTCAAGATACGACAATGGCATTGTTGCAGAGGGATAACCTTGGAAAGCTCGTCAGTTCTGGCGTTTCTGATGACAACAGCCGACTACAATAGTAGACCTTACCTGCGGCTGACACCAGCTGGCTGAAAGTGGAGTCGGATGGTGCAAGTATCACATCGATTTCGAGGTTATTTAGGGCCTTGTCGATGCCAAGCTCGCGCCCAATGGACTGCGCCTTGCCCCAAAGCGACTCTGCCGTCGTCGCATCGATTTGATTCCCTTGGCATGCGAGCAAGACGTCCTGGCCTGAATAATCTGTGTCATCGCGCAAATCAGAGAGCTGCGTGCGCTTCCGCTTTTCGCCTGGGCCTGGTCACTTGCCTTCTGGTGCCCCCGTTACCGGGTTGGCATCGTTCCATCTTATCATTCCCTCGATACTGCGTACCTCGGCGCAGTCTAAACGCTGTAGGTGCTGGTCGAACTCATGCACAAACCGACCCTCTATTCATGATAAGCCTGGCAATGAAGTCGCATCTTGTAAAGGAAACCTACTGAAAACCTCCATCATGATGTGTTTGCCATCCTGAACAAACTTCGCCGGCGATATTAGGTCAATTTCGTGATAAGCTCCACAGAGTGGCTTAATCATCTCGTATGCAGCCTTCGTCTCCCGGATCTACATTTTGGTTAGCAAGGCTTGACTTCCCCAGCGTTCTCCCAGAAGGCGCCACTTGCAATCTGTTCCAAAGCCCCCTCGACTTCCTTCTGCACTTCGGTACCAAACCGCCAAGTAGTTGGATCCAAGGTTCCCACCCGTAGACCTTTCCAGCTCCCCTCGAGGTAGCTAGTATAGCTAGCTGCTGCACCTCTCCCAGGATAGTCATCCGCTAGAACATCCAGCAATAGGGCTAGGTCCTGGGGCGTTTTGCACATAGGCCCAGCCGTATCGACGAAGCTTGAGGCAGGAAATATCCCTCCTTGGGAGACAAGACCCATGGTTGGGCGCAGAGCGTAGAGCGCAGCTCTGGTGGCGGGAGATATGAGAGATCCGATCGAGTCGGTCCCAACTGCAAATGGAGCATATCCAGCACTTGTACCTACTGCTGAGCCCGTTGAAGATCCCCCCGGGCTCTTGATTCATTAGTACGCTTTCGTCATGCGCCATCTCGGGGAACCTTACCGAGTGTCCAAGTTGGGTATCGCTTGGATCAACGTTTCCTGCGGTATATGCCGACTGGCATTGTCCTCCTACGGAGGACCAGCCAGCCATCATCTTGAATTGCCTTGGTATTGTCAGTGACGGGTATGTATGCTGAAAGGGTTCGAAAGTCCAACCTCCACCCAGAAAGCTCCTGTTGAGGCGTGAGTTGTTGTTCACAGAGAGTGGTGGGAAGGTGTGAACTGACTGTGAGCTGTGTTTTGGCAAGGATGATGAGACCAGCCTCCAGCAACTGAGCACACATGAGTATCAGGACCATGGAGACCGTCAAAGTCCCTTACCTTGTCAACAATCGTGGCATTCTGCTTATGTTTGGACGACACGAGAGCAGGGGTTCCACAAGTTGTGTTGAGCCCGAGATTCTCCACCGTCGCCATGTTATCCTAAGACAGAACCGACTGATAAGCATGGTTAAGATGAGAGGAACAGCCAGAGAAGTTTATGGAGGTGGCTTGCGCACCTTGAGCAAGATAGGTATTCCGTGCAAAGGCCCACGAACCCGACCGTTTAGTCTTTCTTCATCAAGTGCCCTGGCCTGCTGGGCCGCTGTTGTTGACACTTGTATGACGGCTTGGAGATAGTCGTCATACGTTGCAATTTGCTTTGAATATATTTCGACCAATCCCACACTCGTCACTATCCCTGATTCCAACAACGCTTTCAACTCGAAAGCAGTTGTCGTGAGTGGATCGAAACATGCTGATGGTGCGTATGCATCGGTGTCATCGTGCACAGAATTCTTTTCGACCTCGGCGTATGACATCATTCTCTCTAGATCCTGTGGACTCATGAACTCGGACCAACGAGAGGAAGGGTAAAAAGGGGGGGGGGGGGCAGAAAAAAAGGGGGCCCTGGCCAAGGGCTAGTGTGTGTGTGTATGTATGCGTGCGGAAGTGCGTTGCGGGTGGGGTGACTACGATGATTCGAGCAAACTATTGAATAAAGGATAGACTTACTGTTTGAAGTTCATTGGATGATACCTCCATGCCTAAACAGTACATTGAACTACCCTGTTGGGTGACCAATGATGGCGAGCTTTGTGTTTGTTGCGGTACACAGATCCGATTTCCGGTGATCCATGCTCGGTTGGCCGGCTCCGTTGTGCACCCGGATGTGGAGCCCCCTGCTAATGTATCGCAGGCCACGCAAAGCTGGAGAGGTATCTACGCCATGGGAACAAAGCCTCTACAGCATCTCACACTCACTGCTGCTACATACTCCAAATTAATCAGGTCCCGTTCAATCATGGACAACATGAAGACTTCGCCGGAGTTTGAGCCCATGCTGGGCAAAGACAGGGAAGAATTGCCTTTCTCTATGGAATCGAAATCATCCAGCAAGCTCAAAAGCATTCGGCCATTCCTAATTCGATCTCTATGTTTTCTCACAGGCGCGCTTGTGTCGTGCACTTTGCTGTGGGCTCTCAATGGGGCCGACTTCTCCAAGCACCAAGCTCACCCACACGAGACGCACCCAGCCGCCCATGTGGACCTTGACAGCAGCGCCAGTTACTCAGACGATCACTACAAACCCACACACCGATGCGGCCAAACTGCCGACGAGGCACGGGCAAACAACTGCATCCTGAATCTGGCCAACTACGCCTGGGTGCCGCGCGACTGCTACGATGCCGAGCTTGTGGAAGAAACCATTACAGGCTGGGAGTGGTTCCGAGACTACGACATGACCGATCTGGTCCCCCACCCAGAAGTGCTCCGGGGCGAGCTGGAATTATTCTACCAGCCCTTTGATCAACATGAGAAGCATTGCGTCTACATCTGGAAGCGACTATATCGAGCCACCTTGAGTGGCAAGGGAAGCAAGAAATTAGAGGTGTCTGGTGCTGCTTCGTATCCTCACGTGGAACATTGTGGGCGTGTGCTGCTAAGAGATAACTCGACCGGTCATTTGTCGGTGACAGTGGCAAAAGGCCAGATCATATTTCCAAAGTGTTAAAAGGGCTCGCCATGATACCAGCTTGTTATATTAGCAATGAATATGAAGTTTTCTTCGACCTTTCTCGTTTGTCATGGTCTTATGACCTATATCCATGCACTTGAACGGCTCAGGTAGACATCATAGCAACACAACAGGACATCTTGAGATACGATGAGAATACTGAGATTGGTGTTGCTCCATTTAAGAAGTGACATGAATCATATCGTGGGCAGGTGTTTTGCTGTCAGGGCATGTGTGCTCTGTGTCTCGTGCGTCCATGTTCACTGCCCAAACCGTTCCTCATGCCACCTCACCTCTCTTCCTCTCGCCACAAAACGCCCAACTTCTCTTCTCAAATCCCTACAAATACCAACTGGTCCACACGATAGAACTGCAACCCGTTCTTTTTCAGAACTATCCCGGAAGAAGTCGTCGACAATGGCTCTCAGATCTGGTCTGCCTAAACGAGTCTGCGGGGAGAGTTGCCCACCGGTTCCGCCTCGAGGCTCTAGCGAAACCGAGTCTTCTTCGCTGTCTAGCAAGGCGCTCAAGTCTTCATCATCCTCCTTTTGGTTCCTTCTGTTCGACCCGGTGACAAAGATGGTGGTGACATCGCCCAATGTAGGACGTTTTGTGTCGCTCTTCTGAGGTTCGAAAAGGCCAGGTCCCCATGAAGTGTCATCATGCGAGCGAACCACCCAGACCACCTGCACACGTCTCCGGGCAGAGTATAGGTCGTGGTCTCCCAGCTTCAAAACGATTGTTTCGGCCACTGCCAAGGCGTACGTGGCTCCAATTCCCCCGGCTACAAGCAACACCCGATCCGTATCTGAACACAAAGCCTCGGAGAATATTCCAGTACCGTAAGGACCCTCAACTGCCAATCGAGCCTTCTCAGGGAGACCCCGGAGTGCGTTCGTTCGAGCTCCGCGGTTCTTGATGTGGAATTCTAATCGTCCTGCTCGGGGATTCACGGCAACTGTGAAAGGGTTGGAAAAGAACCGGGCCCACAGATTCGCCCGAAGAGTCTTGTGTTTCGGTGAGAGATACGCGTAGGTTCCGGATGAGTACGATGATACAAGGCCGGCCTTGTTCAAGACCGAGATGCTAGTAACCGTTGGATGTGCATCAGGGATGATCTCCGCCTCCACAATGTTCGTCGCTCGACCCCGGGACACCATGTTGATGACATATACCAGCGCACTCTCCAAGACGTAGAGTCGAGTCGAAGCCACATGGAAGAACAACAAAATCAGAAGAGAGAGGACCATAACATGGTGCATACCAACAAAGAATTGATAACTTTGCCGGCGCGCTTTTGCCGAGCTCAAGACGCCTACGTGGATGAGGGCCAGGCCCGCAAAGAGGCCCAGCACGACTTCGAAATCCTGGATCCTTCTCGCCATGCGTTGAGTTTTCGCCAAGAAGGCCACGTACATGACGGAGTGCAGTACCCCAAGGAAGACGATGACCCGACCAATAACACGATGAAAAGGATCTAGTTCTTGATGAGAGACTCTCAGCAGCTGTTGGAACGGCGACCAATGCGTTTTGACCGCAAGCAAAGTACAGGTGGGAAGCTGTGACACAGCGACCAGACCGACGTGGCGGGTGAATTGGATGAAATCTTGCCTGGTGTTAACAAATTGATACATGGACAGGGCGAAGGGGTCTGGGGTGAAGCGCATACTTCCTCCAGTACCAGCAAGTGCAAGCATGATCAAAAACAGTGTCCAGCCAATACCAAAAATCCACTCAATATTGGTGCCCCAGCTGTAGGCCAGTTCATCCTGGAGCCGCCATGCCACACGATCCAAAGCTTTAGACCAATTGGATCGAGATGCTACATCTTCATCACGCCGTCGAAGAAGAGGGAGGAGTTGGAGTACAACGAGCGGGGGGATGGTGCTCAGTTGTGCCCAAGCTGCGACATTCCACATGGCTTCTGGCTGAGGACTTGTTGTAGATTGTTCTCCTTCCAAAGACAAATGATGGATGAGTTCAAATGTTCAAAATTATTAAAACGTCGCTGTATCTGATATTTACAATTCTTCTCCCATTGGCTCGAAGCTGCCCAGGTGAGCTGACATGATCGGAGACCGGATAGGAATGGTCTTGGCAGAGGAGTGCGTGCAGGAAAATATCCGAGGAGCATGGACTTCGGTAATTTAAGCATGATTACTTAGTAGACACGGTCCCAAACCCCGCCGCCGGCTATCAACCACTATGAAGTACTCTGCCAGGACCGCCTCAATGCCTCAGTAATTTGGTCGAAGCCCATTCATATATCTGATCAAAGTCGCGGCAAGTGTGAGTGTCGTCAAAGCTTGGGAATGGACCTTTGAGACGCTCGTCCCAGTAGTAGGAAAAGGGAGTCAAGTCAGACTGGCATTGGACAATTTGACGCAGGAAGTCAAGGCAGTGGTCTGTTTCCGATTTTCATTAGAATCTGGCAGCTTGTTCCATCTCAAATGACTGGGAATTGTCTCGTGTACTTACCTAAATGGTCTTTTCCGGGCGGTTGCTTGTAATAGTCACCGGCCAGGCCTTTGCGGATAACGTTCTGCGGAGTATCATCAGTAACTGCAATATAAACCCCCTTTGGTCCCTGTCTTTTCACTCACCACACAATGTAGGCCATGAAACACGGTCAGCCTGAAGCAATAATGTTGGAAAGTTGTTACTTGAAGGTTGACAGCGGCAGTGGATGGACTCACGACATCATGGACTGGCCGTTCTTGTCCACTGTTCTGATTAGATTCCCGTCCGCAGTCTTGGCATCTTGGTGATCAAATAACAACGCATCGTAACCTTTCAAATCTCTGCGGTTAGCAAATTTGGGACTGTGTCGTTTGTTTCGCATCACAGAATCATGCATCTCATACCGATTGTAACGTTTGCCCATGCCTCATCCAATGCTGGACTTGGGGCTCCAAAGTACTGCGTATGGTCGGGATCAATGGAGCGAAAAGACGTCCCATCTGCACCAATCCTTACGGCACCAGTAAATTGCTGCTGCTTGATGCGGATGTGTGGCACTGCGGATTCTAGTGAGAACGTTAGCAGTTGCATTTGTGGCATTGCATGTCTATGCTTATTACCGTGCTCTGTCATAAAACCAGTCTCGTAACTCCTGCTTATCATTGAGGTGATTTGGTTCCATCCCATTATGGCAGAAAGTGATGCGAAAAGAATCGTTGTTGCGATCCAGAACCGAGAGTCGTGTGAGCGGCGAGCCACATCCCGTAATACCGTCCTGTGTGCGTCCACGGCATCAGGGCTCCCATAAGCCTCCTCATCGGAAGTGCTGCTGAGCAACGCGAACTTGGGCTCTGACCGTCCAAACATTTCGACAGGGAGTGATGATGGGACCTTGGATGCTAGAATTTGTGTAGATGTTCAATGTATGAAAACCCCGCAAGTTGTACTAGAATGGATTTAAAACGATGCGAAGCAGCCGTCGTCTGTCTTCATACCGATTTCGGAAAATCGATCGGATACCGGTTCCGGAGCTGTGGACCCCGGACACTGCTTATTTCTTCGACGAGGTCAATTGGCCCCCCAATTCACATCATCACTCTATCTGGTATTTGGAATAACAATCCCAGACATTGCTCGAAACCCATTCCCTTGCTGTCGCCAAAATGGGTGTCTCTACCGTGATCACTGCTGTAGTGCTAGGACTCGTGAGTTTTCTTGGATGATTTCCCGTGCCTATTGAACTATGAGGTAATTTGCGATACACAGGCAGTAGTGTCCTACATTATCGGAAATGTCGTTTACAATATTTTCTTCCATCCCTTGTCAGGATACCCAGGGCCCAAGCTCTGGGCCGCGACGAGAATCCCACACTCCTACTATTGGGTCAAGGGCACGCTCTTCATCAAAGTGGGCGAAATGCATCGGGAATACGGGAAAGGTACGTGAAACATTATGAGAGAAAAAGATGGTAGTTGACTAAATTGGTGCGCCATGGGAAAGTCGTGCGCAGCGCACCGAACGAACTATCATTTATTCACGAGGAGGCCTGGAGAGACATATACGGCCTTGCTCCCGGAAAGGCACCCTTGCAAAAAGATACATCCTACGCCATTCCAAACCAGGAGTCGGTGGGAATCGTGGCGTGCCAGAATCGCGAGGACCATCAGCGCATCCGTCGAAATTTCTCCCATGTAAGTGCTTCGCCTACACGTGATACATATTGGCAGGAGACTAACATGAGCGAATGCAGGCCTTCAGTGCCAAAGCATTGTACGAGCAAGAGTCCATCATGGGCCGGCATTTCGACAAATTGATGACGAAACTCCATGGGGTAGCAGATTCGGGGGCTCAGGACCTTTACAAATGGTACAGCTACACCAGTCTCGACATCATCAGCGCGCTGACGTTCGGTCAATCTTATAATTGCCTGGACTCTCTGTCGTACCCCGAAGTCTTTGGCAAACTAGGTAAATTTGTCATGAACCGCGTACTCCTCGGCGCTGCCACCCACTATCACCCATTGATTCTTTGGGGGCTCTTACGCTGGGCCCCAGTCGAAGTCCGGAATGGGAAGATGGAATGGCATCGCCACATCAGAAATCTCCTAGATGCTCGGCTCGCTACTAAAGAGGCAGGGCATGATTTGTAAGGTACATGAAGTCCTCATGAACATCCTGGATAGCTTACTGTTTTGCGCAGCACTTCCTATGTAATTCGCCACTTCGATAGACCCACTGGTCTGAAAATGGCCGAAGTACAGGCCACCTACGCATCGTTCATTCTTGGCGGCTCCGATACAGTGGCCATAACCCTGGCCACTGCCACGCACTACTTGCTCACGAATCCTGTCGTTCTGGACAAGCTCAAACTGAAAGTCCGCAGCGCGTTCACTTCTGAGGCCGACATAACCATTGCGCAGGTAACCAATCTGAAATATCTCTTGGCAGTCATTGACGAAGCCATGCGGATCAACCCAGCATGTAAGCTAGAAAGAACACCACTCCCTCATTGCCTTGAGCCTGCATTCTGACGACAAGGAAAACAGTGGCAGATGGGCAAACTCGTGTAACTGGTCCTGAGGGGCTCATAGTCGCTGGGGAGCACATCCCTGCACACACCTCGCTTTCTGTCAGCCCCTGGTCTGCGATGAGATCCCCGCTACATTTCCGCCATCCTGAGGCTTTCGTGCCAGAAAGGTGGCTGTCAAGCAAGGAACCTATCTACCACGACGACAACAAAAGCATGCTCCAGCCATTTGGCATGGGTGCGCGGCATTGCCCTGGTTCAAAGTACTGACCCATGTTCTTTGCAAATATTGTTGTTGTTGTTGCCACCGGCTAACTATGGTGGACAGTATTGCTTACGCTGAAACGAGAGTGATCCTGGCCAGGCTGGTATGGAACTTTGATATGACTCTAGCCGACGGAGGCGTGGACTACATGGAAGGTAGAGAAAGATTTGGCCGCGGGAACCGGACTCCACTGATGGTACATCTCAAACCCCGAATATCGACTGCTAGCCTGTTATAGATTTTCCAACAGATTTGTGGCTTTGGGGCTAGAAATCGAATATCTACTTATCTAATTCCAAAAGCCAGACCCTGCATATATAGACTATTTCTATTCTTTGAGTTCCTCTACTAAGCCGGAACAACAACAAGTGTCCCAGAAGGATAAGGCATAATGAATCTTTTCAGATAGACGCAGTAAGTCTCCCTATACAGGGCTTTTCACAGTAACTTTTTAATCTTCCGCAAACCAGTGTTCTGTCAGAAGCCATCATTACACGCTACTGGTCGTAGCGTTGGGCCGTGCCTAGTCCATTCGCGCCGATGCCGTCAAGGTTGAAGCCATCGCGGGACGGACCCTGCGTATATAACAGTGTTGTCACTACGGCCCATAATAATTAATCCGTTGATGAAATTTCATGATCAATCCAAATGCGGGACTGGTCGCCGGATTAGACTTTGCTTGAGCCGCAGTTGGCGATAACCTTAATTACGACCTGAACAGCCCCACCACCCTAAAAAGTCGGGCTCGCCACAGCGGGGCTCCGGAGTCCCCTCAAGCGGGGGCGACGCACGGAACGGTACGGCCCGGGGCCCTCGAATGGCTGCCTGGGTGTCTCTGCTGATTAGATTGCCGGAGGTGGCCCTGTGGACTCTGCAGCTAGTTTAAGCCACAGATCCGGTAAAGTCGGCAAAGACAGAAATCCGGCAAAGACAGAGATCCGGCACGGTGAACACGCGGGGGAAGTGTCGGCCCACCCAGCTTTTAACGTACACCCACCCAGAGTATACCTATCTAGTACCTAGATTTTAGAGGAAGGCCCTAGTTTTTAAAAGTACCTTTCTAACTAAGCCTACCCTACAACTTACTATTTATAACTATTGAGAACCAATCAGTGGCATTCTCATAACATACACACAGAAAGGCGCGTTAAATATAAGGCAGCAAAAAGAATACCTTAATTGTTTTTCTGTAGTTATGGAAGAGTTTTGCTTAGATCCGGGCAGGTCTTAACGGCCGGCCGTCGCAGCACACAGCGCCCCGCAGCGGCTCCACAGTGGCTTCGCAATGTCCTTCGCAGCGGTCTCCCCCCCCCCCCCCCACTTTCTAGGCAGGATTCACTGTGGCCACGGCGCACTTCAGGTTGGGTTGGTTCTTGCTCCGCCAGCTTCCAATTCGATCACTAAAATAACCTCCGTACGGGTAGCCAAAAGTGGGACGCTGTCTTGGTCCATGGTAGCACTCTTGTGGATAGCCTCAAATACCAAGATCCACTGGCATAGAATTCAGATATCAAGATGCTAGGAAAGTCTCTATGTAATCAAAACTCCCAAGCCCAAGACTTCTATCAATAAAGCCTGCTAGATTCTTGTTTGAGAAAAAGAGGCCGTCCAGCCCAGATATCCCTACAACGCCATCAAAATGTTCGTAGTGTTTGTGACAAACCCAAGAACTGCCAGGCGATTGGTTAGATACTAAAAATTCACCCCACGCTATTGGAAACAATTGTTTAAACTCACTATCTGTGTTCTGGATGACAGTGTGAGATGAACTACATTATTTCTCAGTAGGGAATCGCACAACTTAGGGAATCTGGGCGCTCACGTAATGGGACTGGAAGTGGCAACCAAGTCTTCTAGCAGGATGACATCGAATCCCTGTTGATATCTCTGGTCAGTATTTGTAGAAGAATAACGGATGGTGGACTCCATTGATGTTATATCTCATCCAACCTACCAGAAAAGAACCCTCGAGCATTGAAGCCCACTGCAGGAAAAGTCAGCCTGTCTCACGTTGAGGGGTGAGCGACATTAGTAATACGCACCACACAAACGTCGGTGTTGACGCCAGCAAATAACAAGGTGGTCAAGTTTTGATGATGTAAGTGGGTGAGTAGGCTGGTGTCTCTTTGTCGAAAAGCACTCAAGCGGTCTAGCAATTAGTTGTTGCGACAGCACCCAGGAATGGTGATGGCTTACTCTTTTGAAACCGTGCATCTGTACCCTGCTCTACACCCTCTGCGCGAAGAGATTCCAGCCTGCCGTAGAGCTCAGCGTTCCAGGACCCGCTGATGAGCTTCCTGCCCATGTCAAGACCGTTGTAGAAGCCCATGGACGTTCCAAGTGTACCTAAAACAAAACATCGACAAGTCAAATGGTGCTCGTCCTGGGAGAGGGGCGCGAAAACATCAGGTGGACTGACTGGAGGCGGGTTGATGATGTGTGAAGACGGAGGGAGGCATGGACTCCAGGTCCATTTCATCTAGTTCATACTGCTCATGAATACAGAGGGGTCAGAACTCCACAATCCATGACCAATGCCGCAGTGCACACGAACGTTGGACCAAAGGATCTTGACTCCCGACTTCCGCAGCGTCAAGACGAAGTCGATCGCCGTCGGGACAATGGCACGTCCTGCATCAAAACTTTTCGCAATGTGTTCGTGCAGGTAGACATCTTCCTCGGCGAGCGTCAGTTGAGAATCATGCATGAAATTTTCTTTTCTCCTGGGTAAGGACGAACTTTGCATATCGATCACCATGAGTGCAGTTTTGCTCCAGTCAAGAACCGCCATACTCTTCTGACCCGTCATCCGCACAAGACCAGGAGAGACCGCTGTCGCCTCAGCAGATCGAGTCAAGTCCCAAGCATCATCATAGGATTGAACCCACCTCCAAATATCATCAGCATTCAAGCAAATCGGAAGGGAGAGGAGTGAGCCCACCTGTTTACAGGATCAACACCATAGATTTCTGGCTCCCGACGCAAGGCCGAGCACAGGGCCCCTAGGCCAGTAAGCAAACGAGCCAGGAGTGGCATTTTCATGTTTGGTGTGGTGACAACCATGGCGAGGCTTGTGGTCTCTTCGAGCCCGTCAACGACCAGTATGGGATTTCAGAATGGAGCACTGGCCAAGCACGTGGTGTCGGGTATTTTGAGCTCCGGAAAGGTGCAACCACCCTCTGCTGACCGGAACTGTAACTAGCACCGGACCGACGGTAGGACGGGAAAGAAGAGGACACATCACAGACAACAATGCGTGTCCATTCTATTTAATTGCCAGATGAGATACAAGAATCTTTCCTAGTGAATGATCAAACACATTTCGACATTTCTGGTTGATACGCCTCATACTTCAATTTCAGGCCCGCACTCCCAACGCGCGAGCACCGACGCCCAAACTTGACCATGACCACCACACTCTCTCAGGAAGCAGGCAAGAAACTACTGCTCGACTTCTACAAGGCCTGCGACGCATTTGACTTCCCTGCCATCCAGGACTATCTCACCGAAGATTGCAAAGCGGACATCGGGAATGCTGTCGTCTGCGGAAATCCGGATGAGGTGGTAGCGGTGAGCGAATTCCCCGGAGACGTGCGAGGAAGAAGGTATCCCCCCTTTTATTCGCGTACTCTGGCTCACGACTCCCCCTCGGCTTCTTGTAGCACTTCCAAAGAGTTTTCACGCCTCTAGAGTCGTTCACACACCAGATCGACCACGTAGGTGAGTTTGAAAGCCCTGCACTAGCTATCGGGACGGGTTTCTAACCCAGACATGTAAAGATGTCGTAGGCGATCGGATCTACTGCCTGCAGACGGCGTTGGTAGTGGTCAAGGATGAGCCGCGAGAAGGGAAAGATCGCGTCATCTCGTTTCAAGGCATGGTGATGTTCCGCGTGAGTCTGGAAAGCGACCAAATCTGGAGAATCCAATACATCAAAGGCGTTGCGGACGGATCAACCGTGTTCAAGAGAATTACCGAGCTCAAGAGCCAGCAAAACGGAAAGTAGTCAATGTAGCACGCCGGATAGATGAGGTTTAACTTTTGTCATTTTTCTCTTCAAAAGGGATGTGCCCGATGTCAATGGAACTCGTTTCTGCTCATCTGCCTCACAGCGCCGGGCCTCTCGGGCTTATCTGCCTTTTCAGAGACCACGGACCGGGCGTGCCTGCTGAGCTCGAGTACCTGCTCCAGCGGAACATCAAACTCTAGAGATAACTTGCCCAAGATGCCGCAGGCCAGACCCAAGTACGAGAGGTCCTTCCGTTCGGCCTCGGCGGACCGCATGACCGCCCTGAAGATGGTGCAGACGGCGATGAGAGGGAGGTGTAGTAGGTGGCTTCGGCGTCACAACTGTCAGACCTCCTGCTCCGGCGCACGTGGTGTAGATGTCATTGGGTGTCGCGACTTACCGATCGATCAAGGCGGCGGCGAGACTGAGGTGGCTACCTACGAGCAACACGACTCTCGCCGATGCCAGACAGGTGTGTTCGCAGCGGTAGATGCACTGTTGGAACATCTCCAGTCCCGTGCAGTCAACAGGCAGTCGGGAGATGGGCCCGTACATGGCGAAGAGCGCCTGGTGGTACTGGTAGAGCATGTAGAGCTGGAGGGAGTGCTCTGTGGGCTCACCGAGTGCCCCCTGATGCCCATCCGAGTCAATGAATTTCCTGTACGCATGTGGTAGCGCCCCTTTCCATGCCTCCAGCTGGCCGCGCAGGTTGGAGATGGTGCGGTCAAAGTGCTCCACCGAGCGCAGGGGCGACTTGGTGTGATAGAGCTCCTTGGCGATCGCGGACGAGACTCGGGCGTACAAGACCAGGACATGCAGCCAGTCGAAGTCGTGTGGCCCCCGGTGGCGCTTGGTAGGGGACGGCGGTGGGTATTGAATGTTGCCATCATCAATGATGGAAAAGGTACCTTGGGTGAGACAGAATGTCTTCTCCATCGAATATAGATACCAAAAAGCGCGCTTTGCGCGGCTTTCCAGCTCGGGTGTCGGGTTTAGCTGCGTCTTGGTTGCCCGCTCGCTGTTCAACCGAAGCGATTGGGCACATTGTGTAGCCTGGGCGAGCAGCCCAGCCGTTAATTGGTAGTTCATCCTCTGGGAGAAAGACACCTATAGAAACAAGTCAGTTCAAGGGAGGATTCATCGTGCGACGACGAGGGAGTTGAGAATAACATCTAGTGTACCATGGTCAAGAGGGCCTTGAAAAACCCAGTTGTCAGCATCTTTCTTGACACGTACGTGTAGGGGACCGTGGAGGTTGACCCACTTGGAATTTGAGCAACGAATCCTCCACATACACCAGCCCATCTCGGAGGCTCGAAGCAGTTGAAAAATAGGCTTGGCCGTTGGAGTTATGGCTCGAAAAGCTGTCTCTGGGCGTCCTCGCGGATAAGATGTGTGCACCAAGCGCCAGCACAGCATTGATCAGACAGGCGGCGACCTTTTGCTCCCCTGACCTTCCTTTGGCGTGCCGCGCTTGCTGAATAACGTCATTGACGGATTGCTTGGTGAGGAAGGTTCCGACCCTAAATCAGTGATTAGACCAATTCGCACTCAACACACATGGAAAGATTCGTTGCTTACCCAATTGGATCTTCACAGCAAGCTTTGTAGACTGCATTAGCTTCCGCCGCCTCCGACACCTGGCGAGAATATGAGACGTACCGGTAATATACTCGCCAATAGCATCCGAGTCGGGGAGCATGGCCCGAACCTCGAGGATGTCCGGTGTACCAGGTTGCTGGTAAATGGTCTGCCTCGGGGCCAGGGTCTTCATGATGTCGACAATCTCGCTCTGCGTCCTGCGGTCCAGGGGACAGTCCCCAAAGTCCATGAGGAATGCTGAGCACGTCGAGTAGTCAAGGACAGAAAGCGGATCTACTTCCAGTTAGCCTTTACCGCATGGGTTCGCCGCAGAGCACGCGGTCATCTCACTGTCAGGTCCATGGTCTGAAGGCTACAGAGATGCGCGTCAGCAAAATGCGCAAAGGATCCATGGCAGTGAAGTATGAGCCGGGCACCTACAATAAGTTCGAGTCGACCTGTACCGCGGTCAAATTGTATCAGACCTAGGTGGTCAAAGTCCAGGTGGTTAGGAAGTAAGTGGACAGGGCTGTTGAGCGTAATAGTGGTTTCATCAGTGGCAGTGGTTGGCCTAATCTGGTCCGGTTCGTCCAGAGGAACAACCGTCTGGACCGGTGTTGTTACGGCGAACTGCGACAGGTCGAATGAGTCTTCCGTGAACATTGAGTTCCAGTCCTGGTTATTGATGTCCTGGGGGAAAAGCGAGGGTGTTTGTTGCCCATGGTATGTGCTTGAGTTCGGTATGGCAGGGGCCCTTGGTGTGAGGGATCCCTGGCTTGGCGAATGTGTCGACACGCCGTCGGAGACCTGTATGGGGATTGAGGAAGATGGTGTAATGAGGGAGATTGCTGTCGGTAGGGGTTCACCATCCTTGTGGTGGGCGGTCTCTGGCACCACGCTTGGCGAGCCCGGCCTGGCAGGACCCCAAACAATAGTCTCTTCGTTGGAGTTTTCGGAGCTGCGGCTCCAGGACCTGGCGTGTTTCCACCGCTTCATGGTGGAAACATATCGACACTCATCCCCGGATTTCTGTGTCTGTTAGCTCAGACCCCGGAGTGGGAGTGAGCCACAAACGCCTCTTACCTTGCACGCGGAACATGGCCTCCCTCCATCGCCTGCATACCAGACATCTTGGTCAGCGTGGTTGGTATCAAAAGCAACCGTCGAAAGATAGACTGACAGCGTACTTTCTTGGGTCTACAGCCCTCGCATGCACCTCTTCGCCGCTTCAGGGGCTTTCTCGCCTGCTGGGCATGCTCCTGAGAATCTGCGTGGGCGTCATGTCGGTCACTGCTGCTGTCGATCTCCATTTTGACCCGGCTGGCTCAGGAGCCGGAAAGACACGAAACGCTTTCCCCGGATAGGGCTCGCGGGAATATAATATACACTCAAAAGATCTTTTGCTATGAACCAACACGGCCCCCAACACGCATCGCATCATAGATTCCACACAGTTCCAAGCGAGGGAGCTGGCGGGGCCTTCTCAGCTAGTCGCCGCTAAGCTACTGCAGTGAGAATCCATCGTGGTCAGCGTCTCGCGACTCGAGTGTGTAATTGGCCGAGGAGGTACAAGTGCAGTCTTTTATCAGACCGGGTCCCCGAGGCCCTGTTGTCTCGAATCCTCCGGCGACGAACGGAAAATATTGCTGGACAGAGCCGGGGGCTAGTGCGATCGATCCGGCCCCGCCTCTTTGGTTTCCGGGGCCCGGAAATTCGAATACCGGGCGAGGCTGCCAAGCGGGGGATTCGATAAGACGTGCCGCCTTCCTGTTCGAGCGTAGAAAAACGCCATCTTAAGTTAGCCGTAAACTGGGGTTGATGTTGGCGGAACATCCAAACCAAGCGAGATCTATAGATGTTCGTTAGACTCGGCAGCAAGTGGGTTTGCGTTACAGTACGGCGCAGCATAAGACATGATCCAGAACCTGATCCAGATACAGAGTCCCACACTATCTAGGTACCATGAGACGGGCTAACGCTTGTTGGGCATAAAGATCGAGAGTTGCAGGAGCAGGCCAACATCTCTTAAAAGACCCACCCAATCAGCCGAAGAGGACTGACTGTGGACCTCGGTGTGGCAAACCCGTACCTACGCGCCGTAGACCAACAGGCGGGTTGGTGTTGTTTTCACGCCCTTTCGGAAGACCATGCATATCGACAAGCATGTCGACAAGCTCTGCTTGGCGCCAGCCCTGCCGCAACGGGGCGGCCCACGGCTAATACCACGGGTACTAGAGAAACACCTGCCCGATCAGTGGATGGCTTACGAGAGCAAAGCCACCCCTGCCTTGTTGCTGCAGTCGACAACAAAACGAGGTGCATTCCAACGGCTGGCTGGGCGTGGACGAGGAAGCAGCCGCACCCCAAACACAACACCCGCGCCTCTTGAGCAGTGAAGCAGAGACTTGGCGATGGATTCAGGTTCAGAGCGCGCCGCCGACTTTGAGGTGCAATGGGACGGTGACGATGATAAACGAAACCCCCAGAACTGGGCGGCGTGGTACAAGGGGATGACGTTCGGCACCATGTCGTTTGCGATGCTCGTCGTGATTCTGAACTCGACGTCGTACCCCAACAGCCTCCCCAGCATCATGGCCGAGTTCAAGGGCGAAACGCAGACGCGCGCGAACCTGGGCGTCATGACCTATTTCCTGGGCTTCGCCGTCGGGCCGCTGGTCCTGGCCCCGCTGAGCGAGATCTACGGACGGCGACCCATCTACGCCATCTTTATGCTCCTGTTCGCCGTCACCGTCATCCCCAGTGCCCTTGCCCATAGCCTGAACGACATCATCGGCGTCAGGTTCCTCAGGTTCGTCTTGCATCTCTATCCATCCGCCCGCCTGACGCCTGCCTTTGCTAACTCCTCTCTTCGTCTGCAGTGGCCTCGTGGGGTCCGTGATGCTGTCCTGCGCCCCAGGCACCATTGTCGATGTCGCCAGCGAAAAGTATCGCGCTCTTGCCTTCTCCATCTTCTGTATCGCGCCGGCCGAGGCGCCCACCATCGGTGCCGTGATGGGCGGCTTTTCTTCCGAGTATCTTGGCTGGCGCTGGACGAATGGGATCGTGTGCATGCTGGCCGGAGTGGCATGGGTCGTCATGTCCCTCATCCCCGAGACATATGCGCCTGTCCTTCTGCGCAGGATGGCTGCGCAGAAGCGCAAGGAGACGGGCGACGACCGATACTGGACTCGTTTCGAACATAACCGGACATCCCTGCCGGACTTGTTGAAGACAAACCTCTCTCGTCCCTTCGTTCTCTCGGTAACCGAGCCAATCTTGTGCGCCCCCTTGCCTCGCGTCCTCATAGCCATTGGCTAACTCTCACAGGATATTCTGGAACCTGTACATCGGAGCTATCTACGCCATATTCTATCTCGTTTTTGTGGCCTACCCGTACGATTCAAACCCTTCCACCAATCCCTTTGTACTATAATGTGCTGATCGTCCCCAGGATTGTTTTCAAGCAGATTCGTGGATGGAACTCTGGCATTGGCAGCCTGTCGTTTGCCGGTATCGGCATCGGGGCCATGTGTACCATCTGCTCCGAGCCTCTCCTGCGCAAAATGGTCGAGGCCCACAAGCATGACCCCAAGACGGGACGCCCTTCCCCGGAGGCGGGCATCAGCATCATCTGCTTGGCAGCATGTCTCGCACCGATAGGCCAGCTCTGGTTCTCCTGGACCTGCGAGCCCGCGAGCATCCACTGGGCTATACCCATCGCGGCTGGGATACCCTTCGGGTGCGGCACGACCATGGTGCTGATATACGGCAGTAGCTACATCTCCGGCACGTACGGTCTCTTCGCTGCATCGGCCATGGTGGGCAACAACCTGATGAAGAACGTCCTCGGCGGTTTCCTGCCACTGGCCGGGCCCGCCATGTTCGGCAGGCTGGGCCCGCGGTGGGCGGGGACTGTCTTGGGGCTGCTGGAGGTGGTCCTGATCCCCATCCCATTCGTTTTCTACTTCAAGGGCGCCGCGATTCGGAACCGGAGCCCCGTTGTAGCGAAGCTCAAAGAGCTTCAACTACCCGCAAAACCCGACGTTAGCGCTGAAGAACCGGTACGTTTGAATATCCCTCACCAGACAGCGATTGCGCAACCTAACTTTCATCCAGATTGTCTCCGAAATCACGAAGCCAGTACCAGATGTAGATATCACCACTGCAGGAAAGGAGGATAGTGAGAAGTGAACAGGTGCTTTCCGCACAATCTTGCAACTCTAGACTTCACTCAACGGGCCCAGCTACTTCTTTTTGCCCCCATTCTTCTTTGGAAATATGCTGAAGTGAATGGGCCCAAGCCCCAGACTCTTCACTTCTCAAATACATTTTACCCGTGTTCTTTGTGGTAATATGGTTGTTTTCTATTGCAAACACTATTACATGGCAAGGCGCTCTTCTCATCAAAGACAAATACAGGCTGCATCATTTGTGGGTCTAGACTCCATATGCATTTATATCAGCCATCACCAGAGCCTCAAATGCTTCGCTCCTTGGCCCACGTCTTGATGTCGTCCCAGTTCCGACAGTTATGCGTGGCCCCCCAGCCATCTGCGCCTTGCGTGTTCTTAATTAGGGGGTTCTCACTGTGCTGGACGCCCTCCAGCGTTGTGTCACCAGCACACATGATGGCCTGGCGAAGGAAGTCGAAACAGTGGCTGTAATGCCCAATGTCACCCTTCATCTCTTCATGTTGATGCAGTCTCTGGAACCCTTCGAATATCAAGCCCTAGTGAAAGCGATTAGCATCAGCTGTAGCCGTTCCACTTCTGGAGTTCCAGACAACGCACCAGACAGTGTAGCTGATGGAAAGCCGAGATGATGTATGCTGACTTTCCGTGCTTGATGATGGGCTCGGGTAGGTCATATTGATCTGGCCGCGAGATGGGAATGGTGGCGTCTGCCATTCATGATTAATCATTTGCCCTCATCTATTTCTGGATCGATCGACGTACCTCGTTGCAGACGATCCCATAGTACGAGTGCCTCGTCGAGGTTGAAGGAAGAGTCGTCAAAATGTGCGCCCCCAAATTCACTCGCCTGATAGTCGCTGCTGTTGTAGGGCACATAGGCGCGGTCAGGTCGAAAGACCACCCATTTCCTTGAAACTGCACCGTCTGGTCAGGTCGAATACCAAGACGCATAAAAAGAGTGAGAAACTTACACTCTGGTGTGAGATGGTTGCGGTCACCGGCGTACTGCTCGTGACGGAGTGCGGCCTCTCTCCCCAGAAGCAAGCCTAATAGTACACTCAACAGGAAGAATAAGACGAAGATCCACAACCCGCACGAGTTCAGCCGGGCCCTCTTTGGTTGCAGGATGTGTAGCCTGGAGTTCCTCGTGACCAAGTCATCAGCAAAGTCATCTCTCGCGAGGTCCAGAGAGTCGCTCCGTTTGCCCTCGTCATCCTGAAGGCAGACATTTTTGAGTGTGGCATAATCGTATGAGGGCTCCATTGTGCAAAAGAAGGTGGTCATTCAGGGAGACGAACGTGCTAGAGGCCGATGGAACTCTGAGAACAGGCGAGCGATGCTGCATGTAGGGGCACTCTAACGAGCTGGGCGCCCCGAGCCGGCTATGGTTGTAGGTTACGTTACAGTGTGTTCCGAACTCAAAGTCAATAATACCAAAGGTGCTCCAGCCGAACTTTCGTCTGGATAATATGCAGGCCGAGTGGATCCCGGAACGCATGTTTCTGTAGCCGAGTGGGACCCTGCTTTGCCCTGGGCGAGAAGGACTGCGGCGGGTAATATTCCAAACTCGGTTACCACTACGCGCTGAGCCATCGCATGGGTGCGTCTAGGTTGCCACACGGAATACCAGCCAAAATTTCCGCTAACATCCGAAATCATGGAAAACCAGGTGAGAGGCGTAAGTCCCATTCAAGTTTTCATCTTCGCTGCTACTCTATGTAGGTACTCGAGAGGGGCTCCTGTGCTTCGATGTCTCAGAGGTTTGCATTCACGTCCATGATGCAGCTGTTGATGACGAAGGGACGAGGAAGGGATGAGTTTGGCATTCAGGACGACTTTAAAACCTTGGTGTTGAGAGAGCCTTGTGGATTGAGACGAGGTCATCGCCAGATGGTCATTATTGGAAGGTCTGCATCGAGCACGCTTTTGCTACTCAGTGATCAAATTATGTGACCACTGGGTTAAATATAAGGCACCTTATTCTGCAATTGGTATCTTTATGAATTTAAAATTGGTATCTTTATGAATTTAAAATATTCTCGTTGAATTGAACATTGTGTTCGACGCTTGTTTCTTCAAAGCCTGTTAAACATAGAGGTCGAGATGGAGAGACATCAAATATCTCCCCGCTTTCACCAGCCATCTGTTCGAGTGGTGATACCGTCAAAATCACAAATTTTAACAACACGAAAATTTGTTTCGATTCTCCTATATTTAGGATATCATTCTACCTGTGCGATACGACAATATAGTAGAGTCTAATACGGCTGGACTGTGCCGTTCTTTGGAAAAACTCTTGACGGCTCATCAGCCCAGCTCCGAAGAGCATGGTAGTCCCGGCACATATGGTCAACGCCAATGACTGGACCATCCGGGTCCTCATATCCGTGTCCTTCAGTGGTAGCGTCCGCAAAGCACATGAGTGTTTGTCGAACGTAGTTGAAGCAATGGATGATGTGTTCAACATCCGCCGTTGGCGGGAGGCCGTTCCTAACAGCGCCGTTGTCTGCAAGGATTGCCCCCTGCGGTGCGATCTCGGTCAGTTTCACGAGTCCAACTTTCCGCCCGAGAGCGTTGTTTGGCAGGGAACATACCAGACAATGCACTTGATGTGGTGCCGCCACTGTGAAGACATCGCCCAGCTCACTATGTTGGGGATACTGAGAGCTTTCGTGCAAATCGCCGCTAGTGAAGACGTAGCCATCTGAAATGATGGCGTTAGGACTCAGCCAGTACTTAAAAGGGTGCGGGGGGCAAATGATTCCATACAGCGCCATAGTTTGTCCCACTCCGCAAGACTGCGTTGAAGTATTGTCATATTGTCAAAAACATCATTACCCAGCCAGTAGGGGTCGCCTTCGACTTCTCCAAATCGGACGGGCTTCAAGGTGGCACCAGTTTCTGTCCAGCATCAGTTTCAAAGCTTCTTAAAACGACGGGCGTAGAGAAGTCATTACCCTTAGGTATGAAGCCATGCATATCCTCGCCAAGAATTCGTCTTGGTTGAACTGCTTTAGACTTTTCGCTCCATAGCGATGAAGCTAGGAGACCGATGACAGTCAGGAGGAAGAGGTCAAGGGTGAGATGCAAGGCCTGCGAGCGCGACCATTTTCTCGGCCGAGCTGTGTAATCTCGAACGGGCGACAGGAAAGCCTTTTCTTCGTATGTGTCTCCGTTCAGAGGCATCGAGAGGTCCTCCAGGCTTGGTGAATCATGATGGTCCATATCTCGAAGCAACAGTAATGTCACAACACGGCTGGGTGTTCGTGGTATGGTGACGAGACAGGATAACTTGGTCAATAGCATTCATCCACGAGCCCCCGGAGCTACTGATGTGCAGTAAACCAGTCATCTCTTTCTTGGTCCACATACTTCAAGCGGTACGAAGGATCGGAATTCGGAAACTTGCATCGGTAAGGTACCACTATAAGTGCTTAGTTGGTAACAAACCGGGCAAAGTTGTCAGCTTCCGGGAAACCCGAACCTCCCATTGGTTGAATTGGCTCGGCGGAGGAGAGCTGATAAGCAGCTACCGCAAAATGAACCCAGATGATCGTCACGTGGCGAACAGTGATCGCTAGGGTAAATGAAAGGCTGGCACTTGAGTTCTTGGGACAAGAAGATTATGACAGAGGGATTCATGACACGGTAGAATTCTGAAATATCGACGTCCGTATGAGGATAAAGGTACTTGGACAAGATGCGATTCAAATGAGCAGTATGGACTGTTTGTATTCTTTGAGTTCCTCTACTAAGCTGGAACGGCATTAAGTGCCCTATGAGGACAAGGAACAATGTGTCTTATAGACGATAACAGTAATATTCGATATGCAAGACTTTAAACAGTGACTTTCCACTCTACTTTTGCAAACTAGTGTTCTGTTACCAAATGAGAAGTATTTTAGCTGAGAAGTATGGAGTAACTGGCGCTGCACTAATATCAGCTCGACATCGGCCCCGATCGGCCCCGATTAATCTCTTAGCGTCGATCTCAGCCGTTGAGATCGCCCTTGGCATAAATGTGGATGCTCTTGGAGTCCGCCCAGCTGGTCAACGAATCAAGATTCCGACAGGTGTGGTGTACGCCCCACCCACTAGCAATCTCTTTTGAGGGGTGAATACCGTCCTCCTGAAAAAGTGGCTCGAGAGTAGCATCAGCATAGCAGGTCAAGGCATGTCTGATGATCTCCACGCAATGACCCATGTGCGAGCCGATAGTGTAGCCTTCGCTGAAGTGTGCCTGGCCAGGGAACGGTTGCTCCAATGCTGTCGAGCCGTTGTTGAGGAGCGTGTGCCAGGCGAAGCGTACAACGGCGCTGTGCCTTGATGAGCAAGGGAAGCTCGAGAGGGGGCAAGAAGATGGACTGGCTCTTAACTCACAGGCAGTGCAGTTGGTGGTAGGCGGCGAGCGAGTACGCATGCGGGCCACCTTCGACCAATTGGGTGGATGGAGGAAGGCCGTATTGCTCTGGTTCATGAATCTCAACGAAGCCTAGTAGATGATGCTGTTTGTCAGTTCGCTATACTACTGGGGCCGGCATTCCAAGAGCTTCTGTGCCTCTCTTACGTGACTCGTATGCCAGCCAAGCATCCTCACTCTCCTTGTCAGTTCGCTCGAGGTTGAATAGTGGATCGATCATGAAGACTTCCGACACGACGGGATCGGTGATATCTGAGGAGTCTAGTCAACAACGGCCGAACAGAGATCAAACTCAAGTGCTAACTCACAATTGGGCACCCCTGGATGCCGGACGCGTTGGAAATGAGAGTGCGGTAAGTAGAAGGAATGAAGAGACCACCCCATCCACACGCATGAAGTCGCCACAAGAGCCACTGAGAATATCTGCATACCACGAGTTCCCTTGGCTGTCCTGGCCCCAATCAGTGATTGACTTCCCATTTTCCTTTCATATGAACCACTCACTTGTACCTGGTGCTATTTTCAAGGGACTCGTTGTCAGAGTCCGTGGCCTGAAGGGCAGAATACTCTTGCTTCTCAGACCGAGCAGGACCTCGAGCCTTCCCAGCCCAGGCCATCTTGAATTGTTGGAATCCGAAGACCATTTTCGATGAGGAGATTCCTTGAGACGAAGATGGGGGAAGAAAGAGGAAAGATTCATTCAACTTGCGCACGTTGTCAGGAAGAAGCAGGCGACGCGACGGTTTTCTGCGGAGCTGGCTTATACGCATACCTAGGCCTAGGCACCCCGTCGGATACAAGTCCGGAATCAGCCCACACCAGCAATTCCTCGGGTCAAGAATTTCCACCGAGTTTGCCGAAGCTGGCTTAATGATCTACTCTGTACCAGACCAACACCTCTCCAGGGCTCGAATGCTTAGCGCGCACCGTTCCACTCTCTTTCAGATTTCACCAAGATCCACGCCAATAGGTCTGAGCCTCATCTTAGCCCCAAACAGTCTCAAGCCCAACAATGCCTCAGCTCGCCGTTAGTACATGAAATTGAGATGATGGCCAGTATGCTGATTCGTTGCAAAGGAAAAGTCTACGCCCCTATCATCTCGTCTTGACGAGGACGGGCCAATCTCGCCAGGATCTTGGAGCGAGAGAGCAGATGCGTCCAACTGGCGACAACCAAAATGGACCTCCCGAGGAAGAGGCATTCGACCTTTCGTGCTCCTGTGCACTGCCGCCGCTGTCTTTGTTGTGACTGCCGGATTAGGGGTTGCATCAAAGCTGGTTTCGACCTACGACAGAGAACCTGTCCATCAATCCGCCATCCCTGCGGCCAGGTTCCACTGTGGCAGCACAACTGCCGAGGCCGAAGCGCTTGGCTGTACCTACAATGAGCTTGAACTAGGTTGGCTTCCTCAGGCGTGCCAGGACCACGAAATCACAGAGCTCTTCCACCAAGCAGGCCCCTGGACGTATTATTCTGACCCCAACAAGACCACAGAGCTCACCCTGGAGGAGGTGTCGCGAACAGTGGACGCTGACGAACACATATGGATGTCACAGCGGTGGCACAGCGTCCATTGCCTATTTCAGTGGAAGAAGATGCATCGCGCTGTTATGCTGAACTCCGGCCGCATGGCGGAGGGACTTGCAGACTATCACCACACCATGCACTGCGAAAGCGTTATAATGGACGAACTCACAGGGAAGGACGCCGAGGGAATGACGGCAGAGGGCATCGTGGAGTTGATGAGCTGTTGAAAGGTTCCTCTTTTTTTTTTGGGGGGGGGGGATTCAGTGGATTCCGTGGACTGGGGATGGATTGACAACACAGGGCCACCGCTTGCCTGTGATTCGGATGCTTAGACATGTTGATTTTCGATTCTGTCTAAGTATCTACTTAGATATGTTGGTTGGCAATTTAGGCTGCGTCATCTAGATCTTTGTGTTCAACGCACTGCAGCCGCGTCATTTGAGCGAGCGTCTAGAGAGATGACTTACGAAGATCAATCGAGTTGTCACAAAGCGCGCTGTTCATAGCCACTACATTGCTAGGCTACCCTCGCGATGACGCGACTCCACGCCAAATCTACCGTTCAAGATCCAACAGCATCTGCGTATGAGTCTCACATGCATTTTTGCGCCATGGTTTCATGTTTGCTGCCTACGAGGTTTACTGCTTAGGATTCCACTGCGCTCTATCCAGCATCAACAAACCCTCGGCTCGAGCCGAAGGGATTGCGGTTCGTACAAAGTCGTAGACAGCGGAATGCACCGTGGGAAGCCATCGGCAAAGCACATTTGTCAGGTGACTGGCTAAATCTCAATACCGGTTCCGACGAGCTTTGCTCTGGTTCGGTAACGCAACTGAGAAACCATCTGCACCACGACCAGAGGTTTCATCTCACCGGCTCTGACTTGCATCTGCCTCCTTTTGACATCTAGTTGTCCGAGCCAAGGGCCTTGCCGAGCACAGCATCGAGCTCACGGAAAGCCTTGCCGAAGCCATGCCCATGAAGCTGGAAGTCCAAAATTAGTACTAATAACGACGACAACACGAGTTTACAGAACTTTGATCAGACCACAATCAGCCCACTTGATCAGTCCAACAGTGTACTACTGCAAAAGCCTCTTTCACGCTCTCCAAGCCAGAGTATCACCAACACCAGAACCATGAAGTTCACTCAAGCTATCGTTTCTGCCGTCTTGGCCACCAGCTTCGTCACTGCCGCTGTCCTTCCAGCTCGCAACATCATTGTTTCCGAGCCCGAGGCTGCCAACAAGCGCAACATCATCGTCTCTGAGCCCGAGGCTGAGAAGAAGCGCAACATCATTGTTTCCGAGCCCGAGACTGTCACCTCCAAGCGTAACATTATCGTCTCTGAGCCCGAGGCCGCCGAAAAGCGTAACATCATTGTTTCCGAGCCCGAGGCTGCCAACAAGCGCAACATCATCGTCTCTGAGCCTGAAGCTGCCGAGGCCAAGCGCAACATTATTGTGTCTGAGCCTGAGGTTGCTGAATCCAAGCGTAACATTATTGTTTCCGAGCCCGAGACCGCCAATGCCAAGCGCAACATCATCGTGTCTGAGCCCGAGACCAGCGCTTAAGGAGTATTAGGTCTAGCGACTAACATCAGACCCATAATCGACCAGATCTTGGTTCTTCTACGCGGCCAGCCTGCAAAGACATCCACAGGATCCGCAACCTGGTCATATGGCTGAAAACCACAGACTGCTCGAGTCAGGGGACTTCAATGAGTCGCTCGGACTCATGTCTTCTGCTACTTCTTTCTCTTGTTGGCCTCCAGCGACCTATCTAGTCAGGGAAGGCGATGCCAATTGGCCACGTGTGGCCCCTTTCCCTTGTTGATGGAGGTGATATTCTGGGCTATGGGACAATCCTTTAACGGTAGTGTTGGACGGTCGAGCTGAAATTATCAAGGTTACTATAGATATTCACTTGTGGTTGGCAGCATGCCACGGTCAGCTTCCACCACTATTAGCTACCTTGGTGATAATAGTACCTTTTCACTAACTGATCCTGTCCATGGCTTGAACTCTTGCTCTGGCTCTATCGTTCCGTTCATAAATTTTTGTTCACGAGATGTCTAAGCTAGGTTGAGTGAAGTGATGCCGTGGCGCTCCTAAAATGTGCAAGAAACCCCACAGCACGACATTGATTAGATTGTTGTTTGCCCACAGTCTAAACCCCGAGTAATGGAGTTTTCTAATCATTTCTATGCTTCAAGTCGTAGAGGCTTGACGTACACAGGACCCCATGTTGTTCTGGGGAGTTTGATGTGCTAATGTGCTACAAAATTGATTTATTCCACCTATACTAGAAAGTGGACCACGTGCCATATTCGAGGTCTCAAACTACTGTTATCGGCATTGTTTGATTTTCTTTTTTTTTTCTTTTTGAACCCTGGGTGTTTATAACTGTATGAAGGGATCTCCTATATTCTGCTCAAGAAGCATACGTACTTGGATTAAAACAGAAACCACTTACTAGAACACTTGCATATTTGGATTCATAAGCCAACAATCCGTTCCATGCTAAGCGGGTGTGGACCTAAGTGTGCTCTTCGGTTCTTAGTTGCATAGTAGTCAAGTCGGCTAAATACTCAGTAAGCCGCATCGCGGTGCATGAGGTACTGTTACCGAACTCCGAGAGTAGTCCCCCCACGCACGGGAGGAAGTAGAAACCGAACCTGACGATTACAGTGGTGAATAAGCAGTTGCCGGACCGATCGGCTCCCAATAACACACCCTTCATGGAGATTGGCAGCATACCTCGCTCCGCAAATACACGAAGGTTCCCTCAAGCTCCGCTACCAATCTTCAACGAAAGGTCCAATGCTGGGCGGAGGCACAACAGAGGCCTGACCACAATCCTCTCCCCTTGCACCTATCTAGACTCCTATCACGATGCTTACCCTGAAGATCCTGTCTCCTGGTGCTTCAGGCTTGGAAAAGACGTCGAGGAATCTCCCCTGCACCCTTGACACCCTCTTCGAGGATGTCCAACAGGCCCCCACCAGTCAAAACTGCTACCAGGTCACAAAGTTGATGCTGGAAGTAAGTTACGACCACAAATCCATCCCCCTGATGCTTTGGGCCGCAAGAACAAGCGACCTAGACACCCTGTACTCAAACGCGTCCGTCGAGGATGCGGTTGAAGCAGCTACAGACTTCCTCAATTCCGTCTTCCAGAGCGACTGTCATGCTCAGAACTCCATTGTCCTGGGTTTCGAGGCCGACCGCCAGGTGGATGCCAAGGATGATATGAGTGCGATACCCTCTTCAAGTTACGTTGTTGTTCTGAGCATTATCAATACGGCGCTCTTGAGGACCCATTCTATCTCGCTTCGCGCGCGGCAGGACCTGGAAGAGCGGCGATTGCTCGAAGACTTCTTCGTCGCGCCCAAGCCGGTGACGGCCTGGGGACGCTTCACGAAAGCGATTTTGCCCCGCGGAAAGGTGCGCGGGGGCTCTTCCCCCTACAGTTTCCTGGGTGCAGCGCCGCCGGCCAAGACGAGGAGCCGGAGATCGCGAATGTTGTTCCTGCTCTTGAGCCTGGTGCTGGCGGTCTGTCTCAGCGCCGCGAGCCTCTCCGCCTTCCTCAGTTTCGGTTCCTACAGGATCACGAAATACCACCGGCCGGCCCAGGACAACTTCTTCCAGGCCGCCAACTGGTCCGAATGGTCCTCCGCCCACGACCTCAATGAGTGGCACCTGCGCAGCGACATCGGTGCCCTCGTCCCCTCCACCCAGTACGACGCCGAAGAGCTGCCCAGGCTCAAGTGGATCGAACAAGAGGTGCCCGAGCTGGCCCGGCTGTTCGGAAACGGGCGCTACCCGCCCCCGGAAGACTACGGGACGATTATCCCCACTGGGGAGGGCTACCACTTTGCCCACTGTGCGCTGACGCTGCGGCGGTTCTACTGGGCGCACAAAAGGGGATGGGGCCTGTGCCCCAAGGATTTCGATGACGAACACCTAGTGCACTGTCTGGACGTTGTGGACGCTCATGCCTTTACTGTCAATGGAACGGCGGTCATTCCCACGCCCAAATCTACCATTCACTGGTTCTCTCCCATGGTTTGCTTTTGAGTGAGGGAGGGATGCGACGGAAGATCCAATTGCCATTCTCGAAGTCATTGCTGGATTACTTTTGGATTTGAAGTTTCTAGCTAGTCGAGAAGAGATTACTTAGTTATTGACCACTTCTATGGACCCTCGACTTTTCATGACTGCTGATGGCCATTGAATACCATGAATAAAGACTATTTGTATTCTTTCGGATCCTCTACTCAGCTAAAACGGCAATGAATTTCCTACCAGGACGGGAAAAATGTGTCTTATGAATGATTATGTACTGTGAACGAAATGCAGGCGATTCACTTGCAGAGTGAATGATGCGTTAGTCCCAAACAGGGGGTTGACCTGTCAGCAAGTACAGCCGGCGATCCGGATGAGTGGGTGGTGGCAAGGCTGGGGCTCGGAAAGCTTCTGTCCGGATCCGAGGCTGTCATTTGCCGATTTGGCTTCTGAGAGAATTAGTCCGGACGGATCACCGAGATAAGTAGTTCTTGGGGCCATATTTGATGTCAGCTATTACTAGTAGGGCCGCTGACCGTTCTGTTGAATCTCGCGCCTACATCAGCATCATCTACACTGAGCGTCAAATTGAAAATGCCAACAGGTGCAGTCCCTAGATTCTCCCTTTCCCAAGAGAGGGCAGGTGTCGACCTGGGGGAACTGCGGCACGCATTCCCTTCGCCTCCTTTGTCGGAGGAAGACGATGAGGATTCCGATGTTGAGATATGCGAAAAGGCACTGCTGAGCAATGAGCTCACGATCCGGGACGATGATGAGGATGTCATGAGCTGGGCTTCTCTTTTGAAGCTGACGATTTGCATTGGGGGGTAAGTATTTATGCGAATTCGGTTTAGGTAAGTCCGACATCACTGACCGGATCGTGTAGATTGCAAATGGCGTTCTCGGTCCAGTTTGCAAATGGAACGGTAAGTGAGGGTTCTGCTTTTTCCGCTCGAGGGCCCAGCTAATCCGGGCTCTAGATCCATCTTCTCGATCTTGGAATTAGCCCGCCCTTGGTCAGTTTCATCTGGTTGGCACCGCCCATATGCGGAGCGCTTCTACAACCTTGCTTCGGATTCTGGAGCGATAACTGCTCCACGGCCATCGGAAAGAGGAAGCCCTTCATCATCTTGGGTAGCATCGCACTCGCAATGTCCCTCTTGAGCTTTGCGTGGGCGACTAACAAAGTGCTGGCGGGCTTGTCCATCCTGGCAATTAACGTCTCGGCCCAGGCTATCCAGAGTGGTGCGCGGGCACTCATAGTCGACGAATGTCCGCAGAATACGCAGTTACGGGCGAATGCATGGGCGAGTCGCGTAGTCAACACGGCCAGCATCTGCTCGTATCTGTTCTCTTATGTCGATTTGCCCCCTCTGCTACCGTTCTTTGGCAACACGCAACTGAAGTGCTTGGCCGTTCTGGGGTGTGCGGTGCTCTTCGTCACGTCGACCATCACCTGCCTTGGAACAAGTAATTCGGCACCCATCTCGTGCAGCAACACTGCCGCGGAGAAGCCGCTATTTTCCACAGGCTTTCTCCGAGCAATGTTGAATGTAGTCCGCACACTCCCGACGCAAGTCAACCGCATCCATGCAGTCCAATTCTTCTCCTGGTTTGCCTGGTTCCCGTTTCTGCTGTACGTTAGTAGCTACGTGGGAAAATCTTGTATGTACATACCGGAAATCAAACTCTCCGAGATTCCCAGTGATCATTTTTTGGACGCATGTTCTAATCATCTCTCTAGATCTGGCGAGCATCGTGTCACAAGATGCGTATCTCTCTGCTGCTCAACTTGCCAGCCTCAGCGCGTCGGCTGACCGCTACGGAGCACTTGCGTTGTTGACCCTGTCGGTCAGCGCCCTCTTCAACTCCTTGTTCCTTCCCCAGCTGCTGTCGCGCATTTCATCCAGTCCTCGCAACCGTTATGGAGGGTTGTTTTCATGGGTTACCCATCGAAATACATGGTTTATAGCGCAGGTCGTGTTCAGTGTAGGTCTGTACACCTTACTGTTAACCGAGTCAACCACAGTCATGATCGTGGCCGTGGGCTTCATCGGATTCAGCTGGGCTGTCACGCAGTGGCTCCCGTTCGCCCTCATCAGCGTGCAGGTGAAGATGATGAGCGAGAACCAAGGAAATGGCAATGGTGGAACGGTGGGTGCTGTTCTCGGCATTCACAACGTGTTCATAGCGGCTCCGCAGATATTGGCTTCGTTGGAGGGGACCATCATTTTTGGCATAACTGGCGATGGTGATAATTCGGGTTCGGCAGTGTATGGCATTTCGTGGATACTGATGGGTAGCGGGCTGGTCTCGGTAGTGGCTGCCCTCATGGTCCTCCGATTGGGTGAGACGAGGCGTATTACGTGAGACGGACGAGGAAATGTGGTCCGGAGTGAGTGATAGTGAGGCCGGAAAAGATAATATGGAACGGCTCTGTGCATTGCTGCCATACATGCACTATCTTAACCACTTACTATTATTGTCCTTAAAAGGCCCAGCCATCGTCCAAGATGATTCTAGAACAACTACAATACAACCCCAGACTGGACCCCTTCGTCGATGAAACATGGTGACGGCCACATTCATCCCAAGCACACTTTCCCCCGCCGAAGCCGCGGCTCGAACTGCCGTTGTCGACGCCATTGCAGCGCGGCCCCCTCCACCGGCTGTGCTTGATGGCGATGCCATCCGCGACCTGAGACAATTCTCATCAAAGGCCCTGAAGCTGAGCGAGCGGGCAACTACGACGTATTTTGGGACCCCTTCCCTACCCTTGCGACGGATAGCACCGGCCCACCGCCCGGTAAGGGGCGTACTGTTGCATATCCATGGCGGAGGATGGTGCATGAAGAGCGAAGCGACGCAAGACAAGCTCCTTGCTCACCTGGCCGACGAGAGCGGGCTCTGCGCCGTCAGCCTCGGCTACCGTCTCGCGCCCGAGCATCCCTTCCCGGCGGCCGTCGAAGACTCCGTCGCGGCTTTGCTATACGCCGTATCCGATGAGGGGGAGGTGGCTCTCGGGGGCAAACTGCTCGCTCTGGGCGGCGACAGCGCGGGAGCCGGATTGGCGCTCTGTGCCCTGATGAGGCTGCGCCGGGAGCATGCGGCCGGCTATCAAACCGCGATCGGGAGCATCCGGGCCATGCTCTTGGCCTATGGATGCTATGACTTGTCTCTCACGCCGTCGGCGCGTTTGCGGGACACGCACGACACTATCAACCGCACCTTTTTGGAGGCTTTGGTTCATGCCTACGTTGGCAGTGACAAGTCGCTCGTTGACCAGCCCGAGTGTTCGCCGGTTTACGAGAAATTGTCTGACCTCAGTGGCTTGCCGCCTGCGCTCTTCGTGGTCGGGACCAACGATCTGCTGCTGGACGACTCGTTGATCATGGCGGGACGATGGGCGGCGGCGGGTAACGAATCATTGTTGAGGATCGTCAAGCACGCCACGCATGGGTTCTTGTCCTTCCCCTTTGCGGAAGCTACAAAGGAGGGATTGGATGCGATGTGCAACTTTTTGCATGAGAGGTTACTAGATGTAGCGAACTAATTTGGATGTCATTGAATACCCTCATTTATCCGATGATAATATGTACCTCATCCGTATAGTGACTACTCCATGTTGCATGGGAATCAATAAACCGTCATTGCGTGACCGAGGGACGATTGCGGCCCGGTCCACCGCCAAGAAACTTGGAAGAACCTAGCCGTGGTTGATTTCTCGTCGACCGGTTGATATTGACTTCGTAATTTTGAGACTGGCTACATGAGTAGCTGTCGGCTATGACAGCCACCAGCCTATATGAGGGGTTATCGGCTACATCTACCCGTATGATACGTGTGGATCAAGATAGACTCAACCGCCCGGCGAGAGGGGTGCTGACAAAGACCCGAATTCAGACGTGAAGGATCATACACTATCCCTGCGCTCTGAACACACAATGTAAGGATTGTATACTTCAGCATTCATCGGGAGATTTAAATTCGGCCCCAGATATCAGTGTTTTGTTGAAATATGCACTGAATCACTAAGTCCGGGACTTGGATCCGAGCAAGCCAGGAGTGAGGACCAGCTCGGCAATGGGCTCAGTAGGCCGGCCAATCTTCACAGTAGCCTCCCGCCTATCCAAGTCCATCGCTATGCTGAAAAGCGTCACGGCGGGCGTCTCCTTGCCCGCAGACCTGTTGATAGAATAGGGCCAGTACAGCTCGTCCGCCAGGATCCCCTCGACCACCCCCCTGTTCGCCTCCTGGCCCTGTACCTCCCGCAAGAGCTCATTGACACGGCTCAGCCGGATCTGGGTCGCAAAGCTGACCTGGGATACCACCCCCTTCTCATGCGGGCGCAGGAAGTGGTTCGTGTGTGTCACGATTCCCCTCGCGTCCATTTTCAAGCTCGCGCAATCCACTGCACTGAACTCGAGGCCGACGCCGCCACTTGCGGCATCGGCCACCAGAATGTGACATGCACTCGCCAGACCGACCCGGTCAAGAAATTCCACAGCCTCCTTGCGAGAGCGGTTCTCCAGGACGGCGCGCAGTGCGATGTGGACGGGCAACCGCTTGAAATCGGTCCCTGGTGCTACTACCGCGTTGAGGCCTACTCCCACCCCCGCTGAATTGAGCCCGATCTTCCCGAGCATGCCGGCTTCGATGATTTGAGAAATGACGGGGGCATCAGACGACCGGATGATGGTTTGGGCTATGAGGTTCTCGCGGGCGGAGAGGTGAAACTGCGGGTCTCGTCAGCTCCGTTGCCTCGGATGGGGGTGGGGGAAGAGGAGGCGACGCACATCCCAATTCTGCGCCAGCCAGGAGCTTGAAGTGGTCGGTGACTTCCATGAAAAGGCCGTACATCCGTCTCCCGCATTCCCAAACATGATCTCACTCCGCGTATTCAACACCAAGATATCTTCCAACGAGAGCGATGCGCCCTCGGCAACACCTAAGACAATATTAGCCTCCGTTGTCACGAACAGAGCAACGGGGGGTCGCCTCGCAAGAGCAGCGAGAAGCACGCACCTGTCATCTCCTCGACCAATTCCGGCACCTCGCTCTCCAGCATCGGCAAGAACCTTTTTGCGACGACAACGGCGCGTTCCCAGGGAATGTTGAGGCTCCCTTCAAACACCTTGGTGTAGAACGCAATAGTTGACCGTATTTGGGTGGCTGCATTCTGGCCATGGTGGTAGCCGATCTACAAAAATTTGAGTCGTCAGTGTGTCGTGTAGAAAGTTGTGCGCAGGAACACGGATGGATGTGTAGGCAAGGGGGCAATGGGGACAAACTTCTCTTGGTGATCCGCGGCAGATGATGTGGGGGAATTCCACCTTTTCCTCCTGGCCACTGCTCAGCTTCGGGTGAATGGTCATTTTCTCTGGTGGAATCGCAGCGAGGGACTGCCAAAACGGCCAGAATTATAACGTGCCGCCAGTCGACAAGATGTCCTGGACACATGATTATATGAACAGGTGGACTGCTTCAAGTCGGCGAATATCTTGCGTGTGGAGACCAAGTCGGAAATCCGGTAGATAGTCTGCCGGGTCGGGTCCGCCGGTTCCCCGGACAAAGTACCGAATCTCGGATCTCCGTCGCCGGAATTGAAGTACATCCATTGAGCGGCAACAAAGCTGACATATTCTGTTTTATGGCCGCCACGATTATTCCTATTTACTGTGCGGCGAGTCTGGCGACTTTTCTGCTTCCTCCACAGGCTCGAAGTTGTGTCCAGGACCATACGACGGGGCCCCGACCCTAACCTGTGCTCTCAGGAGGTGAATCCCACAATGCAAACGTGGGGACCCAAAATGTTAAATACGCATTCGATCTCCTTGCAGGAGACGAAGACCTCACCGGCTGGAAAGGCACCGATCTGGACGTCGATGGCAAACATACAAGTGCCTCATTCAACATGAGCTCCCTCTTATTCGGGATCCCTGGCTCAAGCGGCGGCCGAACAATAACCGGCTCGGGTGTAGCTCCTGCATACGACGATAGCTGCTTTTATAGCGGCGGCACGACAGTCCCCTACCACGCGGGTTCGCGGTCGTTTGATGGTGTTGTACACTTGGTGCTGATTGACGGGCTGTATGCTATTAGAGTTGTGAAATTAGTTTATATTTTTAGTTAAATTATAATATATTTTTAATCTTGTAATCTTGATTAGCTTTTTAATTTAATTATATTTTATTTTATAGTTTATAATTTAAAAAAAAAATTAAAAAAAATTAAAAAAATTACTATTTAAACTTATAATTTTTAATATTGTAACAGTACAGCTCTTATATACTGCTAAGTAGCTAATCTAGCAATTAGTTATTATAGTCTCTTAGCTAGCATATATAAAGCTAATTTATAGTAGTAGTTAAGCTTTATATTAAATATATTATTAAAAAAATTGATTTTCATATAATTATAATTAAAAAATTTAAAAAATTATATTTTTAATTATAAAAATTAAACTTTATTAAATTAGTTTTAAATTATAATATTATAATATATTATTAATTACGTATTAGGGGCATGTTGTGGCCGGTCTGGCTAACTTTGAGCTCCTTGCGAAAGGCTACGCGTTGACGCGTTGTCGCGTCGTCACCTGAACCGCATGATGTTAAACAAATTGGCATTCGCTGACTAATCACCATCGGGGTACCGGTTGAGTCCTTTGCAGGTCTCCCAAAAGTTTATTGCTGCCCAGCCCAGGCCGCACGGCCGTCTAGAAACTCTTCATACTGACCTCTGACTTGGTGCATAGCTATTGAATTTTTGAGCTTGGAAATGAGCAACTAAACATGGGGATTCGACTCGCTGATCAAAAGTCAATCTCGAAGGTGTCAGAGCTACGATGTCTACGATCCGAGTTGCACATACTAGTAGAGCGTGATCCACAAGCCTGGGTATATCGCATATGTGCATGTCGCTCTCATTTGATTATTTGTAAGTAATCGGACTCCGAATAGATGCTGAAGTCCATGTAAGTGACAAGAAACCTTTCCACGATTAGTTCATTAAAATCGATGGAGTTGGACACACCCCGCCGTCACTTTGTGGTTAGTGTGCACGCCATGCGCAAACAGGGAGATATGCCGAGCCAAGCCTGCCAAGTGACCCATTTGCAGTGCCTGTCACTCCACAGTCGGGCCAGTACCGTGTTGACCTAGCTGCATTTGACAGGAGCAGCGTATCCAAGACCTTGGCGAAGTTGGTCAGGGGTAGAAAGTCCAGACTCGGTCCTCTCTTCAGCTCTCAGGACCAGATAAGCTTAATTCGAGGGTTAAGAGCTCGACATGGCCAAGCAACAGAACTCCGGTTGCCCAGCACGCTATTGCAAGATGTGGACCACGATAAAGTCAACCTTCCTCTTTTGTGCTTTCGTATTCTGGCCCCTTGGGCTTTTTAGTCCGGAGAGTCTATAACGGTTGCTTCTCACGGTCCATGAGGGACTCAAAATCCATGTTGGTGGGACAGCAACGTTCCTCCTCTGGCGACGGTTCCTATATATCGTATTTAGATTACTAATTAACTATACTACCAGACGTCTTCTAAAGCGTATGCATTGGCCATCGAACTATCTTCTTTCTTGAGATACCCTGATTCTGGGTCGTAAGGAAGATTTACCAGCAGATCATAAAATCTTTATCGTACGGAGACTCCAGGGAAGAGAGGACTGAATGAGCTAACTGCCTAGTTAGACAAGCAGAAATGCTGGCAGCTCAACTTTAAGCAGGGCTCGATCTTCCCTACCTAGGTACATAAAGAATGATTTCAATTCGAGGTTTTCTCGTATAGAAGTCATCCCAAAGCAAGACCTCCCAATTCGGGAGCCATAAATCAGCGATCTTTTGCCAGAGGAGGAACTGTTGCCGACCTGGAAACGGTCAATTCTGGTCTAGATTTGTGACCAGATCTCTGCCAAGATCTGTAATTACGGTTTCTAACCTTCCTCTTTCGTCTGCTCCCGTCCTTGGTCTCTTTGGGATGCGCGCCCTGTGAACGTATACTTCAGTTAGCACAATGAAGATGAGTATAAATCACTGACCGTTTCAACTGCCACAAGTCCTGGAAAGCAGCTTGTAGTCGCCAATGCCCATTGTCAAGTTGTTTTCCTGGTCAAATATTCAGAATGAAGTTCATCGCTAGTCTCCCCTACCTCGCCGCTCTGGCCAACGCTCTCGCTGTCGACATCAGCAAGCGTGACTCTCCCATCAATGTTGAGATCGAGATGGTCAGCAACAGCGAAGTCAAAGCGAAGATCACCAACACTGGCAGCGAGGCCCTGAATGTTTTCAAGACCGGAAGCATTCTTGACAATCGCCCTATTGAGAAGACTGCTGTGTCCGTCGGTGGTAAGTCTGACCTTTGACATATCTTTATCCTTTCCCAGGCCGACCTAACCCAATATATAGGTGAGAGTGTCGCATTCAGCGGTGTGAGAATCTTCGTGGACTCCAACCTCGTTGATGCCGATGAGTTCCAGACTCTGGCTGCCGGCGAGACCGTCGAGGCCCAGTGGGACGTAGCCGAAGTGCACGACCTCAGCGCCGGTGGCGACTTTGACATCGCGACCACGGGGTCCCTCAAGTACGCCACGGCCAACAGCACCGAGATCATCGGAGAAGCCAGCATCGAGTCAGCCTCTATCAAGGTGACCGTGGACGGTGCGCAGGCCTCCAGCGTGCATGAGAACTCCCCACTGAAGCGCACCGTGATCTCGTCGGACTGCAGCTCCTCGCAGAGGAGCACACTTGCCTCCGCACTGACGGGGTGCGTGTCGTATGCGCAAGCCGCGTCGACGGCGGCCACCTCGGGGTCCGCGTCCAAGCTGGAGGAGTACTTCAAAAGCTCTACCTCCTCCACGCGCAGCACGGTGGCGGCGGCGTTCAACAACATGGCGACGCAGTGCGGCAGCGCCTCGAGCGGCAACACGCAGATCCGCTGCACCGACTCGGCCGGCGCGTGCCAGGGGTCGGTGGTGGCCTACACAGTGCCCAGCCAGAGCTACATGCACTACTGCTCGAGTTGGTATTCGTACCCGGCCTCGACCAGCACCTGCCACGGCACCGACCGCCCCTACGTCGTCGTCCACGAGGCCACGCACCTGACGCAGGTCAAGGGCACCGACGACTACAGCTGCTACGGGTACAGCTGTGTCCGCGGGCTGACTGCGGCCCGGAATTTGAACCATGCTGATACCTATGCTCAGTTCGCTCAGGCTATTCGTGTCGGCTGTTAAGCGTGTAGGTATTGTTTGCGGTCCTGGACAGGGGGCAATCCCGCGCACTTGCACATCGTTTTTAATTATGTAAATAACCTTCCTGCAGGGATGGACGACAAGACCATCTCGTCTTGGAGCTCAATCGCAGTAGAAGCAGTACTTGAATATATATCCTATCATGCACTGCTTAAGTATGTTGGTGTTTACCGGTGCCTATGACCTCCAATTTTTGAATTGATGATTCTAGTAAATTTGGCTCGTTTGGCTCAGAGAATAGTAGTGCGCTCCCTGCAGTGTAAGAGCCACAGTTTATCACTGGTGGCTGAGGTAGATACCTAGTTAGGTATGTATCTGCATAAAGCCCTGTAAAAAAGCTATCAAGTGGACCTTAACTACCTAGGTACATGAGAAAAAAAGTCCAAACCCAGTCATGGCAGCGATCATGCATTCGCGCTAACCAGCTGGCAGCCAAAGTCGGCCGCCGAACCAACAAAACGGTTAGCCACATGTAACATAATTTGTTAAGAATGGTAGAGAGGCTGTTAAATCCGACGGAGAGGCTCTTCCATAATAGTAGTCCTCATTGTACTTGCTGGTGTTAAACAGCATGAATTTCTGTTGCTAATATTAATACACTATATTTAGAATGTTAAAGACAAGAATGCAGCGCCATCATCTATAGCCGCATAAGTAGAGTTGTTAGTTACTAGAATTGGATTCGTCTTATATTATAAGTATAGAGAGCTAGAGGAGATTTTAAATTCAAGAGGACACTACCGATGGTACCTATATCAATGCCAGATCCACACATCGGAGTGTGGTTGTGTCCATTTTCCTTTAATGCTCTGTATTCAAGTGATAATTTTCTTAGGCTGCTGGAATCGTATGCTGTTAACATATGGCTTGCCGTTGGGTTTAGTTGCCAGAAGGGCTTCCTTCGCATATGGCAGATTCTACCCTGGCAGGATCTCGTTGAGGCGTGCCCAATCGGACCAAAAATATCATGGGATTCCACATCAGTCTTCGTTTCCATACCCACACGTGCTTGATCGACCATCTAGTTGCCACATATGCCCCTTCCAGCTACACGGAAGCCCAAATAACTACGGCATTGCCTGGACTCTTCTCGTCTCGAGCGCCAATTCTCGGCCTATTTGCAATATTCTACCAAATGCAACCGGAACTAGCCATAGACAATAGCACGGACCAGTCTGGATCATAAAGAGAAGAGTTTGATAAAAGTCTACCTCTTAAGTATTATATTATTAAAACTATAAATAGAGCATCCCGGCTGCGAATAGCAAGATGATAACGGTATACCTAATTTGAGCCACACTTGCCGTGCTGGTCCTATATTCCTTGTCAGCATACATAGAGACAAGAATCTTGAAATTGCATATTATACTTAGTACTTGTCGCTGAAGCCGACCCCGAGTTGGTCGCCGTGGGGGAAGAATCTCCGGTCGTGGGGTTGTTTGACGGATCTGACGAGTTCCAAGTGTTGTTCTCATCCGGAGTCCAGCAAGTAAAACCCTGGTAGATGTCGTCCTCCGTACCGGTGAAGGTCAGACTGGCGAAAGCTGCTCCCAGAGCCGGGCAGCTGATATTGCCGGTGGATTCCACTCTCATATATGCCACGGACTTCAGTGACGAAAGATTGATTCTGTGATGTGTGAGCAGTAGGAACGGGAGTAAAAGACAGGCCGATGAAATAAGGAGTAACACATACTCATCGAAATCACCGTCAAGGAGCACACCCCCACCGATGGTGGATAATGCTGGCAATGTCACATTCCGAACACCATCGCTACCTATGACGACAATGTCTCCACTGACAGTTCCGAGTTTCCTACAGTTAATCTCCAGATTAGCACCCATTAAACATAGAAAATAAGAGCACTGCGGCCTGGAAAGATTTCCATGCTGTGAATATCGACCAAAATTGCAAGTCACTTACGGAAATGAGATGCTGGTCAAATCATTGAGGTATCCAAACAACATCCCGCCGCTCGTGGTATTCTGGAGATCTGGCATCGAGATGGTGGTTACGCCATCTTCTACCCGAGTCATCCCCTGGAGCTCCGGTCCAAGGTACCCAGAACTGAATTTAGGCAAGGACTCAACGCCGGGCAGCTCAAAGGGGCCCTTGAACTCGTGGTCGACGAAAAAGAGAACACTGTCGATAGCCGGACAGGTCTTGTAGAAGTCGATGTCTGTCTGGTTGACGATGTTTACAATAACATCATCACATGCCTGGGCATCATCGGCTAACGTCAGACTCATTCAGTCAGTTTTGCTGTCTGTTTTCCTGATCGCGGAATCGCAATGAGTGGGGCTGACTCATAACCTACCGGCTACAACATCAAATGCCACCAAGAGAGCATTGAAGAACAGAAACGTGGAGCTCAACAAGCTGACCTTCCGGCGGAAAGCAACAGCCATGATGCTAGATACTTGCGCTGCGAAGAACCAAGCTTTTTGTGCAAGAAATGATTGAAGAAAAGGGCGGGTGGCTTCCAAGATAAGCCTCAGATTTTCCATCAGCTAGCCCAAATATCTGGAAGGCCGCAGCACTCAATTAAATATAACCATGTGGATAAACACGAGCCTGCTACTGCTAAATTAGCTTAGGCTGCTCCTGCCAGGAACAAGCTAGCATTGTAATGCCACATGAGGGTCGATCCAGGCTGCATGGAGCCCTGGATTCAGAATTGCCCAGAGGGGCTTGGCTCGCGCCGAGAAAAGCTTGGTGCTTACCGAGGGAAGCTTGGCGGTGTCTTAAAAAACGGCGGGCCAGCATGGCTGGCTCAGTTGGCTCAAATTTTTCGTCCATCTAATGGGGCAGAAAGCGGCAGGGTCCAAATCCTACACAGCGTGAAAGTGGATCGTCGACCAATTATCTAGCAGACTAATAGGCCCGGAGGTGAGCAGCTAAGTGCTTACCTTTTCCTGCTTGATGTCTGCCCCGGGGCATCGGCACCTCCGGCCAGCAGCACAAGAGGACCGGCCGGGTGCAACGTGTCGCTGACGATGTTTATGTATTGTGCCTGCGCAACAATGGCGGCGTGACATGATGGTTGTCGACCTGTAAATTGGCGGTTACCACGTCCGGATGGCCGTTCGCGTTAATATCTGCCACCGCCCGGCGCCCGGAACGACCAGATGAAGAAGAACACGGGCTTCCTCGTCGTCGGCAATAACGGCGGCCGGGCGACGCCGGACGTGCTGACTATCGGCCCCACCACCATCTCGGCCGGCCTTGCGAGCCCGGGGGCTGCAGGTCGCGCGGCTTCACGCATGAATACTTTCCGTCACGGAGGTTCGATCGCTTGCCGTAAGTGGCCAGGCTACATTTTCAAGAGCCGTTATCTGCCGGCTCACATGGGCGTCACAATCGCATCCTTGCCGACAGCGATCTCATTGCGCGTTTTAGTAAGCACACCCTAACGCTTGCAGGGCGTGAAAGTATCGGTAACAAGGTGCGTGCATGGGTGATTGCTCAGCATTAATATCATGCACGACGAGATACATGCGATTGGTGCTATTGCTAAAGTTGCCGTGCTGTTCATTATATAAGCCGTGTATAAATATTACCTGCCCTTGAATGGCTTGAAGAATTTAAGCTCTTAGACCCTGCGACTCTTCTGGCTGCCCCTGCTAAAATTTTCCAATTAGAAAGTCTTATAAAAACCGGGAGGACTAAGCAGTATAGCTAACTAAGTGCCGCGAACCCTTATTCCAGGGTTAGTAACTAAGCAAAAGCAGCTTGCAGGAGCAAGCAAGCGCGAGATGCTTTTATAAGTGTAACGATCACAACTAGTTCCTAGCTAATAAACCTAGTAAGCGGGTTTATATTTAGAAGGCGTTTAAAGTAGTAACATTCTAAGCAATATATAATAATAGTTAATTAAAAGCTTTACAATTATTTAGAGTAAATACTTAAATTAACTGCTAAAAAGCTGTTTTAGGTTAATACTATTTATCTAATAATAAGTATATTTTATATAGTTTATTTTTTTAGCTTAGCTTATAAAGCTTACTAGCTTACTAAATAATTTAATAATTTAAATAATTTAATAGCTTATTTAGCTTACCATTTTTATTAGTAATTTAAATAATTTTATACTTAAGTAAGCAAGTATTATATAACTTTTAGCTAAGTTTTTAATTTATTTTATAAGCTTATTTTACTAGCCTATAGAGTTTATTTACACCTTTAAAGAATTAATAGCTAATATTATTTCTATTTTTATTATATTTATAATATTATTTCTTTTTTTTAATACTTTTTTATTCTTAAAATTTTTTTTAAATAAATTTCCTTTTATTTTTAATATTTTTTTTATTATATTTAATTTTTTTATTTTAAGCTTTTTTTTTAATTTAATAATTATAATAAGTTATATTTTTAAACTTTATTTTAAAAAAACAAAGCAATATTATACTTTTACTTTATTAATTTATAAGTTAAAAGTTAAAATTATACTTTATAAGTTATATTATTAATATAGTTAAAAGTATTTTATATTAAAATTTAATAATAAATTATATTACTATAATTATATATATATAAGTTATTTTTATATAAGGGCTAAGCCTTTTATAAATATTAATAAGGTTTTTTTTTTTTTTTTTTTTTTTTTTTAATATTTTTTTTTAATATAAGATTAAGTGTTTAAAAAAAAGCTAAAAAAGCACTATACTTAGTATAAAAAGCTTTACTAAAAAAATAGTAAAAAATAAATAAGTATTTAGCTTAATTAAGTTTTTTTAAATAATAATATTAAAAAGTTATAAAATAAAATTATTAAATACTTTATAAAAGTTTTTATTTATTAAATAAGTTAAAAGCTATTTTTAATAATAAAAAAAAGTTTATTTAATAATTAATTAAATAATTTTAAAAGCTTTTAATTTAATATTTTTTTTTAATTTAATAATAATTTTAAAGTTATTAATTAAAAAATAATAATAGCTAATATTAATATAAATTTCTTAAATTAAATATTTAATAATAATTTTAAAATACTTTTTAATAATTTATTAAATTTTTAAAAAGCTTTTATAAATTATTTAGGGTTAGGGTTAGGGTTAGGGTTAGGGTTAGGGTTAGGGTTAGGGTTAGGGTTAGGGTTAGGGTTAGGGTTAGG